GGTTCGCTTTCCGGCGGGCATGCCGGCGGGGGCCGGGGCGCGGGGGCAGCAGGGCGCGAGGGCGCGAGGGGACCGAGGCGCGAGGGCGCGCGGCGCCGGCGGCTCGTGTCAAGCTGTCAAGCTGTCAACGTGTGCGGCCGCTGAGGCCTGAGCCGGTGACAGGTCATGCAAATAAAATCTGAGATTTATTCGAGGGTGTATGTGTGTGTGTGTATCGTCGATGTCTCTCTCTCTCGATGTCCCAAAAGTCAGCGTTGCGGAGTTGCGAGAAGCGATGGGCGCCCCTCAAAACGCCCATAGAGCCACCGCCTCGCTCGCCCGAGCCGCTCCGACTGGAGGGCGCTGCGCTCGCCCGGCATCGAGCCGGTGCACCACCCGCCCCCAAACGCGGGTCCGGACCCCCCTCGTCGCCAGCGGCAGCCGCTGGCTCGACGAGCAGCACCCGCTCGGCCGCCTCCTTGGCCCGGCCGCCGCTGTCGCGGCTGTCGGGCTCCGCGACAGCCGTCAACCACCGACCAGCGGTGGCTGGGCCGCTATGGATGTGGAAAGTGCAAAAATGCATACGCGCTTTTGCGACCCCGCAGCATGGTTTGATAAAAGGCACCGTTCTCGAGTCGGCGAACTCACCATTTTATTTTCGAGTTTAGGTCTCGTGACGGCTATCTCGACCCGGCGCGCGAAATCTGCAGCTACGAGGCCTGGGTCGGGGCTATGAGTGGGCTACATGCCGCTTGCCGCGGCTCCTAGGTCGACGAAACGCTCGCGCTTCACCCTCCCCCCCTCTGACGAAAGGTGTCTGCGTCGCGCGCTAACCGGCAAAGAATCTAACGGCGGGCGATGGCGGCGCGCGGCGACGCTTCTGACTCAAAGGAAGGTCGCCCACACACCCACCCTCACCACAACGCCGTAGGCGGGTCGAGGCTGCCCTCCACCCGCTCGCGCTTGCCTCACCTAGGCGACCGGGTAGGCTCCCTCTAGATGGCGCCCGAGACACCTTCACGGCGGCGCTTCTGCCCGCGACAGCGGCGCCTGAGCGCGTGGGCTGGACGGCCCCTCGGGGAGGCCCGCGGGGCGGCGGGAGAGAGCTCTCCCGCCGTCGTGGCGCACCATATCGCCCGTAGACGCCTCTTTATAGTCGCCTTTTAGCACCTCCTCTCTACACGCCGCCGAGTACACCCCGCCGCACCGCATCACCGCCCCCTTCCCTGCCCCGTCGCCCTCCTGAGCTCTCCCCCCTTTGCTCCAGCCACCCACAGGACGGCTGGGCCATCGGCCCACGTGACAGGCGCCCGGGACGGCCGGGGAGCGGCCCCGTATTTTGAGCCCTCTCGGGCCACCCTCGGGCGCGTCCGCCGGCCGGCAGAGCACCGCTTGGGCGACTCTGACGGCCCGCCCGACCACCGCCCTCGATCGTGCCGCTCCCCCGGCGTCAGTGGCGGGCTGGGGGGGGCAGGCGGCGTCCGCGCAGCCCCTCGTGGGGGTGCCCACCGCTCTCCTCTCACCTCTCCCCCCCCGCCCGTGGCACCCCACGCACGCGTCCCTCCTCAGGGGCGCAAGGCGGCACGTTCAACGCTTGCCTCGGCCCACCTCGCCATCACGCCCGCCGCCGCGACCAAGGAGGTGGCCTCGGCGGCCCAGACGAAGCCCGTGCGGCTCGTTTGGGAGCCGCGCGCCGTCCCTCTCTCGCCCGCGCTGCTCACACGGCCCAAGCCCACGTCCCTCCGGTCGCAGGCGCCGCCTGGGAGTAACCAGCGCCCCTCCCGAGCACCTTCCCGGCGGGCAGCGCCTCCGTAGCGGCGCTGGCGGCCCCTGCGAGCCGGCCGGCGCCACGAGTGAGTATTCGAAGGCGCGCGCGTCCCCTCTCTCCCCGGCCCGCCGCGTCTCTCTGACCACCCCTCCCCCTCCCGGGTCAGGCGTGCATCGGGCGTACAAAATGGCCGCGGGGCGCCGTCCAGCGACGCTGTCTCTTCCGCCTGAGCGGTGGGCAACTCTCTGGCCGGGCTCGGGCCCTCTCGGGCTGCTGCGAGCTGCGCGATGCGCGTCCCCTCCGCCGCACGGCCGTGCCCCTGCCCCTCACCCTCCGACTCCGCCGCAGGACCGGTCTGGCGACCAGGGACGACCGCCTAGAGCAGCATCATCGACCATCCCGACCCCGTGGGGGGCGGGGCGGGCCAGCGAGACGTAAGAGCGCCCCTCCCCCCCTCTCGCGGCGCGTCCCCTCCTTCCTCCCCGCACCCCGCCACCCGGCTCGCCGCCCCGTCGCCGTCGCGAGCCAGCCCTCGGCCAGGTACTGCCAAAGGCGGCCGCAAGCAGCGCCATCGCTACCAGCGCCACCGTGCTGGCGCTGGTGAGCTCTGCGGCCCGTGTAGCGGCCCCTTAGCCCGTCGCCCGGGCACATGGCGCCCTCACACCGCTCCTCGCCTCCGTCTCGCAGGCCAAAATCGTCGACATCGCGTCGGCACTCTCGACGGCGCGCCTGGGCTCGGAGAGGGCGGCCTGGGCGGTGCGGGGTGGCTGGGCTGCCCCCCTCCCGCGGTGCGCCAAGCCTCGGGGGTCGGGGAGACCATCTCGGGTCGCTGAGGGGGCGGGTCGGACGCCCGATCCGGCTGCTGGCCGGAGGACGTCGCCGGTTCCGCGATTTTGGGCGCCCCAGTCGCCTCCAGCCGGGCCGAGCGGCGCCAGCTGGTAGCTGGGGCCGCAGGGCGGTCGGGCCGACACCGTGTGCTAGTCGGGGTGGGTTGTCTAGGGGTGTAAAGGTCGGTAGAGTGTCCGTTTGTGGCCTCCGGACGGGCTCTGGTCGGGAGCCCCGTCTGGGGGGGCGACCCCCCCATCTTTGTTTACCGAATGCGTCTCTGGATTAGAGTGCGTCTAGTAGGCCTCCTACTTAGACGCTCGCTGTCCTCGGTATGCTCGAGCATCCTAAGATGCGCGAGTCTATATTAGTTGCTCCGCGCATCCCGAATTGCTCGCGGCATCTCCGATTGGCGTTGCTGTCTCAAAAGACGCGCCGTGCATACTGTGAACAGCGCGTGTCTCAGAAGACGCGCGCATATTTTGAACAGCGTGTGGATCTCAAGAAATACACGCACGTATAAAAACAAAAAAGAAAACGAAAATCGGTGTGGCGAGCGCTGCGCGGCGGGCCGTGCCCCCGGCTGTGCGCCGCGGCTGCTGCGCTACTACTCGCACAGCCGCGGCGCGCCCACCCGAGCACTCGTGGGTGGGCGCCCTATAGCCTCTCCGCGCAACGTGCTGGGGCACGGACAGCGGCTCTCACGTGTGGCAGCGGCAGCAGGCCCACCGCTGCACCGACTCACACTGAACAGCACGCACAGGACACAGTCACAGAACACTGCCCCTGACGCCACTCACGGCCACGGGCTACTCAGACTTGGACACAGGCACCTCGCTTAGCACTCCGTGCACGTGGCTGCCGGTTGCCGTCACCAGCGCCGCTTCCTGCCCAGATCAAACACCTGCGACGTGGCGGAGGCGATGAGCGGCCCGCGGTCGCCGTGAGAGCGCGCGTGGTGGGCGACGGCTCACCGATCGAGCGGAAGCGGTCACGCTGTGGGGGCGGCGGAAGCGGTCACGCTGTGGGGGCGGCGGCGAGGCGGGCAAGCCACCCGCAGATCCCCAGAAGGACGCCGTCGCGAGGTCGAGGGCGGGCGGCGGGGGCGGCGAGAGCGAGGCGCGAGGCGCGAGGCGGTGTTGGCGGCGGCGGTGGCGCGGGCGGCGGCGGTCACGGAGCGGGGGCGAGAGGGTGGTGGCGAGCAAGACACCCGTGCGCGCTGCGCGGTCGCCGTTCTGACTCACATGCCTGCGGACAGCGCCGACGGGTGGTGAGGAGGGCGGCGAGCCGGCGGGCACGGTGTGCGCGCGGTCGCCGCGCGCTGGTGGGCGACAGCTCACCGAGCGAGGAGCGAGGAGCGAGTCGGGATGCCCGGTCCCTCAAATCGCCAAGTCAAACAAGAAAAACCGCGCGGCTGGCCGACTCTCGGAAGTACGCTGTCTTCCGTGTCTAGGCGCACGCCCACGCCCTCAGCCTCGAACTGGCCCCGCTACCTGCCGCGCAAACTGGTTGGTGGGGGGGGGAGGCGGCGTCGCCGTCGGATCGTCGTAAGCAGTGCATGCAACTTTGGTCTTTGCGCCCAGAGCTCGTGGCGCGAGCAGATGCATGCGCGGTGCTGAGAACCTGGTTCTCCAGGAGGGGCAGGCCGCGAGGAGAGACCTCACACGAGCACTCAAGGCAGGGCCCCCAGGGGGTGCCGAGAGATCACACCGCCTTTTCGTGCTCCCTGGCTCCCTGCTCCCCCCTCGGTGCCCGGTGCACCCGACACACGGTGTCTCCTGAGACGCTTCCCTGTCCAAGTATAGTAAAATGTGATCTAGTATGCAAGTGCCATCTCAGAACAGCTGTGCATCTATAGATGCTTGTGGCGTCTAAGATGGAACGCGTAACAAAAGACACGGCGCGGCTATCTCCAGGACAGCCATCGCATCCTAGAATGCCCTGTGTACCCGAGACACATGGTATCTTTGAGATGAAAAGTGCGTCCTAGAATGCGTTTTTGCATTCTAGGACGCATCGGTAAACAAAGATGGGGGGGTCGCCCCCCCAGACGCCCGCCGGGCCGGCTGAGGCTGTGTGTCCGTCCACTGTGGACCCAGTGATGGCCTAGGAGCCCTGCACGGACGGTGTTTATGCTATATAACACCTAGGGACCGCGTGGGGTGGGCGGCGAGCCGCGCATCGGCCGACAATGTGCCGGTGTACGCGTTTCGGTCACACTCAGGGCCCGTTTTGCATGACCTGGAGCGCTCGTGTCCGCCGGCCGCCGGCGCCAGCGCGCGGGGGCGGCGGCCGGCGCGGAGCGACGCCGACGGCTGAAAAAGCGTCAACCAAATACTGTGTATACCCCTCTGCGGACTGCGCGGAACAGTTCGAATGCACACAGAGCTCCACATTGAGACAAATGTCCGCACTCCGACTTTCACTTTCAGGAATCGCCGCGTTTCGCCTTTGGCTTGACCTCCGCCTCCGCCACCGTGCGCACGTAGACCGCGTCCGGCGCGCGCTCCCGCTCCCCCATCTCGTACGTGTACGACGCCGCCACGGCGAGCCGGCTGCCGTCGGCGGAAAAGGCGAGGGCCGCGACCGACGTTGGCTTCCTCGGGAGCTGGCAGAGTCGCTTCTTGTTGGCGCCGTCCCAGACGTTGACATGCCCGTCGCAGCCGCCCGTCGCAAAGGTGCCGTGCCTCGGGTGGTAGCAGATGGCGTTGACGGGGAAGGCGGTGCCGACGCCGTCGACCACCGTCCGGTGGCACTTGAAGGCGTACTTGCGCGCCTGCGCCTCGGCGCTCGGGTCGACGTACTCGACGGCGACGCGACCTACACGGCGCAGCTCCGGCACCCTCACTCGGCGGCGCTCACCCGGCGGGGCTCCGGCGACGCACGCCGCACCCTCGACGGACCCGAGTGCGTAGCCGAGCCCGCCCGGCATCTGCGCCACGGCCCGCGTCTGACACTTGAGCGCCGACTCGCGCCGCTGGAGCGGCTCGGAAGGCCTGGGCGACGGGCGGGCGGGTCACGCGCGCTGTGTGCGAGGTGTGTGCGAGGAGGCATCACACGGGGCCGCGGGCGCGGGAGCAGCCACCGGCGCAGGTCGAGGAGGTGGACGTGCCGCGCCGCCGTCGCGACCACCACGAGCGGCGCGGGCGGCGGAGGGGCGCCTGGCGCGCCGACGCAGAGCGCAAACACCTTGTCCGGCTGGGCATAGGTGCCGACGCACGCCTCCGCCGTCCGCACGTCCCACAGCTTGAGCGAGCGGTCCCAGCTGCCGCTCACGCCAGCGCCGACCGCACCGCAGAAGCGAACGCAACGGACGCCAGAGGCGTGCCAGCCGAGCACGCGCTCCACGCCCGTCTCAAGCCCGTGCAGCCGCAGCCCGCCGTCCGTTGCGCCGCTCAGCACGCTGCCCGCGTCGACAAAGTCGACATCGAGCAGCGGCGCCGGCTGCGGCAGCCGGACTACCACGTCGGCCGTGGCCACGTCGTACAGCCGCAGCGCCGCGTCCCAGCTCGTGACGGCTAGGCTGTCGCCAGTTGGGCCGAAGCGGACGGCGGTGACGCCGTCCGTGGGAGGGTCGGAGAGGGCGTACTCGGACATGGGCGTGGTGGTGCGTGATGCCGTGGGGCGAGCGGCACTCAAAAACGAGCGCGCGAGCCAGGAAAAAGAATTTTGATTGGGATAAAATATAGGGCCGTCCCATCCCTCCCTTGGGTTGTCTGTTTTCTTTATTTTTCAGGGCCAGGGTCTGTCAGAGTCCCCAGAAACCCGAGGAGTCACACAGCCCACCTGTGTGGTGCACGCCCTGCGAGCGGGGCGGGGCGGTGCGCACTGTGCCTCTGTGTTCGTGCGTCGCTCGCCCATCTCTCCTGGAGGTGACTGCTCTATTTATAGCAGACCAGGCTCCTGAGGGAGGGTGTAGAGGATGTAGAGTGTAGAGCGCTGTAGAGCTGTAGAGCTGTAGAGCGCTCTGGAGCGCTGTAGAGCTGTAGAGCTCTACATCCGGCGCGGGACGATGTGAGTCCGATGTAGAGCGATGTAGAGCGCGATTTTGTTGTAGAGTTTGTTGTAGAGGCTCTACAGCCAAAGCGCTGGGAAGGCAGTGACTCAAAGAGGTCGAGCCGCGCTAATGGGGTGTCTCCGAGCTTACTGGAGCTCTGATGGACGGCCCTGACTACCCCTGACACACACAGAGTCACTCTGACGGCACACAACACCCTATAACTGCGTCATGACCAGCCTGCCATGCGTCGCCGGTGATGCCGCATTCGTCGCTGTGCTTCTTTAGCAGGCGGTGGACTGTCGGCTGCGAGGGACGGTCGCATTTGCGCGAGGCGAGGCGATCATTGTTTGAGCGTTGCATGCGCCATGACTCGCGCCAGCGCGTGCGGGAGCTCCTGGCTGAGCGTTGAGTCCAAGCGAGTTGCGCTGGCCACGATCGCTACACCTAGCCGAGCTGACGCGCCGAGGCGCCGGCCAGTCGCAGCTGTGAGGCATGCCACAGCAGCAGAGGCACCTGCCACCCATTGGGCGGGCAGAGAGAAGGCCAGGGCAGCACTGGCAAGTGCAACGCGCCTCATGTCGGAGAGCGACCGTGCCTCGTTCGCCGCTTATGATGTAGAGTTTGTTGTTAAAGGATAGTATAGTGTGGCAGTTTGGTCGGAGGGCGCCCGGGTCGCCCCGGAGCGGCCCCACGCGGGGAGGTGGGTGAGAGATTTCACGTTGTAGAGCGCCTCTACATCGCTCTACAACGCAGGCGCCTCGTCACGCGGCGGATGTAGAGCTCTACTACAGACAGCTCTACAGCGCTCTACACTCTACATCCTCTACACCCTCCCTCTCTCAGACAGGCTCGACACAGGTGCGGACTGGCGCAGGAAAAAGAATTCCCTCGGCTCTCGAGTAGAGCTCAATCGGAGGATCGCCGCTCCGTAAGTAGGAGGCTGCCCGCGCCTGCGCCCGTGCCGCCGGTGCAACTTTGTCCTATACGAGAGGGGAATCCCTGGTCAGGGCTCATCGCTCATGACTCGGTCGAAAGACCCCAGATTGGCACCCGTGCCTCTCTGGACAGGGATACCAGGGTGGCCCGCCACAGCCAGCTGTCCACAGCGCCACAACGTATACAACGAACTCCACAACGACCCTGGAATTGCGACTCGCCGCTCCCTTTGATTTTGTGTGAGCTCTGTGTCTTGAAGTGCCCACAACATAACTCGCTTCCCGCCAAATTCTGTTTTGCCGCAAGCACGGACGTCCTCCGAACTCTGACCGGCCGGCGCTGCTCAGCTCCCTGGGTTCTGTTCCCACACGTTAGACACAATGCACATCGCGTGGATTGGAAACAGCTACGTCTACTACCACGACCTGCCGCTGATGCTCGCCGGCCTCCTCGCGGCGGGCGGCGTCTCGTCCTCGAGCGGGCAGGTCACGCCGGGTGGCCAGCGGCTGGCGCAGCACGCCGCTGACCCGAGCGTCGCGGCGCTGCTGGAGCAGCCGTGGGACGTCGCGGTCCTGCAGGACAACTCCGCCGTCCCGGGCGGCGCCGACTCAGGCGACCGCGCCGCGTCCGAGTCGGCGCTGCGTGACTTCTTCGCGCCTCGCCTCGCCGGCCGTCGCGTGCTGCTCTACGGGACATGGGGCCACGCGGCGGGCTGCGCCTACGCCCGGCTGCGCGCCCGCTACCCTGACTACGCCACGATGCAGCGGCTGACGACCGCGGGCTGCGAGGGCTACACGCAGCTGCTGCGGGCCGCCGGGGCGGAGGCGGAGCTGGCTCCCGTCGGCGACGCGTTCGAGCTCGTCCACCGAGAGGAGGTGGAGGCGGGCCGCGACCCGCTGTCGCCCGCCTCCCTCTTCCGCCGTCTCTACGCGCCGGACGACCTCCACCCTTCCCGCCTGGGCTCGTACCTTGCCGCCTGCGTCTTCTTTGCGGCGCTCACTGGCGCGCATGTGGAGGACAGCGCTGCCGCCTCCCGCTTCCGCCCGTCCGAGGCGGAGCACGACCGCAAGATGCGCGAAAAGCACGGGTGGGAGCCGGGCGAGCTCGACGACGCCGCGGCGGCGCGGCTGCAGTCGGCGGCGAAGGCTGCGGTGGAGGCGCGGGCGGCACGAGCGGGTGCTGCTGGCGAGGCGCCGCCCAGCACCAGTGAGGGCAGCGCCTTGAGAACTGAGTTGTGATCGACACTGCTCGGTGTGTGAGGTGACTCCGCAAAAGTAACGCGATCGCTGACAGGCTGTGTTCGCTCCCCGCGACCCGTTAGTCTGTCGGTGGGGTGTCGTACGCACCTGGCTCCCCGGCGCGGCCGCACCGCGCTTTTTTAATGCATACCTCCTATCCCAAAAGTTATTTAGTACCACCCCGGTTTCGGACATCGGCGAACGATCGGAAGGTGCCGCCTGCACACAAATGGAGTCCAGCGATGTGGGACCTCAGTCCCAGAAGCATGGAGCTTCAGGCCGCGACCACGTGGCTAGGTGGACACTAAAGTGCCATTTTGGCGCCAAATCTTGGCGGGAAATGACACGTGGCTTGGCGGGAGTGTGGTGTGGCTGCGCCGCTCGCCAGCGCTGCTGTTGAGCGCCAGCTGCTGCTCCCTTCAGCCAGACGGCCGGGCCTGCGCAGCACGACCGCTGGCCTTCCTCCTGCACCACAGGAGCGCGCCAAGGCGCGCGTCTGGGCAAGCAGTGCGTCTCATCGCGATGCGAGAGTCGACGCTGTGACGCCGCCGCTCGCCGGCTAGAATGACAGTGGCAGCATTCGAGTACGCGTCGAGCTGTGCGTACCAGCACTTGTATGCGAGCTCATTGTGTCCCTGAGCTGCTGTGGGGTGCGTGGGCTCAGCTGCGGAGCACGTACTGGGCGGCGGTAGGGGGGTGGTACTAAATAACTTTTGGGATAGGAGGTAATGGGGTTTTTTTGGACCACTTTGTCGTTTGTGCTTTGTGTCTCACTGTGAGCTGTGTGGTGTGTGTACACAGCATGCAGTCAGGACACTCGAAATCACCACGCGGTTTTGGCAAAAGTAAGGCTTTGGGCGAAAACGTCACCATGAACGTAACCGAGATGCAACAGAGTATTTAAGCCGCGTCCATGACGATGTGAGATGTGTCGACCGGACCCGGCGCCGGCTCGCCTGCGCGCTGCGGCTACTCTGATGGCCCCCACAGGCCGAGAGAGAGAATGGTCTCGGCCCACGCCTCGACGCCGGGCGAGTCGGGCGCGATCACCTGCGTCGGGCGCAGGTCGCTCACCGCCTCGGGCCCCTCTCTCCCTCCCCTCTCTCCCCTCCCTCCCTGCCCTCCCGCACACGCGCCTGGCTGAAGCCGAGCTCGCGCGCCTGCGCCGCAGACGTCTCGCCGATGCAGGCGGCGACGGCGCCGGAGCCGACCTGCAGCGGCGGCGAGTGGTTGGGTGGCGGCGCTGCCACGCGCGCGCGCGGGAGGCGGGCCTCTCTCTCCACCAAGGGCACACCCGCTCGTGCCAGACGCGCACTGCGGACGGCGAGCCGAACGAGACGACCGACGCGGCGCGAGCGGCCTCCTCCTCGGACGGCCCCCACTCAGCCGCCACCGTCGTGTACGTGTCGATGCGGCGCACGCCGAACCCGCGCCGCTCCAGGCCGGCGCACACGGTGTCGGCGGCGAGCGCAGAGCAAGGGTAGAGCACCGCCGGCGGCGCGCCGTCGCCGCCTCCGCTGTCGCCGTGGTCGAGCGGCAGCTCCTCTGCCAGTGCCCTCCCCGTCGCCTTGGTCGGCGTGAAGGCGGAGCGCAGCCCGAGCGATTGGAGCGCCTTGGCCGTCGCCCCGCCGACCGACGCTAGCCGGAGGTGAGGCCGGCCGGCGCGCTCCCAGCCCTCAGCGAGCACGCCGGCGGCCTCGGGCGACGTGACGACGACCCAGGCCGGCGTCTCCTCCGCGAGGGCCGGCGGCAGCTCCGCCTGCCCGGCGGGCAGCTGCTGAAACGCGATGCACGGCAGCTCCGCAGTCGGCACGCCGCGCTCGCGCAGCAGCGCGTCGAGCTTGCCGTTCTTGCCGCGCTCGCGCGTGAGGATGACCGCGGGCGGCGCGGCGGACAGGCGGGGCGGGCTGCAGCGCGGGGGGAGGGCGGAGAGAAGGCAGAGAGGGAGGCCGGGGCAGAGGCAAAGTGCCGCCATCCAAAAAGAGAATGCGCCGCGCGAATCGAGGTCGCACACACACACGGAGTCAGAAATGTGGTCCTTGCGCGAGGGGAGCTTGATAGACTCGAGGGGCCAGGATACGCCGCGAGGAGGACGGAGTTGCGCAAGGCGAAAGAAGCCGCGAGAACAAGGGACCGGCAGGCGGCGGCGTCGCAGGACGAGGCAGAAGAGAACGACGCGACAGAGGAGGAAGTGACAAGGGAGAGACCGACGAGAGTGGGACGGCCGCGAGGTGGCATGAAGGTTGCAGCGAGAAGCGGCGAGAGACTGCGAAAAGAGATACGAAGAGGCAGACTCCCCAGGGTGGGCGACGGCTAGCGTAACACAAACACACCACACTCCTCTCCTTAAAATCCCTGTGTGGTGGCGGCGTGCCGTCCTCCCATCCCTCCCTTGGGTTGTGTGTTTTCTTTCTTTCTTTCTTACACACACGCACACGCACACGCACACGCACACGCACACGCACACGCACACGCACACGCACACGCACACGCACACGCACACGCACACGAAATCACGCACACGCACACGCACACGCACACGCACACGCACACGCACACGCACACGCACACGCACACGCACACGCACACGCACACGCACACACACACACACACAGAGAGAGAGAGAGAGAGACAGAGAAAACGACACAAAAGAAACCCAAGGAAGAAATGTGTCACGCCTCCTTTGCTCGGTCGCCCCGGGATTGCACCGCGCACATTCGCTCGCATGGCGGACGAGGAGGAGGCCCTCTTGCTCCTCGTCAACGCGCAGAACCACTCGGAGGACCTCTCGACCTTCACCTTCCAGCAAATCGTAGAGCTCGCGAAGCTGGTCTCTCCCGTCGCCCGCTTTGAAGCGGGCGTCGAGGTGCTGACGAGGGGGCAGCCGGCAACGACGATGCTGATCGTGCTGCAGGGATCCGTGGCCGAGGTTCTACCGTCCGGCGCCGCGGGCGCGCCGCTCGGCGTCGGCACATTCATTGGCTCGGACGCGCTCTTTGCGAGGAGTGTCCGCAGCTGCGCATTTGTCTCGGCCGAGGCCGGCGCTCTCGCCACGCTTCCGTTTGCACGGCTCGACGCGCTCATCGGCCGCGAAAATCCACCGCTCGGCCTCAAGCTCTCGAGTTGTTGCGCGCGCGCGGCGATGGACAAGCGTGGTGCCCACGTCTCGGAGGCAGAGGTGAGTGCTCCCTTTTGCTGCCCGCTAGGAGTGCTACGCCCGCGCCGACCAGCACGTGCTGCCCCCGCGCAGGTGGACGCTCGCGTGTGCCAGCTCCTGGAGCAGCAGGCGGCGCAGGGATGGGGTTGCTCCCAGGAGGCGGAGGAGACGATTGCCTGCGCTCTCCCTCCTGCCAACAGCGCCAAGGGGACCTGGAGCGTGTTGCGGACCCCGAGCAAGCTGCGGCTGCCGGTGGCGTCTCGGCCGGCGGTGTCGCGGAGCGGGTCACGGGTCTCGGCCAGCGGCAGCCGGCGATCCCTCCGACTCCAGGATTCGGTCGACCTGGACCGCAAGGTGTCGCTCGGCTCGAGGGCAGACAGCTCACTCTCTTCCGGCTCCAGTAATTCAAACGAGCAGGCGGATCTCCCCTACACGTCTCTGCCGGGCGAGCTTGCGGCCGCCGACGCCTTCGGCCTGCTCAAGGGGCTGCAGCGGCGCGTCGCGCATCTTCCCGGCGGCGAGGGCCGCTGGCTGCTCGCCCTGTCGGACGAGCTCCTCACAGAGCTCGCGCTCGCGTCTGCGGTGGCGGGCTTCGAGGCGGGGGAGCCGCTCCTCTGCGTGGGCGAGGCGCCCACGTTCATCGGCCTCATCCTGCAGGGCTCCGTCGGCGAGGAGGTCGGCGGCGACGCCTCGCTCGTCCTTCGCTCAGCGGGCGACCTCCTCGGCGCGGAGGGGCTCTTCTCTGCCGAGGCAAGGCCCTCCGACGTGGTGGGCGTGGAGCCAGGGGTGATATGCCTCATCGGCAACGCCGACCTCGACCGAATGAGCGGCACCTTTGCCGGGTGCAACGCGACAAGGTCGGCGCTCGCCTCTGCAATCACCGCCGCCGCGGTCGACTCGGCCGCGCGCGGCTCGGTCTCCTCCTCCAAGGCCGGCTGCGAGGAAGAGGAGGACGGTTTGCTCGCGCGCTTCCGGGCGCTCAGCTGGGAGATGCGCGGCCGCTCGCTGCCGCTCGAGGCCTTCTGCTGCGGCGTCCTCCAGAGGCCGCTCAGCAGCACCTTTGACAGCACATGGGACGACGGTCGGTCGCGCGGCGGGGGAAGCAGCCCTCGAGGCACCGCCGGCGCCGTTCCCTCTCAAGTGCCGCCCGCGACCGCGGTCCAGCTGCTACATCGCCTCCGCGACTCGCCCTGGGCGCATGGCGCCCTCTCCCTCGCAAACGTGGCCGCGCTCAGCGACGCGTGCGCCATCGTGCGCTTCACGCCCGGCGACGTCATCCTGAGAGAGGGCCAGCCCGCCTCGTTTGTCTGCCTCGTGCTTGAGGGCCTGCTTGACGTAGGGGAGCCTGGGTCGGCTACCGGTAGGGGAGGGCAGCCTGGGGAGCCTGGATCGCGCCGCGTGGGCGCGGGGGAGGCCATCGGCTTCTCCCAGCTCTTCGCGGGCGGCGCTCGACGCTCGGACGCCACCGGTGCGTCGGTGGGGTACGTTGCCGTCATCTCTTATGCCGCCTTTGGCAAGCGCGGCCCCTCCGAGCCGTCGCCTCCGTCCGATGGCGCCGCGCGGACGTCGACTGCTGCAGCACAGTTGCTCGCGCGGCTAGCGTCGCTCGCGTGCAGCCTCGACCAGTCCCCGGGGAGTCTGCCCGAGGGAGAGCTGTCGAGCGACCTCGTGAAAGGGTGCTTCAACGACGTTCCGCCGGCCGAGGCGGCGGTGGAGGCCATGCTGGACGCGTGCTACAGGCTCGACTGGCCGACGCGAGCAGAGCTGGCTGTGGCTACGGAAGCCCTCTGTGAGCGGGCCCAACAGCACGCCTCACGGAGCTATACCGCGCAGCTGCCGCTTCACTTTGCCGTCCGCGTCGTGCCCTCGCACGGAAGCTCGCTGCTCGTCACGCTGTCGCTCACCCACACCGTCGCCGACGCCATCGTCCTCATGAGGCGCCGCCTGTTGGGGCGCTCCGCAGCGGGTCTCTCGGGAAACTCTAGCGCCGACACGGAGTGGGTCCTCCAAGTGGCGGTCTCGGGAGAAGTCTTGCGCGGCTCCAAGAGCAGCGCCGGTCCCGGGCAGGGCGACGAGTCCGAGCTGCCACTCTCGCAAGTGACGACGGTTCGCGAGCACCTGCAGTACCGGCGGGCGCCCGTGCTGCGGCTCTGCAGACTCTCCGAAGCGACGCTGCCACGCGCCGTCGCCGCAGAGGAGAGCGGCAGCGCTGCTGCAGTGCATGAGCTGCTCGGGCCACCCCTCGCTTGGTCTTCCGAGTCGGCCGAGCCGATCGCCTTCCGCCTTGCGATGCGCGCGCTGAGGCCGACGGAGGCCGCAGCACACTCGGCCGCGGCCGTGTGGCGCCACCTCCCCACCTTCCGCTGCGAGTCTCAGAACGCGTCGTGGCTCCCCGAGCAGTTCACCGCGACGGTCCGCCTCTCGGACGAGATGACCAAGAAGCTGCCCGTGGACGCGGCGACCACGGTGGACGCGCTTCGCGCGAAGGCACTCGCGGCGTACGCCAAGGCGACCCTCGACGACTCGCGCCCGGCCCACCTCATGTGTCTCAAGGTCGTCGGTTGCGACGAGTACCTCGACGGCGGGATCGTGGTGAGCTACGAGTACGTGCGCCGCTGCCTCAGAAAGGGGGCGGAGGTGGCGCTCTCGCTCGTCCCCAACCCGCTCGCCAGCCTGCCGCCCCTCAGCAGTGTGCCGCCGCAGCCGCCGCAGCCAGCGCTTGCGAGCGGGCCGCCGTCCTGCTCTCTCTCTCTCTACGACCTTCCAGACCACCTCAAGCTGCGAGTCGAGATCATCTCTGCAGAACGGCTCCGCTCGGTCCTCGCAGCGGCCTACAGCAGTCCCCGGCGTGGTGGCGCCTGCAGCGGCGTGTGGGCTCTCTCCGTGCGACTCGGTGTCTATCATGGCGGCGTGCCGTTATGCGACCCAGTGGAGACGCCAGCGGCGATCTGCGACGAGGGCAGCAACCCGAGCTGGTCGGCGAGCCTGCAAACGAGCCTGCCGCTGCACCACATTCCTCGCGCCGCCCGCGTCTGCTTCACACTCTGCGCGCGGCCGGCTGGGGGGCGGGCGGCCCGCGACGACGAGGGCGCCGCCACCAGCTGCAGCCTCGGCTGGGTCTCGATGATGCTGGTGGGGCACGACGAGCGCCTTGCGAACGGCACGCACGCTCTGCGGCTCTGGCCAGAGGAGAGCGCAAACCCAATCGGCTGCAATTTGGAGAACGCAACGTTCGACCCGTCCCAGCCAGAGCCGCCCGTCCTCTTCGTTGCGTTCGACCGCTTCGCCGTGCCAGTCGTCATGCCCCCCGACGAAGAGTTCGACAGCGCCTCGGCCCCGGAGCCGCCGCCCCCGATGCCGCCGCGGGCTCGCCGCCCGGGCTCGCTCGCGGCGGGAGCTCTGCCCAGTACGCAGGAGGTGCTGCGGCTGAAGCGCATCATCGAGCAGGACCCTCTCTCGCCCCTCTCCCTCGACGAGAAGGAGCTCGTGTGGAGGCACCGCGAGTTCGTCTCGTCCTCGCCCGAGGCGCTGAGCAAGCTGCTCGAGTCGTGCAAGTGGGACGACCGCACGGCTGTCGCTGAGGCGCACGCACTACTGCGGAAGTGGGCCGTCCCATCGCCGACCCAGGCGCTCAAGCTCCTCGACGCCAAGTTCGCCGACCCGCAAGTGCGCGCATACGCCGTCGAGCGACTCGGGGAGATGAGCGACACGGCCCTCGCCGAGCTGGTGCTGCAGCTCACGCAGGTCCTCAAGTACGAGTCGCGGCACGACTCGGCCCTCGCGCGGCTGCTGCTGCGACGCGCACTGCGCTGTCCACACCAGGTCGGCCACCGGTTCTTCTGGGCGCTCAAGGCCGAGATGCACTTGCCGGAGGTTTCGGAGCGCTTCGGCCTCCTGCTACAAGAGTACCTGCGCTGCTGCGGCCCTCACCGCGAGAAGCTCCTGCTTCAGTCGCGCGTTGAGCAGTCGCTGATTGCAATCGCACGGGCGGTGCAGCGCGAGAAGAAGTCGGAGCGGATTGCGCTTCTGCGGCAGAAGCTCAGCGAGACGGAGCTACCGCCGCGCTTCCAGCTGCCGCTAGACCCCCGCATCGAGTGCACGGGCCTCGTTGTGAGCAAGTGCCGGTGCATGGACTCGAAGAAGGTGCCTCTGTGGCTGGTCTTCTCCAACGCGGACCCGCAGGGCACGGACGTCACCGTCATGTTCAAGTGCGGCGACGACTTGCGGCAGGACGCGCTGACGATGCAGCTCATCCGGAGCATGGAGCGAAAGTGGGAGGCCGAGGACCTCGATCTCCGGCTCTCGCCGTATGGAGTCGTCGCGACTGGCGACGAGGTGGGCTTCATCGAGATCGTGCTCAATTCGAACACGACGGCAAATATCACAAAGGAGTACGGCGGCGGCGCATCCGGCGCGTTTGCAAAGGAGCCGATGGCACACTATTTGCGCGAGCACAACAAGAGCGAGCGCGAGTATGCCGCGGCCGTCGAGACCTTTGCGCACTCGCTCGCGGGCTACTGCGTCGCCACATACGTGCTCGGCATCGGCGACCGGCACAATGACAACGTGATGCTCTCCAAGAATGGCCACCTCTTCCACATCGACTTTGGTGCCACCCCGCACACACTCCCACACGCGTGGTCACATCTCTCCCCTCACGCGCCCCGCTGCTGTCAACTGCTGCTCTTACATCCGGACGCGACGTACTCCTGCGCTTGGACGAGGACGCCCCACAACGCACGCGTCTCTCGCGCCCATGCAGGCCATTTCCTGGGCAACTACAAGTCCAAGTTTGGGATTAAGCGCGAGCGGGCCCCGTTCGTCTTCACCCCAGACTTCGCTCGTGTCCTCGGCGACAAGGGCCACAGCGACTACGAACACTTCGTAGCCCTCTGCTGCCGAGCGTACGGCATTCTACGCGGACACAGCCACGAGTTCATCACGCTCTTCCAGCTGATGCTATCGACGGGCATCCCCGAGCTGCAGCGGGCCGAAGACATCTTCTGGGTGCGCGACTGCCTTCGGCTCGGCAAATCGGAGACTCAGGCGACGGCCCACCCAGTCCCTTCGTCCACAGCTGCAGCGCCGCCCCACGACGCGCTGACCCCCCCACCCCCGACCGCTTCTAGGCGGCGGAACACTTTACGAAGCTGATCTCCGCCGCGCTCAGCTCGCGCACAACGCAGGTGAACAACGCGGTTCACATCATTGCACACTCTTAGAGAGGTGCGCCAGAGAGAACGCGCGCCACGGGGGCGCGACTCGATGGGCGGAGCGCGAGAGGCCGACCCGAGGACGCATATCTTGTGTGCGCGTGGTTAGACACGTTCGTGAACTAGGCGGCTGTGTGTAGCACCTTTTTCCTTTTATTGGCACGAGGAGTACATTACACACCGCTAGCAGCCTCATTACCTGTCACATATTGGTGACACACCTTGTTCTCCGAGCGCTTCCTGAGTTAGTCTCGCCTCCGCCTCGCACGCAGCCTCATTTGCGCTCTCCAGCGCTGCGGAAGCCAGCAATACAGCCTCGCGGAGCGGCTCTACCTCCGCGACCACGCTGCGCACCTCCACTTTGGTGGAGCAATTGGCGCGCTTCATACGATCTCGCGCGCGTGCAGCCGCTTTTTCCGCCATTAGAAGTGAAGCCTCCTTCATGTTGAGCGTCTCGTGCCACATTTTCCGGTCTTTGGCGAGCTTTTCAGCCTCTTCCCGAGCCGAGAGCTCGGCCTGACGGGTACTTTCCTGGCAAGCGGCGAGCCTGTGTAGAGAGGAGCGAAAGGTGACTTGCACAGGCACGCGTCCTCATGGCTGAATTCTTGTGTGCTCAGCAGCAAGAGAGGGATGGCTCAAAGGGGTGGGGTGGGGGGGGGGTGAGCGCACCTAGCCTCGTCCTCCTCCTCTCGTGAGTGAATCTCGCCCCTCAGGCTGTACAGCTGCGCAGCCGCCTCCTCCAACTGAGCCTCAGTCGCCGTGAGCTCGGCCCGCTCCCAGGCTAGTTGCGCTCGCACCCGATTGAGCTCTTCCGATGTCGTCTCGAGCGCACGCCTCCTGCTCTCGCTCCGCTGCGGCCTGCCTTCCTCCCACCGCTTCCGATTGGCTAATACCAGCCGCTCAGCTGCTTCGACGCAGCTGTAGGGCACAGCGCTGTTCTCTAGGCTGAGCGCCAGCACGCTGCTGCCCTCGAGTCCGGCGGCGAGGGCCTCCCCAGCGCCGCCACCGAGCGGGTTGCTCTTTAGTCCCAGCCTTCGAAGGCCCGGCGAGGATGGGAGTGCGCGCCCGAGGGCTGCACCACCCTCGTTGCCGATCCCATTTTCGTTCAGGTTGAGCACCTGTAGACTGGAAGCCTCGGCCGAGAGAGCGTGTGCCAGCTCCACTGCGGCGCGGTCCGCGAGCCGGTTTGCGCTCAGGTCTAGTTTTGTCACGCGCAGCGGAGCCGATGCAGCAGCTCCGCGATAGTGTTCGCCGCTGCACTTCAAGGCAACTGCCAAAGCGCACGCCCCATCATCACCCACGCCATTCGAGGCTAGGCTGAGCTCAGTTAGGACGATGGTGCTAACCGACGCCCTGGCAGCCTTCTCAATCTCAGCGGCGAAGGCCCTCGCTCCTTCATCTCCGAGCTCGTTGCGTGCCAGCCTACCGATCAGCTTGACGAACTGGTCAAGGCGAGGCAGGCGACAGGTACGGTGCCGGGCACGGCGCGTATCGGGGCCTGAGGCAAGTCAGCGTTGGACAGGCGTACAGCGCCTGGGCGAGAGCTCGCGCTCCCACTGGCCCAATACGATTGCTGGCTAGCTGCAGCGAGCGAAGGCGTACGGGCGAGAGTGCGGCAGGTAGCCGGGTGGCAATCGGCTGACGCCGGCCACTGCTGCCTGGCGACGTTGGACGAACCGAAGGGGAAGGCGGCCTGCTTGGCGAAGGCGGACGCAACAAAGGAGACGGAGGCCTGCTCGTGGCTTCTGGCCGCGCAACCCCGCTCGCAGCGAAAAGCTTCTCGCCGATCGCCGCAGCTCCGGCATCTCCAATATCGTTACCCTAGAAACGAACGACTCACGTTCTCAGAAGTGGATCCCTGTTCCTTGAGTGTTGCAGCTTTGAAGTCTTGCATGGCCGCGCCGTTAGATTTAACGTCTCTAAGGATTGCGCGTGCGCCGCGCCCTCAGCGATGGCGGCGGCACCGGCGGGGCCCAAGCCGTTACTGGGCAAGGAAAGCTCCATCAGGGAGGAAGATAGCGGAAGCGCAGCGCTAAGCTCGGCTGCTGCCTCGGGCCCGATCGCGGTCGCTCCCAGCCGAAGGATGCTTAGGGCTGGCGAACGCTGCAGCACTTTAGCGAGGGCTGTGATCGCGGGCCTCTCGTGCCCTCTTGCTATCACATTCCTCTCCGCCGGAGTGCCGCCCGAGGAGAGGTCGAGCGACGTGAGGCTGCAGTCCTGCAAGAGGGCCTCAAAGATCTCGAGGGCCCCACGAGGGCCGATGCAGTTTGAACTTGCGGAAAGCGACTGCGTGGTCGGCGACGCACGCAGCAGCCGGGCCAGCGCGACTGCCCCGGCGTCCCCCAGCATGTTGCGGTCGAGATGCAGTAGCCACGGTCGATGGGACGGCGGCAGGCCCAGCAGCTCCTCAACAAGCACGTCTGCGGCCAGTGGGCCGAGGCCTGCTGCCGTCAAATCAAGAGTTTGTGTTTTCCACGTCGCGGCGATCGTACTGCGGAAGCGCCGAAAGCGCGCGTCGGACTGTGCACCAATGCCAAAATACTGTCGACGAGCAAGGAGTAGTCGCTCGGACAGCCCAGATATGTCCGGCTCGACGGTCATAAGGCCTGTTACATTTTCCGGAACGCCAGAAAAAAGGAACGCCGAGTCATCAATTAGACGCAGGGGCCTGATCCTCGTCGCCTGACGCGCCGCCTGCGAAGCGGGCCTCTTCTGCCGGCTCCTCCGTTTGCGGCTACGACTCCGAGGCGCCGGAGGAGATCCAAAACGAGGCGCTCTACCGGGCCTGCCGCGCGTACGGCTTTTAGGTGAGCAATTCCTCGGACCTCGCTGCGGCGCAGGACGAGGGCACATTCGGCGAGTGGCTCGACGAGCTACCCTTCGAGGTGGCTGCGGCGACCGCCCGGCTGCTCAAGCACCACGCGCGCTCCGGCGCGTGGGTCGAGCTCTCGCCCGGCAACCCTAGCCAGGCCTCACGCGCTGGCCGCGACCGCGACCGCTCGAGCCCGAACTGCCCGTCAGATATGTCGGAATTGTCAGAGAATAGCGACTAGCACACCTCTGAGTCCCAGAAACCCGAGGAGTCACACAGTCCACCTGTGTGATGCACGCCCTGCGAGCGGGGCGGGGTGCGCACTGTCCCTCTGTGTTCGTGTGCGTCGCCCATCTCTCCCTGGAGATGACTGCTCTATTTATTTATTTATTCAGGGGCCTGATCGTCGCAACGTTGGCAAGGTATATGGCACATGCAACAATTATGGTACAAGATGACGGGAGACGCACAGACGTTCTCTACTAGACGCAACGAGGGCAAGGAGCAAAACAACTTGTACGACAATGACGTGACCAGCAGGGGCAGGTGATGTGTGACCAGCAGGGGGGCTTACGAGGCAGTTGCCATACGGAGTCAGCAATGAGCAACCTGCAGCTCGAGGCCCTGGTGGGGCACCTGAAACTGAGAAATGTCCAGCTGCGTGACGCAGTCCGGTGAAGTTGGCTCCCGCGCGTCCCCAGACGCCGGTCGCCCTTTTGGTGCCCCGCTGGCGATTGGCGGTGGTCGCTGCTCAGCCGGCCAATCGTCGTTAATCACGGCGACAGCGGAAGTGGGAGCGCGGGAGCGGAATGCAATCAGTACGGTGCAGATGGGCCAGACGGACGCGCAGCCGAGGACGCCCAGCGGTCCGAGCGACGCGAAGCCAGAGACATCGCTCTCCGCGGTGTCCACCTGCTCGGCGATGCCAAGGCCGAGCGCGAGAATCAAAGGGACGGTGATGCTTCCGGTGGTAGTACCTGCGGCGTCCCAAGCGAGGCCAACGATAAAGTCGTCCTGGCCGCACGTGAGCGCAAGCGCGATGAGGTAGGGCGGGATCAGCATCAGGAGCAGCGGCACGTTCAGCAGCACCTTCAGAATGCCGACCACCGTACCAATGCCGCATCCAACGGACACGGTCGCCACCAGCCTCAGTTTTGACACCCGCCCGAGTGACATCGTCTCCGCCTGCCCCCCTGCAACCAGGGCGCGGTGCACGCTCTGGCGACCTGCTCGAGAGTCTCGCGTGTGGCGAGAAGGCGATGGGAAGGGGGAGGGGTGGGGAGGGCACCGAGCACGAGCAAGTCCGGCTCGATCATCTGACACGCAAAGATGGTGAGGAAACCGAAGAGGAGAATCCCAAGCGCACGTGTCAGGTCCACCGCGCCGTCCTCGCAGAAGACTCCCTCGGTCAGCCGCATTCCCCCGTTGCGCCCCATTGGTAGCACTCCCACCTTGATGCCGACGAAGAAGGCGTAGAGGCCGAGCAGCACATTTCCGAGCCCGCGTGGCACTGGCCGCGTCGTCAGCACCCGCCAGGGTATCTTCAGGTAGAATAGCACGCTAATGAGCCCCAGGCTGAGCGGCAGGAAGCTCCGGGCCGTGAGGATCGCCTCCTCGCGCGCCACCTGCAGAAGGTCATCAACGTGCTCCGCCCTCGCCGGCCGCTCCGCCGAGGTGTCGCGCCCGGTGAGCAGCTTCCAGAGCTGGATCGCGTGGCAGCTGCAGGTGACCGATATGACGGGCATGAGCGAGGCAAAGGTGACGATGCCAAAGGCTGGCCTCCCCTCGCTCGCCAACCCCGCGCCGAGCGCGAGGACAACCGGCACTGTGATTGGACCCGTGGTGACCGCCCCCGCGTCCCAGGCAAGGCCCTGAGCGGCGAGCGGCGTGACCGTAGTCACCGCGAGGCATATCAGCACAACGGGGGTGATCATCTGCGAGAGCGACCAGCCGCCCCCGTGGTCTGCTCTGCTGAGCCGCCAGCACCCAAGCGAGACAGCGAGCCCCACGCTGCTGCCGATACCGCCAACAGTGAGCTCCTGGTACGCGCCGAGCAGACCTTGGATGGTCGGGAACTCCCACGCCACGTAGGCGACCTCAACCAAGGCACCAATCGCGGGCTCGCCGAACGTGAGCAGCAGGCCGAGCGCGAAGCCCACCCCAGGCACCATCTCGCGCTTCTCGTGCATCAGCGTGCGGCCGATCAGGTCCCCGAGCGGCATGAGGCCATCGCGCAAGCCAATCGCGAAGAGCGCGAGGCCCAGCGTTACCATTGGCAAGCCAACACACACGATCTGCAGGCTCACCAGCGGCAGGTCTGGATTGGCCTCCTTGCCATGCGCCATCTCATAGGCACGCACAAAGCTGGGGAGACCAACCGCAAGCCCCACTATAACGCGCAGCGGCTCGACCAGCGCGCGGCGAAAGGAGGGCTCGGGGTACACGTTCAGCACCACGTCCTGTCGCATATACACATTCACGGGCGCCACGGGCGCCTCGATGGCCTCAGAAACTGCGGACGTCGCTCTTTTGGCGATTTCTGCTTAGTTTTACGCGTAAGTAAAAATAAAAAGAATGAGATTAGCTTTCCCTACTTTTCTTCGTTTCACGCCAGAAACTTTCAAGGGCAACGGGCCAGCAAGCTCCCTCGGGAAGGTCGGGATGCGCGACACCGATCGGGCGGGGCGGCCGACTTCACAGCTCACAGTCACCTGCGGATCGAGCGGTACGTCGAGGCTGTGAACGGCCCGCACGCGGCTGCTGGTTGCTGCTCACTCGGCAAACCAGCCTCTGCTTTCCGCCTGCATCGCCTTGAGGTCCTCGAGCAGCTTTGGCCTCGCGTTGAGCTTGAGCGCGTCGTCGAGCGACAGCACCTTTGCGCTCCTCTCGAGCGCGTCGAGCGCGGCGAGCCGCTTTTGCACCGCGCCAATCTCCGAAGCGAACTTAGGCCGGTTGGCGATTGGCTTGAGCGCCGAGACGGCGGCGCGGCGCGCCTCGAGCTTCTCGCGCGCCTCGCGCAGCTTGGCCTCCTTCTTGGACGAGCCGGCGGCGGCGGCCGCCGCCACCTGCGCCTCGACCGCCTCGAGCTTCTGCTGCAGCTGCTCGAGCACAGCGCTCTGCTCCGGCTTGGTGAGCTGGCCGGCGGCGATCATCTCCTCGAGGAGCGCCTGCAGGAAGTCCTGCTTCGCCTGCAGTCCGTCTGCGTCCGAAGAGTCGTAGTAGCTCTGCTCCTCCTCGGAGAGCGGCTGCAGCTCGGCGAGCTGCTTCGCCTCGATGGCGGCGAGCCGCGCCTTGGCCGCCTTGAGGACGTCGAGCGCGCGGCGTCGCTGGCTAAAGGAGGGCGTCTTCTTGGCGACCATCGTTCTGAAGGCCGGCAGGTCGGCGAATATCACCAGGTCGGCGGGCGAGAGCGCCGCGTCGCCCTCGCCGCCCGGCGTGTCCGGCGGCGCGATTCGCGGGAAAACGTGCACAAACTTGAGGTCCTTGTCGGTGTCATGCTGGAACTTGTAGCGCCCCTGGCAGTCGAGGGAGGCCGCCGCGCCGCGGTCCTCTACGAAGCCTGAACTCTTCAGCGCGTCGCCAAAGAGACTCGGGAGGTTGTCAGCGTACTTTTGGCGCACCTTCTTGCCTCCACCGCAGACAAACGTGAGCCGCATCATCTCCGCGCTGCGGATCGGCGTCCCGAGACCCGCCTTGACGAGCTGCGCGAGTCCCTCGGGCCCGTACCCGGCCAAGTCGAAGGTCTCTGAGCTCGAGGAGGCCTGGATCTCCGCGGCAAGCTTCTTCGCCTTGTCCTCCGACATCCTTCACGTCTCTCGCGCCCGCTGCAAAGCCTGTCCGACTCGCTCCAACTGTGAATCTAGGCCCGGGTAGTCTCCCCCCATTCCCAGGGCCTCCAGGGCTCGCACCTCAACCTCTCACAGACCAGCGCACAGCGCCATAGGACGTATTTTCTTCTCAATAACAAGGGTGTGAATTTAGAGTGGTCCACCCATACCGCGTTGGTGTCCAGTCCGAGCCTGGCTGTTCTTCACCTTTCTACCTACCTACCTTAGAGTGCGGTATTTTTTCCCTAACTGGTCTGTAACCCACGGGGGTCGATCTGTGAGATAGCTGATAGGTTGATAAGAAACAAGAACAGACAGTGAGGGTGGGCGTGCACACGACTTGGGGGTCGGAAACTCTTTTAAACAGCGGCCGCGCCAGCTGGCCGTGCTATCAGGAATATGCAGAGTCTCCTACGGGAATGTACGTAAGAGCAACATACACTGAAAATTGCTGACCGGCGCACAGCGGGCAAAGAAAGAAAGAAAGAAAACGGACAACCCAAGGGAGGGATGGGAGGACGGCACGCCGCCACCAGCGGGCAAATCAAGGCGAAAGGTGGAAGCGTATTTTCTGCGGACGGACTCGTACGTTCCACCCGATGCCACGTTGCAGGTTCATATACGACAGAGAGAGAGAATGCTGCGCCAGGCGCAGGCGCTCGCCGTCTGCGCGGCCGTCGCGCTCGCGAGTCTCGTCGGCTGCGCGCAGCGCCACGTCCTTCTGCGCGACGCGTCCAGCTCCTGGAGTGCTGCCGCTGGCGCTGATGTCCGCCGAGCAAAGCTCGACCTGCTCGCGGAGCAGCTGCGTGTCCGCGGGGCACGGAGCGAGCTCCAGGCGACCCTCGCGGCCCGACTCGTGCAGGTACGACGCGCAAGGCTGCGACTGCTGCTCGGCAAGCTCGAAGTGAGCCAGCGACGTGCGCTCGCCAGCCACGCGCCTCCGCGTGATGCGTCTGGCGCGGCGGGTCCGCTCGCAGTGCACTCGAGCTGGCACGCCGTTGCGCCGGACGGCTCGTGCCCCGCGGCAGTGCCGCACTGGGAGTGGCGCGACCTCCTCGCGGCGGCGCTCGCCACGCAGCCGCGCGAGCGAGCAGCGGCGCTCGCGGCGTTGCACGCTAGCTCGCGGCTCCCTCATAGCGAGCTGCAGCAGCTGGCCGGGAGGTACGCCGAGGTGCTCGCCAACCGCGAGTTCGATGGGCTGCTCGACGTGTCACATCCGCCGTGCGGCGGTCGCCGCTTCGCGCGCCTCGAGGGCGACCGCATCCTCTCCCTCGATTGCGCTCCGCACCTGCCGGCGAGGTACGCGCTCGATGGCGAGAGCCAGCTGCGCGAGTACAGCGGCCCGGCGCGCGTCGAGGGCGCCGAGGTGGTGCTCGCATATTGCGGAGAGGAGTTTAACCTGCTCGCCCACCCACGTCTTCGGCCCGAGCTCCTCTCACGCGTCATCAACTTTGGGGCGGGTGGGAGCGGGCCGCCGCCGTCGCCGCCTCCGGCAGCGTGGGATCGGCCGTGGGACAAGTGGCAGGGCCTGCGGGAGGACCGTTGGGGGTGGCGGCGGCTGGAGGAGTCGGGTCCGACGTGGCCGCGGCCCGAGGCCACGACAGCACGCGTGCCCGCCCCCTCGCTGCTCATCTTCATGATTGACGCGACCTCGCGCGCTCACTTTCGCCGCTCGCTCCCAAAGACTCTGGCGGCGCTCGAGCGCCTCACCGCCGCGAACCGCGCACATCCAGGCGGAAGCGGCGGTGACGAGGGCGGCGGTAAGCGTGGCGGCGGTGAGGGCGGCAGCGGCGCCACCACGGGCGGGTGGCACCTCTTCGACTTCGAGCACTACAACATCGTCGGGTACAACTCGGTGCCCAACCAGCTGCCCCTCTACTGCAATGTGCTGCCCGAGCACCTGTCGCAGACCCTGCCCGGCCGGTGCGTGTGGGAGGTGTGGCGCCGCGCCGGTGCCGTCAGCGCCATGGTGGATGAGGTGCACGACAACTGCCAGTCGCCGACGTCGGTGCCGCACGCCTTGCCTCGCACTCCCTCCCCCAACCCTGGTCTCGTTCGGCAACCTCTGCCCCCACCGGCAAGATCCCTCGACACACGCCTGCACCGTTCCCTTTCGGACGGGTCGCAGGTGCTGCACGCGCTCTCACAGTCGGCTGTCATGCTGAGCGAGGCCAACTTGCCCGATCACCAGCTGTGGCGGCTCTTCTGCTCGCCGCTCGTCAAGCCCTGCTGCTGGGCGCAGGACGGCTTCCTCAACCCGGGTCGGCGGCAGTGCGTCGGCGGCGGGAGACAGCTGCACGAGGTACTCATGGGGTACCTCGAGCAATGGCTCGCGCTCTATGCCGCCGCACCTCGCCGCTGGGCCTCGATCAACACGATGGTGGCGCACGAGCACTTCATGCTGCGGCTGCCCGCCCTCGATGACGCGCTCTCCACCTTCCTCGAGCGGCACGCGGCCGGCCTCCTCCGCGACACTGTGGTGATGCTCCTGTCGGACCACGGCACGCACGGCATCTGGTACAACGACTACGAGATCGGCGCCGCCGAGCACAAGCTGCCTGTCCTCTACGTCCTCGCGCCCGACTGGCTGATGCGCGAGCGGCCCGCCTGGCAGGCCGCTCTCCGCGCGAATACGCGGCGAATGGTGACCGTGCGTGAGCTCTACCATGCAATGGTCCAGCTCGCAGCGTATCCGAACACCGCCTCGCTAGAGGCCGGAGCGCTATCCATCCTCGACCCGCTCCCCGAGCACCGCACTTGCGCGGAGGCAGGTGTGCCGGAGGAGTTTTGCGCCTGCCGTCGGGTGGCTGCGCAAGCAATCGCGTAACATGCACATGCACAACAACAACATGTACATGTACATGTGCCGCCACTTTTACATTCATGCACGTAATAAAACGAAAGTTCACACCCTCCCCGTCTCGTCGAAACAGAAGCTAGCGCAGAAGAGAGCAGGGCAGACCCGGGGACTGGGGAGCCGGAGCGGACGGCATCGGCCGCCGAGGGAACGTTGGGAAGAGGCACGAGGAGGGCGGCGACCTCAACCGACTATGGAGGACCCGTCACCAGACGACGCAGAGCAGACGACGGTGAGGCGGAGCAGACGCGCAGGGCGAGACGAGGGAGGGAGCAGGATGTTGCGGAGATCAGCAGGAGGATGTACGACGAGATTAGGAGCAGCAGGGACCCGAGGGACCATGTGGAAGACGGCTAGTGCTAGTCCCCCATCGGGAGGACGACCCCGGCTAGTCGCCGACCACACCCACAAAGAACCCTGCACAAAGACCGCAGGGCGGGGACCTGTTCCTTTTTACCCATCTCCTAGTAGAGGTGTCCGTTTTATTTATTTATTTATGTCTCGTCTAGCCGCAGCCCCAACTCTTGCCGCTCTTTTTTCTGTGTGTGTCGGGAGCGTATCGTGTTGCGGGATCGGGGATGTTCGGCACGTGTTGAGCTGTTGACGAGGTCCGAGCACCGACTGCGACTCCGAGGACGAGGTGGGCGCGCAGCACGAGGCGAGGGGCAGCGTGTGCGTGACGAGGGGTGAGGGGACAGTGAGATTGAAGGTCCCTCGCATCAAGATCGTGCAGGGCGGGGACACCTTCACCTAGGGGGACCATGGCATGTTGCCATGTCACCATGTTGCATGCACATGCATGTGCATGCACATTCTCTCTCGAGATGTAGCCACACGATCCATCTCGTATCTCAGAGTTTGAGTGTTGTGACATGTGTACGTACGTCTCTCTCTCTCTCTCTCATGTGTAAGGTCCGCCCGCAGTTTGAGTGTTGTACTTAAAACTGTCGAATCGAAGAGGTATCTCGGCTTTCGGGTGAAATTCTGAAAAACGTGCAGCACTTCTAGCCGACATCGACAAAAGTCACTCTCTAGCCCCGCGGCGAGCGGCCCCGCCGGAGGCGAAGAAAATTTTGCCATCTAGCGCTCTCTAACACACATTTTTGCACAAATCGACGCCTCCAAACAAGTTCAATAAGACTGGTCTTCACTGCAGCACGCCTCGAGCGAGTAATGCGTCTGTAGGCCAATATAATAGAGCTTCTCGCGCGCGCTCCTCAGCTGGCGGTCCGCAGGGCCGCCCGGGCCGGGCGAGAAGCGCAAGCCCGCCAGCCGCACCATGTGATTCACGATGATGAGCGTCTCGGCCTCGAGCAGCGTGTAGGAGCGAAGCTTGCCCTCGCACTCGCGTTGCTCGAGCCTGAGCCACTGCGCCTTGACCACGAGATAGCCCGTGGGGATGGTGTCGGTGTTGACGACCGTGTCCTCGGCCAGCGTGTACGCCTTCCCCTTGAGCACCGCCAGCCAGTAGAGCCCCTCGAGCGACTGCTCGCGCCGATCTGCGCGGCGACAGCGGCCTGGACAAGTCCGGCCAAGTCGGTTACGGGGAGGGCTACTACGAGGTCTTTGCGCGGGGGTGGTCGGGCGCCAGGCGCCCAGTCGATTGCCGCATAGTTCGTCGTAGTAGCCCTATCATAAACCTCTTATTCACACCTTGCACTTTGAAAAAAGAAATATCCGACCTTTGTCGAAGATCCGGAGGGTTTATCAGAGCATCACCCTTTCGCGCTCATGCTTCGTGTCCCCTGGGTGTCCGACCGAGACGGTTGCGCTCTGCCGCAGCGTCGATAGCTCTCTCCGCCTCCATTTCCTCGGCAGAAAGCAGCCGCTCGCACGCCTCGAGAGGGTGCTGTGCTCGCTCACTCGGCCAGACCATTCGGCTGCAGCAGCGGCGCGAGGGCGGGACGGCGATCGCAGGCTGTCTCTTTGCGCGCAGCGTCGCAGCCACGTACCGCATCGCCGAGACCGTCTTGAGGAAGTGCACTGCGATGGACGCGTTGCTCGGTCGGCGGTAGAGGCCTCGCGAGGAGATGCAGGCCATGTTGTGCGCCTCGGGCTCTCTCATCGACGGCAGCGGCTGCACGGGTGGCATGCCCTTCTCTCGCAGGCACTTGTACAGCCAAAAGCCGTTGAGAGGGTCGTCCTCCTTGCGCAGGAACGGCTCTCGCGTCGCGTGGAGCGCGCGCTCGTGGAACCGGTTGGCGTACGCGCAGTCCGCCAAGAGCAGGGCCATGCGCCGCGGCATCGCGAAGAACCAGCCGAGCGCGAGCTCGTACGGCCCCTCGTACGTCGCGCTCAGGTTGGCCGGCTCGCCGGGCGCGCGTGAGCGCGCGAACTGCGTGCGGCCACACCGCCAGTCCCGCCACGACGACTCCCACTTGAGCCTCTTGTCCGAGTAGCAGCCCCACTTGATGGTTCCGAAGAGCGAGCGCGGCTCAGCGCGATCGACGGGTGGCAGGCGCATCATCAGCCGAGGCACGTTGACGAGCGTGTCGTCGTCGCACTTGCCAACCCACTGCGCATTCGGGAGCCTGTCCCGGACGTGCCGCCACCACGTCAGCGTCTTGAGGCCACTCGTACCGCCCTGGTGGATCTCGGCCGAGCCATCGAGCACGAGCACGTCCCCAAACTGCGCGTGCTCCAGCGCGAGCGCGTGGGCGGCCGGGTTTGGAGAGAGCTCGCCCTTGGGCCCGCCATCCGGCTCGGCCGCTTCCCTCGCGTGCCGCTTGTCCCACGGCGCACGGGGAGTACGCTTGACCAGCTTGCCGACCAGGAAGCACGGTAGGACGGCCGCTATGTGCGACCGACCCCACGTGCTACGCACCGCCACCCGCTGCCGATCGTGCGAAGGCGAGGACATGACGCCGACAGCGAGCCAGATAACACCAGCGGTGCCGTCGCATGGCACGCGGCCTGGCGCTAGCAGAGCCGCCATCGAAGAACTCCCACCGCGACCGCGCCGGAGTGCATGGCACGCGTGACCGGCGGGAGATGGTCTCGAGGTGGGTACCCGGTAGCGCGGGGGTACCAAGGGTCAGGTGCCTATATGGGCTTCCAGTATCGGACCTTCAAGACATGCGCTTTTGGCCGGTGGCCTCTTCGGACACCATGCCACACAGAAAGTCCACTCGCGACGCGCCACCCTCGCGCTGCCTGCATACGGATACGCGCTACTCCCGCCGTGCCTTTGCTACCACATGGATCGCATGTCACTGCAAACGCGCCCGCAGCCGCGCCGTAAAGGTCTGCCGTGCTGGCTGACGATCTCACTCTCCCGCTCCTATTGCATCTGCCTCCCGCCTCCCAGCTCACATTTCACACTGCAGTAGGTGCTCCTGTCGACGCTGCCGCCGCTGCCACCGCTACTGTCACCGCTCGTTTGATAATCGACGCCACGCTTAGCGGCAGCGAGATCCGAGGTTCAGTCAACTTGCCTGGTGCGCTCTTGCGCGTGCCTTCAAGATCCACAAGTCAATTTGTACCAGAAATCCAAAGGTGGTGCAAAATGGATATCTCAAGATTGGCCTTTACTTTGCACACCTGCTCTCCGCCGCCGCCGCTTACCTGCTGGCACGCCACCGCCCCGCGTCGCTAACTCAAGCCTCCCTGCTGCATCTTCGCACCCTGCCACATGACTCGATCGCCGTCGCTGCTACCGCCCTCTCCGCCGCCTTCGAAGGCGCCACCAGCATTACGGCCGCCTTCGACGCGGCCTGGCGCTAGCAGAGCCGCCATCGACGCGGGGTCGCGGTAAACTGACAAAGAAAAAACACATGCCAAACAACTGTACAACACATGGCGAGAAAAAACAACTTGGAACTTCGCGGGGGACCGTTCACCCACTCCCCTGCAAAGGTGGGGACGTGGCAGGTCGCCGCGCAGCCAATGCTGCGCGCCTTGGCGGTGGCCTTGCGGAAAAGCGGTGGGTAATGCGTCCTCGTGCACACTTCGTGCATCGTGGTACCTGGTACGTGGAGCTCGCGATGGCGTTTTTCATACTTACATCGAGATTTACAACGCGCGTCGCACGAGAGATCACACCGATATCACCGTGTGCCTTGTGGCGACGCGCGCGCGCACACACACACACACAACACAAGCAGCCCGGACAGCCTCACGTACACACACACGACCAAAACAGCTCCTCGGCCTTTCTCAATCCGGCGGCGGCGTCCCTGCTGACTCGTCGCCCGACGGCGCCTCGTCGTCGCCAGCCACCGCCGCGTCGTCGAACCCGACGGCGCCCATCGAGAGGGCAATGTGCAGCGCACGCCGCATCGCGCCGCACGACGAGTACTCTGGCAGGTCGAGGGTGCAGATGCACGCGTGGACCCGCGGGAGCGAGTCCTTTGGCTCGTGCGACGCCGCGCAGAGCGTGAACTTGTGCACGCCGCCGTTGAAGCCCTGCAGCTGCGCAAAGCCGCCGACGGGCGGCTGGCGAGAGCCTGTGACGAACTGGAGCAGCTGCTGCCGCTCTTGCTGCGAGTAGGAACGCACCACTCGCCAGAACCAGCGGAAGCGGCGCGAGCGGCGCGAGAGGCCGCCCGCCGTGATGCAGTGGCGCCTCCAGTCGGCCAAGTCGATGTGCGGCTCGCCGGCGAGCATGAGCGCCTGCGGGGCGGGGCGGGAGCGGGGCCGGAGGGTGGGCGAGAGAGGTGCGCAGCCTCGCGCCTCGCCCTCTGGCCGCGCGCCAAGTCGGAAGGCTGCACGAGAGCGGAGAGCTCGCGCAGAATCGGCGCCGGGACTGCGGCGTGCAGCCCTCGCAGCAGCGCCTCGACAGGGGCGCCGACCGCGCCAAACAGCCTCCAGCGGCAGACGAGGTCGACGTACTCGGCCTTGTTCTCCTCGGTGACCGGCAGCGCGCCGCCGCCCGGCTTGAGCTCGACGACCTGCCTGGCCGCGCCACGCAGCGGCGCGCCCGCGGCCTCGTCGTGCAGCGCGTCGGTGAAGTCGAGCCCGAGAGGCTCGACCTCGTTGTCGAGCAGGTAGCGCACCTTGTGCCGCAGCAGCAGCGGGTCGAGCCGCTCGACGTCGGCGAGGGTGTACTCCCACGGCTTGCCCGCCGAGAGGAGGAGGCGGCACACCGACTCGTGCAGCCGCACACCGACCGTCACCTGCTCGAGCAGCGCCAAGCCGAGGAAGCGGCCGAGCATCACGTAGTCGTCGAGCACGGCGGCGCGGCTCCGCGCCTCGCCCTCTTCCGCGCCCTCGCCACCCGCCGCCTCGTCGCCCTCCGAGGATGGCCCAGCCTCTGCCGCAGCTGCCTCCGCCTCCACCGTCTCCGCCTCGGCCACATTCGCCTCCTCCGCCTCGGCCACATTCGCCTCCTCCGCCTCCGCCCCCTCGGCCGCCTCCGCCCCCTCGGCCGCCTCCGCCTCAGCCGGCCCCACCGGAGCCATGGCTGCCGGCCGGAGGTTCTGGTCGGGCGTCGCGACCAAGAGCCCCTCGGCCTGCACGAACGCGTCCGAGACGAGGGAGAACCACTCCCGCCGCACCGCCGAGCCGGCCGAGTTCTCGCCCTTGAAGTGCACCTCGAGCGTGCCCTGCCCGAGGTCGTCCGACCCGAGGCCGACGCCGCGCGCGCACTGGTCTCGCAGCTCGCGCAGCACGGCGCCGTCCTCGAGCAGGCGCGTGCACTCGACGAAGAGGATCGGCTCCTCGTCGGCCATCCGGTGCCCGTGGTGCTCGCGGTACAGCCTCCGCGCGAGCCAGACCCGCTTGTGCGCGAGCGACATCTGCTCGAGGAGCGCCTCCTCTTGCCGTGGCGCGAAGCCGGCGATCTCGAGCAGCACCCACGCCCGCACCACGTCCCGAGACAAGGCCGCGTTCGGCCACGCGACGACCGCGCTCGCGCCAGCCTCCTGCGCCTCGTCTTCCCGCTCCCTCTCGGGGCCCTCGTCGGCGATGGGCTCGGCACGCGGCGACGTGGGCGGTGAGGCTGGCGCGGCGGATGCGGCCGGCGGCGCAACCATGTCGTCCAGCGCCACGAGGCCCTCCCACAAGCCCGTCTCCGCGAGGCCCGCCAGACGCGCCGCGGTCGGCGTGGTGTGAAGCTCGGCGCAAAACTCGTCCCACCGCTCGACAGAGCCTGCCGAGCCGTTGTCCGGCTCCGGCAGGCCGACGCCTCCCCAAGCCTCCGCCCCACTCTCCGCCGCTACGCCCTCCTCCTCCTCCTCCCACTCGCTGCCGCTGCTTTCGCTCTCGGCGAGGTCGTAGCAGCCGCTCGCACTAGCCTGACTCTCCGACGGCCCCTGACTGCCGTCCCTTCCCTCGCCCTCTCCCACCAAGCGACCGCCCTCGCGAGCCACGGCGTCGCCACCCGCCGCCGCCTCGAGCGCTGACGCGCCGCGCAAAGAGCTGCCTCTCGCTAGAAACGGCACCATGCCGCGCAAGAGCCTCCCGGCCGCCTGAGCGCTCCAGCGGGTGGCGGGCGGCATAGGAGCCTCGGACCGGCCTGCTGCCGACGCGATTCCTGCCGAGCCCCGCCCGCTGGTCCCGCCACGGCCGCTCCCGTCGCCGCTCCCGCCCGCCGCGCCCCCGCTTGGGCTAATGGTGGCGCTGGCACTGCTAGTCGCGATGGAGGAGGAGGCGGCGGCGGAGGAGGAGGCGGCGGAGGAGGAGGAGGCGGCAGAGGAGGAGGAGGAGGCGGCGGCGGCGGTGGGGGAGGCGGCGGCGGCGGCGGAGGAGGAGGCGGCGGAGGAGGAGGAGGCGGCGGCGGTGGAGGCGGCGGCGGTGGAGGCGGCGGCGGTGGAGGCGGCGGCGGCGGAGGAGGAGGAGGCGGCGGCGGCGGAGGAGGCGGCGGCGGCGGGAGGGGGGGAGGAAGCGGTAGGGGAAGCGGCGGCGGTAGAGGAGGAGGCGGCAGCAGGGAAGGCGGCGGGGGTGGCGGGGGTGGCGGGCGGGCCGCTGTCTCGGCTGGTCGAGGGCGCTACGCGCAGCGGCAACGGCGACGCGCGTTTGGCGCCTGTGACTGCGGTCGCGTTCGATGCGTCGCTTCCCGCCGCCAGCTTCGCGCCGAGCGACTGCAGGCAAGTGCGACCCGCGGCCGACTGTGCTATCCGCTCGAGCGCGGTCGCGGCGGAAGGGAGGAAGCATGCGGCGGCGGCGAGGTCCTCGAGGAGGTGGAGGGAGGCTGGGTGCTCGAGGAGGGCCTGCAGGCCGCCACGGTGCTTGAGGAGGGCGAGGAGCGCCTGCACGCCGTCCTGTGGAGACGCACTGGACGGGTCAGCGGGCTGAGTCGTGCGGATGGGCAGGCGGTGCCGCGCGCCTCCACAAAGGACTGGTTGTCGAACTGGCGCAGCCCGAAGGCGAGGTAGCTCCACGCCTCGCGGCCGAGCGAGCTCGCGTGCGGTGGCTGGAGCAGCAGCGGCAGGAAAGCGCCGAGGCCCAGCAAGCGGGAGAGCGCGAACGGGTTCCCGTCCCGCCGCGACACGACGCGCAGCAGGTCGGCGCTGATCGAGAAGAGGGCGGGGTGCTCGCACACGCGCCGCTCCAGCCGCGCGTCGGGCCTGCTCAGTAGCCGCTCGACCCAGCAGGTGGCGCTCAGCGCGGCGCAGCCGCAGTTGCAGCCGCACACCTCGTCGAGCTCCTCCGGCTCGCCTACCGGACACGTCATGGACACGCCGTCGGGACACGCGCTCGACGCGACGCCCCGCCGAGCTGCTCGCGGCTAACTAGCTAGACTAGTAGCTCGCCCTCCGACTGGAGCCACTGCGCGAGGCCTTAATAATAATAATTAAAATAATTAATTAGACTAGTAGCTCGCCCTCCGACTGGAGCCACTGCGCGAGGCCGTTGAGGAGCTCGGTGGTGGCCAGGTCGCGCACCTCGCCCACCGCCTCCTCGCAGAGGCACAGGATGGTGAGCGAGTTCGCGGCGAACTTTGCAACCCCGTGGTGGACGTGCCACCCCTTGGAGAGGGCGCACCTGCGCGCGGGGCGGGGCGGTGGAGCGCGGCGCGGGGCGGTGGGGCCGCGCTGCGGCGGAACGAGAGAGACCCCGGTCGGCGCGTGCGCGCGTGCGACACGCACGAGCCTCCTCTCCTCTCCTCTCCTCTCCTCTCGGAAAGGCGCGGCACGCACGATAGGCCGCTGACGACCGTCTTTGCGATTGGCAGCTCGGACATGATTTTGGGCTCGTGGGAGACTAGCTGGCCGAGGCAAAAGGTGGCTGTGTCGAAGCTCTCCGCGACCTCCGAGAGACGAAGCAGCGATATATCGACGTGCAGTGTGCCCACCAACAAGTGGGCCGTCTTGTGCAGGTCGCCGTCGGGCTGCGCGTGGCGGTCTAGGTAGGCGCGGAGGTCCTCGGGCGTTGTGAGCGCCTGGAAGAGCGTGTCCCACTGCGACAACGAGGAGACATTCCCCATGGCACGGATCTGCCAGACTCAGCGCGGCGGCACGCTGCACGTGTGCAAGCACGTCGGGTGACGCCCTACCACGTTGCATGGCGAAGGGGACACTCCCCGCCGACGAGCCCCAGGGTGTGCCGTGCCCGTGGTAGGCTGCCCGCATGGGTCACCGAGCCGCAGCCGGAGGGGGCCTTGATGCGCGCGAAACGACGCTCCTAATAAGTTTGGATTCGGATTTCTAGCTTTTGAGTTCGCACCTGTGTCGAGCCTGTGTGCAGTGAGAGAGAGTTGTCTTGTTTAAATTCTAGCTTTTGAAAATCAGGAATGCCAGTTGTAGTTGTGCCAGTCATGCCAGCCTGCCGTAAAAGAAAGAAACCCCGCGTAGTTGTCTTTTGTCGGTACCCCCAGCCAGAGAAGAATATAGGGTGGATAAAGCGCCTGTTCACGGCATGGAGGGTGAGCCACACCGAACGTACCGAGCGAAGAGCCGAGCGGAAGGAGGACGGGGAAGATGACTCGGAGGAGGACGAACCAGTGAAAATCCAGTTGTCAGATGTCACGATGCACCCGAAGGGGACCCCAGCGCCGGCATCATCCGTAGAGGCACGAGTGTTCGAAGAGAGAGTGGACCTGAGCAACAACATGACGTGTAGGCAAATGATCGGAGTGGGAGTCAGAAATGTGGTCCTTGCGCGAGGGGAGCTCGATAGACTCGAGGGGCCAGGATACGCCGCGAGGAGGACGGAGTTGCGCCGAAAGGCGAAAGAAACCGCGAGAACAAGGGACCGGCAGGCGGCGGCGTCACAGGACGAGGCAGAAGAGAACGACGCGACAGAGGAGGAAATGACAAGGGAGAGAACGACGAGAGTGGGACGACCGCGAGGTGGCATGAAGGTTGCAGCGAGAAGCGGCGAGAGACTGCGAAGAGAGATAGGAAGAGGCAGACTCCCTAGGGTGGGCGACGGCTAGCGCACCACACACCTCTCCTTAAAATCCCTGTGTGGTGGCGGCGTGCCGTCCTCCCATCCCTCCCTTGGGTTGTCTGTTTTCTTCCTTCTTTTCTTTACCCCCAGCCACACCTCAGTGGCAACTCCCCTCGGCTGACAAGGCAGGCACCATGGCAGTCCTTTGCACCACGGTCTGTGTCCCCAAGCTCGAGTGCCCGCGTGACGGTCGAGCGGCACTGCGAGAGGTGAAGGCCGTTTCGGCGTTGAAGCTCGCTGATTAATATGTCGTCTGGAATGCATGTGTGGCATTGCTGCCGTCAAGTTTTGTGTCGAGCCACCGCCCCGCGAAAGGCTGCGAAGTTGAGACGTAGCGGATGGATGGACTCGCGTAGACGTATTTTGGTGTCGCCGGGCTGCCAGTTGGCTGCCGTGTAGTCGTCGAGGGCGCGCCACTCCTTCTGCAGATCGAACCAGTTCCAGATAGTCTCGATGGCAGCAAGCGCCCGCGCGTGCGGGCTTCCTGATTTGCAAGTGCCATCGATGACTGATTCCGGTGTTGGAAGGGACTCAGAAGTGGGGAGGCTAACGCCCTTGGGGCCCAGGGAGATGATGGAGAGAGGGGGGACGACACTGCTCGATCTACCCCCTGGGGTCCCTCAGCAGCGTGCACCTCGATCCGGTACCGTGTTTGTTATGAACCCCCCCCCGATGAACACACCAGTGAGGGAGGGCGAGACGATCGAGGGGTCCCGTACCATGCGGAATCGACCCTATCAAAGTGCTCAAGTGCTCAAGGTGTAGTAGATGTTGTCCTTAGGGGACCCCTAGGCTTAAAAGGGTGGGCCCTGGGGCGCCTGCGGCTTAAACGGCTTAAAACTTGCCTAGGCAAGTTTTAAGAGCTGCTGGGCCGCCGATTCCTTAAACGGTCTTAAACGCTTAAACGGTGCGGGAGAGCTCCCGAGGTCGATGGTCCGGGAGCGGAGGCTCCCGGTAGACAATGCCGGAGGCCGGGAAGCCGGCTACAGTCAGCTAGCACGCGTCCCCTATGCGAGTATGGCTCCTGCCAGTGCACCAGACTTACAGATGTGTCTTCAGAGGCGGGTTTGTGCCTAACAACGGCAGCATTGGAGAAAACGGCGCGGAACCCAGCGACGCGTGCCGGCGAGGCCGATTTTCTTAAACGGTCTTAAAAGAGGGACCCCCCGTGCCTGCAATCTCTTACATGGCAAGTTAAGCCCCCAAACCTCCTCGTTTCTTAAAAGGTCTTAAAAAATCCGGCCCTCAGAACCCTAGGGGTCCCCTAAGATGTTGTCGTCGCGCGCAGCTCGGATGGAGGCCGCCTCGTCTCGCCTCGAGAGCGCGGCTCTGTAAGCGCTGAAGGCGGCGTCTCGAGTCGTGCACCGTACCCGCCGGAGCGCTCGGCTTCGGCGAGGTCCGGGCTGCATGCAGGCCACAAGCTTTGACTTGAGCACTTGAGCACTTGATAGGGTCGATTCCGCATGGTACGGGACCCCTCGATCGTCTCGCCCTCCCTCACTGGTGTGTTCATTGGGGGGGGGGTCCTAACAAACACGGTACAGGATCGAGGTGCACGCTGCAGAAGCAGTGTCGTCCCCCCTCTCCCCGACGGCGATGGCGGTGTGACCGATCGAGCTACAAGAGGAACTTGTTCAGCAGGATCCGGGGTAGTCAGGCGCACTACCTCACTGGGCCCGAGATCACCACCCGACGCCTCCCATCACCGTCTCGGGTTTGTGTGGAGTCGAACCACTCCGGGATGGGCAGCTGTGACCAGCATTTGAGGAGGGAGGTGTGGTAGGTTTCGGCGGGGCCGCGCACGCCCGTGCGGCCCTCCCCCGTCGTTGGGCACGCCGACTGAGGTGACGCCCGTGTCGACGCCGGAGCCTCCGGTGATGGTAGGGGCATCGCCTGCCTCCATCCAGCCAGCCCAGGCAGGTCTTTGTGTTTGGCAGGAGTATCCTCTGCCTCCGTGAGTAGTTCCCACGATTTGCGAATCCGGTTGCTCCATCGATGGCCGGGCCCTCGCTGATCTCTGGTGGCGTGACGGATCTCTCTCTTCCTTGTACCCGGGTAACGTGTGAGTGAGTACCCGGGTAACACACACACACACACACACACACACACACACACACACACACACACACACACACACACACACACACACACACACACACACACACACGGGTAATTCAAAAGGGGGGGTTCTTGGAAGCGTGGTTGTCAAAACGCCACCGACGTCCGGTCATTTCGACAGGCGAGGGCGGCGCAGCCGCTGAAGGCCCTGCTGCCGATACAGCGTACCGCAACCACACGACATGCTCTTCCTCCTAGTCCTGCCACTCAGTGGCACACGTCCGCGCGTGTCCGCTACCCTTGCGCTATCCTGCGAGACGCAGCGTGTCGCGGATGCTCTGCGTGCTCAGACGGACCGGCCAGAGCCGCTCCGCCTCGCCCGCGCCCTCGACCACGCCTCGCTCGACGCACTCCTCTCCAGCAGCGCAGAGGATGCGAGCGGACGCTGCACGGCTGCACTTCTCGCCGTGGCGAGTGGCGCGGAGACCGCGGAGCCGGCGCGAACCGCCGCTCTGTGGGCTCTCGTGCGCCTGCTGCGCGCCGCTGGCAGTCGCTGCACGCCAGACACCCTCTCCAGAGTGGCGGCCGTGGCACGCCACTGGCTGCTGCACCCACTGGGACGAGTGCCGGGCGCCGACGGCTCTCTCTCCAGCAGCCACGCTGCGGCGGTGGCGCTGCTGCGCGAGTGTGCCGCCGCCGCGCTCGAGCTCCTCGGCGAGGGCGAGGGCGGTGCGGAAGAGGCGGATCGAGAGGCGGCGGCCGCCGTCGCGAGCACTGTGTTTCGCTCGTGCTCCCACGGCGTGCTCAGCGGCCGTCTGCCGCCCGTCCACGCGGTCGAGCTGGCGTCGCTCGTCGCGGTGCGCGCCCTGGAGCTGCGGGAGGCGGAGGGAGCAGGTGGAGCAGAGGCGTCGACGGCGAGCAAGCTGTGGCTGTGGGTGGTGAGGGAGCTCGAGGAGTGGCTGGCCGGCGACCCCGGGGCCGCCACCGCGTCCGAGAGCCGGTGCGCCCTCGGCCTCGGTGTGCTCTCGGCCTTGCTTTGCTCCGAGGCTGCCTCCCCACCGGAACCGGAACCGGAGCCGCCGGGGCGGCGGTCCGAGGATCTCGGGCGATCTCGGGCGATTTCGGGCGATCTCGGGCGGCGGTGCGAGCCGCTGGGCGAAGCACTGGGCGAGCGCCTCTTGTGGGGTGTGCTGCGGGCGGGGCGACGGGGCCCGGCCTGCTCGACGCTTGCCTTGCGGCTCCTTCCTCTCCTCCACACACTGCCATGCGCCAGCTCGCTGCGGAGCGAGATCGGAGAGGGCCTGCGCCAGCTGCCCCTCGCGCTGCTCACGAGCCCGACGACGAGCCAGTCGTCTTTGGGCCGGCGCGTGGACGCTCTGCGCTGCCTGGAGGCGCTGCTGACGCAGCCCGGGGCCGCTCGCTCCCTCGTCTCACACGGCGACCTCCTTCCGCACAAGCCTGGCTGGTGGGAGGAGGTGTGCGACGCGCTGCGGCCGCCTCGCCCTGGCGATCGCCCTGGCGATCCGCGCCGCGAGACCGTCGAGGAGAGCGGGCTGCGGCTGCGAGTGTGCGCCTCGGTCCTCTCCCAGTGCCTCGAGGCGCGGACTTCGGAGGCGCCGCCCGCGCACACACCGCTCGACGAGGCGCGCGAGGCGCCGGGCCGGCTGCACGAGGCGGATCAATGCATGAATGAGCCTTCAATCAATGAATAGGCGCCGAGCCGGCTGCAGCAGGCGGCCGAGCGCCGTGCAGTCACTCGGAGAGTCGCCGAGGCGATGGGCGCGGGGCGCGGCAAGGAGGCTGTTCGCATGCTGGAGGAGGCGGGGCTCGTGGGTGGCGGTGGGCCCGGGGAGAGCGACGAGGCGGTGGGGGAGCAGCTCGGCGCGCTGCTCTTTGAGCAGGAGGGCTCGCCTCCCCTCCACCCTCACCGCAGTGGCGCCGCCGTGCAAGCCCCGCACCGCTCTCCCGGCCTCCCTCGCCGCCCGCTCGCCTCCCGCACCCCCCCCCTGGCCCGCCGAGCAGGAGGGCCTGCCTGCTCGCGAGCTGGGCGAGCTCCTCACGCGAGCCGAGCCGAGGTACGCCGCAGCCCTCGCCGCCTTCCTCGCGCGGTTCGACTTTGGCGCGCTGAGCCTGCCCGACGCACTGCGCCTCCTCTTCGCCGCCCTGCGCTGCCCCGGCGAGGCGCAAAAGATAGACCGGCTGATGCAAGCCTTCGCCCGCTCCTACTTCGGGGACGGGCACGCCCCCTTCCGCGACGCCGACGAGGTGTACGCCGTCGCCTTCTCGGTGATGATGCTCAACGTCGACCAGCACAACCCGTCGGTGCGTAGCAAGATGAGCAAGCTCCAGTTCGTCACAAACACGCGCCGCGCGGCCAGCCACGTCCCCGCCGACTACCTGGGGTCCCTCTACGACGCCGTCGCGGCGGAGGAGCTCAAGGCGCACGACGAGCCGCCGGGACGGCCGCCGCCAGGGCAGCCGCAGCCATGGCAGCCGCCAGAGGCAGCCTCGCCGCCCGCCGTCTCCGTGTGGCGGTGGCGCTACTTGCGCCAGCGGTGGAGGAGTGCGCCTTCGCCACGGCGCCTCGCGAGCGCGCGCAACGGGACGACGTCCCGGGAGTTGGACGAGGCTGTCGCCGCGCCGCTTCTTCCGGTCGCCCTCGACGCCGCGGCACGCCACCTCTGGCTCTGCTCTGCGGACGAAGGCCTTCGACCCGCGCCGCTGGTCGACGAGGAGCCAGACTGGCAGAGCGCCGTCCGCTTGCTGATGCTGTGCTTGCGGGCGAGCACCCCCCCTTCCCCAGGGCGACCCTTCGGTGTCGCTGGCGGCGCTGGCGATGCGGTCGACGCCGTCGTGCGTGCCCTCTGCGCCGGCTCGCGCGTCGCCGCCCCTCTGCTCCACGAGTCGCAAGGCGCCTCCGATCCCTACTCCGACGGCCCCATCCGCCTCGTCCTCGCCGCCTTTGCCGTGGCGCGAGCGCTGCCCGAGGAGCTCGGCCCCGCCGGCTGGCACTCGCTCGTGCTCACGCTCCTCTCGCTGCAGCAGCTAGGGCTCTGCCCGGCACCCCTCGCGCCCACTCAGCCCGTCATGGGCGCCGCGGACGCCTCCCGCCCCGACCCCGACTCCGTGCGACGCGCCGGCGCGATCGACGCCGCCGTGCGGCTCGTCGAGGAGTCGCTGCGTGCGCCGGGGCCTCCGCTGAGCGAGCCTCTGTGGATGCGCCAGCGCTCCTGCTCCATGCGACTGAGCGCGGTGCAGCCGTCGGCGGTCCTGAGCTCCGCGATGGCACAGCTACCCCGGAGGGGCTCGAGCGCGCTCCTGGCCGCGCTGCTCCGCGCGGTGGACGACACGGTCCTCCTCTCGCTGCGGAACCCGCACGCGGGCTCGCTCCCGGCGTCGACGGCACTGCAGCTGCTGGGCGAGGCACTCAGCAGCGACTCAGCCGCGGCGCGCGAGGCCATTCCCGCAGCCATGGACCGGCTTCGTCGTGTGTTGGCCACCCCGGCATGCCCTCTGCCCGTCCGGCACGCCGCGTCCCACTCCCTCGCCAGCATCCGTGCCCGTCAGAGTCAGCTTGAGCATCGAGGTGTGCAGTAGTTTCCCCCAGTCGAGACTCTAAGAGACTGAGTGGCCAAGTTTTTTTTTGGATGTCGCAGACACACGCGCAGAAGGGAAACTCAAAGCTCAAGGGGGCTCCCACTCTCAAGCGGTGAGTCAAGCAGGGTTCCCACGCACCGTGATCCGCGTGTTCGGCTTGGCAGGGCGGCCGCGGCACGAGAGGAGGTAGGGCTCGTCGTACAATCAACATCGACGCACCGGGCGAGGCCAGGGGCGCTCGCAGACCGCGGCCGCCGTGGCGTTCCCTGCAGGAACGTTATGGAGTCGGCAAGCTCACGAGCCTGCTCTCGGCGCAGTCGGAGGAGTGCGGCTTGAAGCCATTCGCACTCAACGTCCTCGGGGCCAGCGGCTTGCTCCGAAATCACCCGGCCTGCCAGCCTCTGTGATAGCGTGGCGGGGGAGTCAAAGCTGTACGTCATGAGCTTGCGGCGTCTGAGCGCCTCTTCCCACTCCGCCTTGCGCGCTACGAGCCACTGTTGTTTCGTGATGCGATCAAGATCGTCAGAGGGCAGGCGCCCCCGCGAGCCCGTGTGCTCTGAGGCCCCAGCAACTTGCCGCTCGGCCGGGTCGAACAGCGGTGCGACTCGAGTAGACCGTCTCGCCAAGCCGGCGGGCATGCAGTTGCGGCCCCGCCCTCGTCGCCCATTCGCCGGGCAACTTTCGTTTCAAAAGGACGCGCGTAAGTGCCGTTTTTCTTCTGCATTCGCTGGCGCAAGCCTCGGGAAACTTTTTGCCCGCTTGTTAGTGCCAGTGCGCGCCAGTCTTCCCGTGCCTAGGCGTGTGAGAGAGAGATGTTGTGTCGTGTTAGTGCCACAGTCGAGCCAGTCCCCTGCCCAAAAAGAAAAAAAGGAGGTAGGGCTGTTAGGACAGACACGTCCACTCTTGACCGAGCAATTGTGTTATAAAATAAATAAATAGAGCAGTCATCTCCAGGGAGAGATGGGCGACGCACACGAACACAGAGGGACAGTGCGCACCCCGCCCCGCTCGCAGGGCGTGCAGCACACAGCAACACAAGACATATCTAGGCGCTGTGCGCCTCCTCGGGATTTCTGGGGAGGTGTGTGTGTGTGTGTGTGTGTGTGTGTGTGTGTGTGTGTGTGTGTGTGTGTGTGTGTGTGTGTGTGTGTGTGTGTGTGTGTGTGTGTGTGTGCTCGCTCGCTCGCTCGCTCGCTCGAACGCGCGCGCACGCGAGCGCGAGCAAGAGCGCGCGGGCGCTATGCGAGCCGCCCTGCCCGCGGCGCTGCTAGAGTTGCGCCGCGGGGAGGGCTCGGCGGCCGCTTCTAGAGCTCGTCATCGCTCCCCTCGAAGAGGGAGGCTTCGTTGGACTCGAGGCGTGGGCCGCCGTGGTAGGGGGAGCGGGCGAGGCCGCGCGCGAAGCTCGCCCAATCCTTCTTGGTGCTCTTGACCTCGCCGCCGCCGCCGCCACGGCCGCGGCCGCCGCGCCGCCCGCGGCTCGTGCCGAGCCTAACTGCGCTCGGCATCCGCTCGTAGACGGTGCCCTTGAAAGCGGTGCCGAGGAGCTCCTCGTAGTTGACGCACGGCGCGTGGCGGCAGCGGGCGCTGATCTTGCAGGGGAGGCCGGTCTGGTTGAAACGCGTTTCCGTCCGCCCGTTTCATCGAGTTTGCCCGAGTGGTAAAATGCAATCGAATCTGCCCGAGTGGTCAAGTAAAACTTTGCCTTTCGTAATACGTAAAAGTTGCCCGAGTGGTCTGTGGGGAAACAACGAAAATCGAGACGGACTTCTTGAACGGCCGGGCAACATGTCTTCCTTACTATTATTAATTGATGCTTTTTGCACGGCTGAGCCCCCCCCCCCCCCTCCCCCGCGCCCACTCCCTGCCCTCTCCCGCCACGCACTCCGTCAGAGCCCCCTCCCCTCTTGCACAACAGGAATTTTGACAATTAACAAGATGGCGAGGAAAACACAACTCGATGGGGCTGCCCCATCCCGGAGTGGTTCGATTCCACATAAATCCGAGACGGTGATGGATGCGTCGTACGGTGGTCTCATGCCCAGTGAGGTAGTGCATCTGGCCACTCCTGATCCTGCTGAACAAGCTCCTCTTGTAGCTCGATCGGTCACACCGCCATCGCCGTCGGGGAGAGGGGGGACGACACTGCTTCGGCAGCGTGCACCTCGATCCTGTACCGTGTTTGTTATGACCCCCCCCGATGAACACACCAGTGAGGGAGGGCGAGACGATCGAGGGGTCCCGTACCACGCGGAATCGGCCCTATCCAGTGCTCAAGTGCTCAAGAGGGCAAAAAGATCGCGCTCTTGCCGATCCGCACCTACCTATCAGATAGGCTCTTGGGTGGCGCGCCCCAGCTCTTCACAACGAACCTGGTTGCCCGCTCTCGCCGCGCCGTGAGAGGGAGTTCCCGGCTCGACCTTCGTCCCTCCGCCGCGGCGCCGCCGTGCCTCATGGGCGGCCGCCGCCTCGCGGACGGCGCCATCGTCGCCGAGAAACCCCGTTGGCCGCGGTACCTGGCGACCGGCGCCCTCCTCGCCACGCTGCTGGCCACCCAGCCATCGCACAGCTCACTCCTCGAGCATCTCGAGTCGCTGGCCGAGCACCCGAGCGGTCTTCTCGGTAAGCTTAGCTCGCTTGCCTCCAGCCTGCACGCGAGCGTCGGCGCAGAGTCGGCCTCGTACGGCCTCTTCCGCCTCGGATCCTTGAGTGGAAACCACTACCTCGGCATTCTCGGAACGTGGATCAAGCTTCCCGCGTTTGCAGCCGTGCTGCCGTCTTCGCGGCGAGCGCGCGGCTCGGCTGCCGCGTCGGCGGCGTCGTACATGTGCACGTCCTCCTTCGAGCCGGCCGAGCAACTCGTGCTCCTCTCGGTACTGCTTCACCTCCTCTGGCTCACCCGCCCGAGGTGCATGGTGCGGCACGCAGTCTGCTCGCTTGACGCGGTGCAGCGCGGCCGCGTCTGGACTCTCCTCACGGCCAACGCGTCGCACGCGGCCTTCCCGCACCTACTTCACAACTGCATCCACCTGCTCCAGCTCGGCCCGCTGCTGCACGCCACCCTCGGCTGCAGCGACCTCCTCGCCCTCATGCTCACCGCGGCGCTCGCCTCGTCCGCAGCCTCGCTCCTCTGGAACGGCGTGCTCGGCGGGCGGCCGAAGGAAGGCGGCCCTCCCGCGCCCCGCTCGTCCCTCTCTTCTCGCTCAGCTTGGCCGACCCCCCGCACCTCCCCATCCCGCGCAGGCTCCCTCGGCGCGTCGGGCGTCGCGATGGCGATGGTTGCAGCGAACGCCGCCCTCTACCCTCGAGCGCTGGTGCACGTGTACGGCCTTGAGCTGCCGGCACCGCACGCGGCGCTGCTCTACCTCGTGGTCGACGTGGTCGCCTCGTCCTCTGGGCACGGTGGCGGGGGCGTCGATGCGAGTGCGCACGCGGGTGGGGCGGCAGTGGGCTACGCGCTAGCCCGCCGCTGGCAGAGAGGTCTCGACCTCTTCCCTTCCTTCTAGCTTTGATGAGTCGGACGTGGATAGAGCTGCAAGGGGAGAGGTGGAGGCTGCACGGCGCTCTGTCCCGCCCGTTAAAAATGATGTACATGCATATGTGGCCCCTCTGGTCTCATATACACGTATATCACGTTATATACACCGAGACCGCGGAGAGCCGTGTCACAGTTCTCAGTGCATCGTGCCGGTCTCGCAGAGAGGCGTCCACGCCCGCTCTGTGCGCGGCGCTGCGCCTCTCTCCAGTCTCTGCGACCGTTCATCACACCGCCAATCCCCCCTCCCCGAGGGGACCGAACCGGTTCGGTCCCCTCCTTGGCACGTAGCGCACGGGTCATTTCGGAGAGAGAAAGGGGAGGGAAGAGGGGGGGGATAAGGGAGCCGAGATACGCGGGAGTACCCTGGGAGTGAGAGCTCTCATTCATGGTCGCTAGAGACCAGGGGAAGCCACCATGGGGAACGGACACCAAGGCACTAACTTCATCACTCACATTCGCCCCGCACACCTAGCCTACACTAGTACGCGTTACACGGAGCGCCAAGGGGGAGAGAATGGAGGGGGGAGAATATGCGTGCCCGTTTTTCTTCGAAAGCAATTTTTTTTCTCTGCGACCGTTCAGTGTGCATTATGTCTCGCGGTCGTCGGAGGCGGCGGGAGGTCGCGGGGTGGAGCTCGCCGGCACGCACTTTTTTCCCGGGTCCCGGGAGCGTCACTAGAGTCTGCCCCGAGTCATGTCACATGTGCACATGTACATGCACGTGGGTCCAGTCTCTTCAGATCACAGAGTCGCGCTGACACTTTTTTCTCCTTCCCATGTGGACGTGGCGCTGCACAGTAGACACGTCATTCAGACGGACCCGCGTCTCTCCCCCCCTGTCGCTACAACCTCCCACACGCACAGGTGCGTGTTGATGCATGATAGGCGCCGGGTTCAGGCCGCCCTTGCCACCTGCCGCCACGCGGCCCACGAGCGAGGTCGCGCCAGCCGCCTCAATAGTTGCCCCCGGGCTGCCACGCTGCACCGCCCGTGCGCGGGATGCAGCGCTCACAACTCACACCCTCTCCCGCCCGCCTCCAGCCCCTGCCCGCCCTCGCCTCGCTCACAAGCGGTAGCACACCTTTTGGACGCCGGTGATGATGTTGTTGATCTGCGGGAGGGCGTCGATCTCCAGGTTGGAGGCGTACGGCATCGGGATGTCTGCGCCGGTGACCCGCTCGACGGGCGCGTCGAGGTAGTCGAACGCCTCCGACTCGTAGATGCACGCGCCTATACGTGAGACCCATCGGCCCGTTCCTGACCGAAGACTCGCACGACACGTCCCGACTCGCAGACGCAGTCGCCGAGCTCGGCTCCGATGCCGCAGGCGGGCCACCCCTCCTCGACAGTCACCAGCCGGTTCGTCTTCTTGACTGACTCGATGATGGTCAAGCTGCGGGCGGCGGTTAGGGTTAGGGTTAGGGTTAGGGTTCGTGTGCACATGCACATATTGTACATGTGCATGTGCATGTGCATGTGCGTGGGTCCAGTCTCTGGTGAGGGTTAGGGTCAGGGTTAGGGTTAGGGTCAGGGTAGGGTTAGGGTCAGGGTCAGGGAGGTGGTGGGATCGCGCACCGGTCAAGAGGGCGGACCGAGCGCAGGTTGATGACCTCGGCCTCGACGCCCATCTTTGCGAGCTCCTCGGCGGCCTAGGGAGGCGTAGCAGACAACACGAATGTGATGCCCTTGCCTGCGCGCGTGTCGGAGGTGTGTCTCCGAGGTGTGCTGGTTGTTCCGGTTGGAGTCTCGGAAGAGCCGCAAAACAGCCTCCGCGGCAGTGTCTCGGAGGCGTCTCTCGGAGGTATCTCGGAGGTGTGTCTCGGAGGTGTGTCGGAGGTGTGTCTCGGAGGTGTGTCGGAGGTCTCTGGGAAGGTCTGTGGCAGGCCTGGAGGCAGGTGTGCACTCCGCGAGAGTACGAGACGAGAGTGACGTCTGAGCCGGCGCGCTCGATCTTGCACTCGCCGATGGGGACCGTGAAGTCCTTGTCGAGCACCTCGGGCCCGATGTCGAAGGACATGCCGTACAGGATCTCGTTCTCGAGGAAGACAACCGGGTTGTCGTCCCGGATCGCAGCCTTGAGCAGCCCGCGCGCATCCTCCGCAGAGTACGGCGCGATGACCTGGCGAAGGAGGGGGGTAGACGGGGGGGGCGCTCGGCCGTCCGGCTCGGCCGGCCAACGGAAGGGGTGAGCGGCGGGCGCGCCTTGAGGCCCGGGCAGTGCGCGTACCACGCGGCAAAGCACTGCGAGTGCTGCGCGCCGACGCCCGCTGCGGCGCCGTTCGGTCCGCGGAAGACGATGGGGACCTGCGGGGTGCGGATCGTGGATCGGTAAGGGGCGCGCTGTAGGCGGCGACATGCGCCCCTCCGCCACCCCCCTGCGTGGCTCACCTTGATCTGCGCCCCCGACATGTAGTACATCTTTGCAGCCGAGTTGATGACGTGGTCGATGGCTTGCATCGAAAAGTTGAAGGTCATGAACTCGCAGATTGGCCTCAGGCCGGCGTACGCGGCGCCAGTGCAGATCCCCGTGAACCCCGCCTCGGTAATGGGGGTGTCCACCACGCGCTTGGAGCCGAACTCCTCCAGCAGCCCCTTTGTGATCTTGTAGGCGCCCTGGTACTGCGCGACCTCCTCACCCATCACAAAGATGTTTTCGTCCCGCTGCATCTCCTCGCGCATCGCCCCGTTGAGCGCGTCACGCACAGTCATCTACAAAGGGCGTGGGAGCGGCCAGGTATCCACGGCTGAGCGCAGGACCGAGTGAGCTCCCGGCAGCCGCCAGGCAAGCCCCCGTGGCCGCGATGGAGGAAGGATCCAAGGGGGGGCAAGAGGCGGTGCGGACCTGCGTGACACCGCTCATCGCACGCGCACCCAGCGGCGCCCGCTGCGCAGCGGCGCGCGTCACGGCACGAGACAACATTCGACTGCGAAGGGTGCGAAGGCCGATCCTCGCCGAGGGGCCGAATCGCAAAAGAACTTTAGCGCGCCCAGCCTGCGAACGCGCACCCCGGGGGCTAGGGCTCTCTTGCCCGCAACCCGATCCCGATCATCCGGCCCGCTGGGTGCGCTTCTGAGCTCCCCGGCCCTGGATGTGAGGCTTGCTGCCAATTCACTCCAAGTGCTCCAAGTGCTCCGTAGTAAAACTGGCACTATACACTCCTTTGGCATGTGGGTGCCAGCACACGTGGGAATAGCCTGCAACGCATACGCCGACGCGGTGGCGACAGCACACCTCGGGGATAACGACACGGAGGACGCCTCGAAAGTGGTTGGTGCGGGACGCGGTGCGGACGCGGCCATGCATGTACACGGTGCGAAGGGAGGCGGCAGAGAACGCAGAGAAGAGGGAGATAGTGGACCGACGGACGTACGGACACATGTGTCAGAGCGCACACAAGTGGGTGTGCGAAAACAACTTCGAAAGACAGTGAGGCCGGGATCGCACACGGCAGGGGTGGCGGGACGGTTGTGGATCGCGAACAGAGGTCAGAGAGAGAGAGAAGAGAATTTTACACCGCTCCCCCCGGGCATCCCTCCCTTGGGTTGTCTGTTTTCTTTATTTTACTGGGCACGGGACTGGCGCGCACTGGCACTAACAAGCGGGAAAGAATTTTCACTGGGCTCGGGAACCCGGGGGGGGCTAGGGAACCCGAGATGCTGGGGCGAGCCTCGGCGAGACTGCGTCAGCTGTTTTCACAGCAGGCTGGAAGTACCTCGCCAGCCCTCGACGAATACACAATTATTTTTTTGTCCTTCACCGCGCTTTGACGACGTTCGTCGTTCCTCCAACACAGTCCGAATCGCGAAAGAATTTTATAGCACACAGCTCGGACTGGCACTACACTCCTTTGGCGGCACTGCAGACTGGCTCGGATTGGCACTACACTCCTTTGGCGGCACTGTTTTCTTTCTTTCTTTTTCAAATGGACGAGAGAGAGAGAGAGAGAGAGAGAGAGAGAGAGAGAGAGAGAGAGAGACCACAGGCAACACGAGAGCTGAGGGAGGGTGTAGAGGATGTAGAGTGTAGAGCGCTGTAGAGCTGTAGAGCGCTCTGGAGCGCTGTAGAGCTGTAGAGCTCTACATCCGCCGCGGGACGATGTGAGTCCGATGTAGAGCGATGTAGAGCGCGCGCGATTTTGCTGTAGAGTTGGTTGTAGAGGCTCTACAGCCAAATCGCCAGGAAGGCAGTGACTCAAAGAGGTCGAGCCGCGCTAATGGGGTGTCTCCGAGCTTACTGGAGCTCTGATGGACGGCCCTGACTACCCCTGACACACAGATAGTCACTCTGACGGCACACAACACCCTATAACTGCGTCATGACCAGCCTGCCATGCGTCGCCGGTGCCGCATTCGTCGCTGTGCTTCTTTAGCAGGCGGTGGACTGTCGGCTGCGAGGGACGGTCGCATTTGCGCGAGGCGAGGCGAGCATTGCTGCGCGTTGCATGCGCCATGACTCGCGCCAGCGAGCGCGTGCGGGAGCTCCTGGCTGAGCGCTGAGTCCAAGCGAGTTGCGCTGGCCACGATCGCTACGCTGAGCCGAACTGACGCGCCGAGGCGCCGGCCAGTCGCAGCCGTGAGGCATGCCACAGCAGCAGAGGCACCTGCCACCCATTGGGCGGGCAGACAGAAGGCCAGGGCAGCACTGGCAAGTGCAACGCGCCTCATGTCGGAGAGCGACCGTGCCTCGTTCGCCGCTTATGATGTAGAGTTGTTTGTTGTACTACTCAGTGTACGTACTTTTAGCTTACTGGGAGATAAGGGAGAGGGGGTTGTGTTCTCTAGGGTCTAGGCCCCTAAGGGCCCTACGCGCGGCGTGAGAGCTCGGAAGCGAGCTTTGCACGGCGATCGAGGATGGCGCGGTTCACCCCCTTCACCGAAGCGATGCCGATGGAGATGCGTTCCGCGTGGTGTGACACAAATGAGAGGCGGGAGTGGGGAGGGTACGCGGTGCGGTCAACGCGCCCGAGCGTTGAGCCTTGCGCGCAAGGCGGTTGATCTTTGCAACTGCAGGCGGCGAGAAGCCGCCGCCGAATGTCTCGTGGAGAAGCAGGTTGAACTTGTTTCGTTTGCTCTCTCTTGTTGTAGAGATTTCACGTTGTAGAGCGCCTCCACATCGCTCTACATCGGACTCACATCGTCACGCACCGGATGTAGAGCTCTACAGCTCTACAGCGCTCTCCAGCTCTACAGCTCTACAGCCTTAGGTTGAGAAATGAGGAGGTTTGGGGGCTTAAATTGCCATTTAAGAGATTGCAGGCACGGGGGTCCCTCTTTTAAGACCGTTTAAGAAAATCGGCCTCACCGGCATGCGTCGCCGCGTTCCGCGCCGTTTTCTCCAATACTGCCGTTATTAGGCACAAAAAACCGCCCCTCTGAAGACACATCTGTAAGAGTCTGGTGCACTGGCAGGAGCCATACTATGCATAGGGGACGCGTGCAGCTAGCTGCTAGGCTAGCTGATTGTAGCCAGCTACCCGGCCTCCGGCGTCTCTACCGGGAGCTCCTCCGGGACCATCGACCTCAGGAGCTCTCCCGCACCGTTTAAGCGTTTAAGACCGTTTGAGGAATCGGCGGCCCAGGCAGCCTTAAAACGGGCCTAGGCTCGTTTTAAGCCGTTTAAGCCGCAGGCGCCCCAGGGCCCACCCTTTTAAGCCTAGGGGGCCCCTAAGTCTACAGCGCTCTACACTCTACATCCTCTACACCCTCCCTCAGCACGAGAGAGAACCGGCAACCGCACGGGAGCAAACAAAACAAAACAAATGATGTGTGAGTGTTAGAGTTGTTTGGTATTGCTAAAAATCTCTCTCACGGAGCTGGCAGCTACGAGCATATCACTAGGTCCGTCCCTGCGCAAGTTGCGGATACACCCTAGTCCCCGAGGTGGAACCCCCTGTGGACCTTCTAGGCCCGCGGGTAGCCCATCCCTCACTGGCTCCCAGTTCCATCACCATCAGTAGTATTCCACAGACGACAGAGCAGTTAGTCACATCTCACTTACGACTTAGCAATAGCAACTGAAATTAGCATAGATTCACAGTCTCCATTCCAAACTTTGATCCAAGGGCTCAAGTCTTTATCATTTAACTTGCATTTTAATCATTCGAAATGCCAAGCATCTTGGGATGCGAAGCATCTTCAGATGATTCGAGCATCCCAGGATGCTCCGGCATTTTAGTTTTGAAAAAACCATCGAGATGCTCGATCAAATAGGCAAGTAGACAGTGTCAGTGATCAGTGTGCAGTCCAAGTAGGGTGCATCTTAGATGCATATTATCTCAAGATGCGCATATCATCTGAGAGAGAGATTTTTAGCAATATCATCCGTAGTACTGTAGATGGGGGGGTCCCGCCGCCCCTGACGGGCACGCCGGAGCGTAATGGGGGGGCATATAACGGGAGATTAAGTACGGGAGGGGGGTGGAGACTGAAGAATTTCTTTTGTCTATGTCAAACCACACCAGCACGGAGCCACGGACCGCAGCTCACCGGAGGTTCCTCCCCGGGTTCCGGACGAGTGGGGACCATACCCGGCTCATCTCCCGTCACATCCCATCCCGCATCGCCACACAACACCTACCGCACCTCATCTGACGCCCTCACTCTCCGCCACACGCGACGCAGCTCGCTTCTGCAGTCGAGTGCGCGAGAAGTTGGCCACAAACGTAAAGGGCATGAAAAAGGAAACGAAGATCACAAAGGAGCTGGCAGGCAGCCGCTGGGCGGTGAGCATCTGGCGGCGCGAGAGCGCGCGGCTGGCGCCCGCGACGCCTAGGCAGCCCGCAGCGGCGCCGATGAGCGCCGACTGCTTGAGGATCGGCCCCCGCGCCTCTGCAAGTGCCGCCGTCCGCGGCGCCTGCCGGACCCGGTCGGCCAAGACCTGCTCGGCGTGGCGCCGGGCGACGTCGAGCCGCTCCTCGTGCGACAGGCCGCTCTCGTCGAAGGCCGTCGAACGGTCGCCGATGCGGCGCAGGGAACGTGACTCGGCGCTCATGGCTGCTGTCGGTGTACGGCGACCGATGGAGGTCCGGCTCGCAGGCGCCGATGCGACAAGCTGGCGGAAACTTCGCTTGATTTTTTAAATTGGGGGCGCGGGGAGGCAGTACGAGTTTCTTGGTGGCAGGAATTCTTCTCCTACTGCTCGTCGCAGTGATGGGAGCACCGCAGGCCGACACCACACAGGGGCCAGATTCGCCACGTTTTTCTTCTCGAGCGCCGCGAGCTAATGCTGGGGCTACCTCGCTCCTGGTCTGCCTACCTCCTGGTGGTCTGCCTACCCCTCACGTCTAGCCTCTCTCCCTGCCCGACGGGCCTGGTGGGTCCGCGGCTGCTGCTTGCCTCGCGCCTCGCCCGCCGCGCGCCGCCCGCCCTCGCGGGCGTGCGGCGCAAGGTGAAGCGAGACGCCGCCGTCGAGATATCAAAGCCGAAGGACGACCCCAAGGGGTTCGGCAAGGCAGAGCCGGCGGCGGCGGCGCCTCCCCCGCCGCCCAAGAGGCAGGCTGCGGCCCCGGCCTCCCAGGCTCCGCCCGTCGACGTCTTTGCCCTCGCCGCGCCGGGCAGCCGCCTCGCCGACCTCCGCGTGCCTGCGTCGCTCGCGCAGCCGGCGGCGGCCAGCTACGGCGAGCTGTTCCGCAGCGTGGCACAGGCGGCCTCCTCCGCGCTCGGCGACGACGCCGCCTTCTCCGCCTTCGCCGCCGCCAACCGCGACCTGATGGACTACCGCTTCCAGTACAAGCTGACGGCGCAGGCGCTCGCGGCAAAGAACCTCGGCGACGCGGCGGCGGGCGCGGAGCGGTCGGCGCTGTGCGATGCGGCGGTGCGTGCGGGCCTGCGCTTCGACGCGCCCCTCTTCCGCGAGGTTGGCCCCGCGGAGCAGCGGCTCGGGCAGCTGCTCGGCAGCATGCAGCAGGCCGGCGTGGCGGAGGTCGAGGGCGGGGCCGCAGTGCAGGCGGCGGGGGGGGCGCCGCAGCAGCAGCTGGCCTTCTGGCTGGTGACGTCGGCGGCGATCGCCGCGTGGGAGTCCAAGCTCGACCTCCCCTCGGTGGCGGACCTCGCCCGCCAGAAGCTGCGCGAGCTGTGCGCCGTGCGAGAGCGGCTCGAGGGGGAGGGGGCGCTGCTGCCAGGCGAGAAGAGGCGCTGGCATGCGCGCGGCTGCCCCTCCGCTTGCTGACCCCCCTGCCCCCCCTCCCCCCGTGTGCAGCCTCCGGGGTCGACTCCCTCTCCCCCCTCCTCCGCTGGCCCCTCCCCGCCGCTGGGATGGACGAGGCCGCCCTCGCTGCAGAGGCGCGCGCGGCGATAGCGGCCTGGCAGGTCGAGGACGCGGACGAGCGCACCGCCGCCCTCCGCAAGCTCGGCTGCTTGCGCGAGCAGTGCCAGCGCCACGCCTACCAGGCAACACCCCCCCCTCCCCTCCCCCCCCTCCCCTCCCCCCCCCTCTCCCTCGGGCGACCACCACCGGCTACCCCCACGCCCATCGGGGCCAGCGGATTACTGTCGCCCCACACGACCTCGCCCCCACCACTCCACGGCGGGGCCCTAGCCACCCTCGGGCAGACCGCCACTACACGGGGCCTACACTCCACACCGCACTCCACACCCCCACCCGCCGCCGCCTCGCCCCACACCCGCCTCGCCCCACCCGCCCCCGCCCCGCCCCACGCGCCGCCGTAGGCCTACCAGCCGCTGATGACGAAGCTGGCCGCCGTCTACGACGTGATGCTCTACGGCGCGCCCCAGCGGCTCGAGTGCGAGGAGATCCACGCGCCGCCGCGCGAGGGGTACGAGTCGCGGCTGATGCAGCTCTCCGCCGAGGCGGACAAGGTGCTCGACGAGTCGCAGGTGGACCGGACCCTCTACTTCTAGGAGTCTACTTCTAGGAGGCGCGGGGAGGGGGCGCCCGGCGGGGGCGCACATGGCGCATGGGCGGGCTAGGAGGCGCGGGAGCGACATCGGAAGTAGAGCGCGTTGGAGCGAAGAGAAGGAGGTGAGGCGGAGCACCAGCGGTTTTGTGGATCTCGTCGCACGGATTGGTCATCATTGCGCAGTGGAGAGATGATGGTGGGGATGTTGCAGTCTGATACCAAAATGTCTTTCCATTGCCGCCACGCACGCAGTGACCACTGTGTGCCTCCGGCCGCCTAGGCAAACGGCCGGGACGGCGGGCGACCGCCGACCCCATTTATAAATCATTTAAGTCCTAACCGCTAAACGTAAAGGACGGCAGACGAAGTCGAAGAAAGACGGCGAGCAAGCTAGCTAGGCAGCGAGGTCCGTCCGACGTCCGCACCTGCCTGGATGGATGGATGGATCCTGGTAGGGTCAGTCAGTCACCTGGTCGTTCGTTGACGGACGGTGTGGGGTGCCGGCCGTGTGAGCGCTGCGCAGCGCCCAGGGGACACCCCTGCGCGCTTGGTGGAAACTACCTCACCCCCACGCGCACACGATCTCAGTCATGTTCAGTGGTACTTCGTTTTCTCTCATGTGCGTATCTGATACTCGAGTATCACTCGTCCCATCTTCGACGGGCGGGCCTTTTGGCAGCGCGTCACGCTCACAGTCCTTATCACCGTATGGCTCCCTCGACGCCTCGGCCATGTGGGGGTTAGCAGTTGTGGCTTCATCGCTGCTCTCATGCGCTCCTCGACTGGAGGTGCAAGTTCTGGAGGCGGTGCTCCTGGCATTCGCGTGGAAAGCTGCGATGCGGGTCGGCGGCAGCCTAGCGGGGGCATGGGTCGACACATGGAGCGCCGAGATTCGGACGCGCTGGCTGAGCCGAAATCTCGTCGCTATGAGGAAACAGATTCCATTGAATGAAAAGGAGGCGCACCGTGCGTCCTGCATGGCACTCGTCATCATTGCTCAGCACATTGCCGGCGCAACCCTCTGCGTGCCATCTATCCTCTGGCCCGGAGCCGCTTGGTCGGCCGCTCTTGCCTGCCACGGCGCACTCTCCGAGACGGGGTGGGAAATACAGGACCTGGCGACGCGGGTTCACCGCATTGTCCTCGGCGGTGAGGAGGGTCGGCGGCGCAATCCACCGGCGCTGCTTGCTCAGGTCAGAGACTCGAGCGCCGCGCGCAGCACGACACGCGCACCACTACCGGACGGAGGCGCATGTCTGTAGGTGATCTTGCACCACACGATGGCCTCGTGCCTCGTAGTGCCCGCCAACTTGTTTGTACGAGACTCTGCGGCCTACCACGAGTTTGTGCTGCTGCTGCAGGCTGCTGCGGCGGTCGAGAAGGCGGCGCAACAATACTCGTTCACGCTCGACACGAGCCGGCGTCCTGACCTAATCAGGATGCGACTGACTGCGCTTGCGGTCCTGGCGAGTGGCGTCTGGGCCCGCGGCCTGCGATTCGTCTGGCTCGGCAGCGAGCTCCTCCACCTCAGCTGGTCGCGGCAGAGGCATCGATTAGCGGCGGCTTTTGCTGTCAGCCTCCTCTTCCTCAGTCTGTTCAACGTCCTCCTTCTGATCGACGCCAGCGTCAAGGTGGTCAAGTTCTGCGGTCTCGCCAGCTCGAAGCTGAAGGTGGACGATGGCGGTGCGGCCGACGCGGCTAGGTTGCGAATGAGGCGAATCGTCGCAGCCGGACTGTTCAGCGGACTGGTCACGGTTGCCCTTGCGATGACTGGCTTTGCTCTGCTCTTGCAGTTGCGCTAACGCGTAATTCGGAGAGATCGTGACCGCCACTGGCCGGTGTGACTGTCTCTACTCCGTCGTCTCGCCGCGATGCGCGAAGTCTCCGATGCCGCCGCGAGGCGCGAGCTTCCTACGGCCGATGGCGATGCGCCATGCGGGGTCGGCGACGGCGTCGCCGTCGGGGGCCTCGGGGAAACACGGCCCTGGAAGGCCGTTCGGGCGCGCTTGAACGGGGCGGGGGGGACGCTCCTTCCACGTTCCACCTTCGATTTCGCTTAAAGGATTAAGCCGTGTAGCCGTCTCTCGTCTTACGTGTGCTACGCGAGCGGTATCCGATGTCCCTACTCGGCTTTAGAGTCTAAAAGCCGTAACTCTTATCATTAATATCAAGTACAATACAACACACATAGTGTGTGAATCCCCCCGCGAGCCCGACGTATACGATGTGTGTGTAGCAGTGACACTCGACTCGCGCACATCCGCACCCCCACCCTGCACCCACCCCGACCCAACCGCCAACGAGCCAAGGAAGGCGGCGAAAGCGACGCTTAGTCCCGGCGAGGGCCCCGCCCGCCTGAGACGTGTGAGCGCCTCTTCCCACGCCCCTTCCCCGCCGCCCCGGCACATTCCGCTCATGGTGCGGCCACCGAATGTGCCCCAAGCGACGCACTCTCTCGTGTGTCCCTCCCCCCCCTTCTCCCTCCCCGCCCGCGGCATGCTGCAGCAGCACACACCTCTCCACTCGGCCCAAGACGGCACAGGGAGCTCCGCTCGCACGGGAGCTCGAGCACACAGACATGCATACGGGGCCCCTTGCCGAGTACCCCGCGTCGAACACCGCAGCCTTGCCCTCGCACAGAGGTGCGGCGGTGGCCCACTCACTCCACGCCTCGCAGCGCCGCCGACTGCGCCCGCGTCCGACCGAGCGACGACGGGCAGTCGCTCTGTCGGCGTCCCCGTTCGGCGAGGCGGCGCTTCGCCTCGGCGAGGGCGTCGCACGTGGAGCGCGGCGTCTCCGCGATGCAAGGGCCGCCGCGGGAGGCGTCCGAGGAGCTGGGCGGCCGCTGCAAGGCGGAACCCATCGACACGCGCCCCGCGGGCAGCCTGCCCCCGCCGAGGGAGGCGCGGACCGGTCGGCTCTCGAACACGTCCGCTGGCGGCGGCGGCGGCGGCGGCGGCGACGGCGGCGACGGCGGCGGCGGCGGGTCCGCCTCTGCGATTTCGGCGAGCGGCTCACTGGCGGCGGGCGGCATCAGCGGCGCGTGCTGCATCACCGCGACCGAGGCGCGGCGCGACGAGGCCTTGAGGGCCCACTGCAGCTGGGTGCGGAGCTGGCTCGCCTCCGCGCAGCGGTCGGCCGCCTCCACCTCCGCCTGCGCGCGACGCTCGTCCGCGTCGCGCAGCTCGCTCTCGAAGATGGAAGTGTACGCCTGGCGCGCCGAGCGCTCGAGCAGCGCCGCCTCGCGCCGCGCCGCGCGCAGCTCGTCGCGGGCGTCCTGCCGGCTGCACAGCGCCTCCTGCAGCGCGGCGCTCTTAGAGCCGAGCTGCGCGCGCAGCGCCGCCTCCGCCTCCGCCTGCCGCTCCAGCCGCGTCTCGGCGAGCGAGAGCGAGTGCAGCGCGTCCGTGCTCTTCTTGTTTGCCGCCAGAGCCGCCTCGTTGCTCCTGGCCGCCGCCGCCGTCGCCGCCGCCTCGGCGGCGCTCGCGTCTCGCGCAGCCGTCTCGGCCTGCTGGGCGTAGTGCTGCTCTTTCTCGGCCCGCGCCTTCTCCTCTGCCGCCCCCTCGAGCGCTCTCGCCCTCGCCTGCTCCGCCTCGAGCAGCGCGGCGACGGCGGCGTCGCGCGCGCCCTCCGCCTCCTCCGCGCGCGCGGCGGTGTCGCTGAGCTGCTCACCGAGCTGCCGCTCGAGCCGGGAGAGCTCCGCCCGCAGCGCCCGCACCTCCGCGCCTCGCTCCTCGACGCTCGCCGCGAGGTCCCTCGCCGCCTGCGCCGCCTGCGCCGCCAGCTCACCCTGCAGCCGCTCGACCTCGGCCTGCAGCGCCGCCTGCTGTCCCGAGGCCCGCTCGGCGGAGGCGACGGCGGAGGCGAGCTCGGCGCGCGTCTGAGAGCTCGCCGCCTCGCGCTCTGCCTCGCCCGCCTGCGCGTCCTGGCTCATCTCGGCGACGCAGAGCGCGAGCCGCGCCACTTCCTTGTGCAGCGACGCCACCTCCTCCTCCGACGCGGCAGCCTGCGCGAGCAGCCGCGAATGCTCCGCCTGCGCCTGCGCCTGCGCCTCGCCCTCGACGCTCCGGAACTCGGCCAGCTCGGCCGCGTACTCGCCCATCCGCTGCAGCTCGCCGCGGAGCTGCGCGAGCTGGCCCGCCTCCGCCTGGCCCGCCTCGGCCTCGCCCGCCGCCTCGCCCGCCTCTGCCGCCGCGCGCGCCTCTGCCGCGCCCTCCTCGCGGGCGGCCCGCTCCGCGGCGTCGAGTGCGGCCTGCTGGACGACCTGGTCTTGCTGGACGACCTGGTCGAGCAGCTCGCTCATCACCGCGGAGACGACCGCCCGCGCCTCCGCCTCCCGCTGCTCCGCCTCGCGGCGCAGCAGCTCCTGCCGCAGCGCGTCTCGCTCCTCGGAGACAGAGGCCAGCTCCCGTGCCAGGGCGGCGTGCTCGCCGGAGGAGACGCTGCCGCCGGCGCGCGCCACCTCGAGCTCGTGCCTCGCCTGCGGGAAGGTTCCGGGAAAGGTCCAGGGACGGTCTGGGAGAAGGCCGCCTCGAGCTCGGCCGCCACCGCGCTCAGCGCCGCGTGGTTCGCCGCGAGCAGCTCGCTCGCCGCCTCGCACTCGTCTGCCCACGCCGTCGCCTCCGCCATCGCCGCGTGCTGCTTTGCGCAGCGCGACTCGAGGAGGCTGCAGCGCGCCGCGGCGGCTTCGTAGCGCGCGGAGGCTGCGGCGGCCTCCTCCTTGCGCTGCCGGTACAGCAGCCGCAAGTCCGCCTCCAGCGTACTCACCTGCGTCCGAAGCGCCTCGCCGCGCGCCTCCGCCGCCGCCGCCGCCGCCTCGGAGTCGGCCCGCGCCTCCTCCGCCTGCGCGAGGGCGAGCGAGGCCGCCTCGGCGCCAGCGCGGCTGCCTGCGAGCTCTTCGGCCTCGGCGCGCGCCGCGTCCGCCTCCTGCAGCAGCGTCTGGATGTGCGACTGCTGCTGCGCCAGCTGCTCGCGCACTGCCGCCGCCTCGCGCGCCGCCGCCTCTGCCTCCCGCTGCGCACGCCTCTCCCCCTCTGCGCAGCGGGCGAGGTCAGCCCCGTGCTGCTCGCGGAGGGAGTGCTCGCGGCCCTCCGCCGCGAGCCGCTCCTGGCGCGCCGAGGCGGCCTGCCGCGCCACCTCCGCCCGGAGCAGCTCGTTCGAGATGGCCGCCGCCTCGAGCTTCTCGCCCAGCCCCTCGGCGCCCAGCCCCTCGGCGCCGAGCCCGCCGGTGCAGGCGAGCACACCGCGCTGCTCGGCCGCCTCGGCGGCGGCGGCCTCGGCGCCCGACTTGTCCGCCTTGAGCGCCGAGACCTCCGCGGCGTGCTCCTCCCGCGCACCGGCCAGCTCCGCCTGCGCCGTCTCGAGGCTGCGCTGCACGAGCTTGAGCCGCTCGCACTTTGCAGAGTACGCGGTGTACAGGTTCTGACCCTCGACGAGGATGCGGTCGTGCTCGTCCTGCCAGGCGGCGGCGTCCTCGCGCGCGTTGATGAGCTTGGAGAGCAGCTCCTGCAGCACGCCGGCGTCCACGCTCGCCTCGTCGCAAGCGGGCGGCGCCTCCGCGCCGGCCTCGGCGGCCGGCAGCGCCGTGGCCGGCAGCTCCGCCTCCGCCTCCGCCTGGGAGGGCGGCGAGAGCGGCTCCGCCGGGTCCTCCTCGTGGAGCGACGCGAGCGCAGTGACGGCCGGAGTAGTGGAGGCAGCGGCGGGCCGCGCGGGCGAAGCCTTGAACGCGCGCCGGCCAGGCTCGGGCGTGTTTGCCGAGCGCTCGGCGAGCCCCTTGCGGCCGGCGGCGGCGGACTTGCACGGCGAGCGCGAGGACGCCTCCTCGGCGTCGGGCAAGTGGAGGTCTGTCGCTGAGAGACCAAGGCCGAAGACGGAGACGGGCATACACACACTCTGTTGCGTTTGACTGTAGGTTGGCGCCGAGAACAAAGAAATCCATCGCGCTTACTGATTGCACTCCAAGTGCTCCAAGTGCCCCTATGTATCGTCATCTGTCTCGCGTCCACCCATGTGTGGTGGCGGCGTGCCGTCCTCCCATCCCTCCCTTGGGGTGTCTGTTTTTCTCTTTTCTTTTCTTTTCACGTCCACCCATACCGCGTTGGTGTCCAGTCCGAGCCTGACTGTTCTTCACCTTCCTACATACATACGACAGTGGGTGAGCAGTGGCCCGCTCCCTCGACCCACAGCCACGCGCGATCGGTGCGGCAGGCGTCCCCATGCATGCGGGCCGGAGCGGCGGCGGAGGTCGGGCTCGTACATCGGCGAGGACCCCGAGGAGCGACAGCTTCCAGCTGCCCACCTGCCCTACCTAACTAATCCTGCCCACACTCGGACTCGCACCGCCGAGAAAAGTCTTTGCCCCCGAACTCAACTAGAAGAACAGAGAGATACTATAAGTAATAAGATAAGAGAGAGACTCTCTCTCTTTCTCAACTAACCGTTTCTCACACGACTCGCAAAGACGAGGAGAAAAATCGCGGTTTTTCGCACGACGGCGAAATTTGGTGTGTGTTGAGAGTAGAGAGAGATTTTCAATACCAAACAACTCTAACACTCACACGTCATTGGGGCCTGGAGCCCCTGCAGACTGAAGTTTAAGGTCGTTTCCAAGTGGGGGGGGGGGGGGACAGATTTGGGCGGTCGACTTCAATTTTGGTGGGATTTACGACTGTTTGGGGGATCCTGCCGACGCGCTAACCGCACAGGCCCCTGCAGACTGATCGCCCTGGCATATAAAGGTTGTTGGAAAACAGAACTTCACCGGAGTTTAAAGTACGGTGGGGGGACAGCTTTGGACGGTCGACTTCACTTGGAGCACTTGGAGTGCGGTCATTAACCTCTCACGTCCAGGACCGGGGAGCTAAGAAGCGCACCCAGTTGGCCGGACGCTCGGCATCGGGTTACGGGCTAGAGAGCCCTAGCCCCGGGGGTGCGCGGTCGCAGGGCCATAACACGTCTCCGAGGGATAGTTCCGTGTACCGGGTTACCCCTTAACTGCAGAACGCACCCTCTTCCTCGACCGTGGGGGGGTGCGCGGTCGCAGGGCCATAACACGGGTCTCCGAGGGCGTACGGCAGCGCTCCGGGTTTCCCTCAGAAAAAGAAGGGTTCGCTCGCGCTTCCTTGGGCCCCCCTAGCAGCAGGCCGCTCCCCCTCTGCTCGGAGCTCGTGAGCGCGGCTCTTCATAAAAAGAGGAGGGGGCGCACCGCCCCGACGCAGTAACGTACTACGCGACGATAACACGAGAATACAAGAATACGCAGCTGCCAGACGCCTCTTCAATTCTGGCCGTTTTTGGACGATCGTTTTGCCCTGTTCACGCGCGCGAGCGAGTCGTGATTTCTTGTTCGTTAATAAAAATCTCTCTCTCTCTCTCTCCGCGCGCGCGAGACGTGCAGACAGGGTTGCCAGGTGTGAGCTTTGTTTTGTGTTGGGCATTACGAAATCTCAAATACTAAAAACCAATCAAGACTGACAGCGGGATTACCACTGGTGTTTCGTCCTCCTCGGAGTCGTTTTATTATTTTTTTGGCACGACTCGCGAAATCTGGGCGCGCGGGCGCTGGGCCACAGGGTACTGTCACCGCGGGAGCCGCGTTGACGAAGAATCGAGGTTGCGGCGCGTTGACGAAGAATCGAGGTTGTGTCTGGCGGCGCGCAACATGATCCTCCCCGCCGCCTTCCTTCTCTCCTTCCTGCGCCTGCCCCAGCCGTGGCCCGCGTCGTCGCGGCTCGCCGTGCGCCGCTCGCCCTCGCCCGCCGCCGCCGCCGCCTCGGCTGCCGCCGCCTCGGCTGCCGAGCCGACTGCCGAGGCTGCCGTCTTCTCCGACCTGCTGGCTGCGCACGGGCTGGCGACCGACTCAGTCGCGCTGCGCAGCGACGGGCCCGGCGGCCGCACCCTCGTCGCCGCTCGCGACCTCGGCAGTAACGAGGTCGCGCTCGCCGTGCCGCGCCGCCTCCTGCTCACCGCGCACCGCTCGGGCGCGATCGGCGGCCTCGCCGGCCAGACGGACCTGGTGTGGGACGCGGCGGGCGATCTGCGCGAGGAGGTTGGCGAGGCCATGTTCAAGCGCGGGGCGACATGGGACGTCCGACTCGCCCTCGCCGTGCTCGAGGCGACGGCCGGCTGCGGCGGCGAGCTGTGGGACGCGTACCGCCGCTTCCTGCCGCTGCCGCACGAGCTGAGCTCGCCGGTCTGCTTGCCCGCCGAGCTGCTCGCCGAACTCCGCGAGCCGGCCGTCGCCTCCGCCGCCGCCGCGCGCAACGAGCTGCTCGCCGACCTGTACGCACCGCTCATGGCGCACGAGGCGCACCCCGCCACGGCGGGGTACGTGGCGCGCGGCGGCGAGGCGGCGCGCGGGCTGGTGCCGGCGCCGCTGAGCTGGGCGTACGCGCTGGTGTCGAGCCGCTGCTTCGCGCTCAGCGGCGGTGACACGTTCGGCTTCGTCCCCTTCCTGGACATGTGCCAGCACTCCGCGGTGCCGTCGGCAAACTTCACATCGGACGAGCGCGGGATCGTGCTGCGGACGCTGCGCCCGGTGGCGGCGGGCGAGGAGGTCACCATCTCGTACGGGGGCGACTACTCCTCCCGCCGCACCTTCGAGCAGTACGGCTTCGTCCTCAGCGAGGGCTGCGCCGCGGACGCGACACTCCTCGAGGAGGCGGTCGCCGCCGCCGCCGCCGCCGGCAGCCTCTCGCCCGCGGATGTGATGCGCGACGCCTCCGCCGCAGAGCCGCCCACCGAAGCCGCCTTCCGCGCCGCCTGTGTGAGCGCGCGCGCCGCCACCGGCGACGACCTCGCCACCGACGAGCGCTTCACCGCGCTGCACCAGGCGCCGGCTGAGCCGTAGCCCGGCCTCCCCTCTCAAACCACCCGGCCCCTCTCAACGCCGTCGACTCTCGCCTGGCCCCCCGACCGAAAGCGGACGCGACCGACAGGTGCTCTTCGCTTCGGACGCGCCGCCGCCGCCGGCGACCCTGCTGCGCGCCGTCCGCTCCGCGCTCGCGCAGCAGGCCGACGGCGCAGAGGCGGAGGCGGCGCTCGACCAGCTCGCCGAAGAGGCGGGGGCGGCCGACTCGCGGCTGTGGAGCGTGCTCTCGTACCGAGTGTCGCGGCGGCGGCAGCTCGCGCTGGCCGAGGCAGTGCTGGAGCAGCTCGTGCCTGCTCAGCCTGGTAGCTGAGCCGCGCGATTCATTTTTCGGGCGCGGTAGCCGGTACATTAATCGATCTTCCGATCTAGCACTCATGCTGTAACTCGCTATAAGTAAATAAATATATCAAACGGTTAAACTCTGAGACGAGATGGGATTTAGGGACATCGGTGTGTTCCCGCCCTGCACACACAGAGGGAGGCTGAGGGACGACGGACGTCTTTGCCGACAGTCTCCACTTGTCCACAGAGTTGTCACGTAAATCGTTCTCTCAAAAATCGAGACCACACTGCACACAGAAGAGCCGCGATCGTCTTTGTCCCCTCGTTCTGCTTCTCCTGCGGTTCACACTCTCTGTGGCTAGCCCTTGGCCTCTGTGGCTATCGTATTAAGTGAGCTTCAAGGTTCACAAGTACCGGAAGTAGCGTCGACCGGCCCACCTGGACCTGCGCGCCCCTGGTCGTCGACCGTCTCGTCACCGACAGTGCGTCACGCGTCAGACATGACATCGAGCGAAATCACTGCAACGGGCACGGGCGGAGGTGTGCACAGCTGCCGCCGCGCCCGCGAGTCTGAAGCCGGCTGTCCCGAGGAAGCGGCTGCGCAGAGCTCGTGGAGGTATTCCGCCACGGAGACCACGCCGCCGCCCACGCGGACCTGGGCGATGCCGTTCGGAGAGAGGACGACACTCACCTTGCGAGGCCGCTCAGAGGCCACGCGGAGCTGCGGTCGGGAAGCGGAGGGTGAGAAATGCAGTGAGGGCGTGCACATGCAGGGCCAGTGTCATGACCTTGTATGACCCGCGCGAGAGGCGCTCGACCTCGACGCGGAGAGGCAGGGAAGCGGCGTGTAGTGCAGATGAGAAGCTGGTGTCGATAGGGTCCGAGGCGACGGCCGCGTGCGCTTGCAGCGCGCGGTGCTCGAAGGCGCTGGCGTGGATGCGCGCCTTAGCGGGGCTGCGTCAGCGGGAGTGAGAGCTGAGCCAACGTGTGGGCAGGAATTCTACGGGGCATCACCTCGAGCGCGTAGCGCGCAGCTCGCTCGGCTGCCAAGTCAGCCTCCGCACGCGCTCGCGCTGTCAGTGCCTCCTCGAGTCGCGCCTGTCTCAGAAAGAGCCGTGAGATCTGGGCTGCTGGTACCAAATCGCGACAGGTGGAAGGGCAGCTCGCCTCGATGTCAAGCTCCGGCTCACTCGGCGCATGCCGCGCCTCGCTCCTCGCATCGAGCTCCGTAGAGGCCAACGCCTCGGTCTGGAATCGCAGTGTTGTCACTTCCTCCTCTAGCCGCGAGAGCAGGCCACTTGTGCGTGACTCGGCCGCGGCCGCCTGAGCTTGCACGCCAGCGAGCTCGCTCTGCAAGTCGCCCATCGACTGCGACAGCGCTCGCGCTTCGTCGATCGACGCCTCCGCCGACTTAGCGGAGTCTAACCACTTCTCGAGGAGGGCCCGCTCTGCCGCATCGCGCTCCATCATGCCGTGCTTCTGCATGCTAACCTCACCCATAGCAACCTCACCCAGTGCTCGTTGCGAGTAGAAGTCCTGCGCCCGGCCTTTGCCCATCAGCAGCGCCGCCGCGTCAAGCTCGGCGGTGATAGTAGCGAGAAGGGTTTTGCCCGCCTCGCTAGCTTCCGATGCGTGGCCCTCGCGAATGCATACAAGTGTGCGAGCACACTCCGCCTCAGCATGCGCTCGCTGCTGCTCGAGGCTGGCGGCGATTTGCGCCACAGAGTCGGTGACGCCCCCTGTCGCCTCTTCGACACGAAGGTTAAGCTGCTCAAGCTTGGAGCTCATCTCGGCCGCGGCAGCCGACAGAGAGTCGCACGCGGTAGCACACGCGGCGTCTCCTTCTTCTTGCCGGACTCTCATCGCGCGCACTGCCTCTTCGTGTGCGGCAGCGCTCTTCTCGAGTCGCACGCGTGCCGAAGACGCCGCATCAGCCAGGATGGAAGCATCGGCCGGAGCGAGTGCGGAAACAGCGTCCAGCGCCTCTGCTTCTATCCGAGCCGCTCTTTGACTGGCGGAGGTCGTCAGAGCGCTGAGGGCAACATCCAGCTTCCTGTGGGTCAGCAGCGACTCCTCCCTGAAAGCGGCTTCTGCCTCTGCCACTCTCCGTTCGACAGTGGCCTGCTCCGACTCGCGGCGCAGCTGCTCCTCGCTGAGCGCGCTAAGCAGACCGCGTACGGCTGTGCGCACATTCTCCCGCTGTTTAAGCAAGGTTGCCCTGAGCTCAGCGGCCAGGCGCGCTTCTATCGAAGAAAGATCCTGCCTCACCTCCTCCTCCCTGGAGCGCACACGCAACTCGCAATCGGAGACCTTCGCCTCACAGGCGGAGAGGGCCGATAACGCTGCGGCAACCCGTGAATCCGGACCGTTGCTTGACGCACTCGAAGGATTTTTGCCTGAAGGAGCGGTCGCGGCACGCGGCATCCGGGGAACGGGGGCCAGCCCGGTGTGTTGCGGGTTAATCGCACCCCACGGCGTTGCTCGGCGGGCGCTGCCGAGAATTTTTTTTGAGCTGACTTCGATGTTAATAGAAACAAGCGAAGGCACACACAACATGACGCCAAACACACGATTGCACGATTTTTTTTCGAAAGGAAACGAGTGCGTATTCTTTTTAGCTCCGAGTAGAGGGCGCGTCCTGCAGTTAAGGGGAAACCCGGTACGCGGGGCCAACCCTCGGAGACCCGTGTTATGGCCCTGCGACCGCGCACCCCCCAGGGCTAGGGCTCTCTAGCCCGTAACCCGATCCCGATCATCCGGCCCGCTGGGTGCGCTTCTCAGCTCCCCGGCCCTGGATGTGAGGCTAATGACTGCACTCCAAGTGCTCCAAGTGCGACCCGGAGTGCGTTCTGCAGTTAAGGGGAAACCCGGTACACGGAACTATCCCTCGGAGACCCGTGTTATGGCCCTGCGACCGCGCACCCCCCAGGGCTAGGGCTCTCTTGCACCCGCAACCCGATGCCAATCATCCCCGGCCCGCTCGCTGGGTGCTCGATGGGTGCGCTTCGTCTTAGCTCACCGGCCCTGGGCCTGGGCGAGCGGTCTTAATGACCACTGCACTCCAAGTGCTCCAAGTGCTCCAAGAGAGACCCCGAGCCCCGACTGCTCTGGGTCGCGCGAGAGTGGGGGGCCACCCCTAAAGCCGTAGGGCAACCCGCCTGGCGACTCGTGGGGGGCGGCGCGGGCTCAGTTTTGCACATGATGACGAGTAGAACACGAGAACATGCGAATCAAAGTGGTACCTCTCGCGACACGTAGACGACACTAATAGTATATCCAGCTTGATGGCTCATGGCTGTGTGCTATGCCGCCCGGCCCGGGGTTACGTGGCCGCAGCGAGCGGCTAGAGCCGGACCGTCTAGCATCGACCGCATCTCCCATTAGCGCGGCGCGGCAGCCGAAGCGACGCAGGTGTCACAGCGTCGCATCCTTGTAGACGCCGGCGGGGACCGTGCGCGGCTGGTCCGAGGGGTTGATGAGCTTGACCTCGCCCTGGAAGACGACACCGCTCTCGATCACGAACGGGCCCTCGACGGTGAGCTTTGTGCAGCGCAGCAGCGACGGCGCGCCGTCCGGGATGAGCGTCGCCAGCTGGTCGCAAAACTTGTACGACCCGTCGAGCTTGATGATGGGCGGCACGCCCTTGCGCTCCGGCGCGAGCGTGACGCAGTGCTCTGGCGTCACCTCGTACGCGTCGCTCTTGAGCGCGAGCAAGTCGCCCGTCGTCTTGACGGGCGCGAAGCGCGAGCGCGGGGTCAGGATCGCCTTCGCCTCGGCGCCAAAGCACTGGATGGCGGCCCCCATCGCCGTCTCGAGCTGCAGCACCGCCGCAGAGGCCTTGTCGCGCGGGTCAACCGTCTTCTTGTTGCTCATCACCTGGTGCGGGGGGAGCGCGAGAGGCGGGCTCGCGCGAAGGGTGCTGGCAGCGGAGGGCCTCCTCGCGGCCAACTCACCGGGAGCGGCATCACGCCCTTGCCGAGCCGCATCTTCTTCTGCAGCGCCTCGAGGTCGAGCCACAAGTTGTTCGTGTTGAAGAAGCGGTGGCGATTCACGTCCGCGAAGCGCGCCTCGTCCTCCTCGGGGCACTGCGCGCTCTCGCGCAAAAGCAGCCCGCCCGTCTCCGCAGACCTGGCCAGGTGGCCACCTGGACATGTCTCGGACATGTCATGGACGTCTCATGGACATGGTCATGTTCATGCACATGCACATGTCTCCGCAGATAGCATCTGGGCTAGATCTCGGCTGTATCTCGGCTAGACCTCGCCCTTCTTGTCCGAGTCGGTGCGCGCGGCAACCTCCATCGCAAAGGGAGCGCCCGACTGCGCGAACCACGTCAGCAGCGTGAGGTCCATCGTCGCGCCTACAGCGACACGACGCGCACGAGTGAAGGCGAGCGTCGGCGGGGCTCTGCCCGGCTGTCGCCGCGCCGCGCCGAGGTTGTCCGAGTTGGAGACAAACATGTACTTGTAGCCCTCCCTGAGCAGCCGGTCGAGCGTGCCGGAGCCCTCCATCGCCGGGTAGAGGTCTCCGTGCCCCGGCGGGCACCACTCGAGCTCGGGGTTGGCGGGCCACGAGGCGGGGGACAGGTCGGCGGCACTGACCTTCGGTGCCTTGTTTTGCAGAAACTCGAGCGGCAGCTCGCCCTCGTTGCTCAGATTTGGGAAGTTGTGTTTGAGCAGCGCCATCGAGTCCGCCTGCGGGGTGGGGCGGGCGGCGGGGTCGGGCGGGGTCGGGCGGGTGGGTGGCGAAGGAGCGTCACGGAGTGGCGGGGTGGAACGATGGGTGTGGGAGGCGGGGCTGGCGGGGTGCAGGCGGCACCGATGTGGAGAAGGAGTTCATCAGCAGGAAGGCGAGCGATCCCCCGGAGGCGTGCCGCATGTGCAGGACCTGCTTGGCAATCAGGTCGAGGAAGGTGTCGTCGCCGGAGATCGGCAGCAGGCTCTTCGCCTTCTCGAGTCCCATCCCGGTGCCGAGCCCGCCGTTGAGCTTGAGCATGACAGTGTGCTGCAGCAGCGACCTGTTCACGGTGTGATGTATGAACATATCCTTCTCAGTGAGCGAGTGACGAGTCGCTGCAGCAGCGACCGGTCTGGCTGCACGGAGATGTCCTCGAGCGCGGGCAGCTGGTCCACCTGAGGGAGGTCATATTAATGTCAATATGACTATTCATGTTCATAGGCAGCTGCCCCGCCTGGGAGAGGCGGCAAGGCCGAGCGGAAGGTCGGGCGGCGGCGCCGCTGGCGGCGCCGGGCTGGGGTGGCGGCGCAGCAGCGGTGGGCGGTGTTGCGGCGGCGGGCGGCGCGCCGGGAAGATCGCGTCCTCGGGTATCATCATGGAGGCGGCGGAGCGGAGCTGCTCGTAGTTGTGGACGAAGGCGTCGATGGCGGAGCGGGTGCAGCCGGCGTGCTTCATCTAATTACGGGGTGTGGAGGCTGAGTTGATGGAAATCCGGGGACGCGACCCGCTTCGCCACAGACGGTCCCGCGCCTTGCGGACGAAGCGGAGGGTCGGGTTCGTGAGGTAGGACGGCTTTGGCGAAAGGCAGTCCATCGCCGACTCCATCAGCCGCTCCCACCAGCTCTGCTTTGCGCGGTAGACTTGAATGAAGTGGCAGTACTCATCAAAGTTGACGGTGCCCGAGCCGTCCACGTCCGCCTCCTGGAAGAGGCCCGTGACCTCGCTGCGGAGCGGCATCATCCCCGAGTCGATCATCGCCTTGCGAAACTCGGCGTGGTCGAGCGCACCAGAGCCGTCTGCGTCGAAGTGATCGAATGCGAGGCGGAAGCGGGCCCGCTCCTCTTCCGTCAGCGGCGTCAGCGACGCCTCCGTCGCAGCCCGCTTCTCCTCCTCCTTCTTGGCCAGCGCAGCCACGTGAGCAGCCCTGACCGCTCCCTCGTCTCGCAGCGAGCAGCCTGCCGTTCCCGCCAGATCCTCGAGCGCCGCACGGCCCTTGCTCCACGTGGCGTCGATCTTGTCGGCCTCGACGCCGTTCTCGAGCAGGAACCACCGCACCTCGGCGAGCGTGAGGGGCATTGCAGATGCTGTCTCGCAGATTCTGCCCCTCTGTGTGGCGGCTCGGTCGGACGCGGCGGGCACGGCATTTTTCTTTTATTTCCTTATTCATTTCTTTCTTTTTACGTTTTTTCGCTTATCTCTACATCAGGTAGTCCCTTGTCATGTGAGAGAGTGCGTTGTGTTCTTGCCGACTCGAGTATCCGCTTTCGCGAAATAAATAAACAAACAAAGAATAAATAAAACGGACATCCCAAGCTGGGCGGAGTTGCGCCGAAAGGCGAAAGAAGCCGCGAGAACAAGGGACCGGCAGGCGGCGGCGCCGCAGGACGAGGCAGAAGAGAACGACGCGACAGAGGAGGAAGTGACAAGGGAGAGAACGACGAGAGTGGGACGACCGCGAGGTGGCATGAAGGTTGCAGCGAGAAGCGGCGAGAGACTGCGAAGAGAGATAGCTGATAGGAAGAGGCAGACTCCCTAGGGTGGGCGACGGCTAGCGCATCACACACCTCTCCTTAAAATCCCTGTGTGGTGGCGGCGTGCCGTCCTCCCATCCCTCCCTTGGGCTGTATGCACTTGGAGCAGTTGTATGTTTTCTTTCTTTCTTTCTTTACATCCCAAGATAGGGCTGGGTCGAGGACAGTTATGTCCCCGCCTTTGCAGGATTTTGCAAAAGCGAGGGGGGAGGGCGCATCGCCGCGCGCGGAGAGGGCTGGCACAGGGGACAGGGGATCTCTCTCGCACAGGATACACACTCGGCACGAGGGCAAGGCTGGGCGTCCTTTTGTGCTCCGCCCCGGACCCCTCGCTCTCGGGCACTATCCATCTGACCACTCATCGACGGGGCTTGGCGAGCGGCCGCGCTGCGGGGCAGGGCTGGTGAGAATGGGCTCCGGCCACTCGCCCGTGCGGGTGTAACCCCGCATCTGTCGGACAGAGGCCTCGACCGCCCCTCGCGGCAAGCTCTCGAGCAGCTCGAGAAGCTCGCCCGCCGCCACCGCCGCGTCGAACTGCGTCCTCATGCCGAGCGCGCCGCATACCCTGCGGACCGCCGATATGGGGTTCCCCGAGCGATAAGAGGCCCTGCACTTCGTCCGGCGTATCGGTTTCATAGCCGGACGAGTCAGCGGAGGCGGCCCGCTTGGCGGGCGGAGAGTCGGGCGACGGCGAGCGCGACTGGCGCGAGGGCCCGCTGCCGCGCGCGGACAGCGCGTTCTTGTCAACGAGACGGGGTCCAGCATCGGCACGGCCCCTGGCACCGCGGCCCTTGCCGCGCTGCTGCTGCCCACCACGCTTCCTTGCCCGGGTTAGGGACAGTGAAGGAGCAGCCACGCACTCCGCCGCCGCTGGGCGGCGGCGGCACGCGCGCGGCGGCGGTCGGGCCCGCAGGCGCGGCGGGCTGGCCACCCGCGGTGGCACCCTGCGGCTGCGATGCGGCTGCGGCGGCGTACGTCTTGGACGCCGGCTCCGCGGCTGGCGGCGCGGCGGCAGGGGCTGGCGGCGCCGCAGGGCTCGCGCTCGCGTGCGGCTCCGTGGCCTGCGCCTGCCGCTCGTGGCGGACAGCGCGCTCGAGCTGGGAGTGCGGGTGAAGCTGGACGACGACCGTTCTGCGTCGTGGTGAAGGAGACCGAGTACGGCGCTTCGCCGTCGTTCTTCTCCTCCGCGTAGACGAGGCGTAGTCGCACACCTGTCGTTGGTGTTCAGTGAATGTGCACTCAGTGCACCGCTTTCTCTCTGAGGGAGGGTGTAGAGGATGTAGAGTGTTCAGTGTAGAGCGCTGTAGAGCTGTAGAGATGTAGAGCGCTCTGGAGCGCTGTAGAGCTATAGAGCTCTACATCCGCCGCGTGACGAAGCGCCTGCGTTGTAGAGCGATGTAGAGGCGCTCTACAACGTGAAGTCTCTACAACAAACTCTACATCATAAGCGGCGAACGAGGCACGGTCGCTCTCCGACATGAGGCGCGTTGCACTTGCCAGTGCTGCCCTGGCCTTCTGTCTGCCCGCCCAATGGGTGGCAGGTGCCTCTGCTGCTGTGGCATGCCTCACGGCTGCGACTGGCCGGCGCCTCGGCGCGTCAGCTCGGCTCGGCGTAGCAATAGTGGCCAGCGCAACTCGCCTGGACTCAACGCTCAGCCAGGAGCTCCCGCACGCGCTGGCGCGAGTCATGGCGCATGCAACGCGCAGCAATGCTCGCCTCGCCTCGCGCAAATGCGACCGTCCCTCGCAGCCGACAGTCCACCGCCTGCTAAAGAAGCACAGCGACGAATGCGGCGCCGGCGACGCATGGCAGGCTGGTCATGACGCAGTTATAGGGTGTTGTGTGCCGTCAGAGTGACTCTCTGTGTGTCAGGGGTAGTCAGGGCCGTCCATCAGAGCTCCAGTAAGCTCGGAGACACCCCATTAGTGCGACTCGGCCTCTTTGAGTCACTGCCTTCCTGGCGGTTTGGCTGTAGAGCCTCTACAACAAAGAAGAAGAGAGACTCTCTCTCACACACACAACAAACTCTACAACAAAATCGTGCTCTACATCGCTCTACAAACAACGCAGGCGCCTCGTCACGCGGCGGATGTAGAGCTCTAAAGCTCTACAGCGCTCCAGAGCGCTCTACATCTCTACAGCTCTACCTACAGGCTCTACACTCTACATCCTCTACACCCTCCCCTTGGAGCACTTGGAGTGCAGTCATTAACCGCACATCCAGGGCCAGGGAGCTAAGAAGCGCACCCAGCGGGCCGGATGATTGGCATCGGGTTGCGGGCAAGAGAGCCCTAGCCCCGGGGGTGCGCGTTCGCAGGGAAAAGGGCCGTAAAGTAAACACGGGTCTCCGAGGGTTGGTTCCGTGTACCGGGTTTCCCCTTAACTTCAGAACGCCCCCTCTACTCGGAGCTAGTAGACATGACACTGTACACCACGCACGTACACAGGTCCTCACTCAGCATCCCGTCCGTCCCACAGGGTTCCACCGCCCGACTTCCCGGGGCTCCGGTTCTCCCTGATTCGCTCTTTTATTCGCCAGCCGAGCGTCGCCTGACGGCCGCTGTAGCCGTGTCTGATGTCTCTTCTTTGGTCGAGGTCTCGCCTCCGCTTCACCTCCGACTGTGGTACTGCCTCGCGAGGCTTCTCTTTGTGACTCTGTCCCTTGCCGCCGGCGCGCGCGCGCAAGTTCGTTTTGCGCGTGGGCGCGCTCGGCTCAGGCACAGCTACTTGATCTCTCCACGCGCGCTGCCCGCCTGTGCAGCGAGCGCCATGCAGCGGCTCCTTGGCACGCTCATGTTTGTCAGCGTTCTGCTGCTCGCGGGCATGATCCTACTCGCACACGGCACGCTCGCAAATGGCTCGCACGACGCTCAGCAGGATGCGGTCGCACACCACCTGACCCGCATCCAGTCGGCGCAGACGCGCATCGAGAAAAAGCTCCACGATGTGGAGGACCAACTGGCGGTTGCCACCTCCGCCGCTGCCACCTCCGCCGCTGCCACCTCCGCCGCTGCCACCTCCGCCGCTGCCGCCTCCGCCGCTGCCACCACTGCCGCCGCCGCCTCAAAGTCGGACGCTGACGATTGCCCCGGCCGGGTTCCCTTCCACGGCCTGCTCACCTGCCAGGGCAGCGTCTATCAGCAGTGGCAGGCGCGCATCATGTACTTTCACTGGAAGAAGCAGGCGGCCGCCGCGGGCCCGTGCGGCGACATGGGCGGCTTCACGCGGCTGGTCGCCTCGGAGGGCGGCAAGCCGGACGGGCTCGAGGGTGAGATCCCGTCCGTGTTCGTGCCCCAGCTCCCCGCGTCGGTCATCGAGTCGCACTTCCACTTCGGGGTGCTCAACCGACCCGAGTCGGTCCGGCAGCTGCTCGCCTCCCCCGCCCTGCTGCGGCAGATCACCTCCGACTTCGTCCTCGTCCTCGAGACGGACCACGTGCTGATGCAGCCCATACCCAACCTCGCCACCCGAACCACGCCCGCCGCCTTCACCTTCGGCTACATGCACGCGCATGCGAGCCAGGAGCGGGACCACCGCCGCCCTCGTCACCCGCCGCCCTCGTCACCCGCCGCCCTCGTCACCGCCGCCCTCGCCACCGCCGCAGGACTGGGTGATCCAGCGCTACTGGCCGGAGGGCTCGTCCGCCTCCCTCGACCCGGTCGGCCCCTCGCCGCTGCTCATCCACCTCGACCAGCTCCGCGCCATCGCGCCGCGCTGGCTCAACTCTCCGCTCGCGCTGCGCCTAAGTAGTCGTTAATTAATGGTTAATGAGCAAATTACAGGCTCAACTTTTCGCTCGGGCTGCGCTCGAACGCTGACGCGGAGCGGGTGATGCAGGGCTGGGTGCAGGAGATGTGGGGCTACTCGATCGCCGCCGCCTCGCTCGGCGTCAAGCACCGGCTCGTGCGAAACTTCCAGGTCGAGAGAGGTGCGGCGACACCAGTCCTCGATCCGGCGAGTGACTCCTCCAGCCCAACCCTCCAGGTCGAGTACGGCGCGAGCGCCGGCCGCATCCCGCCCGAGTTCCCGACTCTCTCCTACATCTTCCACTACACGTGCGGCCCGCCCCGGCCCTCCGCACACAGCGACCCTCTCCCGCACCTCCCAAGCTGCCGCCTCCCGCCGGACGGCGCGAGCAGGTACGGGATCGAGTACACGCTGCAAGGCCGGCCGCAGGGCGTGATGCAGATCGGCGCGCGACTTAGCCGAGACGCAGCCGAGACGCAGCCGAGATGCAGCCGAGACGCAGCCGAGACGCAGCCGAGACGCAGCCGAGATGTAGCCGAGACACAGGCGAGATGTAGCCGAGACACAGGCGAGATGTAGCCGAGATGTAGCCGCCGCAGGGCGTGATGGCTCGCGCCTTCCTCCTGCCCATCGAGGGGGAGACCGCGCCGCCACGTAGGCGAGTGGTCGCTCGACAAGCGGCACTACGGCGCCGACCACCCGCCCCGCGGCCTGCAGCTGCCTCCCGACGGCGCCAACGCGGCCGCGTTTTGGCTCACGCGCGCGTGGAACGAGGCGAGCGCCGGGATACCGGCCTGGCCCGACTCGCACTCGATGGGCACCGTGGGGTGGCGGCGCAACAAGCCGACCGCCGATGAGCTCGCCGCCTCGCCTCTCGCGCGGCGGGTGGAGGGTTCGCGCTGGAGCTGGAGTGGCGTGGCGGGCTTCGAGTTCGCGCGGGGCGGCGAGCTGGTCACGCCGTGGGGCAAGGGCGTGTGGGGGCTGGTGAGCAAGGCGGCGGGCGGCGCCGACGACCCGAGCAAGGATGCGCAGGTCAAGGCGTGCGCCGACTGCCTCTTCGCCGATTTCGCCAACGCCAACCACAACGTGCGCTTCTCCTGGGACGCCGACCCGCCAACCTTTCGGTCGGTCCGCGTGGGGGACCTCCAGGAGGTGGCCGGCAAATGGCTAGGCGGGGGAGGGCCCGCGGCGTGAGGCTTTTGCGTGTGTGAGACTGTGACAGCATGTGTGTGACATTGCTCCTCTTCAACTTCATCGTCGTCCGCCCGTAGCCGTTGCCACGGCTACCAGACAAAAACACAGAGAGACACAACTCAACAGCACCGACTGAGATGTGAGAAAGCCGGAGTTTGGCGCCAAAAAACCGCCAACCCCGCTACTCGGCCTGCAAAAAGACAAAAAGTTTTTCCGGAAAAAGTGCAACCATGAACCAAAAACGCGCTAGCCGTCGAGAACACGTAGCGTCATCACGTAGCGCTTCTTTATCTTTTTGGTGTACCTGTGGTAGTGCCAGTGGCAGAAAGAAAGAAAACGGACAAGCCAAGGGAGGGATGGGAGGACGGCACGCCGCGGCACAAGGGATTTTAAGTGCCAGTGGCGTGTGAACCAGAAAAGTGCCAGTGTGTGGCGTGTGAAAGAAAGAAAAGAAAGAAAACAGACAACCCAAGGGAGGGATGGGAGGACGGCACGCCGCCACCACACAGGGATTTTAAGGAGAGGAGTGTGGTGCGCTAGCCGTCGCCCACCCTAGGGAGTCTGCCTCTTCCTATCTCTTTTCGCAGTCTCTCGCCGATTCTCGCTGCAACCTTCATGCCACCTCGCGGCCGTCCCATTCTCGTCGTTCTCTCCCTTGTCACTTCCTCCGTCGCGTCATTCTCTTCCGCCTCGTCCTGCGCCGCCGCCGCCTGCCGTTCCCTTGTTCTCTCGGCTTCTTTCGCCTTTCGGCGCAGCTCCGCCCTCCTTGCTGCATATCCTGGCCCCTCGAGTCTATCGAGCTCCCCTCGCGCAAGGACCACATTTCTGACTCCCACTCCGATCATTTGCCTACAGGTCATGTTGTTGCTCAGGTCCACTCTCTCTTCGAAGACTCGTGCCTCTACGGATGATGCCGGCGCTGGGGTCCCCTTCGGATGCATCGTGACATCTGACAACTGAATTTCCACTGGTTCGTCCTCCTCGGAGTCATCTTCCCCGTCCTCCTTCCGTTCGGCTCTTCGCTCGGTACGTTCGGTGTGGCTCACCCTCCATGCCGTGAACAGGCGCTTTATCCACCCTATATTCTTCTCTCGTTCCTCTGCCCGTGCCTTGGTCTTGTCGTTGTTTCGCACCCATGTCTGTATGGCAATCGAGGCTGCCTTCCCCACTACCTGTAGTTCACTCGTCACCTCTCCCGCGAGCTCCCTTCTCTTTCTTTCGGGTATGGAGTCCGTGAGTGCGGGTAGCGTGCAGGCAATCACGGGCGCTATTTTGTCGTACTCCTCTTCGGCGAGCGCTCCAAATCTAGACCCTTTCGCTTTTAAGGAGGCTGCCCTCGCTCGTCTCAGGAATGTGGCGGTGTCTTTTGAGTCCGGCGCCTCCCGTTCAACTCTTGCTGTCGCCCTCGCTGTGTGTTTGTCGAGCTTCCGCATGAAGTGACGCGCCTCTTCCTTATTTCCAACGCAGTTGCCGCTCAGTATGTGCGCCAACGACGCCTGTGGTGGCTCACTGTCTTCTTGTTTCCAGTCGTCCCAGTCTTTCAGCTCCCCGCGTGTGAACGAGACTAGTCAATTTTGGTTTGCCCTCTTTTTGGACAGCCCTCGCAGCGCGCCCGCCCCGGCCGCTTCGCCGCCCGCCAGCCTGGCTTAACCCCGTCGCCAATGCTCCCGCGGAGGAGGGCGGGATCAAGTTACGCTCACGTCGAGACGGCCGATGTCGCGCTTCCGCTGTGCCAGGAGCGGTCACGGATCATCGCTCAGCGCATCCAGTTCTCGCGGCAGTGGACATGCCTCTTCACCGTGGCCATCGTGCTGAACGGCATCTTGCTGCTCTGGACTGTCCTCGAGGCCACCACCGAGGTTGGAGACGTTGTCGACCCGCCCGTAAAACGCGCCGTCTTTTGCGCCTTTGACTCGGTCGTGACCGCCTTTGTCCTCGCCGAGGTGAGTCTGAACTGGATGACGCAAGGTGCCGCCATTTTTTGCAGCCAGTGCTCCAACTGGGTGGACGGCTTTGTCGCGGCCCTCAGCATGGCGGCTCTTGGGATGGCGTTGGCCGGCCCTGCTGCCAAGCTCGAGGAGGATGAGGAAGTCGAGGCGGTCGTGATGCTTGTGCGGTACGTGGCGCAGCTACTGCGGCTAGGGGTGGTGGTGCGGAGTGCCAGGAGGCAAGCGCGCAAGAATCGGCTGGACGTCGACCTGACCTTTGTCGAGATCGACCCACTCTCAGACGAGGAGCCGCTGCGGGACGGCATGCCGGCCTCCGCCAGGCGGGCGCTGCAGAGGCCGATGGGGATGGCCGGTATCCAGCAGTATCCCGCAGCGTGCAGTATGAAGAAGAGCCGCTCGATGCCCTCGCTTCCGTCGCCACGGCAGCTGCAGGCGTTTTGGAGGCCCGGACCAGCTCAGCGTCGGGAGGCCACCGGCGGAGGGAATCACGTCTCTGAGCCCTCACCTACCTCGCCCACGTCAGAGGTCGCCTCAGACCTGTTCGCTCGACCCACCCTCGACCCGCCTCAGACATGGCGTAGAGATCCCGTCAACCCTGCTGCGCGCGATGACTAGCGCGATCATGAGACCGATGTCTCTCTCGCTAGCGGGCGGGGACCTGTTCCTTTTTACCCATCTCTCCTCTCGTACCCTCGACGGTGTCGCGCTGTCGGTGAGGCGTCCGCGTTTTTTTATTTGTACGTGTTTAGGATCTCTCGCTAGCGGTCGCGCCTCCCAGACACTCGCCGTCCTTGCCACTCTGGCAGCCGACGGCTCGAGGGAGGAGCGAGAGCGGCAAGGAGCGGGACGGGTGGGCGGCAGCGAGGGCGAGAGCGCAGCGGCCCGGCGAGCAGATGCGCGCGCTCACCGTGTGCACGTACCGCTTCTGCCTCTCTCCGAGCGTCTTCGAGCCGAGCCGCATGCCGAGCCAGCGCGCCACGTACGCCTCGTGGCAAGCGGCGCGGGCCAGCTCAACCGGCGGCCCCGCTGGCGACGCGCCCGCGCGAGGCACGCTCTCGACGGCGAGGGCGCGCGCCTCGGTCTGCCGCAGCTCGCCCGTGTGCAGCTCGCGGACCGCCGTCTCGATGCCGAGCTCCGCGTGCAACGCCTACCCGCTGCGGCGGCCGCGCTAAGGGCGCCGGCGTGAGGAGGGTCTCCTCCGGAGGGGGAGAGCGCCACGCTCAGCGCGGCGACAGCCCGCAGCGCCTCCCAGCAAGAGCCGTCGTCGGTCCACACCTCGCTCGCGCAAAAGTGCGGCCCGCCCTCGCCCTGCCCGCCGGCGGGCGGCTCGACCACGAAAGCATACCGGAGCGGCAGCTGCGCCTCCTGCACCCACTGCGCCGCGTGGAGCGCGCCGAGGGGCCCGCCCGCCCGCTCGTCGGGGGGGAGGCACGCCTGGGGAGGGGGAGGGGGGCGGGGAGCGGGGCGGGGAGTGAGGCGCCCGCCGTCGGGCTGACGGGCCGAAGCCTGCATTGCCCTCGCCTGGTCGCAGCCCGGCCAGCCCGCGTTCACGCTTCCCGCGGCCTCCGCCTCGCCCCGCTCGCTCCGAAGCCGCCGCAGCTTCTGCGTGACTCCGGCAGGCGCGCGCGTCGGCCACGGCAGCAGCGTGTACCCGGACCGGTCCGCCGTCGCGAGCGCCTGCGTTAGCATCATTGTTGTTGTGGTTGTGGTTGTGATTGCTTCTGTTCTTGCGCGCCTGCGTCAGCATGGCGTACTGCGAAAGCAGCGCCGCACCGCAGAGCCGCCACTGGCCGCCAGGCGAGGGCTCGGCCCAGCCGCTCTCGACCATCGCCCGGCACGTCGCGTCGTGGAGATGGCGCTCGTTGTTGCGTGCTGGACCGACCGCCTCCGCCGCCTCCGCCGCCTCCGCCGCCCCAGCGGCCGCGCCACCCTGCAGCGCGAGAAGCTCGGGCCGGACGGGAGCCTGCTCGTGCACGAGAGCACCCACGCGGCAGGTGGCCCGGTGCAGCTCGCCCCGGAGCGCGCGCTCCTCCTGCTCGAGAGGGTTGAGTCGGTCGGCCAACTCTCGCTTCGCTCGCGCCGCCGCAGCTCGCGTCTCGCTGCTCGAGCCAGGAGCCCTGGCGGCGGTGGCCGCAGAGGCAGCCTCTGCGCCCGCCTCAGACCGCACGGCGCGGATCCGCTGCAGCTGCTCACGCCACCGGCTGTCCAGGTCGACAACGGCGGTGACCGCGTCGACGCTGGCGCCGCGCCGGCGCTGTGACTCGCGCGCGACGTCCGGATCGCCACCCGCGTCGACTCGAAAGGCATTGAGGTCGAGCATATAATGCGTATTGTATATGCCGTGAATGACCTGGCGCGACGCCTCGCTTCGCCCGAGATCGTCGCGGCGTGTGAGCGCCCTCCCAGGCCGCCTGCTGGTCTCGAGCGCGGCTGGCGCACGCCTCGGCCTCCGCCGCACCCCACCGCGTGGCGGAAACGAGCCGCGGCGCCACGGAAGAAAGCGTGCATGAGAGTCCGTTACGCAAAAGCATGCCGACTTGCACTCTTTCGTGCCACTCGCTCGCGGGTGCGCGGGGCATGGCCTCCCGCGCGGCTCGCGCTCACTCGGCCTGCCTCCGCCTCACGGCTGGCTGAACACGCCATGGGTCCGCCTGGTGCGGCGCTGCTCGCTCGCTGCGCTGCAGAAAGCTGCGAGAAGCAGGGTGGCCTCCTGAGCTTGAGCATGGCGCAGCGCGGCTGCTGGTGCTCGAGGGCGGCCGTGCAGTGGCGTGAGGGCCTGATTGGTGGTGACCTCGTGCTGCTTCAGCGTGCGCAGCATGCTCCCTCACCCGGTGCTGAGACATGCTGGTGGGCGACTGGCGCCAGCTTCTCAGTGCTGTCCCTGGCGTTGTGCAGCATGTCGCAATACTCCTGCTGCGCTGACCGGCGCGCGGGGCGCGTCGTGCCGCGAGTGGAGCGAGAGGCTCGAGGCGCGCGGCTGTCGGTCAACCCTGCGGCGCATGCGCGCCGCCAAGGCTGCTCGACAGGCGACTGGCATTGTGGCGACGCGGTCGCCGTTACTCCAACTTTGCTTTGCCGATCAAAAGCGCCCGTCCTTTGCTTTTTAGCCGCCGAAATTTAGCTGGCTGTTTTTTCTTTATAGGCGTCTGCAACTTCCAAGCTGCGTATTCTTCTTGTAGGTACTCCGTGGGGGCAGTATGTATTCTTGTAAGATGTGCGTATTCTCGTCTCACTGGCTCCGAGTAGAAAAAGAAAGAAACATGTTCCGTGTCCACTAGCTCCGAGTAGAGGGGGCGTTCTGCAGTTAAGGGGAAACCCGGTACACGGAGCCCTCTCGGAGACCCGTGTTTACTTTACAGCCCTTGCCCTGCGAATGCGCACCCCCCCTAGCTAGGGGTCAGGGCTCTCTAGCCCGTAGCCCGATGCCGATCATCCGGCTCGCTGGGTGCGCTTCTCAGCTCCCCGGCCCTGGATGTGAGGTTAATGACTGCACTCCAAGTGCTCCAAGTGCGTGCGCCTGAAGACGTGGTGTCGCTCGCAGCTGCACGGTCTGTGTGTCGCTCGTGCGTGTCGTCATCATCTGTCCAGCGTCCACCCATACCGCGTTGGTGTCCAGTCCGAGCCTGGCTGTTCTTCACCTTTCTACCTACCTACCTACCTGCACGGTGATCCTGGCTGCCCAAGCACTGTGAGCCGACCGCATATATGTATTCTAAAAAACGACGTGGAATATTCGCCACAAGCAGGAGCGGCGGTAGAGCGTGGCGTCGGCGGCGCAGCGTGTCCTCCGCGACGTCGTCGTCGACGACTCGGACGCACGCGTCTCGGAGCGATGCGGAAGATGCGGGAGAGGAGACGGGAGCGGCCAGCGGAGCTAGCAGCGACGAAAGCGAGGGCGGAGATGTTGCGAGCGGTTCTGCCTCAAGCGAGGATGACATGCTCGCTCTGTCCGAGTATATACGTGTACCCACGGGTCGAGCCTAGTGTCTAATAAATAAATAAATAAAACGGGCACGCCAAACGAGGGGTGGGAGAAGGACAGGGTCCCCACCTGCACGAGCAGGATCTTGTAAGGACGATCAGGGACACAGGGGAACGGGAGCGGGGAGCGCATCGCGACACGGAGGGGGGCTGGGCAGGGTTCACCCACACGACAGTGTCTATCTATCTATCTATCTAGCGTGGGCGTTTTTTCTTATATCTCTACGTCATGGACCTCGCCGAAGCACAGGCTGCCGCCTCCTCGGAGGGCCTGGTGCTCGTGCGCTGCGCTGGCTGCGCAAGTGGGTTCAAGGGTGTTTACGCGAATGGAGGCGGATATCGAGGCTGCTACCAGGACCAGAGTTCCAGGCCAAGGGGCACAAGGAAGCTTCCGACGGTGGGATCCGCCGTCGAAGCCGCGCTCCAGCTCTCGCGGAAGCTCCGCTGGACGGCTGCCTGCACGTGCCGTGTCTGCGCACCGCCGCCGCCGTCACCGGCGGCACGGGACGAGGCCACTGTTGTTGCTGCAGCCACGCAGGCAGGCCTCACGCTCGCAAGCTCGGAGGGTGAGACCGGCTAGAGGGGTGTATACCTCGATACCCGCCTCCATTCGCCGCGCTACACCGTGGACCGAAGGGCTCTCGCTGAGTTTCAACTCGACCAGCCGCCGGTCTCCTTTGTGACAGCTCACGAAGCCGTTTTTGGGTGGCCGAGCAGCTCGGCCCTGAGAGGTCGGCCGACTTTGCGGCGGGCCGTGCCACGTGGTCCCAGGACGAGATGGTCGACGCGTTGCTGCAGACCGCCGATGGCCGGGCCTTTGGCGGCAGGGAGGCAAAGTCTCTCTTCGGTGGCTTCCTCTGTGACTCCTGCGCACGCAAGCCCGCGGGCGAGGGTTGCGGGCTCCTCTTTCGCTCTGCGCACGCGGCGCGCCTCCATGGGCAGCGGAGGAGGCTGCGTGGGAGGGCGACGAGCAGGCCTCGTGGTTTGACATCCACCCTCACCGCGGGCCAGGCGGCCGGTTGATCCCCAGCGGCACCTACCACTGCACGCACCGCACCTCCGACGGCACCTGCTGCGCCTTCGCGCTCGAGGGGATACCTCTGTACGGCAACTTCGAGCACTGCATGTACTACAAGTTCGGGGAGCCGGCGCTCGCCATGACGCGGGAGATGGAGGCCCACGAGAAGTCGCACCTCAAGGAGATGCCACTGACGCGCGAGGAGTGCGACGAGGCCTGCTTCAACCTCACGTGTCAGGGCTACGAGCGCATGTACGAGCTGGAGGTGGCCGACAACGAGTCGGGCTTCGCGGGTGTGTGGGTTCACCGAGCAGGCAAGAAGCGCTACCATGTTGGAGAGGCGTCTGGCACCTTTGCCACCGCGCACGAGGCCGCCCTCGCCCGCGCAAAGGCGCGCACCAAGGCTCGGCAGCAGCAGGCACAACACGAGGTGCGCTCGTCGCGCGAGGCCACTCGCGTGCCCTGAGCGGCCTCGCCGGCAACGCGTGGGGCTTAGCGTCCGTGTACTGTGCCGGCCGGCCGCGTGTCTCAGCGCAAGGGGGTGGGGGTCGGGGAGGCACCACCCTAACCGAGTCTGTCTTTCTAGTCGTGGCCGCCTATTAGCGCCAGTGTGTCCCGACACTCGCGGGGGGAACCTACATCTGTCTATGCCTCCACTCATTGTAACACTCGAGTGCCCGTTCTTTCGTCCCAGGCGCGTGAGGAGAAGCGCAGCGTAGAGAGAAAAACCGCCGTCGCGGAAAACTGTCGCTCCGCTCTCGAGAGAGAAATAATTGGTTTGCTCATCTTCGGTGTGCGTGTGAAAGAAGGATCTGCTTCACGTATTTAGATAGTTTGTTTAGGATTATTTCTTCCTCGTTCAGATCTTGCCCGCCGCCCAATCGGTGAACTTTTACTGTCCCCATCTTAAAGTACGGACGTTGCCAAGAGGGCAGCCGACGAGTGGGGGCACGCTGCGCTCCCACATGACGGCAGAAGGACGCGGCGCGCCCGCCCGACGTCGCCGTCCGACGCACGCCTGCCAGCCGCCACACACGCTCGCAACGCACGCCCTCGCGGTGCGCATCGCCCTGGGCAGTCCCTGGCCCGAGCCCGGCGGCCGACGAGCCGTCGGTGGAGGAGGCACCAGCCTCTGAGGTGGGAGGCGAGGGAGGCCGACGCGCGCCATTGAGGCGGCGGCGACGCAAACCATTGCGCGGGCGGCAGCGGCGCAGCGAAAGCCAACCCGTACAACACGGCCCCCTGGGGCACAGGCACAGCCACTGCGTGCGGTGCCGGCTGGCTGCAGCGCAGCTGCCCCCAGTTGAGCTCGGGGCACAGGTTCTTGCGCTGGGCCTTGCGAGCGGCCCCCGCACGGCCGTACTTGGCGTCCTCCTGATGGAGCGCCTTCAGCAGCTTTTTCCATTCTTTGGTATACAGCGGGTCGTCGCGGACTTCGAGGTGGGATCTCGTTGGCGTCGGGGGAAAGCCGACCGAGCCCCCATCTCGGTGCACCCAGTAGGCGAAGCCAGCCTGTGGCAAGACGTGCTGCGGTGCCACCCTTTCTCTTCCCGCAGCCAGCGGAGCCGTTCCTTAGCCGTCTTATCGGCGGGCCCAGACATCGCGGAGGCGGCCACTGGGACGGCGGAGGCCACCCACGAGGGGGCCGGAGCAGAGCGATCCCGATGGACGGCCGTCCCTAGGTAAACTTACAAGCTCAGAGGACGCACGCACGCACAAACGGCCCGTAACAACGCAATCCGGATGCGGCCCGCTATCTAATAAAGCTCGGGTTTCTTTGCCGCGTTCACTTCTTTAGGACCTGAGGCAGGTTTCTTTGCGTTTGTTTCTTTAGGACTTGTGTTGGTTGCCTTGGGCACGTGAGTGTTGTGTGAGACGGGTTGTAACACTTAGGACTCCGATCCCATCAATACCCAGCGATGTGGTGATGGCGGAAGACACACGCCCGCTCTCGAGGTCTCTCGGAGCAAGCCCCCCCCCCCCCCCGGTCCATCGCTTGGAGCAATCGATTGGACAAGGACCAGGAGACCTCGCCGAAACCCTGGGGTCGGGGCGCGTCTGCGTTAGAAAACACCCGAGTTAGACTTGGCACTTGGAGCACTTGGAGTGCAGTCATCAACCGCACATCCAGGGCCGGGGAGCTAAGAAGCGCACCCAGCGGGCCGGATGATTGGCATCGGGTTGCGGGCAAGAGAGCCCTAGCCCCGGGGGTGCGCGTTCGCAGGGAAAGGGCCGTAAAGTAAACACGGGTTTCCCCTTAACTGCAGAACGCCCCCTCTACTCGGAGCTAACGGACACACAACACTGTACTCCACGTACGTACACGGATACGCCTCATGTGCGCCCGCCCGACTCCGGTCCCAGAGTCCCTTCCTTCGCCTGTCGGGGCGAGCCCTCGGCTCGTCCCTGTCCCTTGCTCGCCTTCCGGGCGTTACCAGACTGCCTCTGCAGTCGTTTCTGATGCCTCTTCCTCGGCTGTGGCCTCGACTCCGCTTCGCCTTCGACTGGTACCGCAGCCTCCGAGAGCGTGTTAACCGTTTTTCTTATCCTAATTCTCATCCTGAGCGTGACTTGCTCCTTGCGAGCCGCCAACCGCCTTGCAGGCCGATCGGTACCGCAATGGCGCCGCTCCGACTTCCTCTTGACCCGCCACCACCACCCTGCATCTTGCCGCAGAAAGGAACAGCGGCCATTCCCGAGCTGTTGCTGCCGCCTCCATACCCGCCGTCGCCGCCCACAATGGACGATCGCGCCATCGGCGGGGCCTGGCACAAGCCCACCGTCGAGCGTACGGCGGAAGCTGCCCGCAATGCGGCTGCGGCCGAGGGCCTCACCCTCGTGCGGGGCGGCACCGGTGCCTCTGGCTTTCTTTGCGTCGTCGCGAGCAAAGGCCTGTACAAGGCGACCTTCATGCGTGAGGACAAACGGATCCACCTCGGAACCTTTGAGTGCGCCGAGGCGGCGTCGCTCGCGGTTGCTCGCAACTTTCCAGAGGTGCTCGCTGAAGCCTCGGCCAAGGCGGCGGCCAAGGCGGCCAAGGAGACTCGTCCAGGCCTGAGCCTGAAGGACGTTGAGCGCACCGCCGCGGCGGAGGGGCTGGTGCTCTGGCGCGACTCACAGTCCAAGACCGGGTTCAAGGGCGTGTACAGAGAGAAGCCGCCCGACCGGAAGAAGGTTCGCTTCAAGGCGGAACTCAGAGGAGAGGGAACCGGCGACCACGTGAGCCGGAAGGTCGGCTACTTTGCGACTGCGCACGAGGCTGCTCTCGCCATCGCGCGCAGGCTCGGCCCGGAGGAGGCTGCGGCGCGTGTCAACGGCCCGAAGCGAAACCAGGCGGGGTGGGTCTGGAAGGCGGCGAACGAGCTGAGCGCGATCGAGGCCATGGCGCAGGCCGCGGAGGAGGGCCTCACCCTGCTGCCAGCGGACGGCAGCGGCTCAAAGTTTTGGGCGGTGAAGCGGACTCCGGCACAGACGGCTCCGCGTTGGCACGTGCAGGTGCCGGTCGGGGTGGCTTACGCGCGCGAGCATCTCGCTGGGACATCGGCCAGCGTGTGCGGCACCCTCCACCTGGGCTCCTTTGCCAGCGAGGAGGCTGGAGCTCTTGCGCTGGCCCGGCGTCTGCGAGACGACTCTCCGCTGCACGCCCACGTGATGGCGCTGCGCAAGCGGCCGCGCGAGCGGCGGGACACCGCGCAAGGGCGGCGTCCCGGGCAGGTGGAATGCGACGGCGCCGAGGTGGACACGAGGCTTTGGTCAGGCGCCTACGAGGCCGGGTGGCGCGTGCGCTCTCCCTCAGCCGCTGCGGCAAAGCGCGGCCATTGGCGCTACGTGAGCCCTGGAGGCATGATCCACCGCACTCGCGCTGCCGCAGCCGTGGCGAGCGAGGATGCGCGCAAGCGCCAGCGGACCGAGCGCAGCGATGATGAGGACAACGCGATGCTGGCCGTTGAGGCTAGCATGGTGGAGGCGTGGAGCGATGATGACGACGAGGCAGAGGTACTGGAGTCCAAGCTGGCGCTCCCGTGCCTGTCTGACGCTCTTGCAGCGCACCTGCTCTACACAATCTCAGCCGCCTGACACCGCTGTGAAAGGCGCTGTCTACCTGCTGCGCAGCGAGTCCGCATGTTCTCTTGCTCTCCTTCCGATTGGCGTTGTCGCTCTGCGCTTTGCGATATGACCGTGTGCGTGGGCGCATAGACACGCGCCCGAAGCACAGATCGAAGCCCCGTGAAGCCCACTACGGGTATCCGATGGAAAGCAGAAAAGGTCATCTGCGCCCCGATAATTTACAAACCGTGTTCAGCTCACACGTCGTAAACACACCTCTCACACTCCACTGCTTTCAGTACGTCAGTGTCGTGAAAAGCGCGACTGCACGGCCTATCCAGTGCGCGCTGAAGGTCTCTGCGTATCTGCTGAACGTACCCGAGCACGGTTTGTCCGAAGGGAGCTCTATCATCAGCACAAAGTTGGTGGAGTGGCCGGTGGTGGAGAGCGTGCCGGCGCGTGTCGTAGTCTTGTAGAGCGGGCACGAGTAGACGCCGGAGGTGGGCGGCTTGCGGTCCACCTCGGGCTTCAACCATAGCATGGGGAAGACCGAGTAGAGCTCCTTTGGCCGGGCCTCGGCCAGCAAGCAGGCGTCCGGGTCCCAGACAGCTCCCTCTAGGAACATACCAAAGACGTAGCAGCCATCCTCGGGCGCCTCCGCCACGCTGTTTGGCTCCTGCGCCATCACGTGGAACGCAAACGAGACGGTGTCGATGGCGACCTTGTGCTTTCGCGCATAGTTCTGCAGCGTCCCCGTCAAGAAGGCCTGCGGGAAGAAGAAGCCAGAGATCCAGTACGCCGGGGGCGGCCCTCCACGGTCCCACGACTGCAAGAACTCGATACGACGCGCCAAGTCGTCGACCCACGCCGCGAGCGGCTTGAGCGAGGGGTATGCCACCTTGGCCCACATCGCCGGGACCTGGTTGCTATAGAGCGACGTCGCCATCGCCTCCAGCTCAGCGCTCATCACGATGAGCCCCTTGAGGGCCTTGAGCAGGTCGGCGAGCGACTTGTTGTACACGCGGATCAGGCGGTTGTAGCGGATGCACTCCTGGGAGAGCACCGTATTCATCGACTGCTCGTACGAGAGCGGGTACCGCGCCGCGATCTCGTCCATCGGAAACGGCTTCAGGTCGCGCGCCTGCAAGCCTGCCGCAACCTCGGCAATCACCTCCTCGCGCGACTTGCCGCCTCCGGTCGACACCTTTGGCTGCAGGGAGAGCATAATGTCGCAGAGCTCCTGCGTCTCGTTCTGCGCGCAGGTGATGTCGGCGTTGGCGTGGAGGCCAAACACGTTGGGGTGAGGGTTCAGCGGGAAGTCGCCGATGCTCTCGAGGTAGCCAGCGACGCTCGTGTCAGCAGGTGACGCGTAGCAATCGCTGCCGGGGGCGAGCATGAAGGTGTCCGACATGATACCCTCGTTGACGATGCTCATCAGCGTCGTGAGGACGCACCGGCGGTCCCAGTCATCGGTGATGCGCCCACCGTAATTGATGTGACCAAAGAGGTTCACCAGCACCTGGTACGGCACCTCGTCGTACTTTGCCAGGTAGGTCTCCAGCTGCAACATGCAGCACTTGAGATCGCCCGCAGTGAACTCGTACCGGATGTTGAAGCCGAGGGCGCCGAAGCGGCGCCGATCCTGCAGCAGAGCGTGGAAGAAGCAGAGGCCGTAGAGGAGCTTCTTGAACTGTGGCGCCTTCGGGTGCGCGTCGAGGTAGGGGTCCGTGATGTTGTTGTACGAACCCTTCATGTTCATCTTGATGCCGCGCGGAGGCTCAATGGTCATCTACCCGACTCGCGGTACGGCACCACTTCGAGCTCCACGCCCTTCCACTCCGCCTCCATCTTGTCCATGGCGGTCTCGATAGCGTACTCCTTGGATGCCGACTCCACCACACAGTCGAACAGCTCCGCCTCTTAAGAAAGAAAGAAAGAAAACAGACAACCCAAGGGAGGGATGGGAGGACGGCACGCCGCCACCACACAGGGATTTTAAGGAGAGGTGTGTGGTGCGCTAGCCGTCGCCCACCCTAGCTCCGCCTCTTCACAACATTAAAAAAAAGCGGGAGAATTTTTTCCCTCTTGGTGCGATGGCCTCCTCAGCTTCCGAGCCCGTGTGCCCGGTACGAGAGAAGGTCGCGGTCCTCTCAGACAAGGTGGTGGACTCCAACCCGTACTCGCGCCTGATGGCTCTGAAGAAGATGGGTGCGCGGCAGCGGCGCCTCGCCAGCAGCGACTGTGACCGTGACTCACCTCACGTTGCACACGGCGCCCGCGCAGGTGTGGTGAAGAACTACGACGAGATCCGACACAAGACGGTGGTGGTGGTTGGCGTGGGTGGTGTCGGCTCAGTCGCCGCCGAGATGCTCGTGCGGTGCGGCGTCGGCAAACTGCTCATCTTTGACTATGACAAGGTCGAGCTCGCAAACATGAACCGGCTCTTCTACACACCCGACCAGTGCGGGCTGAGCAAGGTGGCCGCGGCGAAGAAGTCGCTCTCCTTCATCAACCCGGATGTCGAGATTGAGGACTACAACTACAACATCACGACGATGGACAACTTTGAGCACCTGATGGGGCGCATCTCGAACGGCGCCCTCGGCGGCGGCGCCGTCGACCTCGTGCTCTCGTGCGTCGACAACTTCGCCGCGCGCATGTCCATCAACCAGGCCTGCAACGAGCTCGGGCAGACGTGGTTCGAGTCTGGCGTCTCCGAGGACGCCGTCTCGGGCCACATCCAGCTCCTCAAGCCGGGCGAGCTCGCGTGCTTCGAGTGCGCGCCGCCCCTCATCGTCGCGTCGGGCGAGGACGAGAAGACGCTGAAGCGCGAGGGCGTGTGCGCCGCCTCCCTCCCCACCACCATGGGCATCGTCGCTGGCTTCCTGGTCCAGAACGCGCTCAAGTACCTCCTCGGCTTCGGCGACGTCTCGCGCTACCTCGGCACGCCACCTACCAACCTGCCACGCCACCCACGCCACCCCACACACCCCACGCACCACGCACCACGCACCATGCACCACGCACCACGCACCCCGCCAGCCCCCCGCCAGCCCCCCGCCAGTTTCCCGCCAGCCCCGCCTGCCACGCCACGCGCACCGCGCCTCCCTCGCCGCCCCTCCCCTCGCCGCCTCTCCCCGAGCCGTGCCCCGCACCCGCAGGCTACTCCGCGCTGCGCGACCACTTCCCGACGATGGCACTCCGGCCAAACCCGGACTGCGCCTCCAGCTGGTGCCGCAGGCGCCAGGCCGAGTACGCGGCAAAGGCGCCCGAGCGGGAGGCTGCCGCCGCCGCTGCCGCCGCCGCCGAGGCGGAGGCCGCCGCGATCGCTGGCGCGGCGCTCCTCCACGAGACAAACGAGTGGGGCATTGAGGTGGGGGGCGACGACGGCGAGGAGGAGGCTGCGGCCCCTGCGGGACCAGCAGCCGCGCCGCCGCCGGCCGCGCCGCCGCCGGCCGCGCCGCCGCCAGCTGCGCCGAGCGCCGCGCCCGCAGCAGAGGCCGCCTCGGACGGCGTCGACTTGTCTGACCTGATGGCGCAGCTCAAGGGCGTGCAGAGCTGAGGGCGCGGCTCGCGCACAGGGGCGCGAGTGGAAACGGACGGATGGCGGCGGAGGCTGTGCGAGCCGGCAGCCATCCCGTCCATCCGTGGCGCAGGGTCGGCGTGCGAGAGCTGCGAGCCGCTCGCCCGTGTCCGCGTGCCGCGAGTGTCGTCGACTCATTTCGAGTAAGAAGTAAAACTTTCGGCGCTCTCCGCTTACCGATTTACCATGCGACTGTCTATAGCGTCGCAAGTCGGCGGGGGCTACTATAGTTCCGAGACACAAAGCCGGCGTATTTCTCTGCTTGCACCTCGCCGACGCGCCTCTGCCGCCGACGCCGGCGCCTGCGTGCCGACGCCTGCCAGGTGCCGACGCGCCTGAGCCGACGCGCCCGAGCCGACGCGCCTGAGCCTCATCATGCGACGGGCGCTGGCGGTCAAAGTGACTGCCGCCACCGCTGCAGCCTCGCTTCTCGTGCACCAGCAGTACGGCGACTACCTCGCCTCCGTCGAGGCGTCGGCGCACGCCGAGACGCACCTGCCGCTCTCTGCCGACGCCCAGAAAACAGAGGTGGTGCGCGTGCCGTCCTTCCTATCGGCGGCAGAGGTCGAGGACCTGCACGAGCTCCATAAGGAGCTCCAGCCGCTCCTGGGCTCGGCGGGCCGCACCTCTGGCAACCAGGCCGCCGCCTACCGTCAGGGCACTTGGGAGACGTCGTACCTGTCGACCGACGGTCTGTTTGCGCGAGCGCGACCAGCCCTGCGCCAGCGGCTGCTCGACCTGGCGCGCGAGGTGGACGCGGAGCACTGGAACGTGATGAGCCGCGCCACGCGGCCTGTCCTTCCGCGCTGCGTCGAGTACCACACTGTCGAGCCGGGAGGCTCGCTGCCGTACCCGACGCACTACGACGCCGGCTCGCTCGTCACGATCGACATCATGCTCTCGGACAGCAGCGACTTTCGCGGCGGCGAGTTCCGCACGCTCGAGCCCGACGGCAGCATGCGAAGCTACGCCTTTGAGAAGGGCGACGCGCTCTGCTTTGTGTCGCACAAGTTCCACTGCGTGTCGCCGCTCACCGCTGGCCGGCGCAACGTGCTCGTCGTCGAGCTGTGGGAGGGCGTCGAGCGCCAGTGCGCGCACCGCTGCGAGCGGCACACCGGGGAGTGCGAGCACTCTGCGCGGGCGAGCCTGTTCCGACGAGTGCTCAACGACCTGGGGAGCGACCTCTGAGAGGTCTGAGAGGATGTAGTACAGATAGCCGTAGGAGCAGTCAGCAGAGGGAGGGAGAGGAGTGCTCAGAGGGGGAGACTCTGATAGAAGAGTGACAGAGAGGACTCTGCAAGAGATATTGTGACTATTCATAGGGCATAGGGGGCCTAAAATAGACGCATAGGAGCCGGGAGTGTGCCGAGAGATCGAGAGAGTCGAGACACTTGTCGAGACCATAATGACTAATGTAGATACGGCTTATACTTTAGATTTAAGATGATTTTTAATCCCTCGATTCAGCGTGTTCAGGCGTATATACCGTAGCCGCTCTCCACTCTCCTCTTAGTCCTGACTCCTGTCACGTGCGGTGCCACCTGCTTAAAGTAGAGGAACCCTCCTGCACATGTGAAGGCGCCACTGGCCGCAGTCCCTCTCTCGTCTCTGCACTCTGGCTCGGCTTCGCCTCTCGAAGAACTTAGAATTATAGAGTATTCACGGTGGTGTCGGCTGTCGCGCATTCGTCGCGGGGGCGCGAACCGCGAAAGCTGAGGTGTGCGCGCGGAGCCTCCCGGAGGGTGCCGTTCCAGGGGAAGTACCGAGGCGGAACGCGCACGCAGTGCGGCCAGAGTGCAGAGAGTTCACCTCTCTGGGGCGCGCGCGAGAGCGCGACCCGGCGACACACCGGAGTGACGCGCGTGCGTGTGTCCCCACCCCGCGGTGTGTTCGCCGAGAGGGCGCCAGCGAGCGACGGAGATGCAATTTCTCTCACACCCCCTCACTGTGGCGTCGTATGCGAGGTTCTTGTTTGTAACCCAAACTGTGAACACTTAAAAACGGACACCCAAAGAACCCCTCAGCCTGCGACCGCACCACCGGCGCGCCTCCAGATGGTGAGCACGTCGTTGCCGTGAGGCCAAGTCGGCAGGTCGATGCTCCGAACCTGGCGGAAGGCGGCCGTGAGCAGCTGCTTGAAGAGCTTCGAGGTGGTGCAGACATCGGCCTGCTCGTCCATCTCGCCAACGTGAATAACGGTCGAGCCCCCGTAGAGCCGCAGCGCTCGCACGTCCCACGGCTCCACGTCGCGCGCCCACGGAGATTTCGCCTCCTCGTCAGAGAACGGCCACACGAGGAGCAGAGCGTGGCCCGGGTGCGTCGCTGCCTTGGAGTGGTCACCCAGCAGCACCTCGGTGAATTGCCGATGGAAGTACACATTGTTGCCGTCCGCTGTTGGTGGCGCGCGATCGTACAGCACGCATTCGACGCCACGAGAGCGCAGTAGCGCACCCCAATAGCCCGCGCCTGCGCCGAGCTCCATCAGCGGCATCCCGAGACTGGAAATGGCGTCAAGTGCGGCGTTGTTCGGGATCGCGCACGCATAGGTATGCTGCAGAGGGTGCTGGAAGTTGCTTAGCCAGTCCTGGTGGGAGCGGTTGACCACAAAGAACGGTACGAGTGCGTTGGTGCTCGGGCATCGCGAGAGCATCTCTCGCTCCTGCCGCTTGCCCCAGAGCCGACATATCTCCCCGCGCTCTGCATAGGTCAAGGGGGCGTCCTTTCGTGGCCATCGCTTGAGGAGGATGCGTGGAATGAACGACTGAAGGCCCGTCCATGACGTGAGTAGCGGGTTGTCGACGACATCGTACATGGTCTCCTCCGTGAGGCCGGCAAAGCGGCCGACGAGCACGATGGCCTTCAGCGTCTCTTGTAGGATCGAAGCCCTGTGCTGCTCTGGTGTCTTGTTCTCGGCGCGCAGTGCCCGAGGGTCCGTGTCGTCCACTTCAACGCCCGCGGCCCTCAGCGCCTCCGCGCCCTTGTTATGCACGGGTTTGATATACTCGTCGGAAAAGCTGAGGTACTCTTCGATCCTTCGGTCGTCAGCATAGATCTCCACCGCTGCCGCACCCTCAGCCGCTGCTGCCGCCGTCAATAGGGCACGCATTGGCGCGTCGGGCTCCACCACACAGCCAATTGGCAGGAAGCCGATACAGGTCTCTGCCACCTTTGCGTGCTCGGGCATGATACGAATTGTGGTCGTTGCGCCGGCTTCGATGAGCCGCTTGGCTATGCCCGTCTCTTCTTTGCGAGTGCCGCGGAGCTGCTGCGCACAGTACATGAGCGCGTTCATGCCGCCTGCGTTCTGCGCATTCACATTCGCGCCGCGCGCCAATAGCATGGCCACCACAGCTTCGTGGTCCGCCACCCAAGCCGGTCCCTTGTCAGGGTCGGACAGGTCGACACATGCGGTGTGCAGCGGTGAGAAGCCCTCACGATCCGTCGCCGTCGCACTCGCGCCTGCCTTCAGGAGCAGGCCACAAATGTCCGCGCGACCCTTGTTGGCGGCCGCCATCAGCGGCGTCTTTCCGCCTGACTGGCGTACGTCGGGAGGTGTGCCGGCTTTCAGCAGCATCTGCACCAGCTTGAAGCCAAAGCTGCTTCCGCGATCAGTGGTTGCACAGGCGACTTCGACGGAGAGGCTGAGTGGGTTGTTGCCATGCTTGTCGCAGGCTTCGGCCGGCACACCCTCGAGCAAACGCTCAATCTGCCAGAGGCCGCTGTCGTTCTGCTGACCATTGACAATCGCGACGATTAGCTGCAATGCCTTCTCTTCGGCTGGTGCGTCGGGAATGTTGGACAGGCCTGTGACGCTGCCGCCAGGTTGGCGCGTGTAATAGCGCAAGTCGGCCAGCGCAGCACGCATAGCAGCGATGTCACCGAGTGAGACTTCAGCCTCGTATCGCCGCGCGGCTGCTTTCGTGGCGATCTTTGGTGACGCGTGAAGCCGCACCGTCAGCGTCATCGCTTCGCGAAGGAACGCAAGCGCCTTGGCTGGCTCTTTCCGCTTTAGGTGGCAGAGACCAACGTTTGAGAGCAGTGGCAATCGATCCTCCTCCGGATCCTCAAGCGCCTTCTCGTAAGCTGCAATTGCGCCTTCCAAGTCGCCCGCCTTGAATTTTGCGTTGCCGTCTGCACGCTTTTCAGACTCATGTGGAGCAGGTGGGTTCTGCACAGGCGAATCCCGAGCAAACGCCTGCAGCGCCTCTGGGTCGTTCATGAGTTGCTGCATCAGCGCCTTCGGCGGCATGCCGCTCTCGGCACTCATCCGGCTGATCATCTGGTTCAAAAGGTCGTCCTCCATGCCAAGGTCGCGTCCAGCTGCTCACGCGCGGCCTGCAACGCCGACTTGTCGCGCAGCTCGCTCCACGGACGTGTAGTCGCGCGCCTTGGGGCGCGGAAAACACCACCGGACACACCTCGCGCCGAGGCCCCTACAACTGTTCCGAGCTCTCACGCCGCGCGTAGGGCCCTTAGGGGCCTAGAGAACACAACCCCCTCTCTCTTTTCTCTCTTGATGTATGTTTGTGTCTACAACTGTACTTGTAGATGCGCCCTTCGTGCGTTTCTTGCCGTCAGTGCAAGCACCGCACACACAGCAAGCCCAAATCACTGTGTGTGCCACATTTCTTGTTGGCTTCTAAAAATCTCTCTCACACACCGGGTCCCCACCGTCCACATTCAGAGAGAGAGACTGAGAGAGAGAGTTGAGATTTTAGCAATACCAAACATTTTGTTTTGTTGTTGAGAGTTGTAGCAATACCAAACAACTCTAACACTCACACGTCATTTGGGGCCTGGAGCCCCTGCAGAGTGTAGTGCCCTCACACACAAAAACAAAAACACAAGCCCGGACCCAAGACGCACAATTAACACCCGAGGGTTCAACCGTATTCGTAGCCCATACACGTCCGCCGTGTCTCCACGCGAAATAAACCATCCTTTCGATTTTCCCGAATCTCGTAAAAAGAAAACAAACGCTCGGAATCTCAAGCTCTCTAGGAACTGCAAAACGGCGCGGTCGGGCCCCTGTCGGAGAGAACAACATCTGGAGGCGGCCACCACAGGCACCATGTCGGCTGGGCAGGCGGCCACCACGGGCGCCGCCGCGCGGCCGGTGCTCCAGCTACCGACGGCGGTCATCCAGCTCGGGTGCGCCTCGAGCGCCTGCTGCATCGCCGACGGCCTCTGCCTGCCTCTCGACTTCCTCAAGACGCGGATGCAGCTGCAGAACGAGCTCGTCGCTTCGGGAGCGCCACGGCTGGGCGTGTTCTCGATGGCAGCGCGTGTGCTGCGCACCGAGGGCGTTCTCACCTTTTTCGACGGCCTTCCGGCTGCGATGATGCGGCAGGCGAGCTACGGCGGCCTCTGCTTTGCATCGTACCCGGCGCTGCGCGACAAGCTCAACCCTCACAGCGACGGGAAGCACGCACCGCTGGCGTCCAAGCTGGCGGCGGGCGCGCTGGCGGGGGGCACAGCGAGCGCGCTCGCCAACCCGACGGACGTGGTCAAAGTTCGGATCCAGGCGGACGGGCGGCTGCGCCTGCTTGGCGAGCCTGCGCGGTACAGCGGCACGGCGCAGGCGTTCCGCGCCATCCTCGCGCAGGTGCGGTGGAGGGGGATGGGTTGCGGCGGCGTGGGCGGAGAGTGGCGGCGACCCCGAGGCACGCGCCCCGATCCGCCTCCCCCCCCTCGCTGGCGGCTGCAGGAGGGGCTCGCCGCCTTTTGGAAGGGGGTCGGCCCGAACATGCAGCGCGCGGCGGTCGTCAACGGCGCCGGGATCGCGACCTACGACCAGTGCAAGCAGACCGTCACGCGGCTGATGGGCGAGGACGACTCGCTCCGCGCTCGGTGCCTGGCGGCGCTGATGGGTGCACGGCCCCCAGCAGCAGTCGCGCCTTCCCACTCGGCGCCAGCACACTCGCGCCAGCCCGCCCGCCCGCCCGCCCACTCGCCCGTCGCCCGGCCGGCTGAGCGGGCGGCGCGCTGGCGCAGGCGGCGTCGTCACCGCCCTGGTCGGCTGCCCGTTCGATGTCGTCAAGACCCGGCTGATGAACCAGCACGAGGGCAAGCGGCTGTACCGCTCCGTCTCGGACTGCTTCGTCTCCATCGTGCGGGTGGAGGGGGTGCTCGCCCTCTGGAAGGGGCTCCTCCCCGTGTACTTGCGGCAGGCGAGCCACCGCAAAGCCTCCCTCGCGCGGCCCCTCTCGCCCCCTGCCCCTGGCCGCGACCTCGCCGCCCCCCACCGCCCCGCGCAGGCGCCCTTCAACCTCCTCAACTACCTCGTCCTCGAGCAGCTCACGCAAACCTTCCTCGGACGCACCCTCATGTGAGGCGCGGCAAGGCCGCTTGCTCGAGGCCTCTTGCCAGACCGCACGCGCAGAGCTCGGCCAGCGCGCTTGGCGCACCCGGTGCGCCCCTCGCTACGAGGCATAAGATATTCGCCGCTGTGGCTGCCAAATTAGATCTCTTCTCCGCGCATCTTGCATCTTGGACTCAAATTGCAGAGCATGCTGTTCAAGAGAGAGAGATCGCTATCAATACCAAACAAATGTGTTCTCAATGTACAATGTTAGTAGAATGACAATGAGTCAAATCGTCTAATTGCGGCGCTGGCTTTGCGTTCCTTTTTTCTACATATTTGTTAGTCGGCGCTGTACAAAATTCTTTTTTGTTGCGGCACAGTCCCAGCACTGGCCGCTCGCGGCCATCGAGAGCGAGACGCCGTGCCAGCGTAGAATCCCTCTATGCTGCTTGCGCGGCTCGTCTCCGTGGCGAGCACCACGCTCATCGCCGTCTCCCCTCGCGCCACACCGCCGTGCAGGCGCGCGGGCTGGCATTCGCCAGTCGCAGGGCTGACGGCTGCTGTACATGCCGTCGACATCGCCGAGCACCTCACCTCGAGTGAGCCGGCCTGCTTTGAGGCGCTGCGAGACGAGACGCAGCAGCGCTGGCCGGGCGGTGCCCACATGGTGAGCGGCGCGCAGCAGGGCCGGCTGCTGCACATGCTGGTGCGCCTCTCCCGGGCGAGGCGCGTCCTCGAGGTCGGCTGCTTCAGCGGGTACGCGGCGCTGTGGATGGGCCTCGCCCTGCCGGAGGGCGGCTCGCTGCTCAGCCTCGAGCGCGACGAGCGGGCGGCGGCAGTGGCGCGGAGGCACCTCGACGCGGCCGGCGTCGGCTCGCGCGTCGAAGTGCGGCTGGGCGACGCGCTCGAGGCGCTGCGGGCGCTGCCCGAGGGCGAGCCGCCCTTCGACCTCATCTTTGTCGACGCCGACAAGAAGAGGACGTGGGAGTACTACGACCTGCTCGTCTCGCGGCGCCTGCTCGCGCCGGACGGGCTCCTCCTCGTCGACAACGTGTTGTGGAAGGGGCAGGTGCTCGAGCGGCTCGAGCCGGCCGCAGCTCTGGCGGGCAGCGAGGCGGCGCTCGCGCTTCCGGCGGCGGAGCGGCGGTCGATGGCGCTGCGCGACGCGCTGCACGGCTTCTCGACCCGCCTCGCCAGTGACGGGCGAGTGCAGCAGCTGCTGCTTCCCCTCCGCGACGGGCTCACGCTCGCCACGTTGGCGCCTCCAGAGGGCCCCGGCGGGCTGGCGGCGGCGGCGGCAGCATCTGCGGCGGAGCAGGCCGGGGAGGAGCCAGCCGGGGAGGAGAAGCTGGTCGCGGGGGCCTCCGGATCGGGCGGCTCCGACGGCCGTCTTGCCGCCTACCTGCGGCTGGCCGGCAGCGCGGAGCCTGCTGCCGCGCAGGCGCTGCGGCTGTCTGCGGCGGGTGGGGCAGTGGCGGGCGGGGCAGTGGCGGGCGCCGCGCCGGTGCAGCAGGGCCGGCTGCTGCACATGCTGGTGCGCCTCTCCCGGGCGAGGCGCGTCCTCGAGGTCGGCTGCTTCAGCGGGTACGCGGCGCTGTGGATGGGCCTCGCCCTGCCGGAGGGCGGCTCGCTGCTCAGCCTCGAGCGCGACGAGCGGGCGGCGGCAGTGGCGCGGAGGCACCTCGACGCGGCCGGCGTCGGCTCGCGCGTCGAAGTGCGGCTGGGCGACGCGCTCGAGGCGCTGCGGGCGCTGCTCGAGGGCGAGCCGCCCTTCGACGTGGTTGTCTTGGGGCCGGCCTCGGCGGAGCGTCTGCAGCAGGCGGCCCGTCACCTCGCGCCAGCAGGGCTGCTCGTGCTTGTGCACACGCCAGCGGGGCCCGGAGGCGTCGGCGAGGGCGGGGAGAGCCTCTTTGCGGCGCAGGTGGGCACGGCAGTGGAGATGGTGCACGGCGCTTTGCCCGGCTCGCACGCCGTCGTGCTGCCTTCGCCCGACGGCGACGGCGGGCTGCTCACGCTCTGCGTGCGGAGCGGCCCGGACGATGCGCGTCTCTCGCGTCTGTGAAAAATAATTGCTGCAACGGAATAATTCCGCTGTCGTCTCACACTCGCGATTCAAGCTCTTCCCCTGAGGGCTGAGCGCCGCGAGGCTGAGCGAGGACCAAAAACGAAAAACGAATTGCAAAAAAGCAAAACGGTTATAGGAAAACGTGCTACCGAACATCTGGCTCTGTGTGCGGACGTATGTGGCGCTCCGGAGCGGAGACTGGAGTGTCCGCACACCTCTGACCTCAGCCCTGTCACACACGCGCCACCACAGGGGGACACGCTGTCGGAGAGCCAGAGCGCGCCACATGCATCGAGCTTCGAGTGATTCTTATCCCGGTCGGGTCAGATGGCCTTGCCAGGCCCAGTAAGAGGAGAGGCAGGCGAGAGGTGGGTGAGGATAGATGGGTGTGCAGGGCAGGCGGATGTGTGCGTGCGTGCGTGCGTGCGTGCGTGCGTGCGTGTGTGTGTGTGTGTGCGTGTGTGTGTGTGTGTGTGGTATGTGTGTGTGCGCGTGCGTATCGCGTGCGTATCTGTGTACGTGCGTGCGACCGCGGGTGCTTCCAAAGCACCCCGTCGTCCGTGCGCTGTCCCCGCGGCGCTAGCTCCACCCCTTGAGGCCTCCGGTCGCCTCCGCCCTCCTCTCCGCCGCCTTGCGCTCCTCCTCGCGCTTCGCGGCGATGGAGTGCTCGACGAGCTGCCCCTTGGACGCCTTGCAGTCGAGGTAGGACCGCTCCTCCGCCAGCGTCGCCCCGTGGTCCTCGGCCCACTCGCCGCACTCGGCCGCGTCGTCGAACGCGAGCGCGTCGCTGACCGCCGCGAGCGGCACCGAAGGCTGGTAGGCGCGGCAGATGCGGCGCAGGGCCGCGAAGCGCTCGCGCCCGATGAAAGTGTCCATCACGTAGCCCGAGTGGCCGGGCGCGTCCGAGTAGAGGCGGAAGAAGGCGCAATAGTTGCCCAGCTGAGCGGCGGCGCGCACCTGCAGCGCGTGGGAGATGTACTTGTCGCTCCGGTCGTCGGCAGAGAGGTCCTTCATCAGATCTGCGACCTATTCACAGCTAGAGGTGTGAAGGTCCTTCGTCAAGTCTGCGACCTGCGAGGCGAGCCGGCTAGCTGAGCGGGGCGGCAGGGGCGGGGCGGCAGGGGCGGGGCGGCAGGGGCGGCAGGGGCGGCGGGCGCACGTTGTTGTCCGCCTGCTTGCCCACGTTGTAGAGCAGGGAGTAGGCTAGGAACTCGCGCTGCCCCTCCCTGGAGCCGAGCCCCTCCTGCGGGGGAGAGGTGGGTGGGCGGGGGGGGGGGGGGGGGCAGGAAAGTTGCTGCTGCGTGGAGGCTGTCGAGGTGGCGGAGGCGCTGCTCGGGCGGGGCGGCGACTCGTAGCGCTGCTGCATCTCGGCTAGATCTCGGCTAGATCTCGGCTCGCTCTCGGCTAGCTCTCGGCTGTCTCTCGGCTGTCTCTCGCCTCGTAGAGCTGCTGCAGCTGCGCCTGGCACTGCTTGAGCTCCGCTTGGTCGTCGTACTCGAGGCAGATGCGCGCCTGGGGTCGAGACGAGCGGCGAGCAAGGCGGTGAGCGACTGTGGGCGGGCGGGAGAGGGGGGAAGGGGGCGCGCGCGCATGCATCTCGTACACGCCCACGGTGAAGTCGTTTCGAATGCGCTGCACGGTCAAGTCCTGCCGCACCTATACACCATATAATGTAATATATGTAATATTATAATGTGTAATCTGCACGGTCAGGTCCTGCCGCACCGACTTCATCTGCTCCCAGAGGTAGATGTACTGCTCCTGGCCGCGCTCGTCGCCAAACTCAATCAGCCGGCCGCGGACCCGGTCGATCGCCTAGGAGTCGCTCGGGAGTGACTTCGAAATACAATCAAGAGGAAGGGTCAACGAGCTCCTCCGTTCGCTCAGGAGTGACTTCGAAATACAATCAAGAGGAAGGGTCAACGAGCTCCTCCGTGGTTCGGCGCGGGCCCGGTCGCCTGTCTGAGCACATCTCGGGCTAGATCTCGGGCTGTATCTCGGGCTGGATCTCGCCTGTTTGAGCAGCGGCTCGGGCCGGACGGTGCGCGGGTCGGGTGCGGAGGTGAGGCGGAGGTACTTCTTCTCGACGGCCGTGCTCGTGCCCGCCACCGTGAAGTCGAGCTCGATGTCGCCTCCGAGCTCGCCGCCCGGCTGGCAGCCCGGCTGCTGCGGCGCCGCCGCCCACCGGTCCGCGCGGGCGAGGTCAGCTCGCTGCTCGAGGGAGAGGCCGGACGCCTCGAAGCGGCTCGCCCGCCTGGCCCGCTTGCTCTGCTCCTCGCGCGAGTCCGGGCGGGTGCCTGCGTGTGTGTCGTGTGTCTCGCTCGCCCACCCCTTGCCCGCCTTGCGCCTCTTCTTCTTGCCGCCGAGCTGCGGGCCGGAGGGTGCGCGCTCCTCGTCGCGGCCGGAGGCGAGGCCGGAGGAGGCGGGGAGCCAGAGCTCCTTCTTGCGCGGGGGAAGGGGCTCTCTCTCCCAGTCGTGCCTCCACACGTCGACCGCCTGGATCGTCTTGCGGAGGTGCTCGCCTTTTAGGCAGGGGGTGGAGGGGCGAGGGGGGGAGGGGGTGAAGGGGGGTGAGGTGCGGAGGGGGGGAGGGGGGTAAGGAGGGGACGGAGATTACCTGAAGGGGGAAGGGTTGAACGTTATGGGGAAGGGGGGGTTGCCGCCGGAAAATCCTTTTTAAGGGTAACTAGGGCCCCAGGAGGGGGATGAGGGAGGGGGGGGGTCATGCTCACCCACGACGCCGCGCTCGAGGTCGCTCTTGCACTGTGCGAAGGCGCGCTCGACCCACGCGCGCAGCGACGCCGGCCAAGGGTCGCCCGAGGCGGCTGGCGCGGGTGCGGGGGTGCTTTGGGTCGGGAGCGACGCTGTGCGCGAGGAGCCGAAGGGCGAGGCAGCGGAGGAGCTGCAGCCCGCCCCCCTCCCCGCCATGTTGAACTGCACCTTTGGAACCTGTGCCTGTGGGAGCCGCGCAACAGCCGCAGCGCCGGCGGCCGCCGCGCTGTACTGCTGGGATCGAACTTTGGCCTCTACGTGGGCCGCGGCGGCCTGGAGCGATGCCTGCATGTTCAGCTGCACCGCCGACATGCCGACGCCCTTTTGTGCGGCCGCGGCTGGCTGCTGGTACTGGTTCTGTGGACGGTGCTGTTGCGGCTGCTGGTACGCGTTTGGCCTCATGGCCTGCGGCGCGGCGCCTGAGCCCCCGATCACGTGGCCGGCCTGCTGCACGCACCCGCCCGTGTAGCTAGAGGGCTGGTAGTACGCGGAATAGCTATTGTACCCTGTCGCGGCGTGCGCCTGGCTCTGGCCAGCGTTGGCTTGGTGGTACGCCGCCCACTGCGCCGCGTGCGCCTGCTGCTGCTGCTGCTGCTGCTGCTGCTGCTGCTGCTGCTGCTGCTGCGCGTACGCGTTGGACGACGCGTTGTACTCCTCCAACTTCTTGTAGTAGTCGGCCCAAGCCTGCCGCCTCGTCGCCTCGTCGACCTCTTCCGGCGCGGTGCTTGTCGCCATCCCCGAAATAAAAAGAACAAAATCGTGCGTTGCCTGTCTGTTTGCTTTCTGTGCCGTCCTCCCATCCCTCCCTTGGGTTGTCCGTCGTTTTCTTTCTTTCTTTTCTATCTACAGGATCGAGGGGGGACACTATCGCTGTCCGAAGAGGCCACCGGCCAAAAGCGCATGTCTCGAAAGTCCGATACTGGAAGCCCATGTAGGGACCTTACCCAGACACCACCAGTCCGTTGGTCTCCCCTGTTCAGCCCTGACCCGACGGGGTCGGGGACGCCGGACCACCACCCTCGCGCCTCGGCCCTCGCCCAGGCCGTGGCCCAGGGATTTACAACGCTGTCTTAAGGTCCGACCTGTGGGCTCTGCCTGCGCTCGGCACCGGGCACCGCCTCGGTATACAAAATGCGCCTGCGGGCGGACCCTTACAGATCACAGATCACCAGTCCGTGTTGCACACGAGCAGTTTGCGAGGGACACACTAGGGACAGGGGAGAGAGTGTAACGCTCGTCGGAGGTCACCCCGGTCTCTCCGCCACTCTGCGATGGTGCCTGAGCAGCTGCAGCCACTCGTCGGCGCAGCGCTGGTGGTACAGGCGATGGCACAGCATGACGGCGTCGGCCACCACGAGCTCCTGCCTGCCCTCGTGCCAGCTCACCTCCAAGGGCTTCGAGCAGAGCACGCACAGCTGTTGGGACGCGTCCGCAGAGGGGGAGCCCGAAAGGTCAAACCCGGGCGCCTCCCAGTTGGCCGGACCCTGTCGTCGCTTGCCCTCCGCCGCGGCTCCCGCGCCGCGTCCCGAAGCGTCCTCGTCGTCGCTGAAGGGAGCTTCAGCCGTTGGCGGAAGCGCCACGGGCAGGCGAGGCTTCTTGTGCGGGTGCGAATTCGGCATAAATGACAGCTGGCACACCCAGCTCGGGGGACTCTGCCGGCGCCTGGGCTTCTGTTAGAAAAGAAAACGTGGGGCTTCCCAAGAACTTCGTAACGGAGAACGTGCGTCTCGGGCCGCGGTTACGTCTCGCCGGGCGCCCGGGGCTCGTCGCGCATGCATGGCCGAGCTCGTCGGCAAGAATGTGGTCCTCTTCGGCCTGCGGCGCGAGGAATTGAACGGTGAGGTCGGTCGCGTGCTTCGCTACGACAGGAACGAGGAGCGGTGCGCTGTCAAGCTCGAGTCGAGTGGCAAGACGTTCAAGGTGCACCCGGCCAACCTCGAGGAGGACTGCTCCGACGACGACGAGTCCGGGACGGAGTTTGGTAACTCGGATGAGAGTGGCAACGACTCGGATGACGGCAGCGCGTCGCAGTCGCGCAAGCCATCGACCGGGGAACCGGCGCAAGCCAGTGCGCCGTCGAAAGACCCGCCGGCGAGAGACTGGCAGCCACCACTCTCGAGCGAAGCTGCAGGCGTGTTCGGACTGACGTCGACGCAGGCGCATCCTCCACTCACGCACGCTTTCACAGGCGCACCGGACGCAGCACCGTCGTGGCGTGGACTGCCCGGGGAGAAGAGGTTTGACGTGGATGACGAGCCGTACTCTCTGGACGAGTTCCTCTCCTACTATGGCGAGGAGTATGGGCGGGAGGTTTGGACGAGCGCACGCCGTGTCGAGCCGGAGGTGGAGGGGAAACCCCCCAAATCGCCCGCACCACCTCCCAAGGCCCAAAAGGAGCAGCAACTGCAGGCCACCACAGGCACGGACATGACAATGGGCAAGACAAAGACCGAGTCGCCGCCGTCAACGTCAGAGTCACCACCGCCGCCACCAGCAAAGCCGCAGCCGAAACGACCGGCACGGGAGAAGAGGCAGGCGAGCGAGTCCAGCAGTACCGTTGCACGCGGCCCCGTGGCTGGTGGTCCTGTCAAGAAGCAGCAGGACGCAACGCAGCCGGGCACGGACACATGCAGGGGCGGGGTCAGCAGCCGGGTCAGCGCAGCCTTCGAGAGGTTCGACAAGGGCGAGCAGGGTGAGATGCCCGTGCGTGATCTCCAGCCCGCACTGAGGGCCTTGGGCGTGTGGGATGACGCATGCGGGCAGACTTCCGAGCTGCTTGGGAGGTTCGACAAAGCCGGAAAGCTCGGCCTCGTTGAGTTTGCGCGCCTTGTCGACGAGCTCAAGGAGGCGGCAGTAGAGAGGAGTAGGAAGCTGGACGACAGCGCCGTGGAGGCCGCCTTCACCAGCTTTGACAGAGACGGGTCGGGCGGCATCGCAGCGCGTGAGCTCCGCGCAGCACTGGCCGCACTAGGCGTGGACGCCGACGGGGAGGGTGTCAAGGCGATGCTGAAAAAGTTTGACGCCGACGGAAACGGCAGCCTTGACCTCTGGGAGTTCAGCCAGCTCGTCCATGCGCTTCGCGCAGCGGCACGAACAGAGAAGCGGCGCCACGGCCGTCTGGAGATCGGCCCACAGGCCGCGCTCGACAGGGCGATCGCCGAGGCTTCCAGCAGAGCGTTGGCGCAACCCCCATCGCCCATCTCTGGGAAGGAGGCTGCCCAGCTCGCCGCCGCTCACGCCAGAGCAGCAGCGGGTGCCGCTGCGAGAGCGGGCAGTGAGCCGCCTGCCTCTCCCGCTAGCCGCTCAGTTGTCTACTCGTGGCGGAGCGTCCACCAGGAGGCGGTGCGCGCCGCCGCACGCCTGCAGCAGCGCAATGAGGCCATGTGCCAACTAGGAGGCACTCGCCAGGCTCGCCCGGCACGGCAGGCGGACGGCAGTGTGGTGCACGATCCGAGCAGAATGGAGGAGGGGGGGCGTGTGGGCGCGAAGTCACGTTTGGGCGGCGAGACGGCGTCGCACAGGCCGGCGCCGAGGCCAAACACACACCGTGCGCGGCCCGCTCTCGACGAGACGGCACCAACCGGCACATCTACATCTAGCTCGGACGAGCAGGTGATCCAGCATCGCCCCGCGCCAGACTTGCCAGCAGACTTGTGGGAGACTGGGAGGACTTCATCAGGGCCCGTGGCAGCCGAGAGCGACGCCGTGAGGAGTCGCGGCCCACCTACCATGGCCGGGCACCAATGCAGTGCGCCGTGCAGCTCGGTGCAGCTCCGGATCAAGGAGCTACTCGCGGCAGCCGCCGCCTTCAACGAGGCGGCTGCAGCAGTGACAGCAGAAATTGTCACTGGAGAAGAGGATGGCGGACGAGCACTGCCCCAGACTGGTGACGACAGAGCGAACCAGGGTGACACGTCTGCCAGCACGCGAGCATGGTTCGGGACGCTCGCAACGGCGCGGAGCCCACCGCGTGCGGGGTCGGCGCGTGAGGAAGGCGAGCGTTTCATTCGGGCATTACGAGAGCACGTCCTGTCGCGTCCGAGCACTTCACAACCGGCTCTAACCGGCTCCGACGCCTTCCGTGATCTTCGCAAGGTGGTGGCGGACGGCGCAGCGCGGCCGCCGCACCGGACGACTGCTGCCCAAGCACTCGATGCACTCATGGACCAGAGAGAGCGAGTCCTGAGATTAGGGGAGGGTACCGAGCCGTCGCGCTGGCCATCTATTTCCACGCTCCGCCAGAGCGAGCGCGGGCTAGCTGACGACGGACGACTGCCTGAGATTGCGCGGTTGCGCATGGAGAATGCGAGGCTTCGGGCAGAGTTGGAGGAGATGGCTTCAGAGTCGCCAGTGCGGGATACAGGACAGCTGCAGCAACTGGCGCGATGCAGTAAACACTCTCTTGTCGACAAGATAGCTGCGATGCAGCGAGCGGTCCGTCGCGTTGCAGTGCCGGACCTCGGGCCGCCCCCCTCTGGATCTGCGCCAGTTGCGTTCTCTTTCCCCCCGCCGCCGACGCTGTCGCGATCAGCTTCGCAGGACTCGCGCTGCTCCAGCACGTACTTCTAGTCTGAGATCTTGACACGCCTCTCTTATACGACGTAGTTCTACCTTTTCGCGCGTCTATGTCATCTACACAGTGTCTCGAGTCGCGATGTACAAGTTAACTCGTTGACAAGTATGCCTGTTTTGCTGTTATTGGGCGAGTAGGAGGGACCCGACTCCCGTCTCCCGTCTGCCGTCTCCCGAGCCGGGACCATGTGTGGGAGACGGCTAGTGCTAGTCCCCCATCGGGGGAGGACGACCCCGGCTAGTCCGTCGTCGCCGACCAGACCACGGGCACCCACCCGCACAAGCACAACCCCCACCCCACAAAAAGTCAAAGTGAACACCCTGGGCGCTGGGGGCCGACCCTGGTCCCTGCACAAAGATCGCACGGGCGGGGACCTGTTCCTTTTCCCATCTCTACGGCTTTATACAGGGTAGAGGCGGTACCTCCGTGAGGTAATTACCTCACGGACTCAACGCGCGGGACATATGTTCTCTCGGTCCACGTAATACTCCCCCCAGGCCGCCAGGGAGGGGGTAGCAACCCCCAATCACCAACTGACAGCTTGCCTTCGTTCCCCCAACCCCTCAGGCTTCCATATCGCAAGGTCCTCGTTCCCCTCCGCACCGCACACGCTTCTTTTTGTCCGCCTTTTAGAGGTCATCAAACTCGTCGTCATCGTCATCGTCGAGATCGTCGAGGTCGGAGTCGTCGTCGTCATCGTCCTCCTCGCCCTCCTCCTCGTCAAACTCCTCCTCGCCCTCCTCCTCCTCCTCCTCCGCGGCGCGCTCCTCCGCCGCCTCGTCGTACGTGCGCAGCGGGTCCGACGACGGCGCGCCGTCCTGCTGGCTGGCGGCCGCCTGCGACGCGATCTGCGCCTGCAGCATCTGCATGCGGCCGACGAGCTTCAGCAGCGGCTTGAAGACCCCGAGACGCTCGTCGATGAGCTGGTAGAGCGGCGTCAGCAAGGGGAGCAGCTGCGTGCGGGGCGGTGGGGCGGTGAGGGGTGGGTGGGGCGGGAGGGGTGGGGAGGGGAGGTGTGGGGCGGCTCGCCTGTGAGCACGACATCAGGTAGGCAGCGTGGGTCGACAGGAGCGCGCGCAGCCACGAGGCGAGTGTCGCGACGCGCGCAGGCTTGCCCTGGATCCGGTGGAGCACAGCTTGCAGGAAGGGTAGCACCGCCGTCACCGGCAGCCGCGCGACAGTCGCAGAGACGACGTGCGCGTCCTGGACCTGCAGCGCCTGGTCGAGCATCACGCTGTCGCCATTCTGCAGCGCCTGCACCAGCAGCGCCACCTGCGAGGACGCCGTCGGCTTCCTCCGCCCCTCGGCGCCGCCGCCGCCGCCGCCGCCGCCGCCCTCGCCGCCGGCGGCCATCGCCGGCCGCGAGTCGGCCCCCATGCCCGCCAGCCGGTCTCCAAAGCTCGGCCGGCTGCCTGCCTCGGAGAGGCACGCCCGCTCGGCGTCCGCGGCCGCCGCCCTCTCCGACTCGGCGGCCGCCACCGCGGCGGCGGCGGCGAGCGGCAGCGGAGGCATCCCTCCGAGGCTGCCTTCGAGCGGCTCCGGCGAGGGCCGCCTCTCTGCGGGACCGGGGGAGTGGCGGACCGCCGCGCGCGGCAGCGCCATGTCCATCGCGCCGAGCTGCTGCGGCTGCTCCTCGCGGCCGCGCTTGCGCTTCCCCTTCCCGTCGGCGGCGGCGAGCAGCCCCTCGGAGGGGCGAGGCAGCACCACCTCCGGCTTGAGCTCGCCGCCGGGGAGAGCCACCGAGACGCGAGCGAAGTGCGGCCGGGCGGGAGAGCCGTACCCGACGAGGAGCTCGTGCTCGCCAGAGAAGGCGGCGCAGAGGATGCGCTCCTCGCCACCCGCGCCCGGCTCACCCGGCGCGATGCTTACCGCGCAGCCGGCCGCCGGGGGCAGCCGCGCCGACGGCGGCGCGGCCGCCTTCTTCTTCTTTGCCTTCTTGGGCGGTGCGAGGGTGGAGGCAGGGACCGCCCACACGCCGAGGCGCCCGTCCGCGGTGAGGGCGAAGAAGGCGTACGAGGACGGCGCCTCTCCCTCGCCCGACCCGCCGCCCGGCCGGAAGCCGGCGCTGACCACGTCCGCCTCGAGCGCGAGCGAGGCGGCCGACTGCTCGAGCGCGTCCGAGGAGGAGGCAGAGGCGTAGCTGACCGACCAGAGGGTGAGGTGGCGGTCACCCGACGACGAGAGGAGGTACCGCCCGTCGGGCGAGAAGGAGAGGCACTGGACCGGCTCCGCGTGGCCCGGTAGCCGCGCGAGCCGCTTCCAGCCCTCGCGCCGCACAAGGCGGATGGCGGAGCCGCCGAGCGCGGCGTGCAGCCCGTCGGGAGCGAGGCAGAGGCGGTGGACCGCCGCCTTGCCCGCCTTGAAGGTGTGCACCAGCGAGCCCGACGACACGCTCCAGCAGCAGACCTGCTTGTCGGCTCCGCTCGAGTAGAGCGTGTCTGCGCCGTCAAAGGCGACGTCGAGCACCGCCTGGGTGTGGCCGCGCAGCTCGTGCGCGAGCTCGCCGCGCGCGGCGTCCCACAGCAGCACCGCGCCGCCGTCCGTCCCCACGGCCACCAGCGCGGCGGCGGCCGACTTGCCGTGCCACGCCACACAGGTCGAGCGCAGCGCGAGGTGGGAGGAGCGAGCGAGCTCCTGCCGCAGGGTGGAGGACCCGGTGTCCCACAGCTGCAGCCGGCCGTCGGGGGCCGCCTCGGCGAGCTGCTGCCCGTCCGGCGAGAAGGCGCGGAGAGACGACATGATGGCAGCGGCTCCGCAGCGAGAGGGTCGCAGGCGAGAGTGTACGCGTTCTCGCGCGTGTAGGAACGTCGTAGTGCTGAAAAGAATTTTACGATCACCGGAAAAGAATTTTCAGGACAGAGAGCAGGAGTCCTCCCATCCCTCCCTTGGGTTCTCTGTTTTCTTTCTTTCTTTCTTTCAAACAACGACGAGAGTGGAATGTGGGAAGAACGCGAGGTGGCATGGAGGTCGCTGCGAGAATCGGCGAGAGACTGCGAGGAGAGATACAGTTTTAGGTAGTAGGAAGAGGCAGACGCCCAAGCGCCAAGGGTGGGCGACGGCTAGCACCACACCCAAAAAGAGTTTAAACAAGACAACTCTCTCTCACAGGACACAAACAAAAACTGGCGCGTGCTAGCACAGACAGGCTCGACACAGGTGCGAACTGGCGCGTGCTAGCACAATCACAGGCACACCACCGGAGCCGCCTAAGCGACTCCGCTAAGAACGGCAATGCACCTAGCCCAAAAAAAAGTACAGCGATCTTACAGCGATCGCCAACTCGCTTGGGGGTCGTCTCTCCGCAAGGCCAAGCCCAAGGGGGCAGCCTCCCGACCGCATCGAATTCATCGACGCGGGCTCTCTCGCCTCTCGGCTACGCCTACGGGACCAGCCTCCTCCCCAGCTTCGGCTGAGCCTGAGGGCTGACAAGCTGCCGAGCCCAAATCACAAACAAACCGATCAAACCCGTCCAAAAAACACAAGTCACAAGAAGAGAAAACCCCATCTCTCTCTCAAATCACTGTGTCTGTGTACTGAGAGTCGGTCGAGAGAGAGATAAAGACTGTTCGAGAGTGTGATTTCTTGTTGGGTTTCCAAAAAATCTTCTCTCGACTCCACACCCCTCTCCTTAAAATCCCTGTGTGGTGGGCTGGTGGCGGCGTGCTGTCCTCCCATCGTTGTTTTGACCGCGCAAGATATAGAGGGTGGCTAAGGGCTCTGCCCGCAAGGCGCCCGCGTCGCAGACGCGGTGCCATTGACAAATCTGCGATATACCCCCACACGAGCAAATAGCAAAATCCGAATACCGTGCACGAACTGCGTGATCTGAGCCGTGGACGGGGGCAAAGCTTCAGCTGGTGCCAAGACATTCGTAAAATTGAAGCCAAGAACGTCCGCCAAATCCGTGCTAGCTGCTAGGGAAAGCTGATCGAGCCCAGCGTGCCCGCGGCCGCCTCCCGCGCAGCACCGCCGCTGGGGACGACACTCGAGCCCACGCACCGGGCAAAGCAGGACGCTGCAGAAGCGGTTGGAGAGGCAGCCGGCGTCTGCCGTCACAACGAGTCCCAGCGCTGGTTGGACATGCGCGTCGGCTCGCCCGAGGACTGCTGTCGCGACCCTCCCGTCGTGACGCAGCCTCCCCGACGAGCTCTGCAACCGAGGAGAGTGAGGGTGCGCCTCCCCTCACTGCTGGCCTGGCTGCGCACCGCCCCACAAAGCACCCCCTCGAGCATCTCTACAAGTACCCCAGTCTGAGGGTTAGGTTTCTGGAGCCTCGGGTGCTTTTACGCTTTTGATCGGGTCAGGGGAGAGTGCGACTTTTACCACTTTGGTCGTCTCGGAGCGCCCAACTTTTAGCATGTTTCAAAAATTTCTTCGGCGCTGCGCGCCGCGGGTGCAGCAAGTACTAGCTATCCCTATCGTCCCGCAACGGCAAAGTAGTTCCCACACACTATGGCTAAAAAAATGCTGCCGCTCGCCCCTCGAATGCGCCCGCCGGTGTGTGTCCAAACATGTAGCGCTACAAGTTTGTGACACATAAGGACGCATCCTCCCACAACACTTCACCCGCTGGCTTGGTTGCAGCTGCCGAGGTACCATCTGCCGGCTTGGGGGGGCTAGTGGCATTCGCCGGAGAGTAGAATGTCCAAAATTTTCGCGCGCCTGCGGCGGCGCGACTTTTACCATTTTGCCCCGGGCGGGCCCACTTTTGTCGTTTTGCCCCAAATCTACGGCTAGCCGTGCTTTTAGCGTTTTGACCCAAATCGGCCGAACTTTTAGGATACCCTCAGACTATGACAAGTACAATTACAAGGGCGACCTTCTCCAAGTCGTCAACGCGCCCGGCGGCTCCGGCAAGACTTTAGCCTTGGCCACCCTCCTTGCGGAGCAGGAGGAGATCCGCTCTCGGTCGGCAACGTGGCAGCTCGTCGAAGGACTCGGTAGTTGTGACCCCCCTGAGTGAGGACAGGAGAGAGAGAGCTTTGACCTTTGTTTGTGGTGTTGGTGTACGCAATAACGGGACAGGGTAGTCGTTCTCTCTAGCTCCCCTTCTAGCTCTTGGCATGAGCTGCGCCCTGTGTCCGACCCCTTTTGCGCAGCAACACCTTAAACTTTTAGGCCCTCCAATCCAAATTCGGGTCCGAGCGTAGCGGAGTGGGCCCCGAGTTTGAAAAGGGCGACGGACGCTTGCGTCCTAGCCTCCAACAACGCCTCCCCGGCGCAGAGGGGCCCCCGGAGGGATGCTCAACCGCTCCACGCCACGCCGCTTGCGGCGGTCCTATTCCCAGCTCCGCTGAGGCACCGCTTGCTGGAATTCTTTTTCCAGCCGTTCCAGGGCACCGGCCCGCTCTCGGCCAGTCTTCCCTTCGGTAGCTACTGGGTGGTCGCCGTGGCTCAATTTCCTCACTTATCTCTACCCATGGCCCTCGTCCGGACGCCGCTCTTCTGGGACCGCCGCGGCCCGCTGAGCGACGCGCTGCTGCCACTCAGCCTCGCGTACGCCGCAGCGACGTACGCCGTCGAGGCGCTGCGCCCACCGCCCCGCCGGTCGCAGGCGCCCGTCGTCTGCGTCGGGGCGGCGGTCGCGGGCGGCGCGGGCAAGACGCCGCTGGTGCTCGCACTCGCCGAGCGGCTCCTGCGGCCGCCACGGTCGCACACGCCCCACATCCTCACGCGCGGCTACGGCGGCTCCGAGCGCGGCCCGCTGCGCGTCGCGCCGGAGGTGCACTCCGCCGCGCGGGTCGGCGACGAGGCGCGGCTGCTCTCGCGCACCGCGCCGACGTGGGTATGCGCCGACCGGTGGGCGGGCGCCTCCGCCGCCTGCGCGAGCGCGACGCCGCCCTCGGTCCTGCTGATGGACGACGGTGCGGGCCTAGACGAGCGCCCTGTGCATCCGGAGGCATTCACGCGAGACTCTGGCGCACGATGCCGCATTCAGACCCGGAGGTCGTCTCCGTCTCCCTGCACCGCCAGGTCTGCAGCACCCGACCTTGCACCGCGACCTCTCGCTCCTCGTCGTCGACGCGGAGCATCTGCTCGGGAACGGTTGGGCGACCTGCCCGGCACCTCTCTCTCTCTCCCTCTCTCCCTCTCTCCCCCTCTCTCTCTCTCTCCCTGGGTCCTCCGAAGCCCTGCCTGCGCCCTGCCTGCACCCATGCCGCGAACCCCGACCTCCCCCGGCCATCAGGTCGAGTGCTGCCTGCCGGCCCACTCCGCGAGCCCTTCCACAGAAGCCTCGCCCGCGCGGACGCCGTCGTGGTGCCTGATTCACCGAGATTCGCCGAGATTCGCCGAGATTCGCCGAGATTCGCCGAGAAGTCTCTGCGACGCCGACGCGGCGCTCTCGCCGCTCCCTTCGAGGCCTCCATCCATGAGTGAACCAGCTGCGAACCAGCTGCCTGTGCATGGCCATTCAGGCGCTCTCGCCGCCGGCCGACGCCGCTTCGCGCTCGCTCGGCGCGCCGCCCTGGACGCACATCCCAGCAACCCGGCTAGCGCGCGGGAGGAGAGATGCGGCTGTGCTCCGTCGTCGCCACGCCCTCGTCTCTCTGCTCGCAGCCCTCGTCAGCCCTCGTCCGCTCGCGAGGCTCCGAACCGACGGCCCGATGCTGCCTCCCGCCCCTGACGCCGGCCTTGCCCTCTCGGCCTGCCCTCTCCGCAGCCGAGCAGCCCTCCGAGTGCAGCTTGCGGCGGCGGCTCCGCCTCCCGCCCGAGATGCTTCTCCTGCGGGACACCCTAGATGCACAGAGGTAGCCGAGAGCAGCCGAGAGCAGCCGAGAGCAGCCGAGAGCAGCCGAGAGGAGCCTCCTGCGATGGTACTAGATGCGGACCAGCGGGCACCGTAACCTATGGTATGCAACGTTCCCAACCAACCAGGCAGGAGCAGCTGCACCAGCCGTCCTCGTGCCCCTCCCGAGACTCTGACGCAGTTGCTGCAGCTCGCCGCAGCTCTCATCTCGCCAGACGCGTGCTCTAGGCGAGGGCGCCTCCGCCCGGCCGCAGAGCAGAGCCGACGCGTCTCGGGCGCGCGCGTGGTTGCCTTCACCGCCACGGCGCGGCCGCAGCGTTTCTTCCGGACTCTGCGCCCTCCTGCAGATGAGCAACCCAGCTCTGTGCTTCGGAGCACACATCCTCAACACACATCCTCCGCCACTCGAGAGCACGCGCACTCCCGCCGTACCTCAACGTGCAACTGCTCCACGCTCAGCTCACCGCACGACCCCACAGCCACACAAGACGAGCCGGACGCTGGTGCCGCTTCGCAGGCGTTCCCTCGGATGCCGCCTGTGCGGCACGCTCGCGCTGCCCGACCACGCGCCCGTGCCGGCCACCGCCCTGGCGCAGCTGCGGCGCGAGGCGGCAACCGAGGGGGCCCTGCTCGTCACCACCGAGAAGGTAGCACTAGCAGCAGCAGCAGCAGCAGCAGCAGCAGCAGCAGCAGCAGCAGCAGTAGTAGCAGCAGCAGTAGTAGTAGTAGTAGTAGTAGTAGTGGTAGTGGTAGTATGCAACCGAGGAGGCCCTCCTCGTCACCACCGAGAAGGCGTCTGCTCGCCCACGCGCACTCGCCTCTGCACTCTGACTGCCGCGTCAGCCCCTGCCCTGTCTCACTAGAGGTGGAGATGCGGGGGCTGGCTTCCCGCCCCCGGCCCCACCGCTGTGTGTGCGTGACACTCACCTGCCCCCCCCCCCCCTTCCCTTAGGACGCCGCGCGGTTGGACGAGGCGGAGCTGCGAGGCATCGAGGTGCTGCCGCTGCGGCTCGAGTGGACAGACGGCGCGGGCGAGGCGATCGACGCCATGATCGGCGGCGTCGTGGCGGCCCGCGGCCAACCTTTGGAGAATGGCCGCTACGCGGGCTAGCCGCTACACTGCCCTTCCGATTCGCTGTGTTCTTTGTTTCGCATCGACTGTGGCCTCGTAGCTCGTTTCCCCCCGCAGCCTCGCAGGAGTAGCTTTAAGTCGTTTGCACCGCTACCGTCCCGCCAGGGAGCCGAAGCGCACGCTTTTCTCCTTCGCGGTTTTGGTGATTTTGCGGGATGACCCGCACGTTCGGCCTGCTCGCGTGTGCCATCGCGAGCGCGCGAGCGCTGCAGTCGCCTATGTCCGGCCGGTGGCCACAGCAGCGGCGCTCCCCAGGCGTGGACGCGGTCAGCAGCAGCCAGTTGTCTATTGACTGGACTGCTCGCGAGTTATGGGCGCTAGAGGACTCGGTGCCTCAGTACACCGTCGCCGTGGGCGAGGGATCCGGCGCGCAAATCATCCTCTGGCGAAGGATGCAGCTCGACGTCCCCGAGCTCTGCGGCCGCTCCATTAGCGAGCTGCGCGGCCGCTGGGCGGCTGAGCGGGGCGCGGCGGCGGCGGCCGTGGCGGCTGTGGACAGCCCGCCGTGCCTCGAACGATGGGAGCGGCTCCCCGACGGCTCGTACCGCGGCGAGCTCACCTCGGCGCGTGCTGCGCGCCGCACGCTCCCCGCCTCTGCCCCGGCCGCTCCTCATCGCCGCTTCTCATCGCCGCCCGTCCCCGCGATCCGGCCTTTAGGTCGCCGGGATGCGCGGCGGGCTTGTGGCGACGGTGGAGACGGACCCGGACGCCGCGCCCGCCTCCAGGGCCGAGGCGGAGGGCTGGTGCGTCCGCTCCAGGGCGGGAGACCTCTTCGAGCTCGGTCCGCCGCCTCACCAGCCTCACGCCCCCGCCCTTGCCCGCCCTCCACCCGCCCTCGCTGTCAAGCCCGCCCCGCGCCTCTCCCACCCGCCCGGCTGCGCCGCGGCCTCCAGGCGCGCAGAGAGTCGAGGCGGAGCCGGCCGTCGCCGCCGCCGACGGCGCGGAGCAGCAGCTCGCTCCCTTCTCCGCCGCCCTCGGCGCCGCGCCAACGCCCGAGGCTGTCGCGCAACTGGCGACGCCGGCGCTGGCGCTCGTCGCGCTCGCCGCCGCCGTGAACGTGGGTATGAGCGCCTTTGGGCACCACGTGGATGTGTCCGTCTTCATCGTCTGAGGCGCGGCTCTCTCTCTGCGCTGCTGTCGGGGTGACCGCCCTGCGTGAGCGAAGGCGCGCGCCTTCGCCGTGTGCGCCCTTTTCGTTTTAGGGTCCATGGGAGAGAGGGGCGTGCAGGCCGAGAAGGGGAGGCCGGCTGCTCTGTTTGTGACAGTGTTGGCGCGCGGGCTCGGGCTCCGCGGAGCCAGCTGTGCGTCGCCAGGCCGCTGCGCGCTGGCGGGTGGCACGGCTCACGCGCGACCCCGGCGAGCACCGAGCTGCGGGACGGCGACACCGAGGTCCGAAATAACTCGCGGCGCGTGGTGCTGGTGGAATTTAGCACTTTACGTCGCATGACCTGTGAGTATCCTGCTTGAGCATGATGCACACAAACTGCAAAAGAAAGCACCAGACGAGCTGCGCAGCAGCCCCCGCTCGCGGAGACCGGAGTCCCATGTCGGTAGTGTCAGGCGCAGTGGCCGTCACTCCCTCCTCTTTTTGCTGCCGCCGCTGCGCGCGTCGTTCTTGCCAAGCACGCCGAAGAACTGCAGCAGCAGCGTCACGTTGAAGGCGAGGTTGAAGGCGAGCGCGCCGGTGCCGGCGCAGGCGGAGCCCGTGGCGAGCAGCGCGGCGGTGACGAGGAAGCAGAGGAGGGAGAAGCCGAACTGGACGATCTGGAACTGCGTGACGAGCCGCTTCCACGGCGTGGGCAGCTTAAGGACGGTCCGGAAGTAGTAGTAGTACATCAGGACGTGCACCGCGGTGTTGAAGAGCAGGCCGCCCCACTGTAGGCTCTGGCAGTACGCGCACCAGCTCCACGCCATGAAGAGCACCACCGCGTGGTGGTAGACGTGCAGGAAAAAGTGCGGCGGCGGCCGCCCCTTGAGCAGCTGCAGCACCGTGTCGAGGAGCTCGTAGTACTTGCTCAAGTAGTAGAGATAAGACCACGCGTAGAGCGGCCCGACCGCGACCGCGTCGGGACGCTCGCAAAACAGGAAGCTCGCCCTGCCGAGCGGTCCCGCGGGCGCCTCGCTCGCGCCTCGCCTCGCAAGCTCGCGCAGCGTGCCGAGCAGCATCGCCAGCGAGCCGAGGCAGAGCACCAGGTTGTGCGCCGCCTGAAGCAGCCGCATGAGCGGCCCCTCTACGCCGGCGCCGCCGCGCACCACTCGCATGTACCAGCTGAGCGCGAGCACGGTGGCAACGTAGGCGGCGCTCCCCGTCGCCGGAGCCCACAGCGAGGACAGCGGCGCGTCGGCGAAGGAGAAGTCGGCGAGCATAGCCACCGTGTGTCGCAGCGAATTCTTTTTCTGGGTTTGCAGTGCTGAATTTTATCGTTCTGTGGAAGCTGGTAGAGGAGGGGCGGAGGGCTGCGCTTCGTTTCGCCCGGAAGCGGTCCGAGGCAGCTGCCGAGGAGGTTGTGTTCTCTAGGCCCCTCCGAGCTCTCACGCTGCGATCGAGGATGGCGCGGTTCACACAAAAACACAACCCCGGACCCAAGATGCAGTAACAAGCACAGACAGTCGACAAAGGGACAAAACCATAAATAAATAAATAAATACAACGGACATCCCAAGCTAGGGCTGGGTCGAGGACAAAACCTTTACCGTAGGGATATGGATGGGTTTTCTCTCCCTTCTCTCTCTTGTGGAAGCTAGGCGAGGGCGGAGGAGACAGCAGAGCTCTGCTTGTCTAGCGAGGGTGGAGAGCCCTGCGCCTATCCATATGGGGGTGGCAATCGCCCTGGTGCTCTGCGCCGGGGCGTCTGGGAAGCCGCTGCTCCTCTCGCGGCGCACCCCTCGAGCCCAGGACGCGCTTCGCATTCGCGGCGGCGCCGCCGGCGGCAACCTTGTGCCTCTCCCGCCGGCCGACAACCTGCCGAGCGGCCCGCTGCCTGAGCATGCCCTGACGGTGGATGCGGTGCTGGCAAAGCTGGGCGTGACGACGGAGACGGGCCTCACACTGTCGCAGGTCGCTGAGGCTCGCAAGGCTCACGGCCGGAACGAGCTCGAGGCGGAGAAGCCGACGCCGCTGTGGCAGCTACTGGCGGCGCAGTTCGACGACCGGCTCGTCCAGATCCTGCTGGGGGTGGCGGTGCTATCGTATGTGCTCGCGCGGCTGGAGGAGGAGCCGAACGGCTGGGTCGAGCCCGCCGTCATCGTGCTCATCCTCGCGATCAACGCCGTGGTCGGCGTCTGGCAGGAGGCGTCGGCGGCGTCGGCGCTCGATGCGCTCAAGCAGCTGCAGCCAGAGGCGTGCAAGTGCCTGCGCGGAGGCGAGTGGGTGCACGAGCTGCCTGCGGCGGAGCTGGTCCCCGGCGACATCATCGAGGTCCGCGTCGGCGACCGCGTCCCCGCCGACGCGCGCCTCGTCTCCCTCGGCACCACGACGCTCTCGACGGACGAAGGCGAGCGAGCCCCTGCAGCAGCCTCGCGGGAGCGACCCCTGGCGGCCTCGCCGCGTGTGCAGCACCACCGCGTTTCCCCGCCCGCAGGCTCGCTCACCGGCGAGTCCGCCTCAGTGCCAAAGCTGCTCGACGCCGTCGCGGCCGACGCGCGCATCCAAGACAAGTCCTGCATGCTCTTTTCCGGCACGGTGGTCGCAAACGGCCGCGGGCGCGCCGTCGTCACCGCGTGACGCTCTGCCCGCCGCCGGGCCCTGCGCCCTCACCGGCATGCCGTGCCCGCGCCAGGCTCGCAGTCGTCACCGCCACGGGCTCGGCGACGCAGATCGGCCTCATCCAGCGCGGCGTGCAGCAGGCCAAGCAAGACGAGCGGAGGACGCCGCTCGCGATGAAGCTCGACTCCTTCTCCGAGAAGCTCACCCTCGCCATCGGAGGGATCTGCGTCGCCGTCTGGCTCATCAACCTGCCAAAGATCTACTCGCCCGTCTTCGCCGCGCCGTGGCGCGGAGCGCTCTACTACCTCAAGGCATCGCCTCGAGATCTAGCCGAGATGAAGCCCGGCACCTCGCCCCCCCGACCGCCGCCCTCTCCCCTCCGCCGCCGCAAAGGTTGCGGTCGCGCTCGGCGTGGCGGCCATCCCCGAGGGGCTCCCCGCGGTGATCACGCTCTGCCTCTCGCTCGGCACCCGCCGCATGGCCGACCGCAACGTCATCGTCCGCAAGCTGCCCTCCGTCGAGACGCTCGGCTGCACCACCGTCATTTGCACCGACAAGACGGGCACCCTCACCACCAACCAGATGACCGTCGTCGCGCTCGTCATGGCGCAGCAAAAGGCGGCGCAGGCCGACGACGCGCTGCGCGAGTACCCCGTCGACGGCGTCTCCTACGCGCCGCAGGGCCGCGTTGTCGGCCTCGAGGAGGCGACGCGACGCGGCAAGGGCGCGGCGCAGCTCGTGCAGACGTGCGTCCTGTGCAACGACGCGGAGATCACCTACTCGGACGGGCAGTACGGCCGGGTGGGCGAGCCGACCGAGGCGGCCCTCAAGGCACCGCGCCGCCTGGGAACTCGGCACAACTCGGCGCTCCCACCCGCCTCGCCGCCGCCCCTCACCTCGCCTCCCCCGGCTCTCAAGGTGCTCGCCGAGAAGGTTGGCGTGCACGGCACCGCCGGCCCGGCCGACGCCGCCGCCGCCGCGACGCACTACAGCTCGGTGCTCAACGCGGGGCACGAGCGGCAGGCGACGCTCGAGTTTTCGCGCTCGCGCAAGTCGATGTCGGTGCTCAGCCGGCAGGTCGGCGCGCGGCTCAACTGTCTCTTCGTCAAGGAACCTTCCAGGAACCTTCTAGCAACCTTCTAGGTCGGCGCGCGGCTCAACTCGCTCTTCGTCAAGGGGGCGCCCGAGTCGGTGCTGCCCCGCTGCTCGGCGGTCCGGCTCTCGGACGGCTCGACGGTGCCGATGAGCGAGGCGTGGCGCCGGAAGCTGCGCGCGCAGTTCGAGGAGATGGCGCGCCGGCCGCTGCGCTGCCTCGCCCTCGCCGTCAAGGAGGGCAAGGCGCTCGGCCCCCTCGCGACGTACGACAAGGACGCGCCGCGGCCGGCGCAGACGCGGCTGCTCTCCGACACGTCCCGCTTCGCCTCGATCGAGAGCGGGCTCACCTTTGTCGGCCTCGTCGGCATCAAGGACCCCGCCCGGCCCGAGGTGACGACGGCCATCGGCCGGTGCAAGCAGGCGGGCATCCGCGTGGTGATGATCACCGGAGACTCGGCGCAGACCGCCGCGGCCATCGCGCGCGACGTCGGCATCTTCGAGGCGGACGCGCCGCCCGAGGCGACGGCGGCGCGCACCTTCGCCGGCTCCGAGTTCTTCGAGCTGCCGACCGAGGAGCAGGACCGGCTGCTGCTCGACTCGAACCTCGTCTTCTGCCGCGCCGAGCCGGCCGACAAGCAGCGCCTCCTCGCGCAGCTCGAGCGGCTCGGCGAGGTCGCCGCGATGACCGGCGACGGCGTCAACGACGCGCCGGCGCTGCAGCAGGCGTCCATCGGCGTGGCGATGGGCATCGCGGGCACCGAGGTGGCCAAGGACGCGGCCGACATGGTGCTCGCCGACGACAACTTCGCGACCATCGTCGCGGCGGTGGAGGAGGGGCGCGCCATCTACGCGAACATGAAGGCCTTCATCAACTTCCTCATCACCTGCAACATCGGCGAGGTCGCCGCCGTCTTCCTCTCGACTCTGCTCGGGCTGCCCGAGGTGCTCGGCCCGCTGCACCTGCTCTGGGTGAACCTCGTCACCGATGGGCCGCCCGCCACCGCCCTCGGCTTCAACCCGCCCGACCCGGGCAACATGCGCCGCCCGCCGCGCGGCCGCACCGACCCGCTCGTCAGCCGCTTCACCCTCTTCCGATACATCCTGACCGGCACCTACGTCGGCGTCGCGACAGTCGGCGCGTTTGTGCACGTCTACCGCTCGCGCGGCATCCCGCTCTCGATGCTCGCCAACTGGGGCGCTTGCTCCGAGTGGCAGGCGACGCCGCCGCCCCCTCCCCCGCCCGCCCTAGCCCTCTCTGCTCCGCCGTCCGGCGTGCCCCCCACCCCAGCGCCCCCCTCTGCCAGCCAACCCGCCGCACACGCAGGTGGGCGACGTGCCTGGCTTTGCGAGTGCGTGCGACGCGTTTGGCACCGGGCCCGGCCAGGGCAAGGCCGTCGCCTCGACGGTGGCTCTCACGACGCTAGTCTGCATGGAGATGCTGCGGGCCCTCTGCGCCGTGTCGGAGCGCGAGTCGCTGCTTCGCAAGCCGCCGTGGGCCAACCGGTACCTCCTGCTTGGCGTCACCGTGCCCATCCTGCTGCACATGTCGGTGCTCTACTACCCGCCCCTCGCCGCAATCTTCAAGCTCGCCCCGCTCGCCCGAGACAATTGGTGGACCGTGGCCATGTTTTCGCTGCCGCTGGTCCTCCTCGAGGAGCTGCTCAAGTTTGCTGCGCGCACCCTCGCGGGGGAGTAGGCGGGACCTGGACCAGTTAGGCGGGGAGGCGCGGTGTGCGCTTGCCCACAGCCACGACGACACCCGAGCCCGCAGACACGCAGAGCGGGGCAGAATGAAGCGAGGCGGTTTTGCAGAGAGAGAGACAGAGAGAGACAGAGAGAGAGAGAGAGAGAGAGGCGGGGGGTACTGTCTGTCGGCGCCCAGGGAATCGAGTGAGATACACACATGTTGTCATCGTTGAGAGAGGTCGGGAGAGAGAGAGAGAGACGATGACAGAGCGAGAGAGAGGTGTGCATTCCGTATAAAACTATCTCCGCATCCACAGAGAGACGCCGCGTCGACATGGTTTCCTTTACGGCCGACGTTTTTTGATCTCTGGGTCAGTGGGGGGCCGAGCCACCTCGGGGTGGCGGGCGGGCGGGCGTTTTGAAAAACAGAAAACAGAAAACAGAGGGGGGCCAGGGCCCCCACTACGATTAGACACAAGCACCTGGCTCCTGGGACAAAGCGAGCAGCAGCAGCAAGCAGTTCAGCGGAGAAGGGGGGGGGGAGGAGCCGAGGGGGTGACGTCCCGACACGGCAGGTTGGAGCTGACCCAGGGAGAGAGAGAGAACAGCGATGGCAGCCCCCAATGACTGTAGACAGAAATGACGAGCCGACAGCGATGCAGCGGCAGCGAAAGCGGCGAGGAGGGCCCGCTGCAGAGCTCCGCTGGGCGGCAGCAGAGACATCGGCGGACGGGGGAGCACGCTGGACACGTCGGCATAGGAGCCAGGGGGGGCCTGCATCATGAATGGGCCTGCATCGCATGATGGCGACGGCGGCGACGTAGGCGAGACGGCGGCGAGGGTGGCGACGGCCACGATGAAGCTGGCTTGACGAAATGGATCGTGACGCCATGGGCGCAACAATAGACATCCCCTCGATGTCGTCGTCCTTGCCGGAAGGGGCAGCGCACGCGCCTCTGAAGATCGAGGCGCGTGGCTCAAAGCCGGCGCTGCGCGGGTTCGTGCCCATCCGACTATTGTCTACTTTTCCATTTTTTTGGATGCCGTGGTCGTGGGGGTCACCGCTCACGACCCGCCGCACGAAGTAGGCGGCGCGCAGCGCCGCTCTCGCAGGCTGTTTTTGTCGGTTCTACATTTTGTTTTTGTTTTCAGTCTAGGGGGCCCGACCCCCTCAGAGGCGGCGGGCGGGCGCCCACTGACCCAGAGATCAAAAACGCTCGGCCTACACGCCCGTCTCATGTGTCATGATGATGTGGATTGTGGTCTCATATACACATGGAGAAAACGCACCCCCCCGCGCCCGTTGCGCGTTGGCTAGCGCTAGGCACGACACTTGCGCGCAGCCGCGAGAGTCGGGGAGACATCTAACGCATGACTGATGACATCTCTGATCTCACGCGTCCCGCGGCGAACCGGCGGCGGCGCGCTCTTCCTGCGACCAGATAACGTAGGGCCTATCCATCGGCCTGTCCTCCCCCTGCTGGACCGCCTGGAGGCCGCCGCGGCCGTGGCGGCGGCGGCGGAGGGCTGCGGACACGGCGAAGGCGGCGAGCGCAGCAGCTGCGGTGGCGAGCGCGCCTCGAATGGCCGTCTCGCCCGGCGCCTCCTCGCCCACCCCCTCGCTCGCCGCTGCGCGCGAGTCGGGCGGCACCTCCATCAGCCCAGGGCTTGGCGCGGGCCCTGCGGACGTCTCCTCGTCGAGCGGCGGCAGGACGAGGGAGGAGATGGAGTGCGGAGGGACGGTCAGCCGCTCTGCGCCCAAGCCGGCCTCGACGTCGAGGAGCGAGAAGGTGAGCGGCTTGTCGCCGCGGTTCATCGCGACGACGCTCACGCCGCCGCCGGGCGTCGCAAAGGCGAGCGAGGCGAACTCCGGCTCCCTCGCGATGTACGGGCCGGCGCACAGCTCGCGCTCGCCTCCGCCGCTGCCGCCGGGCGTGGCGAGCGAGCGGATGGGGAAGGAGTGAGGGAAGCCGCCCGCGTCTCCGAACTTGAGCGAGAATGTCTGCGAGGGGTCGCCGCCAGCGATGCAAGGCAGCGCCTGCGCCACGGTGTACTTGCTTCCCGCATCGAGGCCGATCGCCGCCCCGCTGGTCGTCACCTGTGCGCGGCGGGGCGGGGGCTCGAGGCGGCGGTGTGGGCTCGGTGTGGCGGTGTGGGCTCGGGGTGGCGGGGTCAGAGGGGCGGCGGGGCGGCGGGGCGGAGGCGGCCCTGGTGAGGCACTTGTCGGTGGAGGGCGAGATGAGGAGGGAGCACGCGGGCGTGCCCTGGCCGCCGGCGGGGCAGGAGGGCGCGTCGCGCCGCTCCCACTGCTGGTTGGGCGAGTGGGCGCACGAGTAGACGTCGACGCGCGGGCCCTTTCCGTAGGCGGAGACGTCGAGGCAAAAGTGTGTGCCGGCGACGGTGAGCATGCCGCCCGAGTCGAGGGAGAAGGACTGGAGGGGGGAGCCTTCGCAGGGCCTGCTCGCAGCTGGAGGCGTGAGGGGCGGGGGAGGGGGAGGAGGAGGCGGCGGCTTGGCGCGAGGGGCGGCGCGCGTGAAGACCATCGGCTGGCTGTTTTTGAGGTCGTCCTTCCCCGGCGGCTTCTCCTGCTCGACGGTGTCGTTGACGCCGATCCGGACCGACCCGCGCGGCAGGTAGCGCGAGAAGTGGCCCATGTAGTGGTACGAGGCCTGCGGGGGAGAGGGGCGGGAGGCGCGGGGCGAGGTGTGTGGGGAGGGCAAGGAGAGCGAGCAGCGTGCGGCGAGAGCGAAGGCCTGCACCACGACCGAGTCGCCCGTCTTCTTCTTCTCGTGCGGGTCGGCGATGAGGTTGGCGTCGCATCGGTTGCCGAGGTGGTTCGGGCCGCCGGTGGTGTCGAGGATCAGGTTCCAGTCGATCCAGCCGACCGACCAGTGGAGCAGGTCCTGCAGGATGTCCATCCCGAGGTGCTCGGCCCGCTGCCACCACTCGGCGGCCGCCTCCGCCTCGTAGATGACTCCGGGGCAGTTGCACGCCTCGGTGGCGAGCAGGAACTTGTCCGGCGCGAGCGCGTGCGTCCCGTCGAGGTTGTCTGTGTTGAGCCCTCCGTACCAGTGCATGCCGATCCCGTCGAAGTAGTGGGCGGCCGCCGGGTCCGCGTAGAGGCCGCGCGCGTAGGTGAGAACGTGGTCCTTGTTGTGGTCGAAGCCGATGATCTTGACGCGCGGGTGCTCCTCGCGCAGCACGGGGCCGAGGTGCTCCTTGACGAAGGAGGCCATGTAGTCGGCCGTGTAGACACACTTCTCCCAGCCGACGTCCGCCGCCTCGGCCTCGTTCTGGATCGTCACGCCCCAGACGTCGATGCCGCGCGCCGCGTACCCAGAGAGGAAGCGCGAGAAGTAGTGCGCGTACGGCCGCTGCTTCGCCGGGTCGAGGCCGTTTGGCTGCGCCGTCCGAATCATCGACTGCACGCCGCCGACCGGCAGCTTCATCCACGCTGGCGGCGACCAGGGCGACGCCACCAGGGAGAGGCTGTCGGCCGTCCAGCGCTCGAGCTCCGCCATCGCCGCGTGGATCATCGGGATGATGCCGTTGTCGACGTCGTGCTGCATCGAGTCGTCAAAGTGATGCAGGTGCGTGTCGCCCGCCTCCTCTGCGAATGAGTAGGTGCGGTTCACGCCGCCCGGCCCAAAGTCGCAAGACCCGATCGGCACCCGGCCGACGGTGTAGCCGAGCCCGCCTAGGGTTGGGTTGGGGTTTGGTTAGATGTCAGGTGTTTGGATAAGGGTGAGGTTAAGGGTGGGTTAAGGGTGGAGGTGAAGCACCGTCTTCGGGCGATGCAAAGTAGAGCCGGATGACACGCCGCTGGTCGGAGGGCGAGAGGCTCTGCCAGTTCAGCGCAGCCGCCTCGGTAAAGGCACCGCCAAAGCCGAGGATCTCCTGGTGACGCTCGCGCCGCTGGAGAAGCACATGCCGCTCGCTGTGGCCCAGCTCGGAGAGCGGCTTGAGGTCGATGGGCGGCATGGGTGCGAGCAGTCGATGCTCGTCACGTGCCGTCTGCACCCACTCGATGGTGGCGCTGCGGGCGACCGCTGCCACGGCCAGCGCGAGCATCGCACACCATCGTCGCATGGCTGACTGAGTGGAGCTGAGTCGGAGAACTGAGGCGGTGAGACTGTGAGTCCGCGGTGGAGAGAGTCCGCCTGTTTTCGTTTTCTTTTGTAGAATTCTTTTTAATCAGACAAAAGCCGCGCGCAAAGGAAACAGTAGGGGGAGGGCTCCCAGGGCTTCGAGGTTTTTCAGTTGTTTTTATCGTGCGCTGCTCACTCACTATACACACACTGAGTGGAGAGAGAGTACAGCACCACACACACAAACACTACTTACTTACTCCCCAACACGCGGCTACGTAGCCAGGCGCAGGCCTGCCTGCTACACGATGGCGACGTTCTCAGGGTTCTGTCTGCGTGCTTTTGCTGCCTCCCGCTTGGAGTCGGCAGTAAAGCAAGTGGGTGGAAGCAGGGGCGACAGGGACGGCGGCGGCGGCGGCAGGGAGGGGCTGGGGGGGTCGGCGATGCCGAGGTGCGTGCCCATGTTTGTGCGTGGGGGGCGTTGCACGCCGCTGATCAGGCCGGGCGGCGGGGAGGAATCGGACGGCGACGGCGGCGGCAGGGACAGGGGCAGTGGCGGTGACCCAGGGATGGTGGCGACCGCCGCGAGCGGGATGCAGCCTGGATGCAGCCGGCGAGGCGAGGTGACAGAGTGTGGGCGCGACCGTTGCGCGCTGCTCGAGTGCGCACGACAAAGCAGCTCTGATGCAGCCTGGTGACCTGCGTGCGCGGGGACGGCAAGGGTCGCGCCGCAGCCCGTGCTCACCGGGGGCTCAGTCTCGATGGGGAGTGGGGGGGAGAGAGAGCGAGCAGCCAGGCCTGCGTACCGGCAATGCGAGACGACATTGACAGTTGGAGCCGCCCGCGGCTTGCAGAGCGTTTGAAAGTTGTCGGGCTACGTGCGCATGTCGCGGGCGACGCCCGTCCGCAGCTGACACGTCGTGGTGACGATGATGGCGAGGAGCATCACGGTGGAGAGGAGCGTCCCGGCGCTGCCTGGGCTCGCTCGAGTTTCCGGGGTCATGGGCACGGCGCGGCACGCAAAAATCTTGTATCAGAAAGAAAGAAAGAAAACAGACAACCCAAGGGAGGGATGGGAGGACGGCACGCCGCCACCACACAGGGATTTTAAGGAGAGGGGTGTGATGCGCTAGCCGTCGCCCACCCTTGGGCGTCCGCCTCTTCCTATCTCTCTTCGCAGTCTCTCTCGCCGATTCTCGCTGCAACCTTCATGCCACCTCGCGGTCGTCCCACTCTCGTCGTTCTCTCTCTTGTCGCTTCTTTCTCTGTCGCGTCGCTCTCCTCTGCCTCGTTCTGCGACCGACGCCGCCGCCGCCTGCCGCTCCCTTGCTCTCGCTGCTTCTCTCGCCTTTCGTCGCAGCTCTGCCCTCCTCGCGGCATATTTTGGCCCCAAAATCTGCTACATACACTGAGAGAGATAGAGAACACAACCCCCTCTCTCTTTTCTCCCAGTCAGCTAAAAGTACGTACACTGAGAGAGAGCTAAAAGTACGTACACTGAAAATCTTGTATGAAAAGAAAATTCTTTGAAACAGCAATGGCCTTGTCCACGGCATGGGCGGCAACGTCGTCTTGCTGCTCGCGACGGCGCTGCTCGCGCTGAGCAACGGCCTCCTCGCCACCGCGTCGATGATGCAGGTCGCGCGACTCGCGCCGGAGGGGCTGAGGGAGGAGGGGGTCTACGTCGCCGTCGCGGGAGAGTCTACTTCGGACTCGCGGCGGGCGCGACCGTCAGCTGGGCGGGGTGGCGGGTGGGGCGGGCGATGCACATGCAGCTGCCGAGCTGCCGCTCGCGAGTCGCGTGTCGGGGTGAGTGTACGGCTGTGTAGTCCTCTATTTTCGCGTTACACACACACACTCGATACATGAACGTCTCAGAATTATGTCAGAAACCGACAGTCGCAGCACGCAGGGAACGGACAAACTTGCTTCACCGGCACGAAAGCACACCAGAGAAGTGCTACGCGACGTCCGAGGGCCGCCGCGCAAGTCCAACATGCTCACGGCTCGGCGGCCGTCCAGACGCGGACTAGCAACGCAACGCACGGGCGCCGCCATGCTTCCGCCGCGTGCGGCGTGTAACGCAGTCTGTCTATCTAGCATTCATCGCAGGCGAGCCGCATGGAGTAGCCCCGCCGCGCCACGTTCTGCCCGACGCTGCTGAGCGAAGCTGCATGGGCCGCGAGGAACGACGCGAGGAAGGGGAGGACGATGTGCAGCAGGTAGAAAGGGAGCGCGCTCTCGTGGCCCGTGCGGACACGGAGGATGAAGCCGACGCACATCTGCGCGCAAGCGCAGTATCCCACTGCGAGCAGCTTGCGGGTCGGATGGAGGGCAGAGGGTGGCAGCGCTCCGAGAGCGGCGCCGGTCGCTGCAGCCATCGTGGTGATGCACCGCCCAACGCCTGCGAACGTGTCGAGGTCACGGGCCAACGCTTCCGGCGAGCGGACAAGGACGCTGACAAGACGCAGAGTCGGGGCGCACACGAGAACCAGGGCCATCGCGCGCGCGAGACAGCGAGGCGAGGCCTGTGCCAGGTTGGCGAGGGCCAGCAATCCAAAGCCCGCGGCAGCGATGAAGGCGCCGGGGTTGGTGGTGTCGAGCTCGGCCAGACGAGCGGCGAACATCACCAAAAGGGCGAGCGAGAGCTGGACCGGCTTGCTCTGCACCACGTCCAGACGCAGTGAGATGCGCACGGCCGGCGGCGAAGGCGGCATGGAGGGCGGCGGCACGCTTGCCGCCGGAGTCGGGCGCGTCTGCAGCAGCGGCGGTGTCGCGGAGCCAGAGAGAAGCAGGTCGTCGATGGGGCTGCCGCCCCCGAAGTGCCACGTCATCTCGCCGGGCCCCGGCGGCGGCGGCGCGCCGGCCTCGGCGAGCGGGCCGAGAGCGAGCGAGATCTCCGCGAGGAAGGGCTCGAAGCCGGCCTCCAACGCAGACCCAGACGCCTCGCCCGCCTGCGCCGCCGCCGCAAACCCCTCGACACGCCCCTCGGCTGATGCGGTGCGAGCCTCAGGGGTGTCGCGCTCGGGCGGCGGGGCCGGCAAGAGAGGAATCGCAACGGCCGACGGCAGGGCCACCTTGCTCCTGAGCGTGCGGCCGACCGAGAAGGCGACCCCGCCGCCGGAGGTGGACAGCGCGGCGGCCTCGGCCAGGCCGGGCAGCGGGACCGGAAGCTCGTCCCTGAGGATCACGAGCCTCGGGCCCGAGCAGTCGGACGTCTGGTTCACGACGCGGTGCGCAGGCAAGCACGAGGCTGGGGACGGCTCGTTCCAGAAGCCGGGCCCGTGGCTGTTGGCGATCTCGCCGGAGCCCGCGCCGATGGGCATGCGCACCCTCGACGCCGGCACAAACACGCCCCGCTGCCGGCAGCGCCCGCAGAACCTCTCGCGAAAGCTCGACGCCTGCGGAGGCAGCGCCTCGCAGCCCAGCGCGCCGCCCGAGACGACGTCGCCCCAGCACGTCTCCGTGTAGCGCGAGCGCTTCGGGGGTGGAGCGTCGGAGCTGGCGGCCTCGCGGGCCGGGGGCCTCGCCTCTTCCATCAGCCCTGGGCACCGCGAAGGCGCCGCCGCCCCAGAGCACGAACCCTCCTCCGCCTGCTCAGCCTCGGTCGAGACGAAGCGCTGCCCTCGCTGCCAGAGGGGGGCGCCAGAGCCGAGCTCGAGGGCGCCTTCCGTCGCGACCGGTGTAGCCAGCAGTCTGGGCGGTATCGGTGGGATTGAGCCCGCAGCAGGCGCTGTCGGATGCGCCGTGCCCGCCGCGCTGAGAAGCCACGCCAGCACACGCTCAGGATCTGCCTGCTCGGCTGTCATCGCAGCGGCGAGCTGAGGCACGCATGTGATCGCTTCGCGGCACACTGCGAGCAGCGCAGCGTTGTGAAGTTCGCGGCGCGTGGCGTACTCGCTGCGGAGCTGCTCGAGGTCTTGCTCCACATCGGTCAGCGCTTTAGCAGCCGCGACCAGCTCCTCCAGCTCCCTGGCCTTCGCCGCCTCCCGCTCCAAGGCAGCGGCCAGCCTCTCCTCGTCGGCACGCTGGTGAGCAGCGGCGGCTTGCCGCAGCGCGACGATGCTGCCCGGCGCGGGGATCATGGCACAGCAGCGCGCGGCAAGGCGTCGCTCTCTCCGCCGCCACGCAACAAGTCTATCGTGGTGGCGGTGGGCCGAGGATCGCCGAGATGGAGGAGTGCGAGGAAAAGAATTCTTATAGAAGCCTCTCTCACAGCACACTGGCACGACAAGGGCGCGGACTGGCGCGGACTGGCACACACACCGGCTCAGGAAAAGAATTTCCCGACGCAACACTGGGCACGGGACTGGCGCGCACTGGCACTAACACAGGTGCGAGGAAAAGAATTCGGCCTTTTTTGACGAAAACGCGTGCAGCGCCGCGCCGCGCCCCCACTTTCCTCTCCTCCATCTCGAGGGGCCGTGCCGCTCCTCTCCATCCACCGTGATGCTCCTCGCCATCATCGTCACCACGACGTGTCAGCTGCTGCGGCCGCCGGCGACCTCACACACACGGCGTCGAGCGCCGTAGAGACGGCCCCGAGAGCCGCCGCCAGTGTGCCACGACCGCGGTTGCGAGGCTCGTGGCGATGGATGCGCCAGACCCGCTTTGCGCCGCCGCCCTCAACGCCCGATACTCGGTCAGAGCCGGCGGGGCGACGGCGGCGGAGTTGCGGCCGCCGGCGACCTTCCCCTCGACCAAGCCGCCGACCCGTCGACAAGCACACGCGGACTGCCATCGAGAAGAAGGAGAAGGAGGGCGGCGCATCCGGAGCCCGCGGGGCGCGGGCGCGTGGGCGGGCGCGGGCGCGGGCGGACGCGCGGGACCCCGCCAGTGGAGGCGGCAATGCCTCTGGCGGCTCTGCAGGCGGCGCGCGGCGCGCCCCTCGCCGGTCTCCCGCACGCTCCTGAGGGCCGAGAGGGCCGAGAGGCGGGGTCGGTGACCCGGGGGCATGGGCGGTGCGGCCCGCGCCGCGCGCGGGCGCGTGGCAGCCCGTGAGTGCCGAGATCGGGTCTGTGCTTCGACGTAGCATGGGCCCCCGGAGGCCCATCTACAGCAGCGGCGAAGTGCGTATTTGTGGTGTTGGTGTGACGTCTGAGCTTGGACCTGTGACTAAAGCCGGTTACCACTGATGGATCACCACCCGAATAACACACAGTGAGCGCCCCAGCGCTTCACTACGCCCTCCGCGCGAAATCGCTAGTGCCTAGTGGTGCTTTGTGGTATAGTACATTGTACTTTTGAGTAGTATGGGTACGGTGCCCGAGACCGGGCGTCCGCCTCTTCCTATCTCTCTTCGCAGTCTCTCGCCGATTCTCGCTGCAACCCTTCATGCCACCTCGCGACCTCGCGGTCGTCCCACTCTCGTCGTTCTCTCTCTTGTCGCTTCTTCCTCTGTCGCGTCGCTCTCTCTCCTCTGCCTCCCTCGTTCTGCCTTCTGCGACGCCGCCGCCGCCTGCCGCTCCCTTGCTCTCGCTGGACGCTGCTTCTCTCGCCTTTCGTCGCAGCTCTGCCCTCCTCGCGGCTTATTTTGGCCCCAAAATCTGCTACATACACTGATAGAGAGAGCGCGTAGGGCCCTTAGGGGCCTAGAGAACACAACCCCCTCTCCCTTTTCTCCCAGTAGAGAGAGAGCTAAAAGTACGTACACTGAAAAATCTTGTAAACGAAAGAAAAAAGAAAACGGACACGCAAGGGAGGGATGTATCTTGTAAAGAAAGAAAGAAAACAGACAAACCAAGGGAGGGATGGGAGGACGGCACGCCGCCACCACACAGGGATGGATCTTGTAAAAGAAAGAAAACAGACAACGCAAGGGAGGGATGGGAGGACGGTACGCCGCCACCACACAGGGATTTTAGGGGAGAAGTGTGGTGTTAGCCGTCGCCCACCCTCGGGCGTCTACCACTTCCTATCTCTCTCCGCAGTTTATCACCAATTTCTCTCTCTCCCAATTCTTGCAGCGACCTTCATGCCACCTCGCATTCTTCCCACTCTCGTCGTTCTCTCTCCTGCTGTCTCTTCCCCTGACTCTAAATAAATAGAGCAGACATCTCCAGGAGAGATGGGCGACGCACGAACCCCTGACTCTATCAGCACTTGGAGCACTTGGAGCAGGTTCAGAGATTTTACACGAATTCTTTGACCGAGCACTTGTGCATGCAGCCTCTGCTCAACCCACTGGCCGCCACGTCTCCGCCGCGCAGCCTGGTGCGCGACGGCGCCTTCTGGACCGCCGTGCTCACCACGGCCAATGCCGCTCTCGGCGCCGGCGTCCTCGCCTATCCGATCGCCTTCCAGGGTGCCGGCCTGGCGGGAGGCTCGCTGCTGCTGCTGGGCTTTGCGACGACCGCCTCCGTCGGACTCGGCGCCGTCTTCCAGTGCATGTCGGCCGCGCGCCGGCTCGACCCGCGCGTGCGCGACTACACCAAGATGGTTGGTGCCGCGTACGGCACGACTGCAGAGGCGCTCGTGACGGTGCTCATCGTGCTGTACGTGTTTGGCGCGTGCTGGGGTTACCTGGTCCTCCTCTCCGACACGCTCGGTCCGCTCGTCCGCAAGGTGGCCCCGGCAGTCGACGAGTCCCTCGTGCGCATCCTCCTCCAGTGCGGCTCGACGGCGGTTTGCATCGGCCTCTGCTCGCTCCGCTCGATCAACACGCTCAAGTACTCGAGCGCGCTGGCGGTGGCGGCGGTGCTCACCACGGTGGTGATGCTCGTCAGGAACTACGCCGCCCACCCGTGCACCGCGGGCGACTGCGCCACAGCCGCAGGGCCGACCGTATGGTGCCTCCCGAGCCCCGGCTCCTCACCCGTGCCTCTCTGCCTGTGGCCGCTCCACATGTCCGTGACTCGCCCACGACGCGTCCCGCAGGTGCCCCTCCGGCGAGTGCTCGGGCTGGTGCACCGCGGAGCAGCTCGCCGCCGCGCCGACCAACTGCCCGGGCGGCACGCGCGGCGTGGCGCTCTGGCCGAGCGGCGCCGAGCCCTTCCTGGGCACCTCTCCTGCCTCGCCGCTAGCTCTCTCTGCGCCCTCTCTCCCCCCTCGCCCTCGCCCTCTCTCACACCCTCTCCCTCTCTCTACCCCCCTCCCCCTTCCCCTTCCCCCTCCCCCTCCCCCTCTCCCTCCCCCTCTCCCTCTCTTTCACACGCAAGCCGTCGTGCAGGCGCGCTTCCGCTCGTCGCGTTCGCGCTGCAGTGCCACATCCAAGGCGCCGCAGTGTACCACGAGATGCCGCCGCGGCTGCAGTCCTCTCGCGCTGCGTTCGCCGCAATCGCCGGCGCGTTGAGCACCCCTCCCCACCACTCTCTCGCCTCCTCCTCCTCCTCCTCCTCCTCCTCCCGTTTCCTGTCTCCAGTCTCCAGCTTCCTACCTCCGGCCGCCGCCGCCTCCTCCTCCTGCCTCCTCCCCCCCCACCTCCCCCCGCTGCCTCCCGTTGACTCTCTTGCACTCTCCCCCTCCGCCTGCGCCGTCGCAAGACGCGGTTGCGACGCGGCCGTGCCGTGGCCTCCGCAGGCGCGTCGTCCTGCCTGCTCATCCTCCTCTACCTCCCCACTGGCCTCGCCGGCTACGGCGCCTTTGGCGCCATCACGCAGGGCGACATCCTCACAAACTTTGGCGTCGATGACCCGCTTGCGGACGTCGCGCGCGGCTGCATCGCGGTGCCCGCGCCCCTCCGTCCCATCGGCCTCGCCCCCGTCTCCCTCCCTCCCCTTCCCCTTCCTTCCCTCGACCCCTCGCCTCGCCGCCGGCCACAGAGCGGCCAACCGCCCCCGCCCCCGCCAGCCAGCCCCCCGCCGACCGCCCGTCTGTGCGGCTCACGCGCAGCCCTACGGCCCGCCAGGTGACGGCTCTCTGCGCCTACCCGATGCAGCACTACCCGGCTAGGCTCGTGCTGCACAATGTGTGGATCGCAATGCGCGCCCGCGCCCGCGCCCGCGGCGCGCCCTCCTCGCCATCCGGTGACGCTTCCGTGTCTCCCCTCGCTGCGCCGCCGCCGGCTCAGCCGCCGCCCCAGCCGCCGGCGGGGCCTGCGCCCGCGGCCTTGGCGGCGGCTGCGCTGCTGCGCGACTCGCCCGCCGCCGCCACCGCCGCCGAGGGGGAGCCGAGCGTGGGATTCATCTTGTGCGAGTCGTGCGTGTGGGGACTGCTCGTGCTCGGCCTCTCGCTCGCGGCGGCGGGCTCCTCCCTCTCGGGCGTCTTCTCGCTCGTCGGCGCGCTGTGCGGCGGCAACGTCATCTTCACCATTCCGGGCCTGCTCTGGCTCAAGCTCGGCGGCGGCGGCGGCGGCGCGGCCGTCAGAGCCGCGGCCTCCGGCGCCGCCGCCGACGGCGCTGCGAGAGCCGGGGCAGTCGGAGCGGGCTGGAGGCGGCGCTTGCCGACGGCACTGCTCCTGTGCGGCGTCGGAGCTTTCATCACAGTGGCGGGCACGTTCGCGACGCTCCAGAGCATGGTCGAGGGCGGCGGGAGGTGACGCAACCTGCCGCCGCCGCCGCCGCCACTGCTCCTCGGCATCCGAAATGCGAAAAGTGGACGGAGCAGACGGGGGAGCAGCGGCCAAGGAGGAGGACGACGGTGACCTCAGTGATCAGACGAGGGCTGGGTCGAGGTCGGCGTGATCGATGTTTGGGGTGCAAGGGTAGCTGTGCCTGGCCGGCAAAGTTCCGTCTTGGTGTCGTCCTCACTCTGTGCACTCAGTCTCATCTGTATCCATTAATACGTTACGTGACAACGTGAGACATTTTTCCGATTTCGTGTAAATCTCACCATAATATCATAAAGCCGTAATACTCTGTGTGCGCGTACAATCATGTTTTACGTGTGCGGGAACGTTGGGAAGAGGCACGAGGTCGAGGAGGGCGGCGAACCTCGACCGACGCGACTATATGGAGGACCCGTCGCCAGACGACGCAGGGCAGACGATGTGGAGGCGGAGCAGACGCGCAGGGCGAGACGAGGGAGGGAGCAGGACTTTGCGGAGATCAGCAGGAGGATGTACGAGGAGATTAGGAGCAGCAGGGACCCGAGGGACCATGTGGAAGACGGCTAGTGCTAGTCCCCCATCGGGAGGACGACCCCGGCTAGTCGCCGACCACACCCACAAAGAACCCTGCACAAAGATCGCACGGCCACGGGCGGGGACTTGGAGCACTTTTGGAGTGCAGTCATTAACCCTCACATCCAGGGCCGGGGAGCTAAGAAGCGCACCCAGCGAGCCGGATGATCGGTATCGGGCTACGGGCTAGAGAGCCCTGACCCCTAGCTAGGGGGGGGCGCGCATTCGCAGGGAAAGGGCCGTAAAATAAACACGGGTCTCCGAAGGGACCTGTTCCCTTTTTACCCATCTCACAGTAGAAGTGCCCGTTTTTATTTCTTTATTTATTACATACGTACAGATTATATGCTACGAGGTCACAGTATGGGTTCCACTTGGTCCTTGGTCCTGCTCCTGGGAGATAGGCGGGTCGATTGCTCGATTCCGCATGGTGCATGTGGCAAAAAAAGTATTCGTCATAAGTTGGTGCAAATATGGCTCACGACACGTCGCGACAGCCACAGCCGTGAGGTGACACGCCGACGTTCCGGAACACGTGGGACGTGGCCAAGGGACGACCGGCTCGAAGTTATCGGCGAGGGTATGGGGGGCGAGCCGCCCTGGAGATATGCTCGCGAGCCGCCATGGAAAGCGGCGCCGTGGGCATTTGCCGCCGGCCCTCGACCAAGCCAGCGCCGCGGTCATCCTCGCAGACCTTGAGGCTGCCGCTGCCGCCGCCGCCAACGGCCGCTTCCTTGACGCGAATGCTTTCCAGGCGACAGTCGCTGCAGCAGATGACCTTGTCGGTTTTCTCGGCGAGGCGCGTTTGCTGCCAGACAGCATCCTCGCAGAGTACTGCGAACGGTACAATGCAGTGAAACTGGTCGGCAGGCGAGTCCGTGCCAAGCTGAGACGTCAAGGCGTTGGCCAGTCTGATCAGATTGTCAGTCTTCCAGACGACATTGTGCGCCACATCTTTGCTGCATTGGCCAACCCGCTCGACCCTGCCCCCGCCGTTCACCTCGCAAGCACTTGCAAGTACCTCCGGGTTGCGTTGCGCACAGGCTCTGGCTGCGAGCTGCAGCGGCTGCAGTCGTTCACGCGGAGCACTGATCTGCTGTGCGACGTGGTGAGCGTGGCTGGCGCGCAACCGGCAACACGAGCACAGCTGCAGTTGGCAACGACGCTCACGACGACCCGAAGCGCGACCGGCCGGACCTTTAAGGTTGGCGATTGCTCGACTCTCGCGGCGCTGATGGAGGGCGGCTGGCTGGACAGGCTCCAAGCGCTCCGCCTTGAGGTGCCATACCTAGGAGTGGCGGGCTTTCGACCGATCTTCGAGGCGCTGGCCGGTGGCGCGCTTCCGAAGCTGCGCCACCTCAACCTCTCCCACAACATCCTTGACGAGGGGGGCGGCTGCATTTGCTCGGCACTCTCACGCATCAGGCTACCGGCGGGGTGCGGCTTGTCTCTCAGCAACAACCGCATCACCAGCGACGGCGTGGTCGCTCTGGCCGGGGCGTTGGCTCGCGGCGCGTTTCCATCGCTGGTAGCCCTGGACCTGTCCGACAACGACATCGACGGCGCCGGCGTTGAGGCGATCGCCGAGTGCGGCAGGATGGGCCACCTCAGGTCGCTCCAGAGTCTGAACCTGGATGGCAATGACGGCACCACCGCCGCCAGCATCGACGTGCTGGCCGCGGCGCTCCGCGCTTGGGGCACCTTCCCCGCGCTAAAGAGCATCTACCTGCCTCACGAGGCCGCCGATTTCGGGCCGGCGGGTGCCCGTCTTGTCGCGGTGTGCAATCGCGAGCGAAACGTCGGGCTCTCCTGGATTTGAGATTTTCACTCGTTTATTTATCACACACATGTGAACATGAACCTGCAACCTCCCGCACGCACGCCTTATCTTCAAAAAATACTCCAGGGCCTCGGTGCCAATCGTGTCGCGTGGACGTCCCTTCGTTCGTCAGCGCGTCCTCTGCGTCGATGTGGCTAGACTACGTACGTCGATCGAGACCGTGCGGCGAGAGATTTGTTTTGTGTTTGACTGTCCGTGGTCCTGTCCTCTCTCTGGCCAGAGAGAGATTTGTTGGATGTCGCTCTTATTAGCCGCCCTCCTGATCTGTGCTTTTTGTTGCTTAGACCGGCCAAAGCCTCCAGAACGCGCACACTTGGTGGGCTCGGGGAGGAAGGGCGGGAGGGGGAGGGGGGGATTGGGAAAATCAATCTTCGTCGCGTCGAAGTCGCTGCCACTTGCGAGCGCCATGTTGTTCGCGGTGACGGCGGCCCTCACGGCGCTGCCAGCGGGGGCGGCGCACATCCCTACGTGCCCCTCGCCCGCCTCGCTCAAGTGCCTCCTCGACTCGCTCGAGGCGCATGGCGCCGTGGCGGTCAGCGGCGTCCCGGGCCTCGAGGCGGCCCGCGCCTCCGCCTACGCGTTGCTCGCGGCGTGCGCGTCCGACGAGGCGACGCGCGCGTCCATGCAGGAGGTGGTGCTGGGGGACGGGACCGCGCGCCGCTCGCTTGCTGCGCGCACCGTGCGTGGCGTGCCCGAGCCGCTCGAAGGCACGTGCAACGGCGCGGGCGAGGCGCTCGAGCCGCTCCGGGCGATTGTCGACTCCGCGAGCCGCGCCTTCCTGGGCGCGCTCGAGCCACTCGAGCGTGGCTCGGCCGCCCTCCTCACCACCCGCTCGGGCCGCGGGTACCACTCGCTGCTCGAGGTAGCGCAGGGCGGAGAGCAGCTCGAGCACTTCCACACCTACGTGCCGCTCCGCCTCGCGCCGGCGCCCAACGCCTCCTCGCACGACTTGCCCGCCCTTCCCCTGCACACCGACGCCGGCCTCCTCCTCGCGCTGGTGCCTGCGATGTGGGTGGCGAGCCCCTCCGACCTCCCCTTCTCCCCCTCCTCCCCTTCGGACGGCTTCTCTGTCGAGGGCGCGGCCGGCGAGCTGCTCACAATCGAGCCAGAGTCGGCCCCCTCGTCGGTGGTCTTCGTCGTCGGCGAGGGATGGGGCCGCTGGCTCGAGCCGGCCCTGCGCGGCAAGCTGCGCGCCGCGCCGCACTCGCTCGCCATTCCGGCTGGCGCGCGCGGCAGCCGGGCGTGGTACGGCCGGATGCTGCTGCCGCCCGGCGACGCGCTGATGCCCTCGTCTAAGCGCGACGGCGGCGCGCCTCCCACCTACTCCGAGTGGTCGGCCTGGGCCAATGCGCAAGTATCGCCAGCCTCCCCCCGCGCCGCCGCCGCCGCGCCAGCCGCCGAGGCTGCGTCGGCGGGCGGCGCCGTCGCCCTATCGCACGGGCGCGAGCTGGACGTCTTCGACGCCGCCGGCTGCAACTCGAACCAGATCTGGTGCTGGCACGCCTGCAAGAACTTGGACGAGCTCAACTGCGCCAAGGAGGACGCGGTGTGCGCCCTGCCGGACGGGTCCGTCTGGGACGGCAACGAGAACAACCACAACGCCCAGCTCGAGTGCCTTCCCGAAGAGCACTCGGGGCACGGTAGGAACGGGACGGACGAGGCGCGCTTCTGCACCGGCCGCGGCACGTCGATGCACATGGACGGCTTCACCTTTTTGCAGCGCGGCGAGACGAGCTGCGTCATCTTCCTTTTCACCCCGTGGCTCCTCTCCTCCGATGCAAAGTTCGCGCTCGCCGTCCTCGGCACGGTCGCCCTCGGCGTCCTGGCCGAGCTGCTCACTTGGACGCGGCGCACGCGCGTCTCCGCGTCGGAGCGGCTGCGCAGCCGCCCCCACGCGTACCGCGCGGCGATGGGCGGCCTCTTCGCGCTCCAGGTGGCCCTCGGCTACGCGCTGATGCTCATCGCGATGACCTACCAGGCGGAGCTCTTGATCGCCGTCGTGGCCGGCCTCGCGCTCGGGCACACACTGCTGAACGTGACTGCCCCCGTCGGCGAGACGAGCGACCCGTGCTGCGCCGAGCCCGTCGCACAGGGCGGGGAGAGGGCCTGGCTCGACGGCGTGCCTGTCCGGGCCGGCGCGCGCTCCCTCGAAGCGGTCAGCACGGACGGCGCGACAAGCCGCTCCTCGACCGAGACACTGCCCGCCGCCTTTGGCCAGCCGCACGCCGAGGGCGGCGGCGAGCACTCCGCCGACCTCACGGTGGCGCCCATCTCGTGCGAGAAGTGCTGCGCCGCCGTCGCGGGCTCGATTCGCGCGGTCGAGGGCGTCATCGACGTCCGCTGCGACCTCGACGGCGCCTGCCACGCCACGCTGAGTGGCGAGCTCGCACGCAGCCCCCTCGCCCCGGCCGCGCTCAGCGCGGCGGTCGCCTCCGTCGGAAAAGTGGTGACTTGCGGGCCCCACCTCTCAAGCAAGACACGCGTGCGGCTCTAGACGGCGCGACAACGCATTGGCTTGCTCGTCTACCACTGCGGCTGAAGGACAAGCCCCCGCAGACCCGGGCCACCCGGCCGACGGGACGCCGGGCAGCAGCATGCGAAGCGGGCCTCGACGCCCCCGATCCCCCCCCCCCCCCCCCCTCCCCGCCTCGGCGCATCCGCGGTATCGCTACCCCCTCACTGCAGGGTGGCAGCAGCTGCGCGCCGAGACGCCCCCGAGTCGCGATCCTCGCACACACTCTGTCCCTGTATATGCACCGCCCGCCCCCGCCGGCCCAGATGTCAGGCCGCGGAATCCTCGCGCCCCCCGCGCATGCACTCTCGCTCTTGTGTAGAGTCCGGTATCTCAGCACACGATGAAAAAAGAAAAGGCGCTTCCACGACTAGAGACTAGACAGATCTAGCACGGCGCGTGATGCCAAAAGACTCAAGTCTCCGGGGATTCTGAAAACTGCTCGGCGGTGTGTGCGCCGGCATTGGCAACGCAACGGCCTTGAAGCTTGCATGCAGCATGGCGTTGGCCGTGCGCGGAGCGCGGTCGGGTCGCTATCGCTTCACACCCTTCTTCTTCGCCTTCTTCACGTACTTTGGCGTCTTGTTCAGCCGCGCCTCGCGCTTCGCCTCTTTGGCCGCCGCCTTGCGCTCGCGCTTGTCGTCGCGGTCCTCAAAGTGGTGCAGCCGCGCCGCCCGGGGCCGCCGCAGCCGCTCGCCCTCCTCGCCCTCCTCCTCGTCGCTCTCCCCCTCGCCCTCGCTCTCGCTCTCGATCCCGCTGCCGGCGCCGCTCCCCGCCTCGCCCCCCTCGGCGGCGCCCTCGCCTCTGGCCGCGCCCGCCCCCTCGCCGCCCTGCGCCGTCGCGATGCTCAGGTCCTCGTTGAAGCCGTTGAGCCGCGCGTACGCCAGCGAGCCTCCCTGCCCGCCGCGCGCCGCCCGGATGTCGCGCTCGATCTGCATCAGCGGCAGCTCGCCGAGCGTGCGCGGGATGTGCATCTGTGCAAACACACGCTCGCTCACCTCCTCCTCCGCCGCCGCCTCTGCCGACGCCGCCGCGCTCGCAGCCGCCCCCGCCTCTGCCGCCTCCGCCTCGTCCTGCGTGAGCGGGAGGCCCTCCAGCCCCGCCTCCGGCCCCGCCTCCAGCCCCGCCTCCAGCCCCGCCTCCGGCCCCGCCTCCAGCCCCGCCTCCGGCCCCGCCTCCTGCTCGCCGTGCGGCGCGCCCGCCGCCAGCAGCGCGTCGTAGGCCGCCTCCTCCTCGCCGCGGCCGATCACCGGGTCGGTCACGAAGCCGAAGAGCTGCTGCAGCGTCGGCAGCGGCCGCACGCCCTGCCGCCGGAAGAAGAGGATCGCATTCTCGCAGTCCTTGCGCAAAAAGACGAGGGCGTTCGGGTGGTCGTGCTCCACCGCCTGCGGCATTCAACACTTCAGGATCAACGCTGGTCCTCTTCATCCTTCGGCGGTCGAGTTCCGCCGCCTGCGACACGTCGATCACGACCACCCTCCCGTTGTACCAGAGCAGGTTGTACTCGGAAAAGTCGGCGTGCACCAGCCGGCAGCCGTGGAAGATGTGGCGCAGCAGCAGCATCACCTTCCGACTCAGCGATTCCAGCTCAGGTGCAAGCCTGCCACACTCGAGAGGCCGCGCGCAGCAGCAGCGTCGCCTGCCGGCTCGCGCTCGCCGCCTCGTCTGCACTCAGGCTCGCGTCTTTGAGGCGCGGAGCCGCGTAGCCGTCGCAGCCGACAAAGCTCATGAGCAGCACGTGCTCGCGCAGGGCGAGCGGCGCCGGGCACGGCACGCCCGCCTCGGCGAGGCGCCTACGGCACGGCTCCGAGCAGGCTCGGGCTTGCGCTCCGGCCGAGCGCGCGGCTCCGCCTGAGCGAGCGGCGCCGGTAGTTGCGCATCTCCTTCTCGGCCCACATGCGGACCATCTTTCGCGGGTTGGAGCGGCAGTAGCCGTGGCGCCAACGGAACTCGCCCGCCACGTACCGGTCCCTGTCCTTGAAGGTGAGTACCGACGTCTTGTACACCTTGACTGCAACCTCGGCCGGCTCGCGCGCGAAGGCGTGGTACACGTTCGCCTCCTTGCCGGTCGAGACGCAGCCGTTGATTGACTGCAACACGCCCGAGTTGAGCATCTTGAAGAGTAGCAGCCGCGTCCGCGGGTCCAGCACGTGCTCCGTCGTCGCGCGCTCGTCGCGTGTGAGGCCCGTGTGCTTTGGCTGCGCCGCCTTGCGCTCTGTACGGCTGAGCGAGTTGCCCGCGGCCTGCGACATGGACGTGCCGCGCAGCGGCTGCAGCGAAATGAGCGAGTCGAACCGACTCGCCAGCGACTCCGACTTGGCGACGGTGAGACGCTCGTTGCCGTCATCGACGCCGTCCGCCCATTGGTCGTCGTCGTCGTACCATCCGTCGCTCGCGCCGCCGTCGTCGCCCGAGGCGGCGGCGGCGGCCGCGGGCGCGGGCGCGGCCGGACCGTCGATCTCATCCTCCGCGTCGGAGTAGCGTCCAGCGTCAGCGGGCAGCATCCTGCCGCCGACAAACCTTGGCACTCTGGCTCCACTCAGGCTGCGCTGTGGCTTATTGGCTCCGCGCGGTTGGTGGGCGCGTGGATGCCTTGTGGCTCAGCGCGGCGAAGATTTCTTTTAAGCTACACTTCGTTGTTAATAGGAACAAGCGAAGGCACACACGACATGACGCCAAACACACGATTGCACGCACCCGCACCGCACCTCGCACCCGCACCCGCCGCCCCCCCGACCCCCGCCCCGCCTAGGTGGGAAAGAGATGAGGAGATGGGACAGCGAAGGAGGAGCCACGAACACGTATGGGAGGTTTCGTTGATGCCTCACGCTGCCCGGCGTCTCTCACTTTCCGGGACAGCCCCGCCCTTGTGAGGCAGGAAAGTGACAGATTTCTTTTAGCTTCCTGTCTATAGAGAACATTTATGCGCCGATTTTTTTCCCTTGAAGCACTTGGGGCGCGGCTTTCTACTTTGTTTACCTTGCGACAGCCTGTCGGCGCTGCTGACCGTGCCCTGCTGCACAACTGACCACCTGCATAGCTCGCGGCCTTAGTATCCAGCATTCAGTGACGACCTGATCGTACGGCCAGTAGGAAGGTGTCCTTCCAGCGCGTGCACGTGTCCTTCCAGCGCGTGCACGCTTCTGACGCAATGCGCGTCACAAACTGCCTCGGATTGGCTGCAGTGCTGGCACTCTCGAGGCTATGCCTACACAGCCTCGCGCGCATGGGCAGTCAAGAGGGACCATGCACCTTCTCACGACAGCGCCGGTGCTCTCTCTTGGACCGGCAAACGTGGTGGTCTCGTGTCACCAATGTGGGACCAGTGCGGCATCGCGCCATCGACAGCTCTGAACTGCGCCTCACCACTGACCGGGAAGGCCGCCAAGTGGGTCAGCACCGGTCGCACATTGTGGCAGCAGTCAGTAGCGCATGTCTGATAGCTAGAGCAGCAGCGTCAGGGTCGCAGGGTCGGATCGTGTCAAGCCTCTCGCCCGGCCGGCCGCGTGCAGACGTCGGCCTGTCTGCTGTGAGTCTGGAGTGATCTGTCGGCGGTCAGTACGACCGATCAGGTTGGAGTTTTCTGATGATTGGAGGGTCTATCTGTATGTACTTCTTGCGATCTTTCCAAATCTGCCCTCTAATCAACCGTAATCATTCGGGAGGTTGGTGCTAGCTGAGACTAGCGGAGCCGGGGCCCCGGCGCCCCGCCTTTCCGCACTGCGGCGCGGCGCACGGTGCCTCCGGGGGCCCCCGCCTCCCCCATGACGATCGGCTGGCGACCCGTTAGGGTCGCCAGTTGAGCTAGGGAGTGCGGCGATGGCCGCCCAAATGCAAACGCAGGAGATAAAATGCTTTGAGGCGACGTTCCGTGGGTAGGATCAAGTCGCCGCTTGCTTTAATTACACTCCTTGCCGCACGCGCAAAGTCTACGCGCGTCCTCGGGGCCAAGGCACAGCCCAGCTGTCTGAGGGAGAGAGTCTCCCTCGCTGCGCGTTTCCAGAGCGGTGGACTCCCTATTCCACTGGCGATCTCTCTCGACTAGCGACCTTCCTCCGGCTTCTCACTGGCAGTCTCTCCTATCACGGGCACACTGACAGGGGTGGCCGAGGCACACGCCGAGGGTGGCAGGGTATTGACCCCGGACACAGTTATTGTTATGGTGTTATGGCTCTCTGGCATAGCAGCCCATAACATGTTATGGGCTGCTATGAGAGAGCCGTCCCGGGTCCACGCACCACGGTGATATGGCCCGAGAGGCCACGCGCCGAACTGCTCGCCGCTGGAATTTTCGCTTCGCGCGCTGCCGCGCGCGCGCGAGGTTCGGCATCGATCGCCAAATGTTTTCTCTTTTGCCCTGAGCCAGCGAGTTGTATGTGTGCTCCGTCGACACAGACAGCACATAGTTGAAGCCGGGAATTCTCTTGAAGTCGGAGACGCGCAGGTCAAATGACGAGGGCTTCTGGCTCTTGAACATCTTCATCCGGTAGGCCATGGTCGGCTGAATGGCTGGTAGTAGCTACGCGGCGCGGGGCGGGCGCTCCAAAAGAAGAATTTTATTGTACAAACACCGGGATACGCGCGGGCGGGGCCCCTCCTTTGAAAAAATCCGTGGGACAGAAGGGTCAAATTCGGTTTTGGCCGAGGCATAACAGCTGTTATGAGGTTGTTATGAGGCTTGCTGGCTGTCATAACAACCACTGGGAGGTGTTATGAGTGCTATTGAGGTTAAGTTAAGATTAAGTTATGGGGTGTTATGAGGTGTCATGCTCATGGTAGGGTGGGCATAATATGAGGTGTTATGGGGTGTTATGAGCAGCCAGCCATAACAGCCATAACACCTGTTATGGCCGCTCCCATAACCTTGTCTGGAATCAAGCAGGCGCGGTGCCCACTCTGTGGGCTTCGCTAGAGGTGCGGCCTATGCATATCCTCGTCCTTGAGGGGGAAGGGGAAGGGGCTGTGTGTCTGTGTATGTATGTGGGTGGGTGCTTTTAGCTTACTGGGAGACTCTCTCTCTGGGTGTATGTGTGTGTGTGCATGTGACGATCTGTCTGAGGGACGAGGCCACGACGAGGGCGGTCGGAGCGTCAGTCGATTGTCGGCCTTGCTTGAGCTGCTGACGCATTCCGTGTCGGCTGGAGGGTGTCCCTCTGTCCGCCCGGAGCGCTGCAGCCCGATGGATGTTTCGGCCGAAGGCGCGACGGCGCACGGGGCCGAGACCGCCGTCTCGCCTCGCGCTACTGCAGCGTTTCTGCTTCGCTGCGCGCGCGCGCCCGACCGCTTCTTCTACCCGTGCAACGCCAAGGCGCGCGAGCCGCGGGACTGCTCGTACCGGCTGCTGAGAGCCGGCGGAGCAGGGCCGGTGACCGTATTTGTGGCGGAGTGCGCCTACGGCGAGGGCGGCACTGGGTGGCGCGTCTGGCCGTGCGCACTGCTCCTCTCCTGCTGGCTCGCCGCAAATCACGCGGCGCTCCCTCTCGCCGGCTCTCGCGCCATCGAGCTCGGCTGCGGGCTCGGGCTGCCGGCGCTGACGGCAGCCAGCCTCGGCGCCGGCGACGTGCGCATCACCGACTGCCTTCCCAAGCTGCTGCGCACCGTCCGCCGCAGCGCCGCCCGCGCCGCGCGGCCGCACCTCGTCGCGGCGGCGCTGCTCGACTGGGACCACGTGGCGGCGCCCGACGAGGCCGAGGTGTACTCAACGGAGCAAGGCGTCAAGGCGGCGCAGCGGAAGGAGGCCGGGCCGGGCGGCGGCGGCGGCGAGGATGCGTGCGGCGTCGCGCCTCTCCCCGCCGGCGACCGCTTCGACCTCCTCCTCGCCTCGGACGTGGTCTACTCCCTCTCGCACGCGAGGCGAGTCCGCCCAGCAGCTGCCCGACGCGCTGCAGCGGGCGGCCGCTCAGTCAGGAAACCCGTTTGGCCGTGAACCGATAGGCAGTTGCCCGCCGTGCTGGAGCGGGCGGCCGCGCCGAGTCGCGCGCTCGCCTGCCTGATGGTGCCTGTCCGCTCGGAGGCGCACACGCGCCGCTTCCTGGACGAGCTTGCGGCGGTAGGCTTCCGCGTCAGGCTCGCGCGCGTCTCTGCCCGCTGGGTGGAGGCGGTGGTGGCGGTCCAGCTGGAGCGGGAGGGGGAGGGGGAGGGGGAGGGCGGCTGGTCGGAGTGCGCCGCCGCCAGCGGGAGGCCCTTTTACCACCACCGCGCCAGTGGCCGCTCGGTGTGGCACCGTCCCGCGGAGATGGACTACGCAGCCCTGCTGGCGCGCGCGCAGCCAGACACGCGCGCCGACGAGGTATACCGGGCGGATACGCGCCTCACAGAGGGCGAGATCCTCTTCGTCGAGGCAGCAAGGGGAGAGCCACCGCTTGTCCCTGCCGACACCGGTTAATTAGAGCAATTCCGTATTATTGCACTAGGACTAAAGCCGTCGTAGCGCCTCTCGGCGTAGCGGCGCTCTTAGTACTTAGAGTCTTTTCCCGGGCGCGGCGCCGCGGCGTGTGTGCGGTGTGTCGCCCCCCGGGGGACGCCGGAGCCCTTCTCCCGGTCCCGGCTGCGGCTCCCGGTCCCGCCCGCGGACGCGGACCCCGCACTGCGGCGCACACGCGCGCGACCGCGGTCGACCTCGACACACGCTCTGTCGTTTTACGTTTAAAGCTTTATTTTCCGTGTCACACGCTTGTCGCTTCCGACTCGGCATCGTCGACAAATGTCTTCCCACAGCACACACTCGGTATCTTGCAAGTTCCTTGAAGCCACAGCAGCGGGCTGCAACTGGCAACTCGCCGCATCGCCATCGGTACACAGAGCTCAGAGGAGAGAGGAGAGTCGAGAGAGAGATTCGCCACGGCCCACGCCCCACGCGCCCCAGGTCTAGAGCAACCTCGAAGGCGCACGCCGTTTGCCTGCCGTTCCCAGACCGCCCTAGATGTGCAGCGCCCTCACGATCTCGCCCTCCAGGGCGACGATGTCCTTGTCGTTGCCGACGGTCATGTGCCGGTTTACTCTCGCGCTCATCTCGGTCGTAGCCCCGTCGAGGGAAGCGGCGCCCTCGCCCTCGCTCAGCGCCTCCCACGCGCTCCGCGCGTCGCGCACACTCCACCGCACCTGCAGCCGCCCGCGGTACGAGATGATCTCGCGCTCGTACAGCCCGTGCTCGTCGCGGTGCGTCGTCGCGTCGAACTTGCTCGAGCCCCACAGCGCGAGCTCCTCGCCGTCGTCAGGCCCGTACTTGGCCTCGTCCGCCTCGGACATGCGCAGCCTGAGGACGACCGGCTTGGGCTCGTTCGTCCCCTTTGCCCAGTGGCCCGAGTTGACGCACGTGAACAGGACAAACTCCGCCGTCGTCCACACGATCATCGTGCCGTCTGCCGCGACGTCGACCGACGTGACCGCTCCAACCTTGTGCGAGTCGATGACACAGGAGGCGTTCTCGGACTGCATGATGTAGTCGTACAGCGCGACAGCCCCGTCCGTGCGGCCCAGCACCAGGTAGCCGCCCTTGGTCTGCGCGTGGGCGCTGAAGGTGTACGACTTGTACTTGCGGCTCGAGTCTGCGCTAATCACATACTGCTCGACATTCTCGCCGGCGCGCGCGTCGTGGCTCATGGCGAAGACAGTCTGCCCGCCGTCGCCCAGCCCGAACATCTGGTACTCGTTCGTCTGCCTGTACTGCTCGAACTTTTGCTGCGGCGTGATGGAGTCCACCTTGAGGTTCCAGTTTGCGCGCTGCCGCCGCAGCGACAGCTCTGACTTGGTGGCGCCGGTCTCGGTGTCCATCAAGAGCACCGAGGTGGGCTTGTCCATAGATGTGAGCAGCATGTCGTTGCACTGGTTCCACGTCTGCACCATCCCGACCGCCTGCTCCTCGCCATCGAAATCAAAAACCTTGTGCGAGCCGATTGGCGTGCCGCCGTCGTCGCCTTTGAAGAAGCTGATGGTCTTCTTCGAGCCCTGGGAGAGCGCAGCCATGCTCTCCAGACCGGCGCCGCCGCGCGGGCCCGCGTCGAGGATCTGAGGCGACTGCATCGCACGCCCGCGGAGTGGAGTGGAGGACTGGACCGGACACGCCCGTCTCGCTCAAGCAGACGGAGGCAAAAAATTTTTTTCACCCCGCCACTTTTTCGGCAGGAGCCCACCTCTCCTTCCCTCCGTGCGCCCAACGATATGGGCAAATCCGCGCCAAAGCGCGCTTCCGACGCTGACCAAGACGTACGGCCCGCACGCAGAGGCAAAGGATGGCTCTGGGCCGGAGCCCCCTCCCTCGGGGGCTGGCGGGGGCACCGACGGGGCCCCAGCCGCGCCTCCCGCTCCTGTGGACTCGGCCGAGGAGCTACGAGTGCTTCGCAAGCGGCTCGAGCGGCTCGAGGCTCAAGCCGCACAGCCCGTCGCACAGCCCGACGGGGAGGACCCCCCACCGGGAGGCGGCGGTGGCGGCGGCGACGGCGGCGGAGCGGGCGGCAAGGCGGCCAAGGACCGCGAGCGGGTGCGCCCCGACCCTCCCACCCCCCCAGACTCCGACGCCGACTCGTCGGAGGACGACGTGGGCGGCGGTGGTCACCGCGGCCCCCCCCGCCTCGGCGGCGGCGTCGGTCGCGACGATGCTGTCGGCGAGCTGTTCGGCGGCCACAAGCTTGCCTGCGACTACGACAGCGACAAACCCTTCGAGCGGAAGCGCGGACTGCAGCTGCGGACCTCGCACTACGCACCAGCGGCGGCGGGCGACACCGTGCACGCAGAGCTGCACCGCAAGCTCGCGGCCGCGAACCAAGCAACGAGAGGTGTGCACCCTCCTTCCCTCCCTCTCGTACATGTACGACCTGCACACGCACCTCGAGCGGCTCGAGGTCGCGATTGGCGACGAGCGAGATGATCCCGGAGATGCCCGCAGGGCGCTGCGGCTCGTGCACGAGCAGGTGTGAGCGGCGCGCCTGCAAGCCGGGTCCATACTCGCCTTCGGCCAGGAGCGCCTCGACGAGCTCGAGTCCGTCGGGAAGGGCGCCCTTGAGGCGGCCGAGTTCGACCCGCTCTACGGCAATGAGCGGTCGCAGAGCGGCGCCCGCTCCCTGCTCGGACAGCGGCTCCACGAGTCCCGCGTGTCCCGCCGCCACACCCGCCTCGGCAGCGCGGTCGCCTCCGCCGACATTGCCCGGCTCAAGCCCAAGCCCCCCGGCGCGTCCAAGCGGCTCGGCCGCCTGGGCGGCGGCGGCGGCGGTGACGGTGGCGGAGGTGGGCGCGACAGTAGCGGCAGCAGCCGGTGGGGCGGCGGCGACAGCGGCGGCAACGGCGGCGGCGGCGGCAACGGCGGCGGCGGCGACCGCCGCAGCGGCGACGTCGCTGCGGGGCGGGAGCGGCCAGCGCGGCGGTGGCCAGCGCGATGGCGACGCCCGTGGCCAGCGCGATGGCGGGGTTTCCGGACGCGGCGGCGGCCGCCGGGGCGGCGGCCGCGGCGGAGGTGGCAGCGCTCGCGGCGGCGAGCGCGGCTAGGAGGCCCGCGGCGCCTCTGGCTGGCAGCCAGGGCGTGGACGCGACCTCCTCTTCGCCAGGCCCCCGAGAGCTGACCGGCTCGGGGGTTCCACCAGGTCTCAAGACACACCGCGATCGGGTCCGCTCGAGGCTCTCCGCCTGGCGGGACATCGGCGCGAGCCGGCAGACGCTGCGCTGGCTCGGCGAGGGCGTGCGCGTGCCGTGGAACGAGAGGGGACCACCTCTCCCGTTCCACCACGGTGTGGGCAGCTTCTCGCCGGACGAGCGAGCGTGGCTGACGCAGGAACGCGATCGCTGTCTCGGCACAGGCGCGTGGCGCCGGGCGACTCGCTGCGACTACGTCTCGCGAGCCTTCGTGGTGTGGCACAAGGGCAAGCTGCGCCTCGTGATCGACTTGCGGTGGGTGAACGAGCACGTGGAGAAGCGCAGCTGCAAGTTCGAGTCGCTGGCGACGCTACGGCGGCTCGCGAGGCGGCACGACTTCATGTTCTCGCTCGACCTGACCGACGCCTACCACCACATCGGCGTGCACGAGTCGGACGTCGACTACTTCACCTTCGCGGTCGAGACGGAGGCCGGCGTGGAGTACTTCTCCACCCCCGCGCTCAACTTCGGCTGGACTCTCCCTCCGTGGGTCTTCACCCAGGTGCTGCGCGATGTGGTGCGCTATCTGCGCAACCCGGATGCGGCGGCCAGGCCGCGCTACGGGCAGCGGCGGCGCCACTCGGGCGTGCACCGCGGCGTGCGGACGCTCCCGTGGCTCGACGACTTCGCTTTCTTCGTACGGGGCGTGCGGGCGGACCACCCGGAGTACGGCGCGATGCTGGAGGCGGCTCGCACCGAGAGCATGCGTGTGCGAGCCCTCTTTGGCCGGCTCGGCTTGGCCGTCTCCCCGACCAAGGGGCAGCACGATCCGTCGCAGCGGCTGGACGACACCACCTTGGGCATGCCGTCGACTCGACGCGCGGCCTCTTCCTCCTCACGCCGAGGCGCGAGACGCGGCTGGCGGCGGAGGCACGCTCGCTGATCTGCCTCGCCACCAGGGAGCGACGGCTCGTGCCACCGCGGCGGCTGGCTGCCTTCGCGGGCTTGGCGCAGTCGAGCTACTTGGCGGTCCCGCTCGGCCGCTTCATGCTCCGGGCGCTGCACGACGACCTGGCGACGCGCCGAGGCTGGCGCTCGCGGGACGGCGTGCGATTGGGTCGGCAGTCTCTGGCCGATCTAGGCTGGTGGGCGGAGCTGCGCGGCTCGAAGCACGTCGGCCGAGCCATCTGGCGGCCGGCGGAGACTCGGCTGCTCCACACCGACGCCTCCGACCTCGGCTGGGGGGCGGCCGTCGACCTCGCGCAGCGCCACGCGCCGGCCCACGGCTTCTGGTCGCCGGACGAGCTCCCCTTCCACATCACGTGGAAGGAGCTCGTTGCGGTGCGGAAGGGGGTCGAGTTCTTCCTCCCGCAGCTGGCCGGGCGCCGTGTGCTGCTGCGCGAGGACAACATGGCGGTGGTCTGGATCTTGACGTCGATGGTCTCGCGGTCGCCGCAGCTGATGCACGAGCTGCGGAAGCTGTGGTACGTCCTGGACGCCCACGACATCGACTTGCGCGCCCTCTACATCCGCAGCGCGGCGAACGTGATCGCCGACCGGGCCTCTCTCGCCTCGCAGTCTCGGGCGACTACGCGCTGACTCGGATCCGCTTCGAGGCGCTGCAGGCGGCCTGGGGCGAGTGCACGGTCGACGCCTTCACTTCGCCGGCGACGGCACTGCTGCCGCGCTACTGGGCGGCGGGAACGATCGCGGGCGCGGAGGCGGTCGACGCCTTCTCGCAGGAGTGGCGAGGCGAGCAGGTGTGGGCCCACCCGCCGCCCGCCTTGCTGCTGCAGCTGGTGCAGCTGCTCGAGGAGACGGGCGCCTCGGCGCACGTCTGCGCGCCGCACTGGCCAAGCGCGGCGTGGTACCCACTGCTCCTCGAGCTCAGCTCGGAGCACGTGGTGCTGCCACCGGGCTCTCTCGAGCGCGTGGCAGCGGACGCCCCGCCGCGGCTGGCGTCGTGGCCGGTGGCAGTCTTCCGCGTCAGCGGCGCTACTCGATGAGCCTCCGCTCGGCGCGGAACTCGCCCTTCGCCAGGCTGGCATCGGAAGTCGGCGCATGGCGGGGCGGCGGCACCGCCATGCGCCTCGCGGCGTCGGCGCGGGAGGACTCCACCACCGAGGGCTACGCGCGACAATGGCGCGAGTTTGAGGGGTGGTGCGACGAGGAGGGCCTCGACCCGCTGCCCGCCACCCCGCAGATGATCTTCGCCTATGTCGGCGCGCTGGCCGTTGGCTTCGGCGCGCTCTGTACGATTTCACCTTGGGGAGGGGGAGGTGAGGGGTGTGATCGTGTGAACGGGGATGTATGACTGAGAACAGGAAACCATCAAACGACAAACCGCCCACATCCTCGACACTCACCGCCGTGCGCGTAGCGCGTAGGCTACTCGAGTACTCGAGTACTTGGCCGTAGGTCGAGAGCGCGAGCGGCCGCGTTGGCTAGGCCTAGGGCCGTAGCTCTCTCTCACGCCGCGCGTAGGTACAAGGTGTAGGCTGAGCGCGGAGGCTCTTTTAGGGGCCTAGAGACACACCTCCCTCTCCCTTTCCAGTAAGCTAGAAAGACACCTACGGTACCGGTGGGACGACTTAGCTCTGCCAACACAGCCGCGCTAATATGCGTTGGCCAGCGCCGGGTGGCTGCCAGAGAATCGCTCGGCGAGCGCATCCATAGTGCGCGTGTGCGACCGCCTCGCGATCGGCACAACGATGCAGGACGAGCACGGAGGGACGTTTGTTATCTCGACTGTGTCGGTGCACACGCAGCCGCCCTCGGCCGCCTGAAACCCGTACACGTGGCTCACAGCGGTGCCCTGCGAGTTCGAGGAGAATGAGACCGTGAGATCGGCTGCCGAGGACATCATCATCGCAGCCACAGTGATCTGCGGGCAACACCGCCCAAATGGCGCCTCTGTCACATAGACTCGCCGCCGAACGACCCCACTCTCGGAGCCGAGGAGCTCTGATCGCACGCTTTTCGCCGTGCCAAGCTCCACGAGCGACTCTGGAGATGACAAGAACTCAAATGCGACGGCAGGAGTCACTTTGAGGGCTCTGCGCAGCACATACGCAGCAACTGGACTGTCAGTGGCCCGCGTCTGCATCGTTTCCGCAGTCATACGCTGGCGATTGCCTCGCGAGCGTTTCCGCAATACGAAAATTCTTTTTCGTCTTCGTTTCATCTGGGCAACGCGCGAGCCTGTCTCAGCACCACGCTGAACCCCGCCGCGTGCGGGTGTCCATGGCAGCGCCGCTGCGCCTCGAGATTTCCGGCCTAACACTCTCCGAAGACTCCATCGAGGCGGGGAGAGAGGTCTGGGTCGAGGCCGAAATGCTTGGTCTGGCCACCAAGGCGCAGCTGAGCACAATGCGGCAGCCGTCCGATGCTTCCGTAGTCTTTGATTTTGCGTTCGAGGTGTCGGCTGATGCTGCGTCAGCTGCTTTGCGAGGAGCCATTGAGAGCGCAGACGAGGAAGACGCCGACGTCACCTTCACTCTCCTCTCGCCCGGTGCCAGGAAGAAGCCGAGGGAGCTCGCCAGCGGCTTCATCAACCTCAAGGGAATTCTAGAGGAGGGACGCGACTTTTTGTCCGATGTGCCACTCACAGATGGGAGCAGGGCCATCGGAACGCTCACCGGGGTCCGCTTGGTCGCAGTTGAGGCGCTCAAGGTCGCAGCTGAGGCGCTCAAGCTCTCGCTGCCAGATGCCAACGCCGCTCCTGCGGCTGGGGAGTTTATTCGCGGGGGAGAGATTGAGGAGGCCATAGCCGAGGAGGTGCACGAGGATGAGGACGCCTCTGGACACCGTGCTGGTGGGGATGAGGGGCAAGGCAGTGAGGAGGAAGCAGGCGGTGCAGGTGGGGATGAGGCTGGCGGTGCCGGCGGAGAGGAGGCTACAAAGGGCAGCGAGCCTGTCGAGACAAAGAGGGCCGTGAGAGCCGGTGACAGTGGCATGCGGAGCGGTGAGGCTTGTCGAGCTTGAGCCGCAGCCCGGTGGCGACTCGGCTTCACGATGGCTCGAGCTCCGATCCGGTGAGCGGGTCGTGGCCCAGCTACGTCTTGAGGCTCGCGGGATGCTCTTGCTAAGCCGCATGAGGCACGCAAACCGAGATCGGATGCACGAAAGCGGGGCAGGTGGCGGCGTCCTCCTCAGCCAAGAGGGTGTGCAGGCACGTCGTCGACGGCGTGGCACAGGAGGGTCGGAGCAAGCGTCCTCAGTCCACGACATTGTCGACGAGATGTCGGACTTCATTATTGAGCAGGGGATTCAGAGCGTGGCTGCGCATGGCGTACTGTGCGTCTCTGCTCTCTTTTCGAACCCGGGGGCGAACCAGCTCTCCTCGTTGATTCTCCGCGCATCAGAACTTTCATCCCTCACCGCCCTCGACCTCTCCTTCTGCCTCGCGTTGCGCGGCTACGCCCTACGTGATGCGCTGATTAAGCTCCCATCTCTCACGTCGCTCGATGCGTCGGCCTGCGAACTCGGCGACGTTGGAACCTCGAACGTATCGGAGGCTGTCCTGCAGCCGAATCTCAAGCTGTTGACGCTCCGCCTTAGAGGTAACCGCATTACTGCGAAAGGAGCTCGCGCTCTCGCGCGCGGGCTGGCTCGCACCACGTCGCTGCTCACGCTCGACGTGAGCGACAACGAGCTGGGTGACGCGGGACTCGCGTTTCTCGCCACCGGGCACGGCGATGGGCTTGCCGTGCCGTCAATACCGGCGGAGCAGGCGGCGAAAGACATTCCTGCAGGCCTCGCAAGCAACTCTTCCCTCACCGCGCTCCTATCCAGCAACAACCGATTCGGCAGTGAGGCGCTCCAACAGCTCGCAAAGGGTCTGCTGTCGCAAAACCACATCTCGACTCTCGACCTCGGCGTGAATCCATTTGGAAGCTCGGCGCAAGGCACATCCGGCGAAGCAAAGGAGCGCAGTCCGGTCAGCATCCTCGCCTTCGGAGACGCCTTGGGGCGGACACCCCTCCGCTCGCTGCGGATGCAGTACGTCCATGCGGGGGCGAACCTCGGCAGCTGTGTCGGACGCGCCCTTGGCGGATCCGCCCCCGGTGCACTCCGCCAGCTCAATTTGCAGGGGTCGCCTCTGTCTATTGCAGGAATGCGCGCGCTCGTGACTGGCCTCTCTACGGCCAGTGTCGAGCTCTTGAACCTTGAAGGCTCGCTCCGCGACGCAACGGCGGCCCTCAAAGAGCTGTGCAGCTGGCTTGCCCAGGCGGGCGGCTCTCTGCGACGTCTCAATCTTGCCCACAACAAGATCGCCGCAGCGGACGCCCGAGCAATCGCCGAGGCCCTCGCAACGAACACGAGTCTGCAAGACCTGGATCTGGGCGCAAATCCGATCGAACCTGACGGAGTGCAGAGCTTCTGCGCCGCAGCCACAGCGAATGCGTCTCTGCGCAAACTCGGCCTATCGTACGTCCACGTCGGTGCCGCTGGAGCTGTTGCTCTCGGAGAGCTGCTCGACTCTCCGGCTTGCGCGCTGGTGGCCCTCGATTTAGACGGATGCCGCCTGACTTCGAAGGGGGTGACGACGATCGCGGCGGCGATCGCCGGCGCGGAGGAGGGCCAGCGCCGAGGGGGTCGAATTGCCAAGCTGGAGTCCCTGAACACGGCGTCGGCCGGCGCCGAGGCGCCGGCGGCCGTCATCAGGTGCATGACATATTTGTCGCGGCATGCCGCATCAATCTCTCCGTGCTCGGCCAGCTCGTTCGCGAGCCAGTCCGAGGCGACGGTCGTCGCCACGGTGCCCTGGGGGACCGTGGCGCACACCACGCTAGGGCCGCGCCGATATCCGTCGTCCCTCTCTGGGGGCAGCGAATAGGTGACCCGAGTCTTGGACCCCGCCTGGCTGCGCGCCCGCGCAGCTGCACAGACCGTAGCCCGTCCATCACGTACTCGATTTTCGCGCGTAGCTGCGCGCGCGGGCGCTCCGCGCGCTCGGCCTCGCTCGCGGCCGCGCGCTCGCCAGCCTCCTTCGCCCGGCGCTCCTTCTGCCGGTTCTTCTTGGCCTTGCGAGACGCGGCCTTTGCCGCAAGCTGCTCATCTGTGAGCTCCTTATTCTTCGGCGCGGTGCGCTCGATGTACGAGCGCTCCGCCGCCTTCACCGACTCGCGGTCGCCCGCGGCCTTCTCGTGCTTCAGGTCGACCTCGATGGTCGCGTAGCCAGGCCTTATCACCCTGACACCAGACGCACCGAACAACCTTGCGACACCCACCGCGTCCTCCAGTTGCGCGCGATCGGAGCTATTCCAGCGTCCGCTGCGCATCCCCAGCGGCACGACGGTGGCCGGCGCTTGCGCGCCAGCCCCGTCCGCCGCCGGTTCCGCGGCCGCGGTCCCTGTCATAGCTACGCGCGCCATGGATCGGCGGTTTTCTGGATGTGGGCTGTAAATAAATAAATAAAAACGGCCACCTCTCTACTGTGAGATGGGTAAAAAGGAACAGGTCCCCGCCCTTGCGATTTTTGTGCAGGGTTCTTTGTGGGTGTGGTCGGCGACTAGCCGGGGTCGTCCTCCCGATGGGGGACGAGCACTAGCCGTCTTCCACATGGTCCCTCGGGTCCCTGCTGCTCCTAATCTCTTCGTACATCCTCCTGCTGATCTCCGCAAAGTCCTGCTCCCTCCCTCGTCTCGCCCTGCGCGTCTGCTCCGCCTCACCGTCTTCTGCCCTGCGTCGTCTGGCGACGGGTCCTCCATAGTCGGTCGAGGTCGCCGCCCTCCTCGTGCCTCTTCCCATCCCACGGCACCAGGAGACCGCACTCGACGCGTGCTCGGGGCTCGCTACAGCGGCCATCTCGGACCAACGTTCCCTCGGCGGCCGATGCCGTCTGCTCCGGCTCCCCAGTCCCCGGCTCTGCCCTGCTCTCGTCTGCGCTAGTTTCTGCTTAGTCATCACTGGCGTCTCTCCTCTTCCTTCTCCCCTTCTTGTATGCTTTGCACATCGCGTCGATTCCTTTTCGCGTGAGCACCAGCCTGAAGCCCGCCCAGCAGCTGAACCGCTCCCGAAGTCGAAGGAGCATCATCAGTCTCACCCACTTCATTGAGCTGGATCCACCTCTGCACCGCTCCCGTCGCCGCCTCGGCCACGATTTGCAAGTTCCTCGTGACCCCGGCGCCAAGGTCCCTCCGGCTCTTCTCCGAGAGATCATCTACCAGCGCCGGCAACACCCCCCCGACGGCTGGGGCTAGTGCATCGTACCCGTCCTCATCCAGCACCCTATAGCGTGAGCCCTTCAGCGCAGCGACATGCGCTATCCTCAGCGTCTTCAGCGTATCCTTGGAGTCGGGTGCCGCCTGGGCTACTTTGCTGATCGCCGTCCCCGTCTGCGCTCGCGCTACTCTGAGGAACCATCTGGCCTGCTCCCTATTCCCCAGGCAGGCACCGCTAAGCAAGTGCGCCATCGTCGCTCTAGGCGGGTTCTCGTCTTCCTCGGTCCATTGCTGCGGCGGCTTTCCGCACGATCGGACACAGCGGGTCTCGCTTTAGTGCCGCCCTCATGTGGGCTGTAAAGAACTTATGCACAGACAAAACAGTCAACACCACGATTACACAGTGAGGGCTGTTTGCTTAAACATATTACGTTACACATATTATTTTGCTTTATGCTTTTATTATCATCTCTTTATGTTCTTTCAAATGTGGGTTAGTGTGGCCAAAAAATAAAACGAAAATTCACGCCGACGTACATATGGTTAACCCCTAAACGGCTACCGAAACGGGGTGCCCGGAAGGGCGATATCACGGCGGCCTAACTGTGCCTCCGTGCGCTCGCCACATACCCCCTGCTGCCCGAGGGTCGTGTTAGTACTTTATTGGGCACATACAGAGGCGGTGGGAAGCCACCACGTTCCCTTCAAATTTTCCGCCACAGAGCTCCGGAGCGCGCTCTGCACGAGCTCCTGGGACGCGGTTTCGTCTTTCGATCCCAGACGGTCGTCGCACGTCGGCGCCCCTGAGGTCCGCTGTCATAGGTGTAGCACGCTACTAGACACACTGCCTCCAAGTTGAGCGGTGGAAAATTGTGACGAAGCCACGCACCGAAGCGCCGGCGTCCCTCTGGCAATCTGCCACCGACAGCAACACGCCTTTGATCACCGGCTGCTTGCGCTCCGCATACTCTCCAGAAGCTGTTGGTTGTGTGGCTGGTGCTACTTCTATCAGCCTTCCTCATGCACAATGTTGCCGTTGAGCTACGAGGCTGCACCCCGTCGTCATTTGAGTTTGCTGCCAGCCACACACAGCGCGTTCCTGCTGCACGAATGGTTGGACAGGTGTGAACAACACCTCGTGGGGGCGGCACCGCAGGCGTCCATTGAGGGGTCCAGGTGATAGCCCTGGGCGGGCAATCCATACGCCTAGTTGGGCTTCAGATCGCCCGATCGCGTCCCGGTGAACTGACGTCGGATTTGTGACGCCGCCGCACCGCGCCGCGGCCGGGGGCCCTCTGGAGGCTGAGGATGGCCGTGGCGGACCTAGACGAGCTCTGGGAGGTAAAGTGTTAGTGTATATATTGTAGAGGCTGACCACGTGCACAATATCTCTCACTCTAGCTAAGCCAGGGGAGGCTATTCTGGGCGTCCACACGGCTTGCACCGGTGACCCTCGCGACAAAGCGAGCGCGTCCGGCAGAGCGACTGAAGAATCGAGGACAGAGTCACAAATTCCCGCTTGTTGTGCATGTTTTGAGGTCGGACAGTGCTGCTGTCTTCTCCACGCAGCAGCCGACGCCACCAGGCCTCGGCAGCTGAGCAGCAGGAGCCTCCTCGCTGCTGGCAGAGTTGCGCCTCTGTTTGCCGCCGCTAAGAGATCGCTGTTGCGGGAATCCAGGGAATCTAAAGGAATCTAGAATCTGTGGGTCCGAGATTCGATCTGGGACCTGAGCCGCTCGGGACCAGCTGCACATGACCCGGGGCCACTGCCATGTCGCAGAGACGACTGCTGGATCGGCCGTCGCTGCGACCAGCCGTCCTGCAAAGGAATAAAACGCTCCGCATGAGTCCAACGTAGTTTCTTTTTGGTCCTCTACGTTGTAAAATTCCTTTTGGAGACCTTTCGTCATGCACATGCTTCATGCTTTCTATCCATCTATCATGACGTCATGCACATGCTTCATGCTTTCTATCTACCTAATCATGACGCAGCTGCAATGGCGCGGCCCCCAAGTGCGGTCACGCGCCGGCGGGCCGCTTTCGCTTGCGGCCCTTGGCCTCGGCGGCCCGCCGCGATGCGACGCGCTCCGCGGCGTAGGCGGCCGCGAGCTCCGGCTCCCACATCTCCGTGATCTGGTTGTAGCCGTGCTCCCAGATGCCCAGCACCTCCGACGGCCGTAGCTGGCGCAGGTGGTCCACGTCGTCGGGGTTAAGGCCAATCACGAAGAGGCGAGCACCAAGGCGAACTCGCGAGACGAGCACGTGCAAGTCGACCAGCTTGAGCTTCGGGTAGACGCCGGCGCCGCGCTTGCCGAGGCTCACGATGAAGTAATCGAGCGTCTTGCCTTGCACCTGCACGGAGGGTTGGCTTGGTTGGTTGCTAATGTGGGCGGCGCGACGGCTTGGGCTTCCACCTTGTAGTCTGCCAGGGCGAACGCCAGATCGATCTGGTGCTTGTTGATGCGCAGCTCCTTGGGCACGCCCACCCGCGCCGCCCACGAGCTCGTCGGCGCGTACGTTGCCGACGCCTTGCCAACCAGCACTGGCACGACGAGCTCCTCATCGAAGAGGGACGCGCCACGCGCCAGCAGCGTCTGTCGCGCCTCGTCGGACACGTCGGGGATCGCGTTGACGGAGAGCGGCGGCTCGATCTGCACCTCCCAGATGCCGTACTGGTCGTTCCACACCGTGTTGGCGAGGCAGTTGTCGAGTGTGGTGTCTCCAGCGAGCGTGAGCGAGTGCAACTCGGCGTCGCAGCCGTTGACGAGACCGCGCCCCGTCTCGATGTTGGAGGTGATGCTCGCGGGCGCGCCCTCTACAAAGTGGAAGCATAGGCCGGCGCGCTCCTCGAGGTAGGCCCGCTCGGTCTCCGTCTCGGTGAGGTAGCTGGCGGCGACGCCCACGAGCGGCTGCTTCCACCAGAAGAGCGGCCGGCGATGGTGACGCGCAAAGAGGCGAGCCTGGAGCAGGTTGAAGGCGTGGCGCTCGCGCTGCGACAGCACGCCAATCTTGGCGAAGCGCAGCGCCGTCCGCGCTCGCTCGGCCACAGCCTCGAGCTCAGCCGGAGATGGCGCCGGCTGGACGACAGCTTGTCGAGCAGCGCCTTGGCGTCGGCGTTGTCGGCGTTGTCGGCGTCAGCTTTGGCGAGGGTGTCTTTCGCCTTCTGCACCCGCTCCCAAAAGCCGGGCGACTGGAGCAGCTGCGTGTACTCCGCGAACTTGGCGTGCGGCACGCGTCGCGACACCGCCCTGAGGACCGCGTGCCGCTGGTGCTGCTTGGCGAGCACGGCGATGCACGCCGGTGTGCACGCCGCCGCGGCGGTGAACTGGAGCAGCCAGTGGCGAGTGTCGGCGGCGGAGAGCGTGCCGTTGGCCTGCAGCGGCCACGAGCGGATGTGCCTCGTTCCGTCGTCCCGCGTGCTCTCCTCGTAGCGCAGGAGCGGGCAGATGGCGCGGAAGATGCGCATCAAGTTGAGCCCGTTGCCGTTGAACTCGGAGAGCGGCTCGTCCGAACGCGCGGCACGCCGCACGTGGACATCGCCGGCGCTCTCGTTGCTCGCGGCTGCGTCAGCTTGCGACGCCGCCGAGGCTGCGTCAGCTGCATCCGCATCAGCTGCGCCGTCTGCAGCTGCATCAGCTGCACCCTCGGCGGCGTCGGCGGATGGGTCGAGATGATCGGAGCCGCCACGCGACGTCAGCCCTGCGGTGAAGGCGTTGAGACGGGAGAGTGCCGAGTCAGGCAGCGTGTCGGAGGATGACAGCAGCACGACGCGAGAGAAGGCGTCCGCTTCCTCCGGGTTGGCCACCTGCGCCACGTCATCGGCACTTGCCTGGGCGGTGGCCTCGACGGCTTGCGCAAGCCCGGTTGTTGTGTGGCGCGCATCGGCGACCAGTCCCGCACCAATGCCACCGAGCTCGCTCCGCACCGCGTCGAAGGAAGGCGCGTCCGTCACCTTGGGGATGCCATCGACACAGTTGCCCATCGCCCTGTCGATGGCAGCGTACAGCGCCAAGTAATTGTGGCACCGATGCGGGCAAACCTGGATGTCGTTGCGCTTGAGCAGCCACTGGGCGAGCTTGTCGTGCTTATCGTCCGCGCCCACGAACAGCACGCGGTAGTCTGCGCCCCGCAGCCACGCCGCGCGCTCGCGGAGCGTGGCCGCCGCTTCCTTTGGCCCGTCGTGCGGGAAGTAGATTGTATCTCCCTTGATCGAGGCGTCGCGCAAGATCTCGAGCGATCCGAGCTTGATCGACACCTGAAGCGATGCACACCATGACACTCGACTCACTACGACGCGTCGTGAAAGATCTCAATAGCATCTCAAAATCTCGGCGGCAGAGGGTGGCGGCGGCGAGGGCGGTGGTGGCGAAGGAGGCGGCGGCGACGGCGGCGGAGGCGAGGGCGGAGGCGAGGGCGGCGGCGGAAGCGGCGGAGGCGAGGGATGCGGCGGCGACAGTGGCGGAGGCGAGGGCGGCGGCGGTGAGGGTGGCGGCGGCGGGGGCGGCAGAGGCGAGGGAGGCGGCGGCGAAGGAGGCGGCGGCAACGGCGGCAGAGGCGAGGGCGGCGGCGGCGGCGGAGGCGAGGGCGGCGGCGGGCTCGGCGGAGGCGAGCTGGGTGGCGACGCGGCGTGAAAGCCCTCAATAGCGTCGCGAAATCTCGGCAGTATCTCAGCGGCATCTCGGCGCGCCTTGGTCACGATGTGATAGAGACGCACGTCGGAGAGGAGCATCTGCTCCGCCTCCGAGAGCTGCATGTCCGAGTCGCAGAACTCGGGGATGCGCGAGAGCACGCCAAAGTCGACGCCCGCCGCGAGGGAGTGGCTCGGCGCCTTGGGCTTCTTGACGCCAACGCCAACCTGGGCGTTGCACTTGTCGCAGAAGAGCATCGACGGGTTGGACGCGTCCTCCGCGACGTCGACAAACTCTGGGTGCAGGTAGTAGAGCGTGCCGTCGGGGGCCTCGTAGCAGCTCATGATGGGTCGGATGTCGACGGATCGAGTATCGTAGCCATCTGCAAGGTGGCACGAGCGCACTAAAGGTGAGTGACGCGCGAGAGAGGCAAAGTGAAGGGCAGTGGAGGAAGTCGTGCAGCACGTCGCCTGCGCCATTGCGAGGGAAGACCATGTCGACCGACCCGAGCCGCGCGCGTCGAGCGCAGGCGTCCTTGTCGAGGCGAAAGACGGACGGCAGCTCTTTGAGTCGCACGACGTGGTAGTCACGATCCGGGTCGCGGATGCCGCACGAGGCACACGACTCAAGCGGAAGCCCGTGGCACATCCGTTTGCCCGCCCACTCGCACAGGATCTCGCTCTTCCGCTCGACCGACACTTCCACGCACTGCTCGAGCAGCTTGTCGAGCACCCTCGGCGAGTGGTCCATGTCCATGAACACGTTGGTCGACTCGTGGAACAGCTCTTCCAGCTTGCAAGCGGCCTGCGCAGCCCATCATCAAGCGGGGCTCGAGGCGGACGCGGCGTGGGAATGCGGGCGCGGCGAGTTAGCAAATGCGGCTCGAGGCGGGAGCGCAGGGTGGAGGGCACACCGTCTCCGCTTCGTCCTTTTTTGCAGTGGGACATACATCGCAGTAGCAGCGAGGTGGGCAGTTGCACTTGTTGTTTTTGTCCACGCGCAGCAGCGTCACCTTCTTCCTGCGCGCAGCCTGGCGATGGGCGTACGTGACACTGCGGCGGCGCTGGAGATCGGCGCGCTTCGCCTCTGCTATGCGGTCCCGAACCTGAACCCGACCGGGCGCGTGCCGGTCCTGCTTTCTGCTCCATATCCGGTCCCACAGAGCGTTCGTCTCGTTGTGGAGGTAAGCCCAGTGGCCCAGCGACGGCACGTACTGCCACGTGTGGTTGGCTGGCTTCCTTCCACGCGGCTTGGGATGCTGAGGGCACCAGCCGGTGGAAGTGCACTCGCACGGAGACTGCGCCAGAAAGTCGACGGCGGAAGGTCCGGCAAAGGGGCCGGCGAAGGCGGCTGCACGTGGCACGGTGGCGGTGGCGGTGGCGGTGGCGGTGGCGGTGGCGGTGGCGGTGGCGGTGGCGGTGGCGGTGGTGGCGGTGGCGACGGCGACGGCGACGGCGCGGGCTGCGGAGGGCGATGAGCCGAGGGTCGCGGCGCCAGCTGGCGGGGCTGGGGCCTGTCCGGAGGTGGGTGGTGCGGCGGGCACGCTGGGCGGCTCGCGCATGTGCTTGGCGTAGGCGACTGCGGCATCCACCGCGGTTTCGAACACGCCCAAGCTCACCTTCTGGCCTTGGCGAGTGACGCGCGCCATGAACTTCCCGCCTGACACGCCGCACACGCCCATGTACCCAGTGGCTGACCTCGCGGAGTGGATCAGCTGCACGCCACCAGCTTGCGAAACAACGGCGGCGGAGGAGGGAGTGGGTGCGGCGGGGCTGGCGACGGGCGGCGAAGCGGTGGGGAAAGCAACGGCCAAGACCGGGCAAGCGGCAGCGGAAGAGGCGGATGCAGCGGCGGCGTGGTCGGCGGGTGCGTCTGGCCTGGCGACGGGCGGCGAAGCGGCGGGGGTGCAACTGGAGCCCGGCGGGTCGTGAACGTCAGCATGCGAAATGATACCATCACAATCGCTGCGTCGTAGCCGGGGAGAACGCCGAGGTGCAGCCGGCTCGACGAATGCAACGGCGGCGTGGTGGGCGGGAGCGGCGGTGGAGCAGGGGGCGACGGCGAGGTTGCATCCGGAGCCCGGCGGGTCGATCTGCATCGGCTGCACGTCGGCCACGTCGGCTTCTGCCAGCTCTGGCTGCTGGGCGGCGGTCGGCGTGGAGAATGGCAGGACAGTTTGGGGCGCATTTGAGAAAAACGCGCCGTCGGTTTGGTCGGGGTGGTTCCTCACCCCTGGTGTTTCTTCATTCCGTCGGGGAGGCTCTGTGCAGGGCGAAGCGAGGGCCGTGGGGAAGGGGCCAGTGGGGCGATGGGCACAGAGGGGGCAGTGACACGATGTGTGGGCAGGTGTCTAGGTCTGGCTGTGTGAACAGCCAGCAGCGAGAGTAGGATGTGCTCAGTACCTGTGCACGAAAGACAGAGGCGGGTCGGAAGGTCGAGACTGCTGACCGCTCCTCCATTGCTCCCCCGCCGGTGGACGCCGCGTGCGATGCTATCGTCGGTATGCGGGTGGCGTGCTAAAGTGCTAGCGGGGTGGACGCGACAACCTGGCGTTGCCATCGCGGAGGGCTCGGGCTCGAGTGAGCGCCGCCGGCGACGCGTCGTTGTGGCCGTGGCCGCGCGAGCCACTTGCATCGACGGGCTGCTTCGGGAGAGCGCCAATGAGGCGCTTGCCCGTCGGCAATCCATCCGTATTGATGAGCCTGCGGGCATTTGTGGTGGAGGCAGACCGCTCTCCTCGGCCAAGAGTAGACGTGCGCGAGAATTAATCTTGGGAGTGAGTTACACTACAGAAATAAATTTCTACGTTGAACGATAAAATAGACGGAGTTCCTGTCAGTACTGACAGGAACGCCGTTTAGGGGTTAAAAGAGACATGACAAGTGCACAATCCTCTCTCACACCACCAATATCAGAGCACCGCCTTCGCCTGCAGCCTTGCCGCCTCTCACACCACCAATATCAGAGCACCGCCTTCGCCTGCAGCCTTGCCGCCTCTGGCAGCGCCACGTTCGCCTCGGCGATTGCGCTCTCGGACGCAACGACCGCGACCGACCCGCGGGCGGCCACCTCGTCGATCCGGTCGGCGAACGCGACAAAATCCGCGGCGGTCGTGGCGAGCACCTCGTCGCGCCAAATCTGCCGCTCCTCCTCCGTCACGCCGAGCAAGTGGCGCACCATCGAGGTGACGCCTCGCGCGTCGACCGACTGCGGCGCGTCGAGCTCGCCCACCTACGCTCAGGCGGCGGCACGGTGACAGCGCTCGAGAGGTGGCCTCGGTCTCTTGCAGTGCAAGAGGCGTCGTCGTCACCGCTCCGATGATGGCCTTGGACAGCTCGCTTGGCCCGAGAGGGTTGCTGCGCAGATAGGCGCCGGTGCCGTCGTAGGCCTCGAGCGTGGCTGCGAGGTTCGGGTCGCGGTAGGAGCTGAAGGTCGCCCGCCCGTCGAGGCGGCTGAAGGCCAGGTTGCAGCCGTACGCGCCTCCCTGGACGCGCACCGTGTTCCACAGGTAGGCCTAACGAGGGGGCGGGCAGGGGGGGGGGGGGTGGTCGTGGAGGGGCGATGTGGTCGGAGGCCTGCCGAGTCGCAAGCCGCACCGTGCGCAGATAGCGCGACACCACCGAAGTTGAGCCGCAGATCCTCTCTCCCGGCTGGAAGATGGGGAGCGCCTTGGCGACGTAGCTCACCTGCGTCGGCACCTGCAGCCCCTCGTGCGACGGCACGAGCACGCCCCCCGCCGACCACGCCCAGCCGCCGTCGCTCGGCGCCGCCGCCGAGGGGAGCCGCCCGAGCAGGCGCGGCACGTGCGCGGCCGTCGTCGCGAGGGACTGCTCGTCGGCGGACAAGTTGACGACCGCGCCGTCGGCCGAGAGGAGCGCAGACCGCATCCGCTCGAGCCGCGCGAGGAGGGCCGGCCAGTCGCTCTGCGCCTGCTCGAGCGCGCCTCGGAGGGTGTGGAGCTGCGAGACGCCGCCCAGCATCTCGTCGACCGAGCCGCAGAGCGAGAAGCGCGCCGCGAGGGCCGCGGAGGCGTACGAGTTGCCCGACGAGACGACCGCCGCCTCGGCGCGGGCGAGGGACTGCTTGAGCATCGCGACGGCGCGCTCTGCGTTGTCGAGCTGCGTACTCGCCAGCATGTCCGCCGCCAGGTCGAACAGCTGCGGCGCCTTGTCGGCCACAGCCCTGCCGCTCAGCATCAGCATCGCCACCGCCTCGTCGGGTGACCCGGCGGCGCCGCCCGGCCTCGGCTTGGCGGACGTCATCGTCGAGACGCCGAGCGAGCCCGTCTGAGCGCTGACCGTGCGCGAGAAGGCAGTCTCGTCGAGGGTGTCGGTGCCGAGCTCGGACATCATCCTGCAGAGGAGCGGCACGTATGGCACGTCGTCGATGGGCAGGCGAGCGAGGTCGAAGCCGACGTTGAGGTACACGAGCCCGTCGGTGGGCAGCTCGTGGGTGAGGAGGGTGGCGCGCCCGCCCCCCGCCACCGCCACCTCGTCCACCTCGATCGGGATGGACTTTGTGGACGCCGTCAAATCGGACGTCGACAGGGTGGGCAGCTTGGCGAGGTCGGCGGGGTCGTCCCGCGCGGCCTGCGCCGCCCGCAGCGCGCGCGTCTCCTCCTCGAGCGCCTTGAGCTCGCCGGCGCTGAGCCGCTCGCGCACGGCGCTCAGCTCCTGCTCCTCGGCCGCCTGCAGCCTGCCTCCGAGATCCGGCTCGGGGACGAGGGAGAGCGTGCAGCGGTGGCGGTTCTCGAGCACCGACTCGCGCAGGAGCTCGACGAAGACCGCGCCGCCCCTCCGCGCGACGTCCTCCTTGAGCGAGGCGAGCGCCTCCTCGAAGCGGAGGGGCTCGATCGGGTCGCGCCTGAGGGGCGCGGGGACGGGTCATGGACGCGACACCGAGGCGCGCCCTCAAGGAGAGGGGAGAGGACCACCCATACACCCACTCGGAGAGGGCGCCCATCATGAAGGAGAGGCCCTTCATCGGCGAGGCGGACGCCGCGCGCAGCCGGAACTCGATCGTGTTCATCGACGCCTCGACCGCCGACTGCTCGAAGCCGCTCTCGGCGATCGAGTCGAGCGTCTCGAGGATTAGAGCCGACACCCGCCCCTTCGCCTCGTCGCCGGGAGCCACGCCCTTGAGGCCGACGGAGAAGGCGGCCTGCTGCAGCGACGCGCCGTACCCGCCGCCGACGACGGCGGAGCCCAGCTTGGAGGCGAGCAGTGGCTGCTGCAGCGCCGCGCTCGGCTTGCCAAGGAGCAAGTCGTTGAGCACGCCCCAAGCCAGCTTCTTGGACGGCTCGAGCGGGCTGGGTGGGAAGAGCCACCCGAGGGTGACAAACTGCGTCGGCGCGGCAGCCGCGGCCGCGTCGACGGGGTACGGCTCGGACACCTCGTACGGCTCCGGCTCTGCGGGCTGCCACGGGATCTGCTCGTCGCCTCCGCCGCGCGAGGAGCCGAACTCGGCGAGCCACGACTCGAGCAGCGCGAGGCGCTCTGCGGTGGGCAGCTCGGCCTCGTCGCCGTACACGTAGATCTTTGCGTTGGAGGGGTGGTAGTACCGGCGGTGGAAGTCGGCGAACGCGTCGTACGTCAGCGTCGGGATGGAGCGCGGGTCGCCGCCCGAGTCGATCGCGTAGATCGGGTGGCCGCGGAAGAGCGCCTTTTTGAGGGCGCGGTAGTGGAGCTGGTCCGGGCTCGAGTAGACGCCCTTCATCTCGTTGAAGACCACGCCCTTGTACTTGAGCGGCCCCTCTGCGTCATCGACGTCGTAGTGCCACCCCTCCTGCTTGAGGATCCTCGGCCCCTCGACCGGGTCAAGCACGCGCGGGAAGAGGCACGCGTCGAGATACACGGAGACGAGGTTGAAAAAGTCCTGCTTGTTCTGGCTGGCGACCGGGTACATTGTCCGGTCCGGGCCGGTCATCGCGTTCAGAAAGGTCTTGAGCGAGCCCTTGAGGAGCTCGACGAAGGGCTCCTTCAGCGGGTAGCGCCGCGAGCCGCACAGCACCGAGTGCTCGAGGATGTGAGGCACGCCCGTGTCGTCCTTTGGGAGCGTCCGGAAGTTGCAAGAGAAGACCTTGTTCTCGTCCGGGGCGTCGATGGAGAGCACCTCCGCCGAGGTCGCCTTGTGGCGGTAGAGCGTCGCCGTCAGGCCTCGCTCGGGCACACGCTCGGTCCGCACTAGCTCAAAGCGGTCCAGGACGCCCGAGATGTCGAGCGCCTCGAAGCTGGCCGGCTGCGGTGCGCCCACCGTCCCGAGGGATCGGGCTGCGGGCGCGCCAGCGCTAAGCTGCGCCCAGCTGCGGCGAGCGCTGTGCATCGGCGCGAGCAACGGTGCGCTGCCTCGGGCGCTGAGCATCGCGGCAGAGACGCTGCGGAGCATCGCAAAGGTGACGCCGCGGAGCATAGGTGGTCTCTTGTATAGGGATGCCGTAGATAGACAGCGGCAGCAGACAGCCCCGGCGGCAGCTGAGACAGCCCGGCTACCCAGGTAGCGGGAATTTTCTCGGACGAAAATAAGAAACCATAGCTGCAAGCGATCCCACGATTGTGGGGACTACATATACATGATCCGGAAGTGAAGGGTGCTGCAGGGGTGGAGGGGCCCGTCCGCGGAGCTCGGCGCGGCCACTCCCCACTGACTGAGGCGAAAAAGACGACGTGCAAGTGGTTGGTACTCCAGCCAGGTTGTGGTCCAGGACAGATACAAGTCCGCCCACTAAATTATTTTCGGCCGGCCGCAGGTCGGGCTGGACGCGGCTGTTTCGGCCGGCGGTCGGGGTCGGACACCAGCTTTGTCCTCTGGGGGGAGGCGGGGGCCCCCTGAGGCACCGTGCGCCGCGCCGCAGTGCGGAAACGGGGCCCGGCGCTCATACTCGCTCATACCACCAACTTCCCGATTAAGCTAGGTTAATCAGAGGGCAGATTTGGAAAGATCTCGAGGAGTACATACAGATAGACCCTCCAATCATCAGAAAACTCCAACCTGATCGGTCGTACTGACCGCCGACAGATCACTCCAGACAGCAGACAGGCCGACGTCTGCAGTGCACGCGGCCGGCCGGGCGAGAGGCTTGACACGATCCGACCCTGCGACCCTGACGCTGCTGCTCTAGCTATCAGACATGCGCTGCTGGCTGCTGCCACAATGTGCGACCTGTGCTGGCCCACTTGGCGGCCTTCCCGGTCAGTGGTGAGGCGCAGTTCAGAGCTGTCGATCGGCGCGATGCCGCACTGGTCCCACATTGGTGACACGAGACCACCACGTTTGCCGGTCCAAGAGAGAGGCACCGGCGCTGTCGTGAGAAGGTGCATGGTCCCTCTTGACTGCCCATGCGCGCGAGGCTGTGTAGGCATAGCCTCGAGAGTGCCAGCAGCCAATCCGAGGCAGTTTGTGACGCTCATTGCGTCAGAAGCGTGCACGCGCTGGAAGGACACCTTCCTACTGGCCGCACGATCAGGTCGTCACTGAATGCTGGGTACTAAGGCCGCGAGCTATGCAGGTGGTCAGTTGTGCAGCAGGGCACGGTCAGCAGCGCCGACAGGCTGTCGCAAGGATAGCATGGTCGCAATCAGCTGTCGCTCAATCTCCAATCTCCAATCTCCAATCTCGATTCGGGGGCCCGGGGGAGGAGGGGGGCTCAAACCTTCAAGGAGATGCAATTTGGATTCATTCACACTGACCATCTCTCATCTCCAATCTCCAATCTTCTACTTGGCCACTGTCGCCGCCGGCAGCAATCTACGACCTCCATTTTCAATCTTCGATCTCACATCTGGGGCGGATGGCTGGGCGCTAGGATCTACAATCTGCATTCTCCATCTCCTATCTCCACATTTTGGCCCTGCTGCTGCTCAGAGCGATCTGCAATCCACAATCTCAATCTTCGATCTTTAGTCTTGAATGGGGAACCGGACACAGGACGGATCTACTGGCGAGACTTGGGCGTGTCCGTGTGAGAGATCCGCTAGGATCTCCAGTCTTAATCTACTATCTCTACCCCAACGATCTACTGGTCTTGCGCAGAGATTTCCATTACTCTCTGGTCGAGATGATCGGGGCTCCAGCGAACTTTCGTCACTTCTTCACAGGGGGACGGGGAGATTACACGGGGAAAGGGAACAGAACACTCGTCTACGCGTTCAGCAAGCACTGGTTCACGACGCCGAGCAGGTTGTCATTCTCCAGTGCGGCGGCCACCCTCTCCTTATCGTTGAGCTGCTTGTTGATCGCCTCCTCCGAAGCGTGCGCGCCGGGCGAGATGAGGATGTCCACCTTGAGGCGCGGCGGGAGCGAGCGCAGCAGCTTGACGCGCAAGCAGAGGCCGATGAGCGTCGCCATGGAGCAGTGCGGTATCGTCGGCGTGAAGCGGACCACGACACGCCCTCCCTCGTCGTCTACGTCGATGAGCCGCCGCTGCGCCACGTTGAGCTGCTCGAGTGTGTGCGGGTGCTCCGGGTCCTTGATCCCGCGTATCAGCTCTGCGGGCGGCGGGGGCGACGTCGGGCGGAGGCGAACAAAAGGCTGCGTGGGAGGCGCTTCCGCGCGGACCGAAAATCTCGAGCGAGTCGATTCGGTCCCGCGCATTCGGGTCCGCCTCAGTGGCGCACTCGTTTGCCGATCTCTGCTCGTCGCTCTCAGCGTGGAGCTCGGGCGACGCGTTCAGCCCCTCCTGCATCCGCGGCACGCTTCACACGCGATGAAGGCTAGACAGGCGTCACGTCACGAACGCAGTGTGAATGCGAGCGCTCGTTTGCCCGGGGGGCAGGTGCCGCCGCGCGTCCGCTACCCGGGAACGAGCGTGAGGACGTGAAGAAAAAAAACATTTTGGAAGGATGCCTGAGCCACGCCGAACGTACCGAACGTAGAGCCGAGCGGAAGGAAGCCGGGGAAGACGACTCCGAGGAGGAAGAACCAGTGGAAATCCCGTTGTCAGCTGTCACGATGCACCCGAAGGGGACCCCAGCGCCGGCAGCATCCGTGAAGGCACAAGTGTCCGAAGAGAGAGTGGACCTGAGCAATGATATGACTTGGCGGCAAATGATAGCAGTGGGCGTCAGAAGACTCGTCCTTGCTCGAGGAGAGCTCGATAGACTCGGAGGGGCCAGGATATGCAGCAAGGAGGGCGGAGCTGCGCCGAAAGGCGAAAGAAGCCGCGAGAACAAGGGAACGGCAGGCGGCTGCGGCGTCGCAGAACGAGGCAGAGGAGAGCGACGCGACAGAGGAAGAAGCGACAAGGGAGAGCACGACGAGAAGGGGGCGACCGCGAGGTGGCACGAAGGTTGCAGCGAGAATCGGAGAGAGACCTGCGAAGAGAGATAGGAAGAGGCGGACGCCCAAGGGTGAGCGACGGCTAGCGCACCATACCCCTCTCCTTAAAATCCCTGTGTGGTGGCGGCGTGCCGTCCTCCCATCCCTCCCTTGGGTAAATAAAATAAATAAATAAAACGGGCAAACTCTGAGACGAGATGGGATTTAGGGACATGTGTCCCCGCCCTGCACGATCTTGGTGTGAGGGATCTTCAATCCGTGTCCCCTCACCCGCACCCCTCGTCACAACCCGACACGGAAGAGCGGCAAGAGTTAGGGCTGCGGCTACGGCGGCGGCTATGAGAGGGGCCGGGGTCGCGGGAGAGCCGCTGCGCCGCCTCCCTTGGGTTGTCCGCTTTCTTTCTTTCTTTTCTTTCGTGCCGAGTAGCACCACACTCCCCTCCTTAAAATCCCTGTGTGGTGGCGGCGTGCCGTCCTCCCATCCCTCCCTTGGGCTGTCTGTTTTCTTTCTTTCTTTTTCCGTGCCGAGTTCACAAAAAGAGACAAACCCGGACGAGTTCACCGAGATCCGAGTCCGAGAGAGGTTGTTTCTTTGATCGCGTTTCTTTCCGCTTCCTTTCGGCATTCCCGTTTCATCCGCGCACCGCAGCCGCAGACATCCGCGTCACATGAGACTGTTTCTTGCGTTTCATTTGCTCCCTATACGGAGAGGGCGCAGTGGTTTCTCTCTTTCAGCGCGACACGCTAGCACCCCACGCACCGCGTTCGCCACACACCACGACCCTCCCACTCGTCAGTCCAGCAGCGTCTTGCCCGGCTCGCGCCCCCCCGGCTCGGCGCCCGCCTCCGCCTCGCGGCCGCCCCGATCGGCGCTCTGCGCGCTCAGCTCCATCCGCACCCCCACGCACACCACCCTCGACCCCTCGAGCTCGTCGAGCCGGCGCACCAGGCCCGTGTACCCCTCCTTCGCCGCGAGGCCCGACGGCGTCAGCTGGCGCTCGTCGCGCATCATCAGCGCGTGGGGCCCCGCCTCGAGCAGCGCGGCGAGGCTCTCGCCGTGCCCCGCCGACGCGGCCCAGTGAGCCGCCGTCTGCCCCGTGTCTTCGCCGCGCACCGTCGCGCACCACGTCGAGGTGCGCGCGTCGGTGGGCGCGCCCGCGTGCAGCAGCGCCTTGACGACGCCCGCGTGGCCCGAGAGGGCGGCCCAGTGGAGCGCCGTCGACCCGTTCGCCGCCGTCGCCCGCACCGGCGCCCCGCGCGCGAGCAGCAGCTCGACTGCGCTCTCCGCGCCGGCGGCGGCGGCGAGGTGGAGCGCGCTCGCGCCAGAGGGAGGGAGCCGCGCGCTCGAGAGGAACGCCGCGGCGGCCGGGGCGGCGCCGCCGCCCGCGTCCGCGCTCAGCAGGCTCCTCAGCCGCGCCGCGTCCCCCTCGGCCGCCGCAGTGAGCAGCTCTCTCGCCGCGCCGGCGGGAGGTAGCACCGTGTCGGCGTCGTCGGCGGTGGGCTGCCGGGTCGCGACCCAGTCGGGCTCCGCGGCCGCAGCGTCGGCGGCGAGGGCGTGGGTGAGCGGTATGCTCTGGCCGCCGGCGACGAGGGCCGCGGTGCCAGCGGCGGCCGCCTCGAGAGGCGCGGCCAAGGCGTCCTTGGAGCCGCCGCCCTCCGCGAGCGTGGGCGGGCCTGCCGAAGGACCGGACTCCGCGAGAGCCATGCCGCTGCCCTCCGATCCCAGCAGCTGGCCCAGCACATGCTCGGTGATGAAGACGGGCTCGCCGCGGGCCGAGGCGGCAGAGAGCGCAGCCGCCGCCTCGGCGGGAGAGGGCAGGCCGGTGGGGAAGAGCAGCCGCGGGCGCGCGCTCGCCTCGGCCGGGCGCGGCGCGGCCTCGAGGCGGAAGACCTGCAGGATGCCGACGCGGGCAGAGCCGGAGCAGAAGCGGCGCATTTGAGGAGGCCGGCGTTTCCGGCTCTTCGCGTGGCGCGCTCACGCAACCCCTTCCAGTCCGCCACGTAAATGATTTTTAGCGGAAGGAAGGGACACGTCTGGGCGCCCCCCCCCCCGACCGAGCTGCGAAACAACGGCGTCCACACCGGCCGCTGCGCGCCGTTGCAGTCGAGTGTAGGTAGGTGTGTGTATGTTGCAGCCCAGCTATCGTGCGTGCCGCAAAATAGGTGCATGTCCATGTGTGTGGTTAGAAATCAGTAACCAGCCTCCGGCGGGGCCCCCCGCTACCATCCAAACCCGAGTACAAAGCGCGCCTCCTGCGCGCCTCTCCGAGGCGCTGCGCAGATGGTCTACGAATCATAGAGGCTCAAGTGACAAGTCCACACACACACACGCGGGGGGGACACGTCACACCGCGGTCGGCACCCGCGGGTGCCACATCTCGCATCTCTGCCATACACAAAGCATTACTCTCACGACACACGGGGATCGGGTGGAGCGGCGGCGGCGGCGGCAGTGGCACGCGCGGGCGGACGGATTCGGACGGGGCGAAGCAGCGACCGCCTGGGCGGCCGCTGCTCTGTCTGCCAGAGCGCGCCGTCTGTGCGCAGCTCGAGCGCGGTCAGGTGCACAGGGAAGCGTGGCGGCGCGGGGAAACGCGGCGGCGGTGGCGGCGGCGGCGGCGGCAGCGGCACGCGCGGGCGGACGGATTCGGACGGGGCGGAGCAGCGACCGCCTGGGCGGCCGCTGCTCTGTCTGCCAGAGCGCGCCGTCTGTGCGCAGCTCGAGCGCGGTCAGGTGCACAGGGAAGCGTGGCGGCGCGGGGAAACGCGGCGGCGGTGGCGGCGGCGGCGGCGGCAGCGGCACGCGCGGGCGGACGGATTCGGACGGGGCGGAGCAGCGACCGCCTGGGCGGCCGCTGCTCTGTCTGCCAGAGCGCGCCGTCTGTGCGCAGCTCGAGCGCGGTCAGGTGCACAGGGAAGCGTGGCGGCGCGGGGAACGCGGCGGCGGTGGCGAGCAGGCGAGCGGCCCGCGCGCGGCGAGGCGGACAGGTGATCGGCAGGCGGGTGATGGGCCGCAGAGTGACCGCGCCCAGCGATCGGAGGCGAGCCGATCGTCGCTCGGCCGCAGCTGACCTCGAAGGCGTGCGGAGCGCGACTGTTGGTGTCGGGGGGCGGCCGTCATGTGGCGAGGAGGGAGGACGACAAGTGCGCGTCGTACGGGTCGCTCTTCTCTGTCTGCCCGCCCAATGGGTGGCAGGTGCCTCTGCTGCTGTGGCATGCCTCACGGCTGCGACTGGCCGGCGCCTCGGCGCGTCAGCTCAGCTCGGCGTAGCGATAGTGGCCAGCGCAACTCGCCTGGACTCAACGCTCAGCCAGGAGCTCCCGCACGCGCTCGTGGCGCGACTCATGGCGCATGCAACGCGCAGCAATGCTTGCCTCGCCTCGCGCAAATGCGACCGTCCTCGCAGCCGACAGTCCACCGCCTGCTAAAGAAGCCAGTGGTGTGTGTGTGTGTGTGTGTGTGTGTGTGTGTGTGTGTGTGTGTGTGTGTGTGTGTGTGTGTGTGTGTGTGTGTGTGTGTGTGTGTGTGTGTGTGTGTGTGTGTGTGGTGTTGTGTGCCGTCAGAGTGACTCTCTGTGTGTCAGGGATAGTCAGGGCCGTCCATCAGAGCTCCAGTAAGCTCGAGGAGACACCCCATTAGCGCGGCTCGACCTCTTTCAGTCACTGCCTTCCCGGCGGTTTGGCTGTAGAAGCTGACCTGTAGAGCCTCTACAACAAACTCTACAGCAAAATCGCGCTCTACATCGCTCTACGACGCAGGCGCCTCGTCACGCGGCGGATGTAGAGCTCTACAGCTCTACAGCGCTCTCCAGCGCTCTACATCTCTACATCTCTCCAGCGCTCTACACTCTACATCCTCTACACCCTCCCTCAGGTCGGCCTGTCTGCTGTCTGGAGTGATCTGTCGGCGGTCAGTACGCCCGATCAGGTTGGAGGTTTCTCATGATTGGAGGGTCTATCTGTGTGTACTCCTCGAGATCTTTCCAAATCTGCCCTCTAATCAACCGTATTTAATCGGGAAGTTGGTGCTCTGAGCGACTCTGACGCAGTGACGGTGCCAAAGCCCCGTTTCCGCACTGCGGCGCGGCGCACGGTGCCTCCGGGTACCCCCGCCCCCCCCCAGAGGCACAGCCTGACCCACAGCCACACGGCCGCACAGCCTGACCCACAGCGGGGGCGCCACACAGGGATTGATTTTAAGGAGAAGGAGTGTGGCTGGCGGCGTCGCCCATGTTGTTTGCTGCCCTCGGCGCTCGGGTGGGTGGGTGTGAGACGGCCTTGGAGCACTTGGAGTGCGGGGGGCAGGAGCCTCACATCCAGGGCCGGGGAGCTGAAAAGAAAGAAAGAAAACAGACACCCCAAGGGAGGGATGGGAAGACGGCACACACACGCTCGGGCACACGGACGGCACACGCCGCCACCACACAGGGATTTTAAGGAGAGGAGTGTGGTGCCAGCCGCCCCAGCCGCCGCTTCCGCCTCCTGGGAGGACATCGCGTGTTCATCCTTGGCGAGGGCCCGGCGCAGCGGCGTGGCCACCCCCTCCACTGCCGCGCGGCGGGCGATGACGAGGGCCGCCTCCTGAGGCGTGGCAAAGCAGCCGAGGACGAGGGCGTGGCCGTTGCAAGACGCCCGCGCCACGTACGGCCTCGTGCTATTCTTGATCTTGCCGACGCTCTTGAAGCCAGTGGCGCTCTTGTCCGACAGCGCCAGCGTCAGGTCCTCAGCCTCCGCCGCCGCTTCAGCCTCCTCGGCCGTAAGCGGCTTTGGCGGCTCCGGCCCTAAGCCCAGCGCCTCTTGCACGGAGATAAGCGCCCCTCCTGGAGGCCCGGGCATCATCATGCTTCATGGCCACAGAGGGGTTCTTTTCTTCGCGGTCGACCGCTGCCCGCTCGCCCCTTGGTCCTCCCCCTCCTCGTCCGCCTCGCCGGTCTGTCCGCCCTTATCCCCTTTCTTCCCTAGACGCAACTTGTCCTGGAGCACTTGGAGCACTTGGAGCTTGGATCCACGCCGTAGGTTTTCTTGTGCCAGTGTGCTGTGAGAGAGGCTTGTATCTTAAGAATTCTTGCGCACCCTCTGGCGCAGGGGCGGCGTGACGGTCTTGACCTTCACCCAGCAGCGCCACGGCCAAACGAGCCGGCGCCCACCCGCGTTGCGCTGTGAAGAGGCACCGACACTGCGACCGTGCCTCATGCAAGGCGAGGACACGCGCCTACCCGGACTGCCGCGCTACGTGCGAATCAACACGCTCAAGCTCGGCGCAAAGGCCGCTGACCGAGCGCTGCTCGAGAGCGGGTACCGGCGCGCCGCCGACGCCGCTGACGCCGGCAAGAGGAGTTACCACTGCGACGAGGACGTGCCGGACCTGCTCGTCTTCAAGCCAAAGGGCAAGTCCGACATCAGCCGCCTGCCGCTCGTCGCCACGGGTGAGGTGGTCGTGCAGCAGAAGGCGTCCTGCTTCCCGGCCCTCGCGCTCGCGCCTCCGCCCGGCGCCGTTGTGATCGACGGCTGCGCCGCGCCGGGGAACAAGACGAGCCACCTCGCGATGCTGATGGAGAACCGCGGCCGGGTGCTCGCCTTCGACATGAACGAGCGGCGCTGCGCGCTGCTCCGCGAACGGATGGCCCTCAAGGGCGCGAGCATCGTGAGCGCGCGCCACGCCTCGTTCCTGTCCGCCGCGCCGGCCGACCCGGAGTACGCGGGCGTGACGCACGTGCTGCTCGACCCGTCCTGCTCCTCGTCGGGCATGTCGCTCGACCCGATCACCGAGCCGGCCGCACTCGCAGAGCTCGCCTCCAACCAGCGCGCCCTGCTGCTGCACGCGATGGCCTTCCCCGGCGTGACGGCGATCGTCTACTCGACTTGCTCCGTCAACGAGGCGGAGAACGAGATGGTGGTCGCCGCCGTGCTGCAGGCGCAGGCCGACGCGCCGCCGGAGCGCCGTTTCCGCCTCGTCCCCGCCCTGCCCGCCTGGCACCGGCGAGGCCACCGCTGCGCCGCCATCTCCGGCGCCGCGCGCAGGGAGGAGGTCGCGGCCTGCTGCGTGCGGACCCTCTACCCCGACGACGGCACCATCGGCTTCTTCGTCGCCCGCTTCGAGCGCGAGGCCGCCGCGCCGCCGCCGCCCTCGGACGCGCTGCTGCACAAGCTCAAGAAGCTCGGCCGCGAGCGAGCCAAGCGGGGCAGGCGGGCGCGCGGCGCCGCCGCGGCGCCGCCGGAGCCGGGCGCCGGTGGCGAGGCGGAGGCAACGGCGGCCGCCCAGCCGGCGCCGAGGCCGGTGCCCGACTGGCGGCGAGAGCGAGACGAGCGAAAGAAGCGGCAGAGGGGGACGAAGGCGTGATTAGCCAGCCGAGAATTCTTCTTCTCCCAAAACCAAACAGACCTCGCCGAATCATCAAGCGTTTGGGGACTCTCGCTCCCGCCAAACTGCATTCCCACATGCTCGTGCTAACAGTGGCGAGCGGGGCCTTGCTCCCGCCCCGCACGCCCGCGGGCCCTCGTTGGGCCGAGCGCGTCATCGCCGCGAGTCCTTTTGCTCTCGCCACCGAGCGGTGGACCGAACGCTACTGTTCATTGAGCCCGTTTGCGCTGGCCCAAACCTTCCCAGCGTCGACCTTTTCGGGAGGGTACGCCGCGCTTCCCGCCGAGGTCGACGTCACGGTGGTCGGTGGCAGGGCGACGTCGACAGTTGCACTCCTCCGCTCGCTCAGTGCGGCCACCGGTGTCACGCTGCGGCTGCTGCACCTTCCCGGCGGCGGCGACCTCGGCCAGTGCCGGGTCGTGGCGCTCGGGTCTCGTCAGGCGCTGCGGGCCTTCGTGCAGCGGGCGCGTGTGGCGGTCCCGGCGAACGAGCTCCTCGTTGCGTGGGCAAAGTCGTAAGCTGCCAGTGCGTACTCGATCGTTTGCCTCCCATCTCCTGTTCTCTCTCCCTTTTTCAACTCTGTGTTCTTGTCATCTCTTTCTGTGCATGTCGAGAGATTGTGGATACGGCTTAATAAAGCTTTTGTGACTTCTCTCTGGGCCTCTCTCTTCTCTCTGACCCGACCACAAACACCATGCCACAAAGGGACCGCGCCCCCGTGAGCCGTGACCCGTGTGTCAGGACACGAGCTCCACCACAAGCGAGTAGAGCGAGGCCGTGCGGTGCAGCTCCGCGGCCGCCGCCAGCAGCCTCGACCCGGTCGGGGGCGCGCCGTTGACCGACACCTCGATGCGCGGCGCGGCTCGGCAGCCGTTCCCTCCCGGCGCGGCAGGCTCGGCGGCGCAAGCCACCCGCAGCCGCGTGCCGCCGCCCAAACGCAGCTCCACGGCGGCGCACGAGGCCGACGCCACGCTCGCGCCGGCGGTGCCGGCCGCCCCTGCGGCGCGGTGCGTCTCGAAGCGGCGGAGCAGCTCTCGCACGAGCGAGACGGCGCGCAGGTCGGAGAGGAGGCGGAGGGCCGCGCCGCGCCCCGCCTCCGCGTACAGCAGCGCCACTGTCTCGCCCCGCGCCGCGACCGCCGCCCCCGACGCCGCCGGCCCGGGCAAGCCTCCGAGCGCCTCTGCAGGGAGGTGCGCCTCCCAGCCGCCGGAAGGGAGGAGGCGGAGGCGCGGCGCGAGCGGCGAGGCGGCCCCGCCCGCCGCGACGGCCTCCGCCTCGCACGCCTCTGCGCGGAGGGGCGAGAGCGCGATCTCGTCCCCGCGGGCCTCGTGCCGCAGCCCGTTGGCAGAGAGCTCCTCCGAGAGGAGCCGGCGGCGAGCGAGGCGCAGCGCGGCGGCGAGGGCGGCGCGCAAGTCGCGCGCGATGCGAGGCAGCTCGCCCGCCTCGCCCTCCCCCTCCCGTGCCCAGACCTGCGGCGGCGGGCCAGCTGCCCCTCCTCCCCCGCCAGCTGCCTTGCCGGGGAGAGGCATCACCTCGGGGAGAGGCGTCACCTCGGCGGCTGCTCGCGGCAGCAGGCTGCGCAGGCCCGCCGCAGCGTGCTCGGCCCCGGCCGCTGCGCCGGCCGCCGGCTCGAGCCGGACGAGCCGGACGAGGAGGTGCTGCACGCAGACCCCGCACCCCTCCCCCTCCCCGCCTCCCACCCCGCCCGCGTGCGCGGCGCCGGCCGGACAGAGGGCCGGAGAGAGGCGCGAGAGGAGGAGGCTGTCCTCGAGGCCGGGCAAGCAGCTCCACAGCTCGCACACGCCACGCCTCGCCTCGGGCGCCGGCAGCCGCGGAGCCGCTCCCTCGAGCGGCTGCAAGCCGAGCGCCCTAGCGGCGGCGGCGACGCCAGTGCGCGCCGCCGCGAGGCGCGCAGCAATCGCCAGCTGGCCGCCTCCGCCTGCCCGCACGCCTCCTCCGCTCGCCTGGCCTCCGGCGGAGAGGGCCGCTCCGAGCGCTGCGGCGCCGGGCCCGAGGAGGGTGGCGGCGCCGCCCGCGAGGCTGTGCACGGCCGCGACGTCGGCGCCGAGCCGGAGCAGCGGCACGGGCGCGGCGGCGTCGGAGGCGTCGGAGGCGGAGGCGGCCCTCGCGTCTTGCGGCGGCAGGCGGCGGGCGAGGGCGGCGAGGGAGGCGGCGCTCCTCCGCCGGACCGCGGAGGAGAGGAGGGGCTCCGCTGCGGGGGCGGGCTCGAGGGGGAGCGGCTCCCACTCGTCCGCCGGCGCGTGCGGCGGGGCAGGGCGCGGCTGGGCGGGGCGCGGCTGGGCGGAGGCGTCTGCCCCATGTATCACACCCCATGTGCCTCGCGGCTGGGCGGAGGCGTCCGCCGGGGCGAGAGCGGCGCCGAGCGGAGGGCGGTGGCTCATCTCGAGGCCGCACTCGGAGGCAGGCCGCAGCACGAGCGACGAGCGGCCGAGCATGCCGCCCGCGGGGCCTGCCGCCCCTCCTCCCGCTCCGCCTCCGCCCCCAAACGGGTGCGACGCCGCGAAGGCATACTCGAGGGTGAGGGCGAGGACGGCTCCGGTGGGGCTCAGCTTTTGCGTCGCGTGGAGCCGTCCCGCCCAAGCGGCGCCTGCGCCGGCGCAGAGGGGCCGGGGCAAGCGGCGGTGGGGGGCAGGCGTTGGTGGCGGGAGGGGCGGCGGGAGGGGTGGGGGCGGGAGGGGGGCGGGGTGGGTCTCGTGCACGGTGGTGGGGCCGCACGGTGGGGCGGCCGCACCGCGCGCGAGCGAGACGGCCTCCGCGTGGAGGCGTGCGAGGGCGAGCTGCGCGCAGGCCGCGTGCAGCGGAGGGTGGAGGCGGAGGAGGGGCTGCGCTGGCCGCGTCTCGAGCACGCTCGCCGCCTCGCGCCACAGCCGCCGCCACTCGCGCACCGTCGCGGCGCCGTGGTCCGGGCTGCGAGGCGAGGGGGAGCCTGCGAGCAGCCGCAGCCTCACGAGGCGCCACGGCGCCCCAGCGCCGTCCTCGGCGGTGAGGGCGAGCACGTACTCGCCAGGGACGAGGCAGCGGACCGAGCCGCGCAGGGCAGCCACCTGCACCCCTTCCGGAAGCCGCCAGTGCTGCCTCTTGCGCCGCAGCTCACCGCGCAGCCAGCGCAGCGCACGGCTCGCCTGCCGGCGCGAGGCCGCCTCCTCGGGCACGGGAGCGCGCAGCGCACGGGGGAGCTGCGAGAAGGTCCCGGAGGAGAGGATGTCGACGGCGGCGAGGACATCGTGCTGCGGCACGACGCCGAGCGGCATGGTGCGGTGCAGGTGGAACAGGTCGTCGGCCGCACGCCTCATCGCATCCTGCCGCTCGAGCGAGGCGGCGAGCGCACCAGAGAGGCCGGATGTGTGCGCGTGCGAGCCCAGTGCCCAGCGCACAAGCATCAGCAGCCGTTCAAGCGTGCCGCGGGCCTCGCCGAGGTAGCTGCGGATAGCATCGCGCCGCTGCGACTCTGTCATGCGGCCTCCGAGGTGCTTTGCGAGCTCGAGCAGCCCGCCCTGCACGGCCTGCGTGGCGGCGAAGACGACGTCCTCGAGCGGGACCGCGCCACTCGTCGTCAGCCAGCCATCGGCGTTCATGCTGGCGTTGTCCACCGCCTTGGGCCTGGCTGCCGCGATGAAAAAGAATTCCCGCGCCGTTTTACTTTAAGGCCCTTTCCCTGCGAACGCGCACCCCCGGGGCTAGGGCTCTCTTGCCCGCAACCCGATACCGATCATCCGGCCCGCTGGGTGCGCTTCTTAGCTCCTCGGCCCTGGATGTGAGGTTACCGACTGCACTCCAAGTGCTCCAAGTGTGAGCGTCTCTCACAGCACACTGGCACGACAAGGGCGCGGACTGGCGCGGACTGGCACACACACCAAGTGCGAAACGCAGTCTCAGGTCTCCATCTCGAGTGCTCCATCCTCCCAACTCACGGCGAACCCTTTAACGGCTGCTGGCCTCCACCGGCGAGCACCCTGCCCGCCGCCCTTCGTTCGGGCAGTTCGGCGCACGGGGACGCCACTGGAGTCAGAGGCTTGCAATGCGCCGTCCGCCGCGACACCTGCCCGGAGAATAGGAAGTAGAAGGGGCGCAGAAGGGTGAGGGGAAAGGAGAGACGACAGATTCGGGTTCTGTCGTCGATCGTGGTGTCTCTTCGACTGCACTCACCAGCTCGAGACGCCTCCTCTTGTCAGACGCGCAGTTTGCGTGAAAAGTGGCCACGGTGCACCTAAACGCGAGCAGAAGATCAGGTGCCTCGGGCCTCCTTTGCCATCCGTGGAACCCACACTTCGCGCTCTCGCCAGTTGTTGGCCATCCCAGGGCTCGCTGCAGGCGAGTTCACGTTGAATCTGGTTGCGTTCCAATAAGCCTTGGCCGCCGGCTTTGTCCACACAAAAGGAAACCAACAGGCCGAGGCGAACGCCTACGTACGCAGCCGCCACACATCAAACGCGACGGCGCTCGAGAAAGGGCACGCGCGCACCGGTGTGGTAAAACGCACCGGCGGCAGCACCCCAAGGCGAAATCCGCCTCTGCGGACCGCTTTCTTCACCAGATCTTGTTCGAGCGATTTCACTGTGCTGAAATTTGAGGGCTTATTAGCCCATGCCGCCTCGACCGCCCCGACGCTGGTGGCGATAAACTGGCCTAGAAGGACAGGTCGACAGGTCGGCTGGGGAAAAACAGCTCAAGGCTTGGTTGGATGCTGTATCACCCGAATTCGCTCCCGCTCCAACAGGCCGGCATGGATCCAAAGGGGTGGGCGGCGACCATTCGCTTTGAAAGAGCAGGTCGTGCTCGTCGAGGAGCCGGGCAAGGCGCTGGCCGGGCAGGAAGGCGGCGAACGGGTTGGATAAGATCCTAAGGCGGGCGGCAATGAATGTTGGAAGGCGATGGTGCAGCCGGTGCCAACAGTCAGAGATCCGCACAGGACGTCGGCGTCGACAAACAGGGCGATTCTCGCCCGGCCGTCTCGCATCGCCAACAGAGCAAGCTCCCATTTTGCCCACGTCACCTACAGCCATGCAAGGGCCTGCCTCGCAGTCTAGCACAAGGTGGCCTGGAGGGAGAAGGGCAGCGCTGCTTCGTGGAAGTAGGGGTGCCCATACGCGGTCCCTGGCACATCAGGAGCGTAGACGCATGTCCCCGGGATGCGCCAGCGACGGCGTCGTGCCTCCAATCCCCAGCATAAGCTGACAAACCGATGCGTCAAGCAGTCGGCCCTCGTGATGTGAGAAAGGGCCACCTCCGACAGCGGAGCGCGATAGTTGTTGGTCATACTTATGAGGACGCCTCCCAGAGGAACGCAGGCACTGAATCGGCGCAGGGCGCTGCTGACGTTGCCAGAAAACCATGCGGCCGATGCTGCGGGAATCACGCGATCGGTGCGGAGCCGGATCGCCCGCATCCGCGTCGAGACGGGTCGAACAGTCAGGACGCTGCTTGCCACCACAAGTGGCCCTGGCGCCGCGGGAGGGCCGGCGCGGCGTCGTCGGCAATCGCGCGCGCTGGCGGAACTTAGACGCGGCCGTGTCAGGAGAGGTGTCACATGACATGAACGTTCGTACTTTCAGCTCACTGGGAGAAAAGGGAGAAGGGGTTGTGTTCTCTAGGCCCCTAAGGGGCTCTAAGGGTCCTACGCGCTCTCTCTCTACATGTACGTTGAGGTATGTTGTTGTGCATTACGTACTTTGAGCTTCCTGGGAGAAAAAGGGAGAGAGAGGGAGGGGTTTGTGTTCTCAGGCTTTGGCCTTTATACATTATTCTTGCGATTCTATATTCTTTTTCGAAGCGATTTTCAGCAATTTTCCGCGGGAATATAAAGAATATTTGAGAATATAGGCCCGATTTGGAGCTGTATTCTTATTCGAGAAAGAATATAGACCCTGTTGGGACAAGAATACGGAAAGAATACTCCAAGTGCTCCAAATACGGGAAAAATATAGATAGTACTGGGCGAGAAAAACGTATACTCGAGTAAAGGCCACTCTAGGCTGCACATGCAGATCGACGTATGATGTATGTATGTGATCTGTGATCTGTAAGGGTCCGCCCGCAGGCGCATTTTGTATACCGAGGCGGTGCCCGGTGCCGAACCTGTCGGACCTTAAGACAGCATTGTCGATCCCTGGGCGAGGGTGATGGAGAGGGCGGTCTGTCGGCGCGCTAAACCGTAACCCGCCGGGGCGGGCCGGATCCACGCGCTGTCGGACCGCCCTGTCGGAGGTAGACCGCTCGTCTAGCCAATCAGCCTTAAGCGAGCGGTCTGGCCGTTGGAATGGCCGAGTTTGGTGGACTTGCGTCCTCGCATCGATCGTGGTTGTAGGGATATCGTTATGAACAACAATCACCACATGGGGAGGCGGCTGTCTCTGAAGGCGAACCTCAGTTACGAGCCACCCCCCCTACTTGCCTCCTCTTTGTTCCCTGGCTTTCTGTCTCTTGCGCGCCTGCTGTCCAAGCTGTGCCCCCCGCGTCTCGCCTCCTCGCACCCACCCCGGCGGGGGGGCGCCTTCGTGCCTTTCGTCCCCTGCAGTGCGTGCGCGCTCCTCCCCGTACGTCACCGGCCCCCCGTCCTCTGTGTGCTGTTGGCTCGCCCCCTCTCCCTGACTCGTCGAATCGCTACGTTCGTTCTCGAATCGCCCCCGCTTCCTCGGCGGCTGGGACGCCTCGTGCTCTGGCTGTTCCTCGTCTACGTCCATGACTGTAAATTCGTCGTCTGCCTGGCTGCCATCGTTCGGATGGCCCGTTTTGGGTGGTTGCTCGCTCGGTCCTGGCTCTGCTGCACGGTCGGGTGTCTCCTCGTCGTCGCTCCTTGCGCTCTCGTCGCTGTCGTCGTTGTCTTGGCCGGCGCGGGCTTGACTAGTTTCGGTCCCCCTGTGCCCGAGAAGCAGCTCGAGCCTCAGTCGGTCCATGAATCGTCGCGCCGAGCGGCGATTGTGGCTCGATTGTCTCCTCCTCGAGGCGCTGTTGTGGCTGCCTTGGCTGCTCTGGCTCCCCTCGCTCTCTTTCCCCTGACTCTGTTGGCTGTACTGACTCTGGCTCCCCCCGCCCTCCGCCCCTTCCTCCGTTGCTGCGTCGGGGAGCTCGAAGAACGCATCGTCGATAAAGGCCATTTCGTCGTCCGCCGAGGCGTTCTCGTCTTTCTCGTCGTCTCCCTCGTCGTCGTACGTCTCACTCACTGGCGGCTCGCTCTCCATCGGGTTCGTCGTCCCGCCTTCGGGCGTTGGGCCGTGGACTGCCTTGTCGTGCTCTGCCGTGTTCCACGGCTCGACCCCGGCTCCCTGCGCCTCGCGCACCGCGTCGAGGGTCCGCTGTGACACTTGCCTCTCGTGCCCGTGCCGAAACCGCAGTAGACTGAGGTGCCCGATCTGGTATGCCTTTGTGCCTTTGAGGGCTCGCGGGCCTCTCGGCACCCCTTTGTCTGCCCTCGGCTTGCGTGGCTTGTATGTATGTATATAGGGAGGTGAAGTCTGAAGAGCAGTCAGGCTCGGACTGGACACCAGCGCGGTATGGGTGGACGCGAGATCTCTCTCTCAGATGATGACGACACGCTCGATCGAGCGACACACAGACACAAACAAGCTCACAGACAGGACACACACACAGCCAGCGTCGCCGCCACACACCCTGAGTTGGCGTACACATAACTCAGGGCCACGTCCTCCCTGTCGCCCCCCCCAGCACTCCAAGGTGCACTCCAAGGTGAAGATTGATTCGGCGAAAAGAAAAATGAAGAGAAATAGAGAAGAAATACGCAAAAGATGCTGCTTGAGGCGCACCACGCCGCGGCGCGCAAGATCGTGCTGGCGGTGCACCGCGACCTCGAGCAGCTGGAGACTGGCCGCAACGTCTCGCTCGATCTGCAGCTGCAGATATCGCAGAACCTCAACGCGCTCGCTCGGGAGCTGCACGAACTCGAGCGGCTGCTGCCAGGCGAGCGCAACTCGACCATCTGGCGGAGGAAGATCGTGGAGCTGCAGGAGGAGTCGCGGAGCCAGCGCGCGGCCCTCACTCGCTTTACCTCCAGCGCGCGGCAGCAGCAGCGCGAGGCAGCAGTGCTCTCGCCCAGCGCCCGCCGCCGGTGGCGCCAATCACGCCCGATGAGGACGCACGCTTTCGCCGCAGGCGGAGGAGCGCGACGCGCTGTTTGAGCGGCGGCGCCACAACGGTGGCGATCAGCACGCCATCGCGATGGACGGTCTGCTCGATGAGTCGAAGCGGATCCGCGAGGCGGACTCGCAGCTCGACGCCTTCATCGGGAATGGCTACGCGGTGCGTGGCGCTCCCTCCCCGCCTCCGCCTGGCCCAGCGGCGCCGAGACCACCCCGCGGCGGGTGCGCGCAGGTGCTCGAGGCGCTTGGCCAGCAGCGCTCTGCGCTCAAGGGCATCGAGCGCAAGGTGCTCGACTTGGCAAACACGCTCGGGGTCTCCAACTCGGTGATGCGCGTCATCGAGCGGAGACAGCTCGTCGACAAGGCGATCGTGTACGGAGGCATGCTGCTCACCCTCTGGCTGCTCTGGTTTGTCTTTGTGCATTTGCGACGGCCCGCGGAGGCAGAGGCGGAGTGACGGAACACCGTGGCGGGCGTGGCCATACGCCCGGCCAGCGCAGTGACCAGTGTGATCTTATAAAGTGTTACGAGAGTGTGCGCGGATGCGAGTGAGTGCGACCCATGCCGCGCGCCGTATTTCAAATTGCACGCATAGAGAGACGGGGCCGGGCGGGCGGGGCCGCGCGCGACGCGAGAAGAGAGAGCGCGCCCGTCAGCGCGCCCGGACGACCCTCTCCGCTCTCGAGAGAGGCCCGCGCCCGCGGCCGCGGCCCGCGCGGCGCCTGTGCGCGCCGCGGCGCGCCGTATGCGCGTGCTCCCTCTTGCGAAATCGGGAATGTACGTGGTAAGAGCCACTTCCATGCCACAGACTTAGAGACAACATGGCTCTCATGGGAGGATGTGCCAGGATGCTTAGGGAGGACCGCGCATTGCGTGTGTCATCGCTCGGGGCTGGGCCAGGGGAGTACGCACCCTTGCATCGACCGTTTTGCGGTCGGCGCCATGCTTGAGACGATACTGTGGCTTTCAGCAGTAGCGGCACCGAGGCTCACGCCTGTGCCGCCCTCTGCCGTGGCCCCTGGGAGGGCGGGCTCTGGGGCGCCCCTCAGAGGCGGTTCGCGGCCTTCGCGGCCTCGCCCCTCGTGCACACGCGCGGGGCGGGCGAGGCGCGCGGGCTCGTCCCTCTCGCGCCGGAGCGCTGGTACTCGCCGCTTGGCGTGCGCTGGAAGGAGGCGCGGAGCGAGCCGCTCTCGTCCACGAGCGACGAGAGGGAGGAGGAGGACCCGTCGAAGTAGGTTTGCCGGCGCCGGTCGGGCTGGCGCGAGAGGCAGAAGAAGTAGCGCAGCAGCGTCGCGCCGAGCAGGAGCGGCCAGAGCGCGAAGAAGGCGGCCGCCTGCAGCGAGTGCAGCGCGCGGTAGAAGACGACGTCGCGCAGCGGCCGCTCGTCGCCCTCCGTCTTGCGGCGTCTCGTCTCGAGGAAGGCGATGTACGGCACCGCCAGCGGAAAGAGCAGCGTCAGCAGCAGCAGGTGCGCCCACCCGCGCAGCAGAAGCCAACGCATCTCCTCGCGGCTCGGCGCAGGCGGCGGCGGAAGCGCGCCGGCGGGCAGACCGTGCGCCGCCGCCGCGCCGAGCTGCGGCAGCGGCTGGCGCGAGGAGCGGCGGCGCAAGCCGGGCAGGCCCGAGTGCGATCCGGGCGAGGGCGGCGCCTCCTCCTCGGCGAGCAGCTCGGCCTATTCGAGTTTGATGCGGTGTCACCCCCCGCCGCCGCACCAGCCCCCCCGCGCCCGCGGCGAGCGGCAGCGCCTCGCCCTCCTCCGTGTGCTCCGCGAGCCACTGGGCCGCGTCGTGGTACCTGCGGCGCGGGGAGGCGCGGCGTGGCGCGGCGCGGCGAGGGGGCGCGGGCAGGCGCGGAGGCGAGGACGGACGGCGAGGCGGCGGAGCCGGCGCGCGGGGACGGTGTGTGCAGGGTACCCGCACGCGAAGAGCTTCCAGAGCGTCTCTGGCGGCGGCGGCAGCACGACCCAGTGCAGCGGCACCGGCAGCGGCGGCCGGATGGCGGCGAGCGGGTTTCCGATCCCAGAGACGCGCACGAGGGTGTCGGCGCGGTCAAACTGTCGCCACATGAAGAGCACGGACGGCCAGTAGAGCCCGTCAATAAAGTCGCCGCCCGCGTGCAGCATGCTCCCGTCCGGCGCGTCCTGGCGCGGCACGTGGTATGGCAGCGGGCCCGCCAGGAAGGGGATGTGGCACGAGGCGCGCAGCACTTGCTTGAGGTGCTGCGTCGAGCCAAAGGCGGAGACCGTCTCGGGCCGCACCGCCGGCTTGAGGGTCCACAGCTGAATGCGCGTTAGCAGCACGCGCAGCCGCCCGTTGGCGCGCTTGTGAGCCGCCTGCCCGACGAAGCGCTGCAGGGCGCGGTCCGTGCACGGAAACATCCTCCACGGGTTGTACTGGCACTCGCCGTGGCAGGAGATGACAAACGAGGCGAGGGCGTGGATGTCGATCCCGGTCGCCAGCGCGCCCGCCACCAGCGCGCCGCCAGAGGAGCCCGAAAAGGCGAAGTCGGAGGACGGGCCGCCGCCGCCGCCGCTGCCGCCGAGCAGTGCCTGCTGGAGGTAATGCGCCACGCCGAGGTGGTACGTGTAGAGCCAGCCAGAGGAGTCGAACGAGAAGGTGATGCGCCGTGGAGGGTCAAACAGGTCCGAGTCGTCCTCCATCGTCGGCGGCCGGCCCTGGGCTGGCGAGTAGAGGCCCCGCCCACCCAGGGTACCCCTCCGAGGCTCTCGAGGGCTCGCCGCGGCTCTGCTCCAAGAGACCTCGAGAGTGCGTGCGTGTGCCTCTACTCGCCAGGGCCCTGGGATGTGAGGCGGTCAGACAAGAAAACGAGGGCTCGCTGGGTGCGCTTCTTAGCTCCCCGGCCCTGGATGTGAGGTTGCCGACTGCACTCCAAGTGCTCCAAGGCTCATGCGCGTGCTCTTCCTCCTGCTCCGATTCGAATCCACTCTTCAAGTGCTCCCAGGTACGACCTGTGTCTCACACACCGCCCCCTCCTCCTCCTCCTCCTCACTCACTCACTCACCGCACCGCCGCCGACTCGCTCACTCACTCGCTCCGCGCCCACTCACCCCACCCCGACTGCGTCCGCTGCCGCGTCGTGTTGGTGTTGCGCGCGAGGGCGCGGCTGCTCTGCTGCGCGGCGGTGCTCAATTTCCCTCGCCCGGTCGAGCAGGAGGGGCGGGAGGGCGAGCCGCTCCCGCAGCCACGGCAGCCGCAGCGCCCCGCTGCCGCACGAGCCGAACCGCACGCAGGCGGGCTCCACCAGCCCGCCGCTGGGCAGGTCGAGCGCAAAGTTGCGCCCGCCCCGCTGCACAAACCGCACGAGCCCGTCGTCGCCGCGCTCGTACGAGGGGTACGAGGGCCCGCCCGCCGCCCGCTCGCCACCCGAGCGCGGGGTTGGGACGCCGCCCTCGAGGAGGAGCACCGCGAGCGGCGGCGAGGCCGCGCCCTCCGTCCCGGAGGTTTGCCCCGCGCCGCTGCAGGCGGTCGGCGGCGCCTCCGCGGGCGGCGGCGGCGCGGCGGGCTCCGTCGGGTCGGCGGCGCCGAGCGCGCTAAGCGTAGCGGCGAGCCACTCCGCGCCAACCTCCTCCGCCTCCTCGAAGCGCCGCTCGAGCGCCTCGCAGAACCGGGAGCTGCAGAGCGCCGCTCCGAGGTCGGCCGAGGAGGCGCACCGCCCGTCGGGCGGGAGGAAGGCGGCGGCGGAGGAGGAGAGCGGGCGGAGGAGGACGCACGTGTCGTCGAGCGCGAGCGCCGCGCGAGGCGGCGGCTCGAGCGGCTCGAGCAGCCCGCCGCACGCTCGCCTCCCGGAGAGGAGCCTGCCGAGTGTGAAGAGCCGGTCGAGCCGCGCCCACTCCGCCCGGTCCGGCGCCGCGCACGCCGCGAGGTAGTGGGCACGCAGGTGCGACGTCGCCGCGCGCAGCGGCGCCGCGTCGACAAACCGCACGTTTGGCAGCGCGGCGAGCCGCACGCTGGCCCGGTCGCCGAGCAGGAGGACGGGCTGCAGCGAGCCGGCCACGCGCAGCACCGCCTCGAGGTGCGGTGGCGGCGGCCCGCTCGCGCTGTACACTGCGGGAAGCGAGGCGTGCTCGGCCGGCGGGGCCGCGCGCAGCCGGCAGCGCGGCGGCGGCGCGGAGGCGGGCGCGGGGTCGCCCTCCGTCGTGCGCGCGGCCGAGGCCTCCGCGCACGCCTCGGCGCCGGCGCCCCCTCCAAACACGTACCACCACGCCCGCTCGAGGAAGTGGCCCTCGGCCGGGTCAGGATGCCACCCCACCTCGGAGCGCAGCGCCTCGTAGTACGCTCGCGGCCTCGCGAGGATCCGGTCGCGCCGCACGGCAAAGATGCCGCACGAGCAGACGGAAAAGTCGCCCGCCGCGGGAGGGGCGGCGACGTGCGCCTCAAACCAGTCGACAAAGGCACGCCGCCGCCCTCCCCGGTAGCTGTCTGCCATGAACCACTCGCCCTCCCGGCCGAGGTGGTCGCGGTTCCAGTCGAGGCGCCAGTTGTGGTCCGAAGTGTCGCACGGAAACACCTCGGTCGGCTCGGAAATGCCCTCTGCGGCGGCCTGCGCGGCGAGGTGGCGCAAAAAGTCGCCCTTGGTGCGGAAGCGGGCGCCGCCCCACCGGGTTCCGAAGGCGGTCCAGGCGGCGAGGTGGTCGGTGATGTCGGCCTGCGCAAAGACCGTGACGGTCGGCAGGCTCTCGTAGCGGTCGAGGATGTGGCGCAGGTACGCCTCGCCCTCGCGGCCCACATTGGGGCAGCGCACCTCGGCAAAGCGAGCGCCGCCGCCGCCGCACGGGCCGTCGCCCTTGTTGTAGACGGTGACCGCCGCCGGCTCGAGCTCAGAGAGCCAGCCGAGCGGCTCGTCGTAGCGCGCGATGACGAACTCGGCCATTCGGCGGCCGAGCTAAGAGCGCACAAACGGCCTCGAGCGTGAGCCGCGCAAGGGGCCCGCCAGCGGCGCCCGCGAGCTGTTTGTGCCTCTATTTAGAATTTCCGCTAACTGTCGTGCCAATACCAACCCTCCTTGGCGAGGTGGCACGAAGGTTGCAGCGAGAATCGGCGAGAGACTGCGAAGAGAGATAGGAAGAGGCGGTTAAAATCCCTGTGTGGTGGCGGCGTGCCGTCCTCCCATCCCTCCCTTGGGTTGTCTGTTTTCTTTCTTTCTTTCTAACCCTCCTTGGGTTGTCTGTTTTCTTTCTTTTCTTTTCTGCCTTGGCTTCTCTGTTTTCTTTCTTTCTTTCGACCAATCGCAAAAACAAAACAATCGCTACTGCGAGCGCACAATAGGTGTGTGAGCTCCACAAGCGTGCCAAAAGAGAACTGCTGTGCGCGGTATCGGCTGTCATGGAGTATCATACTCGACTTCACTTGCTGTATTACTATGAAAGTTCCGCCGTTCTGAGCAACTTCCTTGGGATCAACTTCCTTGGGATCCTCCTCCTCCCACCGTGCGCCGTGCCACACCACTCCTCGCCATTCATACGTCAGAGCCCGCTACCTCCCCCCCCTCTCTCTCTCTCTCACTCTCACTCTCTCTCTCTCGCTCGCTCGCTCGCTCGCTCGCTCGCTCGCTCGCTCGCTCGCTCGCTCTCTCTCTCTCTCTCTCTCTCTCTCTCTCTCTCTCTCTCTCTCTCTCTCTCTCTCTCTCTCTCTCTTAACCCTTTTACGACACATTTCGGCGATCTCTCTAACTCACTCACTCTCTCGCTCCTTATCTCTCTCTCTCTCTCTCTCTCTCTCTCTCTCTCTCTCTCTGTGTGTGTGTGTGTGTGTGTGTGTGTGCTTTCGGGGGAACCCTTGAGCGTCTTGACAGAGTCGCGCCCTTCCCACTCGCGCCTCCGCCAGCCGCGGGTGCGCCTCGGGAGTGGGCGCCTCTCTAAAAATCAAACCCACGACCCCGTGACGCGGCCCGTGCGCCATACGGCTTAAGATGCAGCACACAAGAGGGTTTGTCCAGCAGAGCCTCGCGAATACTTGATTTTGCACGGTCGGATTTTTCCGCGCCTCGAAATTCGTAACAATCGCCTCGCCGCTCCACAATGCCTTTCTCCGTTGCCTCCCGCCGCGCGGCGCCATCGTCCTCGATCCAGTGCCGGCCTGTGACAAGCTTGGCAGCTCGCGGATCGACGATCGCCACGAGCTGCTGCCTGGCGACCGCCGCTCGCCTTCGACGACAGTCGTAACAATCGGCGGTGAGCGGCACCTCCTTGGCCCAGCACCGGTGTTATCACGTCTCAGCTGCTTCATTGCCATGTCCAGTTATGGCGGAGACGCGCTGATAGCATTCCTGTGCACGCAGTTGGACCAGCATGGCCATCGGGTGCGTGGCGCAAAAAGACCTGTTTGCGCTGTCTTCGATATCAGCGGCTACATGCGCTGCTGCGCGTACCTTTGACGCACACATGTTGATCACATCCATATACCTCACTAACATACAGCTGGCGAGCCTTGCATCCCTCGTCTGGCCATGCTGTGCATCATCTCACCGTATGCAGCCGTATATACGCCCACGGTGCTCACAGGGTCGGGCGTCACGGTGCTCGTGGCAAGCATCTCCGTCACTCTTGTGACTTGTGGGCTTGGTGGTGTTGCCTCCGGTGCTACTGCTGGCTAGGGTGCCAATGGCGCGACGGGAGGCGGCCATTGGCGCCACTACAGCAACGATTGTTAGGCCGTGGAAAAATCCGGAATTCGTGCCCCGAACCGGCCGACACGTGGCCGCATATATGTGTATATACCACGTCCGTATGGGCTGCACAAGCCAAACCACGCTCATCACAGCTTGCCACAGTGTGGCCCCTGGCAGGGGTAAGCCATATTCTTGGTGTACCAGCTCACAGGAGGGCCGCTTGAACACGATTGTTACACGCCGTGGAAAATCAAGTATCCGCGCGAGATAGGGCGTCACGAATCAGGCGAATCGGGAATCGGAATAAAGAAAATGCACAAGATCTGAGATGAGCAAGAACGCGCTGACACAAGGCGTCGAATAGGAACGAGCCATGGACATCCTCTTACGTAGTGACTGGGATCGACATGTGTAGTAGACATATGCAAGACCAACGCGTGCATCAGCGGCTCACGCCTTGGAGATCCCCAGCCGCCGCGCCATGGGCGTTGTCGGCCAGAGATTTTGGAGGCACCAGCCGATACAGAAGGTCGGCACCACGTCGGTGAAAGGCAGGATCTCCTCCAGGAAGCCGAAGCCGCTCACGAGAGGGCTCTTGAAGAGGGCCCAGAGGAGACCCGCCTCTGCGGGCGCAAACGCGACGTCGGTGAGCTCGCCGAGGACAGGAACAAGTTCCGAGGCGTCGCCGGCCAAGTCGAGAGCGACGCAGCCCGCGAGCTTCGCCCAAGCCAGCCCGTCGATCCGGTCCGTGTCTGGCTTGAGCTCTGTCGCCACGCGATTGCCGAGCTCGTCCATCACCGGCTTCTCGAACCGGTAGCGAACCTCGCTGATGATGTAGCGAGTGCCGATCGCCACGAGGATGGAGATCAGAAGCGCGTGGCTCGACTGGAAGGACTCGAGCGTGGCGAGGAGGCCTCCGCCGCCGTCGTCGGCAAGCGCCACCGGGGCTGGCGCCCGTGCGGTGCGACGAAGCATGGGAGGGACGGCGGTGCGAAGCACGGGAGAGACGGCGGCGGTGCGAAGGCGAGGTGAGGACCCACCGACGATAGCTGAGCTGGTGGTCAGGAGGAGGAGAGGATGCATCCGGGCCGGGCCAGGCGCTACGAACACAACTCCGGGCCCTTCCTTCGCTGCCTTCGCGCTAACCACAGGTGGTTCGGCTCCCACCCAGCTTTGGTCGCCCCCGCAGGGTTCCAACTTTTTCCGGGGTGTGGTATGGTATCCAACCCAAAGGGGGGGTCTTAATCCTGCCCGGTAGGGAAAGGCATCACCACACAGGCGACAGAGACATTTCTCATTTGCACCCGCTCGCCCGCCCCCCGCCCTGGCGAGTAGAGGCCCCGCCCACCCAGGGTACCCCTCTCGAGGGACCCACTGGGTAGGCTCTTTCGAGGTCTCGCCGGGGCTCCGCTCCAAGAAACCTCGAGAGTGCGTGCGTGTGCCTCTACTCGCCCGCCCCACGCCGACCCCACCGCTCGCGCGCGTGTCCTCCGCCCGCAGGCCGCAGCATCCGCGTCCGTCCGCTCGCATGTCGCAACTCCCCGCTCTGTCGCTGTCTATCTCTCGTCTCTCTCAGTCTCACTCACGCGTGCGTCGTGCTCGCGAAACCTGTGGCTCCTGCACTCCGGGCATCTCTGCCGCGCGGCCACATCTCTAGATAGACACACCACGGGGGCGCCCCGCACCCAGCAGCTCGAGCCCCGACTCGATGTATCGCACTGGCCCGGAGGCGGGCAGACAGAAGCCGCGCGACGAACAAGGCACGGGAAGCCGTGGACCTCGCACCACTGCCACCAGCCACAGAATGGCGAAGCTCGCGACCGACGGCTCCCTGCGCCGCGCACGGCCACGCACTTCATCTCGTCGTGTGGACGGCTGCCATCGAGAACCGGCGCCCAATTGTCGCAGCGACCTTCATATGCCACCTCGCGGTCTTCCCACTCTCGTCGTTCTCTCTCCTGCCGGTGCCGCTTCATCCTCTGACTCATCGCTCTCCTCGGCCTCATTCCTACATTCCGCGACGGCGCCGTTGCCTGCCGATCCCTTGCTCTCGCGGCTCTTTCTCGCCTCTCGGCGTGCTCTCCGCTCTCCTCGCAAAAGAAATAATCACAAACGGCCACCTCTACTGTTTGTTGTTAGGATTTGTGTGTATGGAGTTGGGTTAAAAGGAACAGACAGACAGGTTCCGCTCTCCTTCCTCGCAGCGTATAGATAGATAGACCGTAGTTCGGCCGCTCGAGTTTATCGAGCTCAGTCTCCGCAAGGACCACTCTTCTGACTCCCACTCCGGTCATTTGCCGCAAAGTTTGATCCACTCTCGGCTTACTTTTCTCTTGGAGCACTTGGAGTGCAGTCATCCAACCTCCCATCCAGGGCCGGGCTAGGGGCGGCGGTTAGCTCTTTTCTCAGGTCTTGTGGCGTTAGGGCGTGCATGATCATCCTCATCCTCTTCTTGGTCGCCGCCGTGCGCCGTCGCCGACACAAGCTTCGACTGTCCCCCATACCGGAGCACCTCCTCGTAAACGAACGTTGCAACCTCCTCTCCAACGACACGACAGGCTGTGCGAACGCCGTTCAAGCCCAGTACGCGAGGGAGAGGATGCGATCGCCGCTGCTGAGAGGGATGAAGGCCATCGCATGGGATGACGGAATGTGTTTCGACGGCATCTCTCGCGTCCACTCGGCTGCTCTTGCTCGGGCCATTCGCCACGAGGGAAATGGCATGTACAAGAGTGATGCGTGTCGGCTGGCGCAGCTCGCGGAACACGGCGGATACTACCTCGACAATGACGTGGTGCCTCACATCGACGTTCGCGAGCTCGGAGCTGCGAGGGTGGGCTGTGCCTCGCATCCATCCTTCATAGCCGTACGTCAATCTTGGGAGCCAGTGCAGTTCCTAAACGCCTTCGTTGCAGCGACTCCACGTCACCCTATCATCATGCGCGCGCTCAACCTCACCGCGCGCTTCTACAATGTGGACACGCCCCCCGAGCGAGGCGGGCTGGACGGCGGTCTGCGAGGTGCGAGGCGGGGCGGCAGCTATCTCGGAGACCGCGATGCCGCCGGTCCTCTCAAGCGGCGGCTGCACGGCCGACGCTTGTTCTGGATGGGGCCGCTGACGCTACGGGTGGCCTACGGCGCGTCGCGCGTCCCCCCCCCCCCCCCCACACCAACACACTTACTCCAATCCTCTTGTCTTACAGAGTGGTGGGTCGGACGTTCGATGGGAAACCTGCCTTACACGGACCCGGGGTCTACCGCTTGCGACGCGTTGCTCCTTTGGGAGCACAGGCCGCGACAGAGAATGTTGGACTGCGCCCAAGGCCCGCTCGCGGCGGTGCTGTGCCACGCGACGCGTCCAAGGACGTGGTGGCGATCCACAGCCGTCCAGCAATGTGTTGAAGGAGAGCGTTGCCCGCGTTCAATCATGTCGTCGCGGTGCCAGGGTTGCTGACAGATGTTCCAGTTCTACGAGAGCGAGCAGGCTGATCCGCTCCCACTCGACCTAGATACTGTACGTTACTTGTGCGACACGGCCTCTCTAGGGCATGTGCATTTCGTCTGTGGCCTGTCATCACACGTGTTCGGCCCGACTCTCCCTTTCGGCGTAATCTATCTACGCGGTTGCGACCATATTTGTAGCGCCCACGACTATGTGCCCGCACACGCCCTGGCCGGTGCGCACACTCACCTCTCTCAGTCTCACCACTCTGTCGTACTTCGAGTTTTGAGAGGCAGGAGTTGTGTGTTGTGATAGTTCCCGAGAGTTCTCAAGCTGCGCCGCCTCGCGCGCAAAGTCGCGCGCGGCAGCGTCGACCGCACGGCCTACTGGCTACTCGCCCAAGTACTCGCTCTCTTTTATGTCCCACCCACCATGCAGAGCGCATCTCTCTCTCTGTTGTGCGAGGCGTGAACCGCGCCATTCGCTCTCACCTGGCAACCCTGTCTGCACGTCTCGCGCGCGCGTGAACAGGGCACATCATTTTGCCAGGGCTCCAGGCCCCAAATGACGTGTGAGTGTTAGAGTTGTTTGGTATTGCTAAATCTCTCTCTCTCGAGACACACGTGACCCAAAACATCAAAAATAACGTATCACCTCGAGAGGCACCTCCGGTTCAGTACTCTAACTAGTAACTTCCCGCAGCTCCTCGCTCAGGGCGGGAACTGTGACGAGAGTTGGGGCAACTCTGGCCAGGAATCATCACACGTGTCACATGGCTCTCTGCGACTCGAGCGGTCTCATCACAACATGTAGCAGTTGGCTGCGCGCGCCAGCCAGCCAGCCGCACGCACGGCACGCAGCACGTCTGCATGGCTGCGACGGCGCCTCTCACGCAGCCACTGCACGTGAAAGAAAGAAAACCCGCCCCAACCAAACGAGGGGTGGGAGGAGGACAAGGTCCCCACCCACCTGCACGAGTAGGATTTTGGAAGGACGATCAGGCAGGGACACACAGAGAGGGAAAAGCGAGTCTCTCTCACACAGGGGAACGGGAGTGGGGAGCGCATCGCGACACGGAGCAGGGAGCAAGACACACGCACAAATGGTCCAGAGTGCAAGTCGCACCCGGCGGCACGGGGGCAGGCACGGGCCTCCTACTGCGTGAAGAAAAAAAGAAAAAATGCAGTATTTCTCGTCTCTCACGGCCAAGGCTTGGAGTCCACGAGGCCACACACAATGAGCGGCTTCTGGGGCCTCGAGGTGAAGCCGGGCGCCAAGCCGACCCCGCTGCGCAAGCAGCCGGGCGAGATGGTCATGGTGCTCAAGCAGGCGGCGCTCGCGCCCACGGGAAAGCTCAGCGCCGACCCGAGCGTGCTCTCCGTGTCGGTCGGCTCTGACACCAACGAGCGCTTTGTGCTGTGCCACCTCGCGTCGGGCAAGTGCGAGCAGTGGGCAATCGACCTGGGCTTCGGCCCCGACGAGGAGGTCAACTTCCACCTCACGGGCAAGTGCGCGGTGCACCTGACTGGCTTCTACGAGATGGACGACGACAGCGACGACGAGGACGAGATGGACAGCGAGGAGGAGGAGATGGCGCGGATGCAGGTCGCTCCACCCCACCGCCCGCCCGGCTGCTATCCGCGCGCGCGATGATGATGCACTTCATTCGCAGTTCATTCCTCAGCGAGGGACCAATCCTCCCTCGATGAAGGCCAACTCTTCCTTGGATGTCTGAGCGCCCCGAGACCCTCACCCCAGCGCCTCACCCCATGCCTGGCCGCGGCTGAGACTCCGCCGCGGCGCCGCAGGGCGAGGCCATGGAGGAGGACGAGGACGAGGAGAGCGGCGAGGAGGAGGAGGGCGAGGAGGAGAGCGGCGAGGAGGAGAGCGGCGAGGAGGAGAGCGAGGAGGAGAGCGAGGAGCGGCGGATTGTGGAGCTGGATGCCAACGGCAAGGAGGTCAGTGACGACGGCGAGGATGAGGAGGAGGAGAGCGGCGAGGAGGAGGATGAGGAGAGCGGCGAGGAGGAGAGCGGCGAGGAGGGCGAGGAGGGCGAGAGCGAGGAGGAGAGTGAGGAGTTCACCAAGGAGGAGCTGGCCCAGAAGCGCAAGCAGCTCATCGAGGGGATGGACATGGAGGGTCTGGGCGACGACGACGACGACGACGACCTCGACGACCTCGACGACGAGGAGGAGGACGACCTCGACGACGAGGACGACGAGGAGGACGAGGAGGACGAGGAGGACGACGAGTCGGAGGAGGAGGAGGCGCCGCCGCCGCCCAGCAAGAAGCGCCAGCCCGTGACCCCGGCTGCCTCCGCCAAGAAGCAGAAGACGGAGGCGAAGCCGACGCCGACGCCGAAGCAGGCGGCCGCTGCCAAGCCCCAGCCGGCGGGCGCCGGCACGCCTGGGGCGGCGGGCTGGACCGCTGCGCAGGAGGCGGCGCTGAAGAAGGCGGCGGCGGCGACTGACGCCTCGACGCCGAACCGGTGGGCGAAGGTGGCGGAGAAGGTGGGCGGGGGCAAGTCGAAGGACGCTTGCAAGAAGCACTTTAAGGAGCTCGGCGCCAAGTAGAGCCTCTCCAGCGCGCGCGGCTACGCGACCCGACTTCGCTATTTTCTCGTGCATGTGATGGGTGTTGGCTGGCGCTCCGACCGAGTGACTTTATTGAGCGGTTTTTTGTTTGCGGCGAAATATTCTAAACATCAACAAGCAGGCGCGCAAGAAGCGTATCAACGGATCAACAAGCAAAGCAGAACAAGCACGCGGCAAACGGCCTCCTTGTCCTCGGCCCCAGTGGGGGGTGCCCGCGCCGCCTAGCTCTGCAGACGGGCCCCTCCACCCACCACCCTTCATGTAATCATGTAGTCCCCACATTCGCAGTCGTGGGATCGCTTGTCATGTGAGAGAGTATCTACAGTTGTGCCGTCTTGGAGCACTTGGAGTGCAGTCATTAACCTCGCATCCAGGGCCGGGGAGCTGAGAAGCGCGCCCGGGAGCACTTGGAGCACTTGGAGTGCAGTATCAACCTCACATCGCGTGATCGTGTTCTTCTCTCTTTCGCACGGCAGGCAACGCCGCTCGCTCGGCCGGGTATTTCGCCGCGCGCTCCGCCACATTGCTCACACGTATGGCGGGTCTCAGTCCCCTCGTCGCGGGCGTGCGCAACTTTGTGGAGCAGCACGTCCCGGAGGGCGACGGACTCGAGGAGAGGCAGATGTTTGGGATGGCGATGTGGCTTGTTCGAGGCAATATGTTCCTCGGCGTCGGCCTTCGCTCCGGGCGGCTCCTACTCCGCGTCGGGGAGGAGAACGTGGAGGGTATCCTCGAGGCGCACCCACTTGGCGTCGAGCGCTGCGGCGCTGCGAGCGGCCGTGTCTTTCCAGGCACTGTCATGGTCGATCAGGAGCACTTTCGCGGCGACACGCTAATGGCACCTTGGTTCGACTACGCGATGGCGCACAACCGCACGCTCTGCTCAAAGGCGTCGGCGGAAAGGCCGCGCAAGAAGCGGCCGCGCGAGGCACCGCCTGCCGCAGATGGAGACGTGGCCGGAGAGGAGGCGACGGAGGCGGCAGCTGGGGAGGCGGCAGCCGGTGCCGGTACCGCGAGGCCGCGCCCGTCCTCAACATCGGGCGGCGCCTTTGCGCGTTGTGTGCTCGACGTGATTCGCCGAATCCCTCGCGGGCGTGTCGCGGCGTACGGGCAGGTCGCCGCCCTCGCCGGCGCGCCGAGAAACGCGCGGCAGGTTGGGCACATGCTAAAGGAGGGGTTGTGCGCCGGAGGTGCGCCATGGCATCGGGTGCTCGGAGCCTCGGGCAAGATCTCGCTGCCTGCGAGCGGCGGTGGCGACGAGCAAAGGCGGCAGCTCGAGGCGGAGGGCGTCGTCTTCCAAGAGGGCGGGGCGGTGGCAAAGGGCGCGCGTTGGGAACGCAGCGAGCCCTTCTACGCGTGATAAGAAACCACTCGCGATGGTCGCCTGTCTGGACTTGGAGCAACAAATGCGATATGATAAGTAAATAACTAAAACGGTCCAACTCTGAGACGAGATGGGATTAGGGACGCAACAAATGCGATTATGAATCCCCGGCTTTAAATACCAAGCCAAAGGAGACCAAAAAAAAGTTCCGCTGACCCGTGTGCCGTGCGGACCGCTCGCGCGGAGATAGATCTATCTCCCGACTCCCCGCCCCGCCCGCGGTATATAGATATAGTTTGGCAGAGGCACGTGTGTGGGGAATTACATGGTCGTGCACATTCGATCCACCGGTCATGCCACCGGTCTCCGGGGTGCGTGCTCCGTCTATAAGACCTCGCATTTTTTATTTTTCCGAATAAAAAGCGTCGTCCGGGCCCTGGGTCGGCGCGTTCCGGCCTTTCACGCGGGCGGCTCTCTCCCGCGCCCGGACCGCGCACCGCCGCGCCGGGCGGCACTGGGCGCGCCGTCCTGAAATCCAGCAGACTCTGCTCCTCGCTACAACTCCTGCTTGTCGCCACTGCCAGTTGCCGGCTTCACGCTCGCCGCTGCCTTCTCGTCCGCCGCCGGCGCCTCGCCGTCCGCCGGCTTGGCGTCGCCCGCCGACTTGGCGTCTGCCTTGCCCTCTGCCGCTGGCTTGGGCGCAGGCGGCGACTTCTTCGCCTCGGCGTCCAAGCTCGCCTGAGGGGCACAGCGCGGACGCGGGCGCCAGTTGGGCTCCGGTGGCGCTCCGGGACGTGTGTCGGTGATGGCTCTGGACAAGCCTGCCTCTCGACCCAATGATGCATGTTCGTGGGGCGCGCGGACTGGTCCTTGAGGAGGCGCGGCCACGTCTCGTTGACGGCTTTGGCGATGGTGAAGGTCATTCTGCCGACCGACGCGAAGGACCAGCTGCTGCTCTCGGGCACAATCTCGCCGTGAAGGTCCAGCTGGAGGGTGAACTGCTTCGGCTTTTGCCGTCCGGTCGCCGAGAAGTCGAGCCGTCTCTCGCTCAAGCGCACCTTCTCGTTGTCGACGTTGAGCACGGTCACGGGCCCGTCGATCCGAGAGGAGAACTTGACGTTTAGGTGCAGAGCGCCCTCGCTCTGCGCCCACTGGAAGGCGCACGCCACGACCGTCTCCTCGGCGTGTGCGCCGACCGAGCCACCGTACCGAAGCAGCGACAGCACCTCTGACGCCTCGTCGCGCGACCGCGTCGCTGCGGAAAGCACCTGGGACATCTCGTCTACCGCGAGCCCTCGGTCGTGCGCAAGCCTCACGAGGTGCGTGGCGCTCTCCCACCACCCTCTCTGCACACAGTCGAGGACATCCTGCTCCGTCGGCGCGTCACCCGTCGAAGTGAAGAGAGACGCGACCTCTGCGGCGGTGGCGGCGCCACGCAGGGGCGTGGCGCCCGCGCAAGCAGCGAGAGTCACTGAGATGACGCCGAGGGCGCAGGGCATGCGTGTGCGTCGCCTGGGCGTGGCGATGACGCACAGCGCAGGAAAGGAGAAATCTGCTCTCGAACCGACAGTTGTAATTCTCCCACCCCTTGTTTGGTGTGTCCGTTTTATTTATTTATTTATTGTAGGTATTAGGTATGTTGTAGGGCGACATCCGACAAGACAAGCGAACTCGCAGGGGCCCGGATCAGGCAGGGGGATTCGGAACCGAGACCCAATGAGAGACTGCCCACCAGAGGGAATTGGCGGGCTCGGACGTCCTTCCGATGTGTCGAGATGTGGCTGCCTGACGCCAACTCAAGAGCTTTCCGCAGTAAAAAAGAAAAGCTGGGCTCGCGAAGTGCTGGCGCTGCTTCTGCGCCGCGGGCTGCTCGCTAGCGCGTGCCGCCTCCGCGCTTCTCGCTTCCGGCGCCACCGGTCATCACACGACCCGTGCGAGGAGGTAGCGACGGCGTGCGGGTCGCTCCCTCACTGCAATGTCCAGCCAGGCCAGCAGCGCGCTCCTGGCGGACGCGCCGCCAACCACAGCAGGCTCGCCCTCGGAGACCTCGTCGCCGTCTGCTCGACCCGACCGCCCTCTTTTGGTACGCGACGCGGGCTTCTGGACGGCGGTGCTCACGCTCTGCAACGCCGCACTCGGCGCGGGGCTGCTGAGCCTGCCCTACGCCGTCGCGTCGGCCGGTCTGCTGGTCGGCTCACTCTCCACCTGCGTCCTGATTTGCGCGTCCTTTGCGTCGCTCTGCGTCATCATGGGGCTGATGGCGCAGGCCGGGCCGTCGGTCACTTCGTTTGGCGGTCTCGTGCGCTGGGGCTGCGGACCGGCCGCGTCGAATGTGGTCGATGGCTTCGTCTTCCTAAACTCGTTTGGCGCCTGCGTCGGCTATCTCGTCCTGCTGGGCGACGTCGTTCCTCCCATCGTCCTCGACGCGGTGCCTGCAGCGAAGAGCATGAGCGCCGGCCAGCTGCGTGCAGCGGCCGCCTCGGTCGCGTCGCTGCCCTGCCTCCTCCTGTCGATGCTGCGCCGCATCAGCGCGCTCCGCTTCACCGCCGGCGTCGCCGTGTTTGCGTGCTTCTTCACCGCGGGGCTGCTCACCGCGCAAGCGGTCCAGCACCCGTGCCGCCCTGGCGACTGCTACGACGGCGCCGGGCGAAACGGCTGGTGTACCGCCGCGCAAGCGGCCAATGCCAGCAGCGCGGCCGCGTGCTACGCCGATCGGCCGACCGCGGGCGTGTCCCTGTGGCCGGAGAGCGTCAGCGGGCTGCTGCGCGCCTTCCCTCTGCTGATGAACGCGATGCAGTGCCACATCCAGGCCGCCGCGGCCGCAGCGCCCGCCCCCGCCCTCGCCCTCGCCCAGCCCTCGCCCTGGTGGCAGCCTGACCACCTCACCCCAACGACCCGCCTTAGGCCGCCTTCGTCTTTGCAGAGATGCGGCCGGCGCTGCGAGAGTCGAGGCCGCGCACCGCCGTCGCCGCCAGCGCGGTCTCCCTCCTCGCCTTCTTTTACCTCACCGTCGGTGCCGTCGGCTTCTTGCGCTTTGGCGCGCAGACCCAAGGGGATTGCCTCCAGAACTTCTCGCCGACCGACGCGTCCGCCGGCATCGCTCGCGTCGCGGTGGCTCTGACGGCGCTCTCCGCCTTCCCGATGCAGCACTTCCCGGCGCGAGGGATCCTGCACCGCTTGTGGCGCCTCCTCGTCGATCGGGCGGTGAGCACACGACCGCCCACCGCCCGCCCCGCCGGCATGTCTACTCTCTTCCTGCTGCTCGAGCCCGTCGGCTGGGTCGGCGTCACCCTCCCGCTCGCGCTCGTGCTCGGGTCGGACCTCTCCTTTGTCTTCGAGCTGAGCGGCGCACTCGTCGTGAACGGCGTCGTCTTCCTCGTGCCCGCGGCGCTGCTGCTCGCACTGCGACGGTCGCGCCACCTCGCCGTCGCCTTTTTGCTGCTCGGGGCCAGCCTGACCGTCTCGGGAACCTTCATCTCCATCGACGAGAAGATCCGCGCCGCGCGTGCGGAGGTCACGGATCTGGCCTCAAGAGGCGGAGCAAGAGGGTACGTGTATGCTGAGTGACACACTCTCCGTTTTGCGGCTCTGTCGCTCCGCGCCCGAACCCCGACGAGGCGAGAGGCAGCGAAGGGTTTCGGATGCGAACATATATGGATACGCAGTGCAGATATAGCCAGGAGACCACAGCAGGATACACATCGCGACGGTGACACATATCGGATATCAAGAGTCCCCACGACCCCCACTCCCACCTCAATCGGGCGCGAACATCGCACGCTCAGCCCTTTCGGACAGGAACGTGTGTCAAAACGGAATGGGATGCGCAATGGAATGCGGCCATGTGGCATGTGCGCCCGCCTTCCGTCCCGCATGGTGCCACAAGGAGGGCGCTTCGCTGCAACGGGTACTAGCTCTGCCAGGAGCCGCGCGAGAACACGGCGTCCGATCGTACGGGAGCAAAAGAGCAGCGCAGCGTCCAGCGATGCATCCGATCTAGGCAGCGCACGGGGGCACGGCGGCGGGCAGCGGCGGCGGCGCGGGCGTGGCGCTCCCCGCGTCGGCGGCGCCAGCCTCGTTGCCGCCGGTGCCGGCGTCGCACGCTCCGGCGAGCAGCAGTAGCCCTAGTCCGTCCGACGTGGCGGGAGGCGGCGCGGCGGGGGCGGAGGATGGCGACGGCGGCATCGTGGCGGCGAGGATGGGCGTCCGCCCCTGCGCCGCTCCGTAGCCGCCCTGCCCGCCGAGCCCGGCATCGAAGCCCTGCGTCGCTGTTCGGCAGCACGCGACAGTGGGCCGAGGCCCCGCGGCGGCGGCGGCGTTGGCGGCTCGCTGCGCCGCCAGCAGCACGGCGGGCGGATGATAGCCTGCGAGTGGGTCCGGACGGTGGTCGGTCGGGTGGCGCAGGCGGGACGCGGCGGGTTGGGGGGGTGGGCAGGGCCGGGCCGGGAGGAGCACGCGCCGGCGCCGAGCAGCGCCTTGGTCGCGGCGAATTTGTCCATCACATCGAGCGGCGCGGAGTGGTCGAAGGTGATGCTGTAACTGCTGCTGCCGGTTGTCTGACCCGAGGACGCGTAGGGCGGCAAGCGGTAATACACGTCGTCGTGCTGGCCCAGCCCGGCGGCGGCGGCGGCGGCGAGCGCAGGGATGCTGTTGAGCGCGGCGTTGAGCGCGGGATGGCTGCCGCGCTGGTAGGCGCCGCTCTGGCTGAGGCCGGACCGGTGCTGCTCGCCCTCGAGCGCCTTGCGCAGATGCGAGGAATCGCCGTACGACGCGCTGCGGCTGAGTCCATCCTTTCTGGTCTGCGCCGCCGCAGGCTTGAGCCTCTGCCGCCGGTTCTGGAACCAGATCTGGACCGAGCGCGGCGTCATGCCCAGGCGCTGCGCGAGCGACTGGCGCTGATCAAAGTTGGGCAGAGGCTCCTGGTCGAAGGACTCGATGAGAACCGAAAGCTGCGCGCGGCTGATCTTGCACCTGCGTGGGTGGCCCCGGCAAGGGTACGTCTCAGAGAGCGACGCCGGCAGAAGAGGGGAGGAGCGGCCGCTGCGCGCGTGCGACGGGCGGAGGCGGGAGGCGCTGTGTGACGGGGAAACGCGCCGCGCGCGTCTCGGCCGCGACGGCAGTGGCAGGGATCAGTTCTGTGTGCTCACCGCTTTGGCCGCGACGCCGCCTCGACGGCCGCCTCAGAGGGAGGCTCGGCGAACTCGGAGCTGTTGCTGTTGCTCGGCGAGCTCGGGGCGGCGCGCAGCGATGGCGCGCTGTCGTCTGAGCCGGGCGAACCGGGGCGGGCGGTGGCCGGGAGGGCCTCAGGGTCCAGCATCTTCGCAGAGGAGCTCTGAGAAGGCCACCAAAATGTACCTCGCCTTCGCAGGACTGCGATGAAATGATGAGAACGCGGGCCATAATTCTCAACCTCAGCTGATGAGATCTGCACCGGGGGTTGTTTTTTGTGTGAATATTTTCTTCTCATAACAAGGCTGTGAACAGGGTTGGCGCCCTTGTGTCCGCACTCTTCTTGCCACATGAGTGTGCGGCGGCCGCGTTCCCGCGTTTGCCAGTAATAGATTAACCCTTTTGCTTCATAAAGGGTCTTGGAGACCCAATCTCGATATGTCTCCAGTCGTAGCGGTGGAACTTTAAAACGGCTCGGTCAATTATTTAGCCATATATGAGAGGATCATGGCACAATGTCGTTGGGGTCGACAGTAAATCTCCCAGAGCCCACGTAAATCGGTCTTTTTCAGACACCCGGAGCCCTCCGCGGCCGCTTCTCTACGCCGGCGAAGCACCATCAAGCTGATGTACGGCCCCGGCATCGCCTCCCCTGGCTTAGCTAGACTGAGATATATTGTGCACACATGGTCAGTCTCTACACCATATACGCGGGCTACAAGTTTCTCCGAGACCTCGCGAGCGGCCGGTTATTCACACCTCGGCAGTGTGCTTTGGGTCGGGCAGGGCAGTGTGGGTTTCACACCCGGGGCAGGTAGGGGATCGGGCAGGGCAGGTGTGCGGCAGTGTGTGGGCAGGGCAGTACGGCATGGCAGCGCAGGGCAGTTGGGGTCATAATTGCAGGGCTGAGATTCGGGATCTCAGGTGGTGAAAAAAAAGGGGAGAGATAATTGCTGTGAACACGGAATTTGAATAACAATCTCAATGTGAGATGTGTGAAGAGGACGGCCGATCGACCAAACACATGCGCGAGCTGGCGAGCTCATCTGCATCTCAATCAAATCTCAGGGGGGCGCCGTGTGTATCCTTGATGCGTGACACTGCACTACGACTACTCGTGGTCTGTGGACTCCGTCTCGGAGTCGTCCGTCACCTCGGTCCAGCGTGCGCCGACGACGACGCCGACACGGATGGTCATCGCCCCTCGCTCGAGGGCCGCGACCCGGTTGGCGAGGCGGTTGGCGAGGCGCTCCGTGCGGCCGAGGGCCGAACCGCCGTGGCGCGCGTTTGGGAATGTGCGGTTGAAGACCTGAATCTCGAGGGCATCCACACGGGCGCCACGGGCGTTTGTGGTCTGCAGGGCTGTCTGGAGCTCTCGCACGCGAGCATCGAGCGCCGTGGTGAGCGCACGCGTGTAGTTGTTCGACCGCTCGATGGCATCGAGCCGCGCATCGGTCAGCATACCGTTGTGGTTGATCGCGTGCAAGAGGCGGGCGGTCGATGGGCCGGTCTGCTGCGGCGGCGGTGGCACTGAACCTCCCAGAGCTCGTCCCGGTCCGTCACGGCCATCCTCGTCCTCCGGCGGGCCCCCGGCCGCGGCGCGGTGCGGCGGCGTCACAAATCCGAACGCAGAGCACCGTCCGGGACGCGGTCGGGCGATCTGAGGCCCAAGTAGGCGTATGCATTGCCCATCCAGGGCTATCACCTGGACCTATCAACAGGCGCCTGCGGCGCCGTGCTCAGGAGCTGCTGTTCACTCGCCGAAATGTGTCGTAAAAGGGTTAAGAGAGAGAGAGAGAGAGAGAGAGAGAGAGAGAGAGAGAGAGAGAGAGAGAGAGAGAGAGAGAGAGCGAGCGAGCGAGCGAGCGAGCGAGCGAGCGAGAGAGAGAGAGTGAGAGTGAGAGAGAGAGAGAGGGGGGGGAGGTAGCGGGCTCTGACGTATGAATGGCGAGGAGTGGTGTGGCACGGCGCACGGTGGGAGGAGGAGGATCCCAAGGAAGTTGATCCCAAGGAAGTTGCTCAGAACGGCGGAACTTTCATAGTAATACAGCAAGTGAAGTCGAGTATGATACTCCATGACAGCCGATACCGCGCACAGCAGTTCTCTTTTGGCACGCTTGTGGAGCTCACACACCTATTGTGCGCTCGCAGTAGCGATTGTTTTGTTTTTGCGATTGGTCGAAAGAAAGAAAGAAAACAGAGAAGCCAAGGCAGAAAAGAAATGAAAGAAAACAGACAACCCAAGGAGGGTTAGAAAGAAAGAAAGAAAACAGACAACCCAAGGGAGGGATGGGAGGACGGCACGCCGCCACCACACAGGGATTTTAACCGCCTCTTCCTATCTCTCTTCGCAGTCTCTCGCCGATTCTCGCTGCAACCTTCGTGCCACCTCGCCAAGGAGGGTTGGTATTGGCACGACAAGTTAGCGGAAATTCTAAATAGAGGCACAAACAGCTCGCGGGCGCCGCTGGCGGGCCCCTTGCGCGGCTCACGCTCGAGGCCGTTTGTGCGCTCTTAGCTCGGCCGCCGAATGGCCGAGTTCGTCATCGCGCGCTACGACGAGCCGCTCGGCTGGCTCTCTGAGCTCGAGCCGGCGGCGGTCACCGTCTACAACAAGGGCGACGGCCCGTGCGGCGGCGGCGGCGCTCGCTTTGCCGAGGTGCGCTGCCCCAATGTGGGCCGCGAGGGCGAGGCGTACCTGCGCCACATCCTCGACCGCTACGAAAGCCTGCCGACCGTCACGGTCTTTGCGCAGGCCGACATCACCGACCACCTCGCCGCCTGGACCGCCTTCGGAACCCGGTGGGGCGGCGCCCGCTTCCGCACCAAGGGCGACTTTTTGCGCCACCTCGCCGCGCAGGCCGCCGCAGAGGGCATTTCCGAGCCGACCGAGGTGTTTCCGTGCGACACTTCGGACCACAACTGGCCAGTTCCAATAGGAGCGAGGCCTCTTCCGTTGGGGGACCGAGTACATAGGAAACGAGGGTTCCCCGGTTTGTCACGCGCGAGCACGAGCGTGACACTGCACTTGGCGGGTTGGCGCCGAGCGCCCGCGGCTCAGACCTTGTGCAAGCCGTAGGGGGCTGCAGAAGGCGTCTGCAGCCGGGACAACCCGCCCCCCCAGCCGAGGCCGGTCGAAGCCCACTTGGCAGCAGTGGTGAGGCGCAGTAAGAAAGAAAGAAAAAGAAGAAAGCAGACCACCCAAGTGACTGTGATCCTGTGTGAGCTCTGTGTCTTGGTTTGCCAAGAACATACCTAAAACCCAAGTGAATTGGCCGTTTTTCTTCAACCTTTTGGCCGCCCGACAGCGCGCTGGCATGTCGGACCCGGCGCCAAAAGGGCTGATTCTCGTCGGCGGTCTCGGCACGCAGCTGCGGCCACTCACGCTCTCCAAACCGAAAGCGCTCATCGAGTTTGGAAACAAGCCGCTGCTGCTGCACTTCATCGAGGCGCTCGTGCGCGCCGGCGTGAATGAGGTGGTGCTCGCCATCAACTACCGCGCGGAGATCATGCGAGGCTTTCTCGATGAGTACCAGGTCCAGCGCCTCGCCCCGCAGTCCGCTGCGCCCGCCTTTTGACTCCGGCGCTGCTCTCGCAGGACCGCTTCGGCATCCAGATCACGTGCATGCAGGAGGACGAGCCGCTCGGCACGGCCGGGCCGATCGCGCTGGCGCACGAGCGCGGCCTGCTCGGCGACAGCGAGCCTTTCTTCGTCATCAACTGCGACGTCGCCTGCGACTTCAACCTTCGCTCGCTCTACACGCTGCACAAGGAGCAGCGCGCCCGCCCGGGGCCCGCCACTCTCGCCCGGGGCCCCAACGCTGCACCCGCCCCGCACCCGCCCCGCAGGCGCACGGCAAGTTGGGCACCATCATGGTGACGAGAGTCGACCAGCCGGCAAAGTACGGAAAGTCGGTCGTGCAGGCGCACACCACGGGCCTGATTGAGCGCTTCGTCGAGCACGGCCGCACCTTCGCCGGCGCCGCCCGAGTGCCTGCCCGCCCGCTGCTCGCGCCGCGTGCCTCAGCGCCGGTGCGCCGCTCGCAGGCGACCTGATCAACGCGGGCGTCTACATCTTCTCGCCCTCCCTTGTCGAGCGGCTGCGGGTCGTGAGGGCGGTGTCGATGGAGCGCGAGGTGCTGCCGCAGCTCGCGTCGGAGCAGCAGCTCTACTCGATGGCCCTCGAGGGCTACTGGATGAACGTCAAGCAGCCGCGCGACTTCCTGCAGGACCCCCCCCTCGCCCCCTCCCCTCGCCCCCTCCCCTGCCCCCTCCCCTCGCCCCTGCCCTGCCCCCGCTGGCGCGTCAGCCCGCCCCGCCGCCCTCGCGCAGGGCCACGCCCTCTACCTGCAGTACCTCTCCCGCGTCGCAGCGGACCAGCTCACCGGCGCAGCCTGCTCCCAGCTCCACGGAGGCACTGAGGTCCAGGGCTCGGTGCTGGTCGACAAGAGCGCGCAGATCGGCGCCAACTGCCTCATTGGGCCAGACGTCTCGGTCGGGCCCGGCTGCGTCGTCGAGGAGGGCGTGCGGCTGGCGCGGTGCATCTTGCTGCGAAACGCACCCACCCGGCCGCCGCGGCCGCCCGCCTCCTCCGCCTCCTCACGCAGCGGCGCGCGCGAGGCTGTAGGTGCGGGTCGCGGCGCACTCGACGGTGCTCGACTCGATCCTCGGGTGGGAGTCGTCCGTCGGCTGCTGGACCCGCATCGAGGGCGCCGCCTCGCCCGGGGCGGCGTCTCGCGGCCCGCCCCGCCGCCCGAGGGTGGCTCTCTGCGGCGTTAGGCGTGACGGTGCTCGGCGAGGACGTGCATGTGGGCGGCGAGATCTTCATCAACGGCGGCCTCGTGTTGCCGCACAAGCGAATCAAAGAGTCCATCAGCGAGCCGCAGATCATTTTGTGACGCGCCTAGTACTTGAGAGGCGAGGGCCCCGGGGGCGCACTAGCGCTGCGGCCGTGGCTTCGGCCGTGGTGGTGGGTGTGCGTGTGGCGCCAAGGTTTTGTGCTTTGTTGGTACGTCTCGGCGGGGTGGGACGCGGTCGCTCACGTTTCCTCCGGGCACAGGAGAAAAGAATATCTCCACATACTCTAAAAGTTGTGGGGACGCGCGCTCACCTGAGGATGGAATCGACGCGAGGGCGTGGGTTGTTGAACAAGGTGAACAAGAAGGACTTTGTGCGGGCTGCAATGCGCCGCTCCGGCCTCAACAGGACCGGATTCTGCATGCGACACGACTGCAGCCGGAAGGACGACCTCGGGCGGCCCAACAACTGCTGCCCCGCAGCCTCTCCCTGCAAGCTAGCGCCGGGGGCGACGCACCATCTCCTCTTTGTGCACGTTGAAAAGACCGGCGGATCGTCAGTCGAATGCGCGACGCAAGAGTGGGCGCGCGCGGGCTACTGGACCAACATGGGGCACGTCGGCACCGACGGCCGAGGGGACGTGGCACTGCGGGCCTGCCGCCGCCGGTGCGAAGAGGCAGGCGTGCCCACAGCTGTCGTGATTAGCGTCCGAGATCCGTACGCCTACTGGCAGTCCGTGCTTCGCTATGCCTGGAGAATGGCGGGGACGCGCCTCTCCGCCACCTTCAATGCGCTCTCCAACGAGTTCCAACGCTCTGCACGCGTGAGCCGGAGCCAGGCCGGCGTCCTCGCAACGCTGCCTCGGCTGCTATCCTGGGTGGAGGGCACGCCGCTGGCTGCCACGTGCAGCGCCAACTTCTCGCGCTGCCTCTCGCTGAGCGGACGCATCAAGCGCGCGTGCGGTGGCTCCGCCTCGGGCTGCGCTGCAGACTTCACCTTGCACACCGAGTCGCTGGCGCGGGACTGGGCTGCGCTCGCGGCGCGCTACGGCTTGCCCCGCCTACCCCTCCCGCACGTCGAGCCCGGCTCGGGCTACAGCAAGCGCAAGAGCTGCCACTGCAGCGGCCGATGCGACCCGCAGTGGTGGAGGCGGGATGGCGGGTTTGGGTGCACGGATGCGCCACGCGGGCCTGCCCTCGACTTCACGCCCGACGCGCGCGCGATCGTGGGCCGGCTCGAGCGGGAGGTTTTTGACACGTTCCACTACCCTCTAGTCGCCCGATAGCAAATGTTTCCCTCTTTTATTTTTCAGATCAATAAAGAGTTTGTGTTTACGGCGAATTACGGCCGCACAAAGACCAAAGTCCAAAGAAAAAAAGCCCAGCGGCAAGGGCGGGATGGGAGAACGGCACAGCTCAGATCGCACGATCGCACCACTACTGTAGATTTTGGGTGAGCTCTGCCGACGACGGGCCAACCAACAAGATGTACCCGCCAACTGACACACCGACGCGCGACGACCCCCTCCACACCACCTCGCCCAGGGATGCACAGAAGGTCGATAAGAAAAAGAGCCCAGGACCTAGCTTCCTCAAAATTCTTTTTCTCGACGCGCGAGCGAGCCGCTGCGACGGCTGCTGCCCATGCCGGCCGTGATAAAGATTCGCGTCTGCTCCGCGCGCAATCTGCCGGTGATGGATCGGACGACGGAACTCACCGACGCGTACATCACGCTGCAATTTGCCGATGCGCCGCAGCTCCGCACGCACGTCGCCCGCCGCACGCTCAACCCGCTGTGGAACCGCGAGTTTCGGATCGAGGTGGCTGATGACAACGAGCTGCAGGACCACCCGTTGCAGATCCGCTGCTGGGACAAGGATATCATGTCCTCGGACGATGAGATTGGCGCGGTGACGGTCGACCTCAACCCGCTGCTGCTGCAGCCGACGCAGCTCTCGGGATGGTACCCGCTCTACGACACGCTCCGCGGCTTCTGCGGTGAGCTGTCGCTCGTGATCAAGATGGACTTCATCGGCGACGTGAACCCCTTCAAGGAGAGCGGCGCCGGCGTCCAGTTCTTCTCGCTCGCCGCGCCGCCCGCCGGGATGCGACTCGCCTCGGTGCAGGGCTTGGTGGAGGAGCTAATCTCCGCGCCCGACCCGGAGCACCACTGGGTCGACTCGTTCCGGACGGCGCGCCTCTCCAACGAGCGCCGCCAGCTCCTGCTAGCCGAGCTGTCGGGCAAGTTGCGCCGGCAGATGGGCTCAAAGGTGCTCGAGGCGGGCGGCAACGCCGTCCTCTCCTTCTGCATCACCCTCGACCTCGAGGGCGAGCAGTCGGGCGCCATCGTCGCCAGGGGGCTCGGCACCTCCGTCAAGCTGCGCCCGGCCGCCTCCGCCGCCACGCTCGAGCCGCCCCTCTCTCCCGACCCATACCTCAGCTCCGCCGCCGCTGCAGCCGCCGCCGTGCCGCCGTCTGCCGCCTCGCCCAGCAGCACCATCTCTCGGCAAAGCTCGTGCACGTGGAGGCAGCACCTGTGGGGCGGGGTGCCGCCGCCGATCACGGCACCCGCCAACGTCGCCGCCCTTGCAGCCGCCGCCACGGCCGCCGCCCTGCCGCCGCTCCCGCCGCCAGCCTTGCGGGTCGACTCGCGGCCACACCTGTCGGCTGGCAGCGGCGGCGGCCAGTCGTCGCCGCTCCACCTGCGCTCGTCTCCGCAGCCGCGCATGCCCTCACTCCCCTCGCCGCCCTCGAGCTGGCCCTCGGCCGGCCTCGAGGCGCGAGGCAAGCCGCCCGCCGCAGAGGGCGACGAGGAGAGGGGCGAGGGAGGCGGCTCCTCGCGCCGGACGGGCCGGCAGCGCTCGCGCGCCGTGTCGGAGGTTGCCCTGCTCACGATGGGCTCCTTCCCGCAGCACGTGCCCGTCCGGATCGGCGGCGTCGTCTCTGCGCGCTCGGTCAAGCTCCTCCTCTCCTCGTCGCAGGCGGCGCAGGTGGCGCGGGACGGCTGGTGGTCCGACCTGCGCGGCGAGATCCGGGCGCACGCTCGCTCCCTCTCGTGCTCGGCCGTGATCGGCTACCGAGAATCCGTCCGCTCCCCGCCCCTGGCCCAGCTCGCCCTCCCCTCCCGCCACCCACCACCATCTCCCCCGCAACCCCCTCATACCGGCCCTCACCCTCCCCCCCCTCCCCCCCCGACAGGTCTCCTTCCACGACGAGCTCGCCATCCTGTCCGCCTCGGGAACCGCGGTGCGGATGCACCTCCCGGACGACTTCTCGCGCCGGAGGAGGCCGCCGCCGACGGTGTGCACGCTCGGGCACACTCCGTACGCGCCGACGGAGCCGCCCTTCCCGACGCGCATGCAGCCGTGCGGCCTGTGCGGCCGCAAGTACACGGGCGGAGGGCCGATGCTCGCCGCCGCCGAGGGCACGTCCAGGACGCGTCCACGGCCCGTCCCGTAGGCACGTGCCGGAGCTGCTGCTCGCCACCGTCGACCGCCCTCCCTGGCTGCCCGCCCTCGGCGAGCCGTGCGTGATCCAGGCGCGCGTCTGCCGCCAGAAGAAGCGGCAGCAAGGCGAGGCGCACGCGGCGGCAGTCTCGCAGGCCCTCCCCTTCCTCGAGTACGACCTGCACCGGCAGCTGCAGTACAAGCTGCAGATCCAGGGCAAGAACGCCCTCTTCGGTTTGCGCGTGACGGTCGACGTCGGCGAGACGTTGCTTCTCGCCGTGGCAGAGGCGACCGGCCTCTGCCTCCCACTGCTGCCTCCCGCGAGACCCCTCTCCATCCGGCGAAACATCGACGTGCTCGACGACGAGGACCGCTACCTCGTGCAATTGCAGCGCCAGATCGAGGCCGCGTCGCTCGCCTCCGCTGCCGCCCACGCGCCGCCGCCCTCGCCCCATGCCAGCGGCGGCGGCATGCAGCCAGCCGGCGCGATGCTGCCACAGGACCGGGCGACGCAGGCGGGGCACGAGCGGCGGGTGCGCTCGCCGCCAGGCACGCCGAGCGGGGACAAGGCGAGCGGGGGGCGCGGCCCGGCCGACGGGCGCTTCGGCGAGCGCGCCTCCCGCGAGAGCCGATCCTCCTCCTCTGAGGACGAGGCCGACGGGCGGTACACCGGCGGCTGGCGCGGCTACGGCGCCGACGGGCTCGGCTCGAAGCCGGCGTTTGTGGTGGACGTGGACGACGAGATGGACGAGGACATGATGGCGGTGCTGCTCGACCCGCCGCTGCCGGGCGACCCGACCCTCCTCGCCTCCGAGGCCGAGCTCGCCGACGCCATCGCGCCGCTCGAGATGCGCGGCATCGCGCCGGAGCGAGCGACGCTCCTCTCGCTCGTGAGGAGGGTGAGGCTCGACGTCGCCAACGTGGCGCCCAACCAGCTGAACCAGCAGTTCTCGCGCGCCATCCACGAGCTCGACGCCGCGCTCGCCATCAAGGTGCGCCGGCTGGGCCCCTCCCTCGTGTACAAGGCGACGACCAAGGTTGCGCAGCCCGAGGAGCACGAGGTCGAGCTGCAGCTCACCGCCCACGCGCTGCGGTACGCGCCGCCCGCCGAGGCGGACATGCCCGCCAAGGTGGCCCACTCCGGCGAGGCCGCGCCGGTCGCCGAGCCGGAGGAGCGGGACGCCGGCGCGAAGCCGACCGAGGCGCCGCCGCAAGAGCGGCCCGCGGAGGCTGCCGACCCCGTGTCGCTCGCGCCGCCACCCGTAAGGGTCTCGGTGGAGAAGGAGGCGGCGTGCGAGGTGGCGCCAGAATCGGGCGCGCAGCCGCTGGCTGCGGTGGAGGTGCCGCCAGTTCCGATGGGCGCGGCGGCGGCGGCGGCGGCGGCGGCGACAACCAGTTCCACGCGCTCCTCCTCGAGCAATGTGAGCGGCGGAGTTGTCGGGCACGGAGCCAGCGCGAGCGGTGGAGGCAGGCAGAGCGGCGACGAGGTTGTGCTCGTGCCCCTCTCCTTTGTGCCTGGCTGCGCGACCGTCGGCGTGCTCGGCCCACTGTCGCTGCACCTGATCAAGGAGACGTGGTCGTTGCGCGAGGAGGGCGGAGTCGGCAACTTTTGCCACGCCTTCGTCGCCGAAGCACAGGAGCTTGCGCGCGCACACATTGGCGCGCGGGGCGGGAACGCCGCCCTCCACTTCGCAGCGGAGCTCAACCTGACCGTGCACGAGCCAAAGAAGGACCACGCGTACGCACTCATCCACTGCCATGCAGACGCGGCGCTCGTCCGATCGCTCGCTGAGTACCGCACATGGCCGAGTGGCGCACAGTCTTAGGTAACACGACTCGCATGAGAGAGAAGACTGTAAGTGAAAAAGTTATGCAAGGAGGCTGCGCGCGCACCCTCTTGCCTCTAGAGGACAGCGGGTGCCGGGTGCGCACCGCAGAGGCCAGAGCGCAGTGGCACTCTGGGCCACTGGCCACTGCCCCACTGCCACTGTGCGCACTGGCGGCCCGGCGCTCCAGCGCCAGCCGCCAGGTGCGAGCCTGCGAGGTGGGGTGCAGCGCGGCCAGGCGGGGTCTCACTTTAAAACTCTCTTTGTCGTCCCCGGTCATGTCCCCGCGGTCGCCGGTCGGGCGCGGTGTGTGCATGTGCGCAACCGGAACCGCAAGTGCATGTCTTGAGAAAGTCCTGCAAACAGACGGGCTGCGCCTGAGCGTAGCACAGCCGATGTAAATTAACAGCCCAAGCATATGTTCCACTTTTTGCTAATCATCTTGGCGAGGATTCGCGAGAGAGCGATGTATTGCCTAACGTGCATTGAGGCTGGCGCTGTAGGTGTCCTGCTCCAACTGGCTATGAACTGGCGTCCCGGCCACAGCACCGCACGTGGCCAAGTAGTGCAAAACACGGGCTGCGTCGACGGGAAGCACCGAGGGCACTCGTGTGCCGCTCCGAGGGTTGGACGCACCAAACGGTGGCCGACGATTCGCACCGAGGGGAAGCGACCGTTGGTCCCATCGCTCGCTGTTGCCTCTCCTCTTCACCGCCGGCCGGTACGAACCCGGTCCAGGCGATCTGGTGGGAGCGGTGCGACTGCCCAGCAGATCGAACGACGAGCCAAACGCCACGTTGCGTCCGTAGCGGCGGGGCGCCGCACCACTGGCGGTCTCGTAAGCCCCTGGTCCCGGCGGAGTCTCTGGAGCGTGGACTGGGTTGCCCTGCCAGTCACGCGGTTGCGCTGCCTTGCGCCGATCCCTGTGTCCATCACGAAGGCGCGCGTTGCTCGGCCAGCAGGCGCCGAGATCGCTGCGGTTCGTCGAACTCATCTGGCTGTCGTATTCGCCAGGTCCCGGTGTGTCCGACTGGGATGTTGAGAGGGCTCGCTCCGCCCTGGAGCCAAACGCTGCTGACCCAGGTGATGTGAATCCGAGGTGGCTACCCGTGCTGTACGCGCCCGGTCCAGGGGTCAGGGTCGCCGATACCTTTGCGAACCGCGCATTGCTTCCGAAACGCGGCGCATGTGACGCCAAGAGGTGCGATGGAGGGCTGTAAGCGCCAGGTCCGGGGACCGCGGCTGCCGACGCATCCGCCGAGAATCGCGGCGCGGTCGTTCCGAACTGGCCGAGCATCGAGGTCCCGGGCGGGAACCCATAGTGCTGAGGAAGGCGGGCCCCGCTGCCCGCGCTGCGGTCGGGCATTGCCAAGCGGCTGCGACGCGAAACGATGTCGAGTGAGAGAGAGAGAGAGAGAGAGAGAGAGAGAGAGAGAGAGAGAGAGAGTGTTTTGTTTGTATTTTGAGAGAGAGAGATTTTTATTAACCTTCTTCTTGTGTTTTGTGTGTGTGAGAGAGAGGTTTTTATTAACCAACAAGAAATCACGACTCTCACAGTGATTTCTTCTTGTGGAGGAGATTTTTAGCAATACCAAACAACTCTAACACTCTGTGTGAGAGAGAGATTTTAGCAATGTTTTTGTTTGTGTGTGTGTGTGGTTGTGTGTGAGAGAGAGAGAGTGTGTGTTTCTTGTGTGTGTGTGTGTGTGTGTGTGTGTGTGTGTGTGTGTGTGTGTGTGTGTGTGTTGAGGTGTGTGCGATGGTGCTGTTGATATTTTTTGTTCGGTAATTCACAAAAAGAAACAAATCCCGCTTCCCGCCTTGTTTTGGCTGTCCACAAACAAGGTCTTCGGGTCAGCGAGAGTCCTGCTCTAGCCGACTCACGTGCTCAGCCGTCTCGGTGCGGCTTTCCTCACATCAACTTTGTCGGGCATCCACACACCCTGCTGATGCGCGCCGCACAGAGCGGGCACGCGGCGACGGAGGCGATCACACAGCCGCAGTGCCCCACGAATAGACAATTGTGGACCGACGTGCCCACGGCGTCAATCACCAAGCCGCAGCACCTTGCGATTGACTGCCCAAAGACCGACCAAGGTACCGAGTACGACCCGCCTCCTCCAGCCCAAACTCGGGCTGACAAAGTGCTTGCCTGCTGCCTCCCTTGCGTCTCGTTGCCGCGGCGCCGGTCCGTTTGCTGCCTTATCCTCACACTTTGGCTGCTGTGGCTCGTGGGCGGCTGCGCCTTCGCTGTCGTGCTCCTCGTCAAGCTCAAGGCGGATCTGGACTTTGTGCTGTGCGACATCAGCGCCTGCGTCCCCGGAGACCCGGTCTGTAACCCGTGCCGGAGCGCTGATGACAACTGCACGCTGCCGCTCGAAGAGTACTCGACGCGGACGCAAGCGCTACCATTAAACATCTCGTACGTGGTCTACAATCCCATCTTCATTGGTGCCACCGTGGAGAGGCTCGTGACTTTGATGAGTCTCGATCCGCTCCCGCCACTTTCTGCCGCCGAGATGCTGGCGTTGGACCCACTCGACGCGCACGCGATGGGCATCCCGGTGGCGTGCGAGTCTGGACACGCCCGCTACTCTTCCGGCTGGGGAGACGAGCTCTCGATGGTGTGCTACGCAAACCAGGGAGACACGGGTTTTATCGGCAGGCTCGCGGCGGCGCAGCAAGGCGCCAACGGCGAGTCCTTTCACGTTCGCGTCGCCGTTCGGACGAAGCTCCCCGTTGTCGGGTGGCGCCTGCAGATTGCGCAGGATGCCTCTCAGTACGCCGACTCCTTCAACTTTGCAAACCCACATCAGCCTCCGGACGGACTTGCAGCTTGCTCGGGGCCTGTCTCTGGCGTCAAGTACGGCGTGCCTGAGAACGTTCTGGCGCTCTACGACTTTGACAACTACAAAGTGTCCATCTGCGCGCCCGAGCACGGCGAGCTTGGAGATCTCGTTCTTGGTACTACCGCCAGCTTGGTGTGCATAGCTGCCCCCTTTTTGCCCAGCTGCGGAGGTGCGAGCGTGCAAGAGCCGCTGCGGCTGACGATTCCGATCGAGATGCACAACAGTGCTGGCTTCAATTTGACTTTAGACATCAACGGCTCGGCCACTGTCGTCTACGACGACGAGGGCGAGTACATCTCGTCTGGATACCTGCATGAGACGACTACAATCCCGCCCCGCTCGTCAAAGATCGTCCACTATTATTCTGACATCAACGAGTTCCTCACTCGCTATTCGCGCGAGAGCGGCCTGCTCTCGCTCACGTCTCACGCCATCGACAAGGTGTTGAGATCCGCAGTAATTCTGGATATTGTCTCGAGTGCAACGATCCTCGGGTCGACCTATGAGCAGAGCTTTACGCTCACACACACCTCGCTCATCGAGCTCATCTCGCTCAGCGGCTGCCGCTGCTTGATCGGGCCCGACTCGGGCGAGTGCCACGCGAACGCTTCTCAATATGCGAAGGACTGGTTGCCCTTCTAACTCACGAGTCTACTCTGTCGATGTGTGCGCGTGTGAAGTTCGTTGTGTGTATGTAAATGGGGTATATGTCTCTATGGTATGACGTATGTGTGTGTGTGGGAAGACCTGGGGAGACTCCGAGGCCTTTTTCAGCGCGCGGGGTGGGAGACATCTGTATGGAGTGTCCTTAAAATCATTTACAGTACCCCCTGCCCGTTTCAGTCCCTCTCGTCCCACCACCTGACCGACTTGCCCGAGCTCCGGCGCGAGGGGGAGGACGAGCCGCTGCGCCTGTACGGAGGAGGCTCGGCCTGCTGGTCGCCTGCCTCCGCCGCCTCCGCTTCCTGACCGGCCGTCGCCGCCTCTGGCTGTGATTTGAACCACTGCAGGTGCTCTTGGTGTGCAGCCTCGAGCTCTTTCTTGTACGTCTCGACGCGGGCGATCGACAAGCCAGGGTCGCTGGGCGCTACTCGCTGGTGGCGCACGGCGCCGAGGTGCATCTTGCGATGAATGGAGACGATGCGCTCCCTGTGGCGCTCAAGTTGCGCTATGATCTGGGGCGCATCGAGCCGCGACGACACCTCGGCGTCAGACATGTTCTCCCAGCGAGCTGTCTCGGCGAGGCGCGAGGCGCGCACCAGACCGGCGCACGCACGCTCGTGCTCACGCTGGTGCTGCCGGAAGAAGCCGAGGCTCGACGGAGCGCGCATCAGCAACCAGTATAAAGCGGGCTGCAGTGCTGTCGGGGTGAGCGTATCGGGCTGTCCGGTTCGGGAGAGGGCGCCGGACCGCGCGTCCGCATAGCTGAGGCCCCAGAGGTTTGTGGCGACGCCGAGCGTGATGTGCACCGAGGCCTCGGCGGCGGCAGCGCCTGCACCCGTCACGTGGACGGTGTCCGTCGTGTGCGGGAAGCCAGCCGGTACGTAGAGGCAATCCCCTGGCTTGAGGACCACGTCGATGAGAGGTTCGCCGAGTTCGTCAGTGCGGAGCGTGTCGTCGAGTTTGCCGCGTGCGAGCGGGTCAGCGGCGGGCTTCGCAAACGGTGGGGGCGGGGCGAAGACGCGCCAGTGCTTGGCTCCACGCGACTGCAGCACGAGGACGTTCTGCTTGTCAGAGTGCGGCGTCGCGGACGTCGCAATGCCCTTGCCAGTCACGTAGAGGTTGGCCTGGACGGGGAGATCGAATGAGTCCATCGCCGTCAAGCAGAGGCTGCCCAACTTCGGGTGGGTCGCCCCGGCGCAGTTGTAGACAATGGAGCCCTTGAGTAGCGCCTCCTCCACCTCGTCGAAGCGCAGGTATTTCGTCTGAACCAGGGAGACGTTTGCGAAGCCATAGAACCCAGTGCCTCTATCCGCCCCGGCCGCCCTCCATACGCCACTAGACGCAAGCTGATCTCCTCCCTCGCGTCTGCCAAAAAACTGCGCGAATGGGAGAAGGTTGTTGTCGGTGGCCACCGCGAGATCGTCCATGGTAAAGATGTCCGCGATCCCCTGCTGGGTGCGATAGAGGACAGGCGTTTGACCCCACTCTTTGTGCACAAACGACGCCGACGCCGCGAGCTCTGCGAATAGCGTCACCGGCGTGGGCTTGGCCCGCGAGAGCGCGCGCACTGGATGGTGTGGCAGGTTGTTGGAGGTGATGGTGTGCTGAACGAGCCTTGCCAGGCTTGCGATACAGTCCTCTGCCACGACGAAGCAGCGGGCGATGGCTGACCGCAATCGAGGGTTGTCGGATCCGGCCTCCAGCAGCGTGGGCTGACAGATCTTGCGCTGCTTGTCCCATAGGTCGCGGAGGCCCTTGTGCGTGTGCAAGAGGAACATCAGCTGCTCGAGTGGAGTAGGGAAGAGCAACCTGTGGGGCGCGGGCGCGGTTACTAGCAGTGACGGGAGAGAGTGTGTGTTAGTAGGCTCTCACTTGATCAACTGTGCGAACGTTGGAGAGATGCCGTTCCGCTTCAGGTCAGTGGGGCTGCCCTTGACGGACATCTGCTCTCCGCTGAACGTCACACGGGCCCTTAGCGCACGGTCCTGCAGGGTGCGCCACAGCGTGCACGGCAGACACGCTCCTCTCAGCGGGTTCGGCAAGCAAATGGTCACGCTGTTGGGGATTGCGATGTTCTCGTCCTCCAGATCAACAAACCCGTACCTGTGGCGCATTTCGTCGTACGGTGTGCGTGTGCTGCCAGATACGCGGCTCTAGTCGTACTGGACTGTGCGTACTGGACCGCCGTCTGCACACAGTTGACGTGCGCCGCCGCGAAATAGTCGTGATAAACCGGCTCGCCAGCCTTCAGCGCCCGGAACGTGCGCAAGAAGATGCCCTGCTTCGTGGTGCCGCCGACGACCGCTCCGCCACTCCGGTGGTCAAAGTAATCAATCCCCGTCAGAATTGCGTAGCACTTGCCGCCGTCGAGCCTCTGGGAGCGGCAGATGTAGTGCATCACTGCGCGAGGCGTGTCGGACGTCGCAATCATGCGCGCATTCACGTTGAGTCTTGGCGCAAAGATCGAGCCATCCAGCTGCTTGAGCACAGCGTCGCCCTCGCGGGGAGGCTCGAAGTCGAGCGGAAGCTCTCGTATCCGCTGCGAAGCGGCGAGCTTGGAGATGAGCTGGAGCGGATCCGCGGCGATGGGGCACTCGCGCTTGAGGTAGGCGGGGGAGAGCCTCACGAGGTCCGACCCCTCCGGCACATCGGCATTCACCGCAAACTGCGATCCGTTCCAGCACAGCGCTGGGTGGGTCCACACGTCTTTGTCCATCTGTGCGCGGGCCAGCCACGCCTCGCGGGCATTGTGCGTGACTTCCATCGTGACAAACTCTGTCGCGCCATCACCACCACGGCGCCGCGTACGACGAAAAGCGAGGAATAATTCTCCTCAATCCTACCGCCCGGCCACACACAAGTTGGCCGCTTTGTGTATCTCGAGATCTCGAGAGAGGCCGCCCGCAGGCCTCCCCGAGGGCCCAAGTCGTGAATTGGCTTCCTGTCACCTGTGCAGAAAGAAAGAAAGAAAACAGACAACCCAAGGGAGGGATGGGAGGACGGCACGCCGCCACCACACAGGGATTTTAAGGATAGGAGTGTGGTGCTAGCCGTCGCCCACCCTAGGGAGTCTGCCTCTTCCTATCTCCCTTCGCAGTCCCTCTCCGATTCTCGCTGTAACCTTCATGCCACCTCGCGGTCGTCCCACTCTCGTCGACGTCGTTCTCCCTCCTGTCGCTTCCTCCTCTGTCGCGTCGCTCTCGTCTGCCTCGTCCTGCGACGCCGCAGCCGCCTGCCGCTCCCTTGCTCTCGCGGCTTCTCCCGCCTTTCGGCGCAGCTCTGCCCTCCTCGCGGCATATCCTGGCCCCTCGAGTTTATCGAGCTCTCCTCGCGCAAGGATGACTCTTCTGACGCCCACTGCGATCATTTGCCGCCAAGTCATATCGTTGCTCAGTTCCACTCTCTCTTCGAACACTTGTACCTCCACCGATGATGTTGGCGCTGGGCCTGGGGTCCCCTTCGGGTGCATCGTTACAGCTGACGACGGGATCACCACAGGTGTTTCGTCCTCCTCGGAGTCTTCTTCCCCGGCTTCCTCCCGTTTGGCTCTACGTTCATTTCGTTCAGCGTGGCTCACCCTCCATGCCGTGAACAGGCGCTTTATCCCACCGAGGCTTCGGCCAACGAGGCTTCGGCCAACGAGGCTTCGGCCAACGAAAAAAATCTCCACCCTCGCCCTCCGCCCAGCCCTCCGCCCTCCGCCCTCGCCCTCCGCCCTTGCCCTGGCCGGCCTGGTTGGCATCTCTTCATCTTCACGCGCCAAGTGGGAGGGAAGTGGACGGGGCCCTGAGCCGACCTAACCGCCAAACGGAATGGGGCGCCAAACACGTGCCGGATTACCGTGCCCCTTGCACGTCGGGCACGGCCTTTCGGTTCGTGAAGGGTCGGTGCGAGTTGTGACCGCTCTGTGTCCTGTTTTGCCAACAACATACCTAAAATCCTATGTGCTTCTCTCTCTCCTGAAAGAAAGAAAACAAACAACCCAAGGGAGGGATGGGGTGAGATGCACATCCCGAAAGAAAGAAAGAAAACAGACAACCAACAAGGGAGGGATGGGAGGACGGCACCAACCATGCACATCCCGTCGTAGGCTCGGCCTCCGCAGCGACGCCGTGGTGTCCGCCGCCGCGAGCGGCGCCAGCAGCGCCGCCTGCACCGCTGCCCGCTCCTCCGCCGCCCTCTGCCTCTTCTCTTTGGGCGCGTCAGCCCACTCCTGGTGCTGCAAGGCGCGCCGCTCGCCCGCCTCGCGCTTTGCCTTGCTCGTGGGCGGACGGGCGTACGCAAACAGCTCGTCCGCGTCGCCCGCCGCCGCCCGCCTTGCTGCGGGCACGGTGTGCAGCGCCTCCACCGGCCAAGCCTCCCGCAACGCCGCGCCGCGGCCCTCGCCCAGCCGCCGGAATGGTCCGCCACCACCGTTCGCCTTGTCCGCCGCTCGGGCCGCCGCCGTCAGCGCCGCGCCCCCGCCGACGAACACGAGCGGACTCGGCATGGTGTGCGGCCGGCCCTGCGCCACCGCCACGCTCCGGTGGGTGTCGGTCGTGGGCCTGCCTGACGCAATGAGACACGCTCCGCTCCAGCCTCCGAGCCTCTCGTAACGTCTAACCGCCCGCCGCGCTAACTGACTCCTCATCACCTCCCTACGAACATACAGTAGAAAGGTGAAGAACAGCCAGGCTCGGATTGGACACCAACGCGTATGGACGCTAGACAGATGATGACGACACGCACGAGCGACACACAGACACAAACAGGCTCGTCGTAGGGCTTTTGGCGGGCAACACCTCGGGAATCGCTTTGTTTCCGACGCTGGTGTGCATGACGCTCTTGGCGACCATCCTCTGCCTGCCGGCCTTCGTGCAGAATTTTCGCGTGCCGCCGCAGACACACCGGCATCCAGCGGCGGTCATGGGAGAGTCCAGCGACAGCGAGGCGCAGCGGCAGCAGCAGCAACAGCAGCAGGAGCGGCTGAGAGCGCTGGCAGAGCACTTCCTGGCTGTTAGTTGCGCCATCGCGTTGAGCCCAAACCTGGACCTGCAGCCGTTCACAGTTCCTCAGGGCTGGCTCTCCTCCCCTTCGCCGCCGCCGTCCCAGGAGTTCTCCACGCAGGCGCTCGTGGAGGAAGTGGAGAGGCGCGAGCCCGCTCTCGCTGAGCTGATCGATGCGTGCGTCGATCGCGCTCCCTCTCTCTGCCGGCCCTCGGCGATGCTGCCTCTCGCGCGCCTCGCCGCGTGGGTGCCGAGCGAGAGGTGGGTGCGGCCGCTGGATGCGTGGCTCGGAGAGACTAGCGGAGGAGAGGCGGAGGAGGAGGAGGAGGAGGAGGAGGAGGAGGAGGAGGGGAGGAGGGAAGAAGAGGCGCTGCGAGGGCTGGCGGCCCACCTCCTCGAGGAGTGGCCTGTTCCGCAAGCGCTCCACGGCGCCCTCGCCTTCGCCGACCGGCCTCTCTCCGAGGCTGCGCACCGAGTCGCAAAGGCCTTCGTCGCGGTGCACGCCGCAGCGGGCCGCGGGGAGGCGTCGGTGCTGGAAAGCCTGCGGGAGCACGTCGCGCCGGGTATGACGAAGGCCGCCGCCAAGCAGTTTGTACAGCCGGGTGGGGCGGCTGGCGACGGCCCGCTCTTCGCGCTGCGGCGCGCTCAGGTGGCTAGCCTCGGCGGCGCGGCTTGGGTGGGGGAGGCGGCGTGCGAGACGCGGCTGGGCCGTTCGATCCTGCGATCGGGCGAGCCGAGCGAGGAGTTTGGGTCGGTGGCGCTGGACTGGGCTTGCCGCTACGAGGAGGCGCTTCCGGCCGCGCAGGTGCCTTTCCGTGGCCCCGCCTCCGCCCTCTCTTCCTCCGCCTCCTCCCCTGCACGCACCGCCCTCTCCCGGCGCACAGATGGCCTCGACAATCGACTTTCTGCTCGAGATGCGCGCGACGCAGCCCGACTACACCTGCGTCGGCCGCACCCCGAAGACGGTGCGCGCCGCCCTCGAGGCATACGTCGCCTCCACCATCTCCTTTGGCGAGGTGCAGGACGAGGCCTTCCAGCCAAACCCGCGAGGGCTCAAGCCGTGGTTCGAGCTCGGCGCGACCATCCCGGCCCGCACAAAGGTTCGCGTGCCGTACGAGGGCCCGTGCGAGCTCGGGGGCGCCGGCCAGCCGGGCGCGGAGCCGGCGACGGTACGCGTGGCCGAGATCCTCTCGCTGCGCCGCCTCTTTTACGAGGGCGAGCAGCTGTGCAACTGCCTCGAGGACAGCCGCCGCTCGCAGAGCAAGTACCTGCAGCGGGCGCGGGAGCGCGTCTCCTCCTTCTGGAGCCTGACGCGGCAGGAGGAGGGCGGCCCCGTCGAGCACCTGTGCCTCATCGAGGTGTGGCACATGGGGGGAGGGCGCAACGAGATCCGGCAGGCCGAGGGGCCGAGGCCGCGCACCATCCCCAGCGCCGAGGCGTGGTACTGGCTGCAACATTGGTGCGAGAGGGAGGGCGTCGACCTCTCCACGTGGGACTGCTACTCCTAGCCGCTCTCGTCACAGCCGCCTGGGGAGACGCGCGTTGGTGTGTGGGATCCCTGGAGAGCGCGGAGAGAGCGGCCCGGGCTAGAGAGGAGCCCTGACGACCGCTGTCCTATGTAGTCTTTGAGTACATTTGTCGGGTACATCTACAATTTTACGGTACGGCCTTTTGAAAGAAAAGCAGCATACACACCCCTTGTGGCAAGGAGTCCTTGGAGCATCGTGCTGCACAACGCGGTGAGGTTGAGACGGTCGAGGGGTCCCGTACCATGCGGAATCGACCTTATCCCAGTGCTCAGTGCTCAGTGAAGTTGAAGACCTCGTGAAACAGGCACGCACGACCACGAGCAAAAGCGAAAAGGCAAGCCTTTGAGCGAGGAGAACGCGGCCACCAAGAGGATCCTATCGCACCTCAAGAAGCGCTGCCCGGCCAGCCCGATCTGGGCGCTCGCCACCGCGCTCTTCCTCGCTCTCGAGTACAAGCACGGCGTCGAAGTGAACTTGGACGCCGTCAAGGCCTTCGCCTCCGACCTCTTCGCGGAGACCGACGGAACGCGCGCGTGCTGGACGTACTCAGTGGCGTCCCTCACCGACGCGCTGTCGCGCTGCGCGGCCACGTCGGGGCTGGAGCCGGCGGAGCGCGAGGCGCTCGTCGAGGCGGCCATCCCCGTCTACCTTCAGATGATCGACACGATCCCGGCGACGCTGCTCGAGCACATGAAGTGGCTCAACATCGAGATCTTCCTGCGCCCGGCGTTCTGCGCTGTGCTGCTGGACGAGTACGGCTTCTCGACCGAGGGCGCCACCGAGGGGCTCAAGGCGTGCGGCCTCGAGCGGTTCAAGCCGGAGTACGTCCTGCTGCGCGCCAGCTCGGTGCGCTACGTGCCGCGGAGCAGCGACAACTTCGACGCGTTCGACTTCATCGGGGAGAACCACCCAATCGCGGTGCGGTGCAGGTTTGGCGCGATCGTGGCTGCCCTGGTCGAGCAGGGCCAGCTGGACCGCGACGCGTCGATCTACCGCCTGGTCTCCTTCGAGAACAAGGCGGATCTGACGCAGCGCTATTCGCTGCAGGATGCGAAGGGGTTTCTCCAGTCCTTCGTTGTGGCGGGCGCGGTGGACAAGATGCTCAAGGCGAGCCAGTCGTGTGGAGGTGCGTGCTCCCAACCCCCCAAGACCCTCCCCGAGACCACCCTATCGCCACCGCCTCGCGTGGGGCGGCCCTCCTCTCAGGATCCGCGTCGTCGGACGCCGCCCGCCGCGCCGACGGCGTGCCCGAGGAGGACATCGAGAAGTCGAGGGAGCGCAAGGCCGTCGCCGGTGCTCCCGCCCTCCACACACACCTCGCTCGCTTTCTCTCTCTCGCGCGCGCTCTCTCTCTCGCTCTCTCGCTCTTCTCACCCGCCTCACGTGCGCCCGCCTCACGCACGCCATTTCCGCCCCACGTGTGGCGTATTTACAACCCACGCACCTCGCCTCCGACTCTCCGCTGCTAACAGCCTCACGCTCCGCCCTCAGGTGCTTCGGGCGATCCGGACGCCAAGGGAGCGGGGCGCGCGAGCGGAGGCGAATCGAGCTACGCGTACGTGGGAGGTGGCGGCTCATCGGCTCCTGCGGTGGCGGTGCTCTTCTTGTGCGGCCACACAGGCGCCGTCAAGGCGACGCCCCGCGTGCTTGCCGGCGGTTCAGCTACGCACTCGAGCACCGTTTGCCCCAGGAAGCAGGGCAACTGCAAGGTGAGGAAGGCTGTGCCGGTCAAGTACTCGTTGCTCTCGACGAAGCAGCAGCAGGAGTTCGACCGCAATCTCAAGGAGAAAAACGGCTGGGTTCTCCACCCCAACTTCGAGTGAGGAGGGTGGAGAGAGCGCGCAGAGTACATCAGCGACTTGCACGTTGCACACACGCGATGCAAGCACATTCCTAGTGCCTTGCAAAGTACACGCGCTGGGCTTGCTCGATGTGTGTGTTCCGTGTACCGCCAGCGTGATGGTGAGCTCTTTTCGTCTACTCGAGGCGCTTTGGATACGCACAGGAGTCGGTGGTATCGTCGCCAAATGTCAGCGGGTAATATCTAAAACCCGGCGCCCGCCCTCTTTCTGGCCGCGTCCCTCCCCTGTCCGATCTTCTGGTTCCCTCGTTTACATACATAATATAACGAAATAAGCCACAAAATAACGTATACGTGCGGAACGCGGAGCAGTCCCGAGATGGACATATACGTCTACTGGTTGCGCTCGCAACTTGCACCCGACCACACACACACAGTCACAGACACACGCATGCCTCATGCGCAAAAGGCAGCTACATAAATCACCATCGCCCTCCTCGGGGGGCAGCCACGTCTGAGCGGTCCTCGGGGAGGAGCACGACCTTCGACCCCCGGGGCGCCGGCTCATCTTCCTCCGAGTCTAAAGCCGGCGCCCTCCAAGCGACATCATCGAGGTAGAGAGGGCGGCCGCGGCCGGCTACAGAATGAGGTGTGCTCCTTCTGTCTCCCGCGCGGCGGCTGTCGCTGCTCGCGCCGCTGCCCACGGCGCCGCCCGCGCGGCGGCAGCTGCTCGAGCCACCGCTCAGCATCGTGCTGCTCGGCGACGAGATGCCGCGCCGCCGCGAGCCGCCGCCCGGGTCGAGGAGCGGCTCTGGCGGGGCGGCCGGCGTCGCCTCGCCCACGGCGCTGTCCAGGTCGAGGCTGCGAGAGGGGCGAGCGCTCGGCGCAGACACGTCCGACTCTGCCATTGACTGCGCGAGTCGCGTGGCCATGTACGACTCGTCGAGCGGACGGTCCGAGGGGCTGTCCGAGGAAGAGCTGTCCGAGGAGGGGCTGTCCAGGGTGGCGCCGGGCCTGCCGTCGCTGCGAGGGTCGTCGCACCGCTGCGGCCGCGATGCCTTGGCCCTGGGAGGCGCCGCCATGGCGCGCAGCATGGACTCGGCCGCCAGCGCCTTGACGAGGCGCTCCTTGTCGCCGCGCTTGTCGCCGCGCTTCTTGTCGGCGTGCTCCTGCTCGCCGAGGCGCGAGCTCCGCTGCTCCTGCGAGCTTCTGCTCGGCGGGGTTGACGCCGTGCTCCCGGGCCCGGCGTCGCTCTGTCCGCCAGAGACGACGGAGATGCCGAGACTCACCTCGCTCTCGCCCTCTCTCGCGCCGGGGCCCCTCCTCACGGCTTGCCCCGCAAGGCAGCCGCACGAGAAGGGGTACGAGCGGAGGGGCGCCGGCTCCGGGCTGGCTCGAGGGTCCGCTAGTCTGGCTCGCCGCCTCGCCCGCCGCCACGCCTCGTGCTCCGCGTCGCGCGACTCGAGCGCCTCGTCGGCGTCGTCCTCGTCGCTGCCAACCAGTCTCGCAATTTCCACCTGTGGTGCGGAAGAAGGGGCCTAGACGTGTCAGCTCGCGGGCACATTTATTAGAATGGGTCGGGGAGAAGGCACCGTCGGCTGGCGATGGCCGCCAGCGAGCCTCGAGCTAAAGTCGGAGAGCTGGCGAGTCGCCGCCGCGAGCAGCGTCGCGAGCCCGCCCGCCTCGGCGCCTCCGCCGCGCGGGCGGCTGTGGTCCCACTCGGCCGTCCCGCCGTAGAAGGCGACAAACTCCTCCTTGGAGTAGTCCATCCCGTCCGACACGTCGACTCGCAGTCCCGGCGCCGCGCCGCCCTCTTGCCGCTGGCTTTGCCGCCCGCCGCAGTTGGCCAGGGTGAAGAGGCAGAGTCCGAGGAGGCCAACGGCGGCGAGGGAGGCGGCGACGTCGCTCGAAAGCGAAGAGCGCGGCGCGGCGGGAGGCGCAGACGGCGGTCGTGGCGGAGGCGGCAGAGGTGGATGCGGTGGCGGCGGTCGAGGCGGCGGCGGTGGCGGTGGCGGCGGCGGCGGCGGCGACATTGGCGACGGAGGCGGGTCGACGGGAACCGTGCAGCTGATCCCCGCCACCGTGTGCAAGCTGCCCTCGCCCCAAAAGTGGAAGGCGCCAGTGCCTTCGATGTGGAGGTCCTCGAGCTGGAACACGAGCTTGGCGGAGGTGGCGCCGGCGCTGGCTGGCTCGGTTTCACCCACAAAGCGCTGACCAGCCTGACTCACTCCGTCATCTGGGATGAGCCACGCGCCTTGGGTGCCAGTGACTCGTATGGGCGCCGCCTCGGCCGTGTGCGGGTTGTCATCCGCAAAACTCACTTCGATCTCTGCAAACGGGCGCCACGGCGTCACCTCTACCTCTATCTTGGTGATGCCGCGCAGGTCCGACTGGTGCTCCACGCGGTACGCGATCTTGTCGACTGCGCAGGAGGCCATCGCCCCTTGCCCGCTTACCCGCGTCTCGCTCGCCTGCGTCGCCCACGAGTGCCGCCGTTTACTCACAGCGGGTCGTGTGGGTGTGAAGAGACGCCGTGCACAGCCTTGAAGGCGAGCACGTTGAGCATCGCTGTTTGAGCGCCTTTCGTCTCCTAGGCGCCTTTGCGCGTTCAAGAGGAGAAGCGAAATTCTCTCTCACTCAGAGAAGACTACCTCCGACAGCCTCAGAGATCACGCTCCCCTCGCACGCCACTCGCGCAAAAGCAAGGTTTCCCGAAAAGCCAAAAAACTAGAAAACTCGCACAAGCGAAAAGGCCGTCGGCGTCGCAACCTTTTCTAGATCTCTTGTAGCTTCTTACGTTGCTCATACATAGTACATAGAATGTTTGCCCCCCAAAAGCTACACTGAGACCACCACACGCACACAACGCGCCGCGCGCCGCGCAGACCCTCACTCCTCCGGGATGTCCGCCAGCCGCGCGTCCATCTCCACCAGCATGCCCTCCACCCACGCCTCTCTCCCGGACCGCTCGGGCGGCAGCGCCGCCTCTGCGCACTTGCGCGCCTGCTCCTCGTTGCCCAACCGCGCGTGGCACATGGCGATCCCGCCCAGCGCGCCAACGTGCCACGGCTTCATCCGCAGCACCCTGCGGCAGAGCTCGACGGAGCTCGCGTACTCGCCCTGCATGTAGCGCAGCGTCGCCAGGCGGTTCAGTGGCTCCGCCCAGTCGGGGAAAGAGGCTGCGATATCCTGCAGCGCTTCCGCCTCGCCCGCCGTGTCAGGATTCTGCATGAGGCGCCTCTCCGCCTTCTCGAGCGCGGCTCGCGGCGCGGCGCCCTCCTCGCCGTACCAGTGGCTCCACAGCTGCTCGAGCGCCTTTTCTGGACGCTCGCCTCCCACGCCCTCGAGGAGCGTTCGCTCCTGCTGCAGCCGCTCCTTGCGAGCCGCGAGCTGCAGCCGGCGGCGGCGAAGCGAGTCGTACAGCCCGCCCGAGTCTGCACCAACGCCGTCGTCGGCAGCCGTCAGCATCGGAGAGCCGGCGCGCCTTCCAAGCGGGCCGGCGAGGAGGCCGACGGCGCCGCTCGGAGACACAATCGCTGAGAGAGTCAGCGACAGAATCGGGAAGACGGCCACTGAGAGCATCGGGCGGCTTTGGGTGGTGGCAGCGCTTGTGCGATTTCCGCAAGTGCACGATTTTTCGCGGGGTGTGGAATGGTGGGCGACCAACCCACCTCGAGACCATACCCCCCCCCGCCTGTTGACAGACCCAGCCTCCCGGAGACCGGGGATGGGCGGTCAGGACCATACCCCCCCACCCTTTGGGCCGCGAGGGTACCATACCATACCCCGGAAAAAGTTGGAACCCTGGTATACTCTGGAGGGCGCCTGGGTCTAAATTTAGTGCGGTGTGAAGTGTTTATCTACTGCATCTTTAGTGCACTTTAGCGCGAATTTAGCGCGAATTTAGCGCAAATTTACCGCAAATTTACCGCGAATTCCGCGCAAATTTAGCGCGAGTTCACTGCGACTTTACATCCAGATTTAGCGAGGTTGTGCGTCTTTATTTAGTCCCGCCGCGCACTAGCATCCAGCCGCAGCCCCTCGCTGGGCCTCCCTCCCCCTCTCCCCCTGCAGTCCCCTGCCCACTCGCAAAAACTTTCCCGTCCGTCCCATCCCCAACCGAACGAACGAAGGTTTTTCAGCTGAATCTCAGCCTCCGGGCCCGCCGAGCGGCAAAACGTTTGCCGGCAGCGGGGCGTGAAGTCTGAAGATGGTCACGGGCACAGCATGGGTTGTGCGGTCGGAGGTGCTGCCTTGCGGTGGCGCATTCAACTGTGCTGGTCCTCCTCTCGGGAATCGGTGCTGTGCCTGTGCTCAGTCGGGGGAGATCTTGCTCTGGAGGGCTGCATATCTAGGCTCACTGGGAGCCTGCCTTTGGGTCATGAGGGCAGGGGCCAGGCATCTCCTGTGGTGCATTCTTGGCAGCCAAGGAGCAATCGAGCAAAGCACGCGGCCCTGGCTAGCTGTGGCCTGTGGGCTGTGGTGTGGCCGGGAAGCCGTCGGCTAAAGAATGCGTGCCCGCACTAAAGATGCGGGACCCACACTAATGTACTGCAGCTGCCCGCACCTAAAGTGAACTAAATGTGGCGCTAAATTGGAGATAAAACACACTAAATATGTGCTAAATATGTGCTAAATATGTGCTAAATATGTACTAAATTTGCGCTAAGTCGCGCTAATACGCACTCGAACACGCACTAAATAGCGCACTAAACTATCACTAAAGTTCATTCACATGCACTAAATTTAGACTCAGGCGCCCTTCTACTACCCAGGTACCCCTGCTGTGGCGGGCACAGCAGAAACCCACTATAGAGTTTGTTGATGTTGTAGAGATTTCACGTTGTAGAGCGCCTCTACATCGCTCTACAACGCACGCAGTTCGTCACGCGGCGAATGTAGATCTCTACAGCTCTACAGCGCTCTCCACTCTAACATCCTCGACACCCTCCCTCAGGTCCTGCGACGCCGCCGCCGCCTTGCCGATCCCTTGCTCTCGCGGCTTCTCCCGCCTTTCGGCGCAACTCTGCCCTCCTCGCGGCATATTTTGGCCCCCTCTCCTCGCTCAAGCGTCAAGGACGACTCTTCTGACACCCACTCCGACAATCTCTCTCTCTCTCTCTCTCTCCCACTCCGATCATTATTTGTCATGTCGTTGCTCAGGTCCACTATCGTGTCGGACACTTGTACCTCCACCGATGATGTTGGCGCTGGGGTCCCTTCGGGACAGCTGACGACGAGATTAGCACTGCGATTTCATGCCCACGGTGTACCTGTGTTAGTGCCAGTGCGAGCCAGTCCCGTGCCCAGTCCTGTGCCCAGTGTCGTGCGAGGGAAAAAAGAAAGAAAGAAAACAGACAACCCAAGGGAGGGATGGGAGGACGGCACGCCGCCACCACACAGGGATTTTAAGGAGAGGAGTGTGGTGCGCTAGCCGTCGCCCACCCTAGGGAGTCTGCCTCTTCCTATCTCTTTTCGCAGTCTCTCGCCGATTCTCGCTGCAACCTTCATGCCACCTCGCGGCCGTCCCATTCTCGTCGTTCTCTCCCTTGTCACTTCCTCCGTCGCGTCATTCTCTTCCGCCTCGTCCTGCGCCGCCGCCGCCTGCCGTTCCCTTGTTCTCTCGGCTTCTTTCGCCTTTCGGCGCAGCTCCGCCCTCCTTGCTGCATATCCTGGCCCCTCGAGTCTATCGAGCTCCCCTCGCGCAAGGACCACATTTCTGACTCCCACTCCGATCATTTGCCTACAAGGGAGTTTTGTTGTAAAAGCGCCCACGATTTCTCCCATCGCTTTGGTTGGGCCTCTGGCTGTGGCGGCACAGCAGAAATGCCTCCCGCCGTCCTCATGCTCGGCACCGGCGAGTACACCACGGGCTTCACCGGCTCGGGCGCCTCCGACTCGGACAAGTCGACTGGCGTCGTCGCGCTCGTGATGCTCGACTTGCGGCGGCGCGGCAAGGTTGGCAGGCTCGGGATGTGCGGCACGGATGGCCGGAAGCTGCCCGCGATCCGCGCGCATATGAAGGCGGCGCTGGGCGACGTTTACAGCGGCATCGACCCCTCCTGCATCGAGACGTGGCCGCCCGACGGCGTCGTCGACCGAGAGGCGTACGTGGCTGCGGCCGATGCTTTTGGTCCCGGCGACGTGGCGGTCATCTTCACGCCGGACGACACGCACGGCCCGATCGCGCGGGCCTGCCTGGCGCGCGGCATGCACGTCCTCCTCACCAAGCCGCCCGTCAAGACGCTCGAGGAGCACCGTAGCCTCGCGGCCGCGGCGGCGGACGCCGGGCGGCTTTGCGCCGTCGAGGTGCACAAGCGGTACGACCCGATCTACAGGGACGCGCGGGACCGCGTGCCGTCGCTCGGCGCCTTCTCCTACTTCACGGCGCACATGTCGCAGCCCAAGCACCAGCTCGACACCTTCAAGGCGAGGTTGCTCAGACTTAGTGATTAGTGTTTGACCAGTGCTTGATCGGGCAAGCACCAGCTCGACACCCTCAGGCGTGGGCGGGCAAGTCGAGCGACATCTCGTACTACCTCAACTCGCACCACGTCGACTTCCACGAGTGGTGCCTGCGAGGGAGGGCGAGGCCGGAGGCGGTGACGGCGCTCGCCTCGGACGGGGTCGCGAGCGAGCGGGTCGGCCGCCCGTGTGAGGACACCATCACCCTCGCCGTCCGGTGGCGCAACAAGCTCGAGCCTCCGGCGCTGCAGGAGGAGAACCAGGGGCGGGAGGGGCGGCAGGAGGGTGCGGCGGCGCGCTCCTTCACAGGAAGCGCGGGGCACGCGGTGTACACCTCGTCGTGGATCGCCGCCCGGGCGGACGTGCACTCGCAGCAGCGCTGGCTCTCCTCCTAGACACTTCCTAGACACTTCCTAGACACTTCCTAGACACTTCCTAGACAGCAGCGCTGGCTCCCCTCGCGGCCACTGCGGAGGCGTGCCCCGGCGGGCGGGGTGTCTCGACCAGCCCTCTCTCGAGCCCTGCCCTGCAGGTTCTACATGGGGCACGGCGGAGAGATGTCGGTCGACCAGGCGCACCGCGGCTACACGGTCGCGCAGGACGGCAAGGGCTTCGCCTCGGTGTAGCCCCCGCCCCCTGGCCCGCCCCCTGGCCCCGCCCTGCCGGAGCCGGCCGAGGAGGCGCCTCGCTCCCGGCCCAAGCCCCCTCTCTCCCGCTGGCAGGTGAACCCGCTCTTTTGGAAGCCGGCTCGCGACGCCCTCACGCGCGAGTTTACCGGCCAGCGCTGCTACGGCTACCTCTCCTTCGAGGCCTTCGTCGACGCCGCCGCCGCGTGCAACGCCGGCCGCGCGGTGCCGGAGGACTACGACGGCGTGTTGCCGACTGTTGCGACGACGGCGGGCGCGACGGCGATACTCGAGGCGGGGCGGCGCTCGCTCGACGCCAGCGGGCGGACGATGGAGCTCGTCTACGCGGACGCCGCCGCCGAGACGCCGGTCGGCATCCGGGCCCTCGACTTCTCGTGAGGGCACAGGGAGCCCGCACGCTTCGCGGGGCGGAGAGAGGAGCAGCTGAGCAGGCGAGACACAGCCGGCCACGTGATGTACTGATGTTGCGCCCGCGGTGTCGCGGTGTACGTAGCGCTTCCGAGGGAACTGGGAAGAACGAAGAAGCTAGACCGCCGCGGAGCTTTTTTTTCGCGTGCGTGGACGGCCGTCTAGGACCGGTGGGAGGTGGTGGACCGTGTACGTCGTTTGGGGAGATTTTGGGTAGGGTACGTTTTTGGGGAGATTGGGACGTCGATAAGAATTAATATGATCAAAAATAGGGCGCGGCGCGCCAGCCAACGAACTGTGAATACTTACGACGCATCTGCACATTAAAACATTTATGTCACGCAACGATGGAATGCAACAACTCAGTCCGCACGTCGGGACAGGCGTCACACCCTCCCCGCGCACTCATGTCGCGACCACGTGCGAATTCACAGCCCCTCCGCCAGCGGCTCCGAGATCTCGATGAGCACGTTGTCCACCGAGAGGCCGAGCGGGAGCGGCAGCCCGAGCGCCTCGCTCGGCGCCTGCCCGCACAGCTGCAGCTTCAGGCTCGCAGCGGAGAGGCGCAGCCGGTGTAGCGGGAGCTCTTCGGCTCCAGCGCGCGCAGGCAGCGGGACGAGCGGCGCCCACAGCGCCTTCAGCGTCGGCGTCCACAGGACGGGCAGGCCGCCGCGAGCCGGCGCACCCTCCGCCGCGCTGCGCGCGCTCGACCAGCCGCTCACCTCAATCTGCGGAGCAGCGGCAGACTCGGGAGGCCGCTCGACGCACAGCGCGCCGCCGCCCTCCTCAAACTCAATGGCAGCCGCGGTGGCGGGGACACCCCAGACGCGAACGCACGCCCGCTCCGCCTCGGCGTTCGACACGTACAGCCGCGAGCCCCACTGCCCCACTGTGCCCCGCTTGGAGACGAGCGCGCCCATGCTCACGTACTCGAGGTACGGCCCGACGGGAGACTCGTCGTACTCCAGCGCGACGACGCCGCCGATGCTCCAGCCAAAGAGAGAGAGGGCGCGCACGCCGTCGGGCAGCGCGCCCGCCGGCGGGGACCGCACAACCGCTGGACGGAACCAGAGCCGACCGCGGAACAGCCAAGGGTAGTCTGCGTCCTCGCCGTTGCGCTCTGATGGAGAGGCGAGTGGCGTGCCGCGAAGAAGACCTCGCAGGAGCGGTGGGGCGCGTGGCGAGGCGGCGGCGAACGCAGTCAGAGTGCAGGACAGAAGCATCGGGCACGAAGCGACAATCGTGCTCGCCCTGTTCACGGCGCTCGCCTGCATATATATGTGTCTCTGAGCGGTCTGGTGTCCAGTCACTCTTCTGTTGCACTGTTGCCCCACTGGGATAGGGTCGATTCCGCATGGTACGGGACCCCTCGATCGTCTCGCCCTCCCTCACTGGGTGATGCTCGTGGGGGGGGGGGGGGGTCACTTTCCACACAAGCTAACTCACTTTGTTTGTTGTGCAACAAAGGCCCCCTCTGTTGTGCCCCACGCGTGGTGATCGAGACACTTTTGAGTCACAGGCAGACGAACAATAGGCGCGAAAGCATTCTCCCCCTCCTGACTGAGGCCTCGTCGGGTCAGCCTCGGAAGTACGTCCCTCGCCCGACGTGGTGGAGCAGAGCGGATGCTCGCTGGTCTCTTGGCGACGGCCACGCCTCGGCGCCGCCCAGGAAGGATGCGTGCTTGACCAGCTTCAGCGCGGGGCCTAGCAGAGGGTGTGGCGTGCCTTTGAAGGGCCTCACTCGCCGGCCAAGCCTCCGCGTGACGAGGCGTGCGCGACCTTGCGGCGCGCGCCAGGTCGCCGCGAGGTCGAGGGTCGGCGTCCCCGAGACTCTACGGAGCGGCAGGCGGCGAGGAGACTCGGGCGGCCTGGTCGCCATCCGCCGCTCGCGCGGACTGAGCGAGGTGCGGGCTGGCCGGTGCGGCCTCGGCGGGCGAGGTTGCTTTGCCCGGGCAGAAGCCGGGGCTGGCGCGGGAGAGCCAGCAGGCCTCGACTCGGCATTCTTCGTTTGGCGTGGCGTGGCGAGGCTCGCCGTCGCAGGCCTGCTCCCGCGGTCTCGAGGCCTGCTGAAGCTGGCCTGCTCTTCTCTAGACTCTTCGCCGTTGCACGCCCGCACCAGGCGCTGGCGCCGCATAGAGGCGGACGCCACGTAGGCTCGACGGGACGGATTCCACTCGAGCACCTGCCCAGAGCCGGGCCCCCAGCAACGCTCCGCCGCGGGGATGGTCGCGGGCGGGTCGCGAGTTGATGACACGCGGGGCGAGTCGGGCGCGGCCGACAGTAGCTCGCGCATGACCCGCGCCCGCATGAGGCCGCGATGCGTCCACGCCGCGAGCTTCAGCTGTTGCGCCTCCTGCAGCAGCCCGGAGTGCGCGCGTGTTTAGCATGAGAGCGCCACACGCACCACTCGGACCGCACCGCGCTCAATGAGGCTTTCAGGCACGTGTGTGGGCGGTGCGCGTGGAGCTGCGCCTGGCACGCGTGGCTGACCGCGGGCGGGAAGCGCTCCAGCAGCTCAGAGCGCTGGAGCGTCAGCACAGTGCAGTCCGAGATCGTCGTCGCCGAGAACCGAGCCCGCTCCGCCAGCGCTGCGTCTTGTTCCAGGAAGGCGCCCAGCACCTCGCCCCGCCCGACAATGGCGCGCACCCTCGAGGTGACGCCGCCGCTGTCCACTTCCATGCCAGCCTGCACAGCAGGGCGGGTGGATGGGCGATGATGGGCGCAAACTTCGCCCCCACGGTGCACGTCGGCTTGCGCCTCCGCGACCCCCCGCATCAGAACGTGGACCGCTCGGACCGGCGCTCCCTGCTGCTGCAACACCGTGCCGGCAGGAACCGAGGAGGGCTTGAAGTAGTACGAGAGGCGTTGCAGCGCGAGCGGGTCGAGCGGCTGGAAGGCTGGCAGCGAGCCGATCAGAGCGATCTTCTCCTCGAGCTTCCGCTTTGCCCCCTCCCTCAGACAGCTTTGCCAGGAGGCGCGAGAGAGGGCCGCCAGGCGGCAGCTTCCCACGTGCGCGACAGCGCTCGCCGCGCGCGGCGCATCCGAGACCAGCGCGAGCTCTCCAAACACCGACCCCGCGGTCGCGACAAAGACCAGGCTGCCAAACCGCATCTCCGTCTCTGCCAGGCTGGGCTCCTCTGGCTTTGCCGCCGCCGCCGCCTCCTCTGCGGCGGTGAGATAGAGCCGCCCGTCGGCTCCCTCTGGCGCCTCGGACGGCTTGCCACAAGGGTGAATGAACATTCCTATGCTGCCGCTGACTACCGCGAACATGGCGTCGCCATAGTCGCCCTGCTCAAAGAGCGAAGTGCCCGCGCCGACTTCGACGAGCGTGAAGGCAGACGCCAGTTTTGCCTTGACGTCGGCCGTGGGGTCCTCCGAATCGGTGTCGGGGAAGCGGACCGAGTCGACGAATGCGAGGGCGATGGTGCGCTGCGCCTCGTCCCGCTCCGCCTCGGGAAGCGCCAGGGCGGCCGCCACCGCGTCGTAGTCCAGCTGCATTGCTTCGAATGAGCAGTCGGATCGCTCCAATTGGCTGGACATGTTCCCAAGTTTGTGGACGGTTGTCGTTAGAGACGACTCTCTCTCTCCCAACTGTGAACAGTCGTTATCTGTATATGCGCAGCTATTCATAGCCGCGCCTGTTGTTTGTGTGTGTATCCGCGCTCTTGGCGCGATTACGAGACTGACTAGTGTGTCGCACTAGTTGTACTTTTTGTAATAGTATTCCGCATTCATTGCGAGGGCGGACCACTCCTAGCGTGCAGACCGCGGGAGCTGGTGCCGCGGCCAGTGTAGACCTGGCCTGCGCTGTGACGCGCGCGCTCATCTTCAACGTGGAGCCGACTGAGGGGTAACTACGTAGCATGTCTAGCAACAACCGTGACAAAGACATGCCGTCCGTCATCCAATGGGATGGGACATCTGGCGATCCTTTCAAGGAGTGGAAAAGGGCAATTCTCGACACTGGTGCGGAGCGGACTGACGAATCCGGCTCCAGCGTCGCGGATGTCTTCACTGGTGCGGACATGGGAGGAACCGCCGTCGGCGCTCCACCTCTGCCGGCTGGCGCTGCACAGCATTCGCAGAAGATGCAAGCCCTGTACCGCACCCGCCGCAAGCAGGCCTACGCCCTCCTGGTCAAGAACATTTCGTGCAAGGACATCAAGTTCCACCTTCGCACAAACTTCTTCCAGCAGGGGGAGCAGGCGTGGCAGTACCTTTGCTCTATTGGGGACATGGAGCCGCAACGCTCTTGTCACATGCACATGCCCATGCACATGCCCGTGCACATGCACATGCAACCCCCCACACAACAAATCAAACAAACAAACAAAGAACCCACAGCAAGAAAGAGGAGGAAATAGAGAGAAGGAACGAACGAACGCGGATGGACGGCCATATTCTACTCACGCTCGAGGTTCTCGAGGTGGATAGGATTCTACCCTTTTGGAGAGAGAGATTTTTGAAAACCAACCGCGTTGGGTAGCGAGCTAGCGAGCGAGGAGGGGGGGGGGGGGAGAGAGAGAGAGAGAGAGAGAGAGAGAGAGAGAGAGAGAGAGAGAGAGAGAGAGAGAGAGAGAGAGAGATGGGTCTTGTGTTTGAGGACTGGTGTGACGCAGACTCTCGAACCGTCTAACGTCACTCTAACACTCACACATCATTTGGGGCCTGGACCCTGAGGGCCCAACTTGAGAATCGTGCTTTTTGGGTTAGGGACGAAGGCGAAGGACCGATTGCGGTGAAGGACCGCAGGTTAGGGACCGATCGCCGCCGCTCACGCCAGCGGACGGTCGTCGTCAGTGATGTCAGCTACGCCACCGTCTACCTCGTGCGACATGCGCTCGCCGGCATCGAGCGAGCAACGTGTTCGACCGACCGGCTTGCTGTGCGGACGGCTTCTTGTGGCTCTCGTCGAGAGCGTTTTGCGGCCCGGCGGGTGGGAGAACATGTGTCGTTTGATGTGTCACTGTGTACGTCATGTCAGTCTTGATAACAAGCACGGTCGATCCGTCAAAGCGATATACTCGTCACGTCACGCTGGACGGCTTGCACGGAGCTCTGTGACGGCACACATCAGGAAGACCGCCGTACGGCAAGAAGAGCTCGATGGGGAGCGAGAACCGTCAGAGGAGGTTCAGGGGTAACCTGAGTCCTCCGTGACGCGCTCAATCGCTCCCAAGCGGGTGGCTCTCGAAAATCGTCGATATCTTCCGAAAAGACTGCTCTTGCCCAGAGCAGCCGACGCGATGCAGACGGAGGCGCAGAAAGGCTACGAGTACTCAACGAGTTCCGCGACCTACGCAGTCAAACCTGGGGGGAACTGACCGCATGAAGGCGGACTTCCGACACCTCCGTGAGCACCTTTGGCGATTCTCGCTCCCCATCGAGCTCTTCTTGCCGTCGGCTCTTCCTGTGTGCCGGCACAGAGCTCCGTGCAAGCCGTTCAACGTGATCGTGACGAGTGTATCGCTTGACGGATCGACCGTACTTGTTATCAAGACTGATATGACGTACACAGTGACACATCAGACGACACATATTCTCCCACCCGCCGGGACGCAAAACGCTCTCGACGAGAGCCACAAGAAGCCGTCCACACAGCAAGCCGCTCCTCGGACAGGCGAGCTCGCTCGATGTCGGCGAGCGCATTGCGCACGCTTTGGACGGTGGCGAAGCCAAAAACACCGATGGTGGCCGTCCGCTGGCGTGAGTGGTGGCGATCGGTCCCTAACCTGTCGCTCGCGGTCCCTAACCCATAAGTAGTCCTTCGCGCTTTAGTCCCTAACCAAAAAGCACGATTCTCAAGTTGGGCCCTCACCCTGGAGCTCGACAGACTCTACAGTCATCGACAAACAAGCTGTGGACGACGGTCCTAAAGCACTTGGAGCACTTGGAGTGCGGTCATCAACCTCACACCCAGGTTCGGGGAGCTGAGAAGCGCACACAGGCCGGAAGTGCGGTTGCGACGCGGGGCAGATGAATGATGGCGTCTGTTCACACCCTGTGACCTGACTCACTGCTCGCGCCGCTCTGCACCTGTCCCGCCGCCATGATCGTCTACCGCAAGGGCATCTCGATACGCGTCCTGCTCCGCATCTCTGGCTCTGTTATGCCTCGCGCGGCCGTCAATGCGCTCCTCTCCGCCGCACTCACGTATCTCATCTCATGCGTGATCCCGCCGGAGGTCCTGCTGCAGCTCTTCAACCACCCGTACCCCTTCCAGCCGATGGCCCACGTGGTCGCCTTCGCCCTCGTGTTCCGAACCAACGTCGCGTACAACCGCTACTGGGAATCCTGTACGGAGGTTTGCTTGATGTCCGCAAAGTGGGGCGACACGTTCGCCGAGGCGCTCAGCTTCGACGAGCTCTCAAAGCCGCGCGCCGCCGACGCGCCGCCGCTGAGCGGCGAGGAGCGGGCTCAGGCGCACCGCGAGCGGCGCCTCTCGCAGGCGCGGCTCGTCCACCTCGCCTCCCTCATGCACGCCCTCGCGCTGCAGTACCTCCGGCGGGATGACGACCTCGGAAAGCTCGTGGCCGCAGAGGTGGCGGAGCCGGCGGCGGCGGCGGCGGCGGCGGCGGCGGCGGGCGAGTGGGCTGGCGCGACCCTGCACCTGCCGACTGCCCCCGGGACGACCGCCCGGCCCGTGGGAGTAGAGAGGGACGGCAGCGACGAGGACCGAGCCCAGGAGCAGACGATGGAAGAGGTTGGCGCGGCCTCCCCGTCCTCGCTGCCGTCGCCGTCGGAGGTGCTGGCAGCAGCCCGGCGGCTCGGCCGGCGAGGCGCGGGCCTCACGCAGGAGGTGAACGTGTGGCCTCCCCTGCCGGTGCTCGGAGGCGTCGGCAGCGAGGAGGTGCGCAGACTGTAGCCAGTGCGGTCGCGCCTCTCCGACGGAGACGGCAGGGGAGGCCACACCTCTCCGGCGCTATATCCTCTCTCCGGCGCTGACCGGCCCTCTCAGCCCGTTCGCTGCGGACCCCGCCTCTCTGCCAGGCGCTCGACCTCAAGTTCTCCGAGGACCGCGTCTCGA